CGCCCTACGAGGATAGGCAAGCAGAGCAACACAGCAGAACAGAGATCTTTCCATTCCGGTCTGCGAGGCTCGCCTGTAGAAACTCCTCGTTCCTCGCCCTCCACGGAAGGCTGTAGGAAAGTCGTGGCGAATACGGCTTCATGTAGGAGGGCCTCAAACGTCCCTTTCTCGATGCCACTGTCACCGCGAACTAACTCAGGATGCGTCCTTCGACCCCAATATGCACGTTTCTTCCTGCCACCTGCGCCATCATCTCTACCCCTACTGGCCCTTAGATCATCCAAGGTATCGGCTTCGCCATCCACTTCACCCTCTTCGAGCGCAGGGACGATTTCAGTAGGAAAGAGTTCCTTGATGGCAGCGCTACGGTCGCTGGGCACTTTGTAGAAGTATAACTTCGACCCTTTAAGCTCTGCCTTGGCCGCCTTCCATCCTTTCGACAGCGTCAGATTCATAGCAGTACTGTATGGCCGATACTGCGCATAGATCGATGGCGCGGTATCTCCCATGCGGTTGATAAAACCAGCGTTATAGACGATCTGAGACGTACGACGCGAATCGCGACTGTCATGTGCATCAGGTTTGAGCATGGTAGGTGCAAGTAATGGTGAAGACGACGACGTTGTGTTTTGGCCACTGAGAGGGGTTGTGTTGGGTAACGGATGTTTACTGGAAGAAGGACTCGCAAGACTGAAGGAAAAGACACCACGCGTGCCACTGGGGCCATTCCGGTCATTATCTTTTTCCTTTGTTGATTCGGCGTCTCGCTCGGACCCTGATCCCTTCCTTTTGGGGCTTGTTGGCGCAAAGCCTAGCTTAGATGCGGATAGCTTAGAAGGTAATCGAGGTGCAAATGACGTGTTGCGAGAATGGACATGGGGTGGGTCTTCCGATGGAGGGGAACAGAACGTGTCTGAAGTGGGTGAGGAGACGGAGATAGAAATGCCAGGGTCAGGAGAGGCGAACCCACACTCAGGAGGCGAAGACGAAAGAGGGCTATTGGTAGCAATAGTCGGGAATATGTGCTTCACGGGACTTCCAGGACCAGAGCCCACAGAAGCGGGATGCAAGGTTGCACTGCTATTACTTCTATTCCTGTATTCTTCCACTCTATGTTGAAAAGATAAGTCTGCAGAAGAAAAGGAGGACGTCGAGAAGCTTCCAAGATCATCTGCGGATTTTGACCAAGTTTTACGGGATATGTTGCGAAGATCGCCAAGACTTCCGTTGGTATCAGGAGAAGATGGTTGTGAAGTGGGAAAGGGACGTTGTAAATCGAAGGACTTCTTAGACGAAAGATCTAGAACCGACCTAAGAAGCGCATTGAGTTATCAGTACGTGTATTACGATGCACAGCCAACTTTAATACAAAAAATGCGTGTAGAACACACAAACGTGGATGAATTCAGTGTATGCGTAAGATTCAAGGCACGGGCGGCGACCTTATCCGAGAACGCGGTATAATAGAGGAAAGGGTCATCAAATGCAAGTTACAAAACCAAACTCACTTGCTCGCGTCGTTAACATGGGATTCCGGTTGAAAACCTTGAAAAATGGGTCGTGGGTCTGTGGGGCGAGATATCTTGGGCTTGCGTATGGCCACTGAACTGGTGCTACATCGAGGTTCACCTGCACTTGACGCCAAGCGTGGATCAGATGGCTTTCGGAACCATCTTGAAGGCTTGGAGAGCAGATGGGCAAAGCCGGATGGAGAATTGGAACGTGCTTGAGGGAATTGAAAGTGAGCAGGAGAGGTCGGGGTAGAAGAAGGGTGCACTGCGGCATCCTGGGGGCTGAGAGAGTTGAGAGCAGGAGTGCCACGTCGAGGTGGCATATTGTAAACAATTAAAAACGAGCGATGAAGGTCTTAAGGGACTGGATTGTGTTACAATGAATAGGACGTTCTGGTAGTCAGATGATCAGTTCAAGGTGGTAGATCGGGTTGTCAGTATTGGAGACGAGGAGGAACGCACCTGGTTATCACTGTCCTGGGCAAGCTCATGCAAAGTTTCATGAAGCGTGACAGTCAAGGGAGAGGATGAAAAGGGAAACGGAGCAAACGGACATAAGTACTTTCAGTCAAGTTGTCAATCTGGGAAAATATAAGGGCGGCGTGGTGAACCCTTGATTCAAAAGATTTTCTAAATAGTACTAAATACGTTTAACACGGCGACCAATGGCAACACTTTCTCGGGTTAACAGACAAGTCTCAGATTAGCCACGAACTCAATTGGAGAAGAGACACCGCGTGCGTAATTCCAAGCCTTTGATTCTCGAGGATGAAATCTGATGCGTCGTCCATCACGATGTGATCCCAAGTCGCAGACAACGAATCGATTCAATCGAACGTACTTTGTACCGTAGTCGGACAACGGCCGCCCAAAATTAAGCACTACCGCGTTCATATCTGGGCCTTCCCGGTCTTTTAGGCGTTCCTAATGAACCGTGGGCAAGGTCATACGGTCGGCGTCACCCGCTATCGCATCCGCCGGCGGCATGACGCACCGCAATGTCGATCCTGGCACCCAATATTAAAAATATGTTCACTCCCATCTGGTAACCAAGCCTGGCCAATCGAAGACCATGTACTCGGCCCAGGAAGTTCGTTTAGATCGAAGCAGTCGATACCCAACACCACAGCCAAGGATTCTCAGAGGTGCTCATCTCGTAAATCATCATGATCCATCACCTGCATAACCACGCTTTCAATCTTGACCGCATGCGACGGAGTTCAAACAACATTCCACTTACATATATCAGTGAGAACTGTCAAAACTTGTTCGCTCGCATATCAAGATCCTGATACTAACAGGCATGGGTGTCATGATACCGTGGCTGCGCAATCAGGCTCACTAACTGCTGTGTTCGTTGTTTAGTAAAACATTAAAGCGGCCTCAACCGACCTTTCTGCCCCAAATGAGTGAGTGCTATGTAGCTCGGTATAATATATGAAAAGATAAGGTGAGCTGCGAAGGGCGGGATATAGTAAACGATAAGGGCGGAACAAAAGCAGGTCTGGTTCGCTCGAGATGCTCTAGACCTTACTCAATGTTCCTGACACTTGTGCCTCGGTACGTTTCCCCACGTAAAGACACTGACCGGCCGCTCACCCTGAAGTCTGAACCGTTCAGGGTCACCATTGAGTATATACTGTAGAGACGAGTCACGGGCGAGCATCCCAAAATCGCATTGCACCATATCACTTGTGTAGATCTAGTAGATTCTCATATGCCGTTGTGCACAAATTTCCAATTGTAAATGCATCCTCCACGATCCTCACCATTTCATGAGCCATGAGTGGCGGACTTCTCGTTCTCCTTCCCATGAATTAAGCAGCAAATATCAAACTGAACTTCTATTGGTATTGCATACAACGAGACTGCATTGCTTTCCGAACGTTTCCTGACCTCTTGAATAAGACCTTACGCGCCATCCTTGACGGCGAGCCAAGCAGGCCTGTTAGAGATGTCTTTCCACCACCTGCGCGTCAAACGATTAAATCATATCCACAACAGCTGGCATCATAGCTCTTACCTAGCAAGGTTGGGCCTGCTGTCAAACACCTCAGCAAACCCATTTGTGTAAAACACAGTGCCATACGGCAGATGGAACAAATCAGCGAGCGTGAGAAACTAAATAGCCAACAGATACTGTCAGTTCATAGCCAGAGAAAACGTCAAGAAATAAATCAGACGCACGTCACCAGCAAGGTACTTTTGTTTGCTGAGGATCACTTCATACACATCCAACTTCTCCTGGAGGGTCTTCAACGCCTCGCCAACACGTTCCTCATTTGGTTGCAGACCAAAGCGCCTTGAGAAATCGTCTGAGCTACGTCGAAATCAAAAAGGAAACAACTCACGGCTTGAACACTTTTTCGAAGACAATTGGCTGTACGAAGTTGGTGAAGTTGAACACCTCTACCGAAGCTGCTTGTTCAAACAGGGCCTGAGCCTTGGGGTCGCTGGGAATCAAGGGGGTGCCCTGGTTGGGGTATTTCTTGATGAGGTATCTTGCGATCGCGCGAGACTCGTATAAAATAAAACCGTCGTCATCCTTTGAGGGCGTAACTCAGCGAACGGATATCATGAGACCTAGTCACAACTCGACTCACGATGTATGGCACCTCTCCGAATGGCTGGATCGCCGTGAAAGACGCGGCCTTGTGTTCACCTTTGGCCATGTTGACCTGGATCACCTCATATGGGATATTCTTTTCCTTGCAGATGAGGGCGACGAGGCGCGTGCATGTGGAAACAGCGGGAGCACCGTATAACTTGACCATCTTGTGAGATTACTGGGAATGAGGATGATATGCGAGTTGATGAGGGGGTTCCATGAGCGCATGAATCATTTATACCTATGGCTCCTGTATGGCTCTATGAATATTTGGCTGGATTATGAATCGGTGGCGCCAAAATGTTGCGTATGCTGAGTAAAGTGCTGATATTTGCCTTCGCACTCGGAAAGGCAATGTTACTAGTACTCAAATGGAGGTCTCGGAGAGCGTAAAAGTACTAGCTACTTACCATAGCGGCACAATCTTGATCTGGGTAACTATATGGGTCAGTGGGCTATGCGGGGCTTCGAAAATAGGTTAAAATTCCATGGTGAGGAAATAGAAGAGTGATCCAAATCCTGGACTTGGATGTTGCCAGTGCGAGTCCTCCGAGCTGGTTATTAGACGACACTTGTATGAGTCATGCTTAGTATCGCGAGCCATAGCCTTGGTGGCTTCCGCTTAATCCGAGAAAGGGTGCTTTGGTTTGCCGTGCCAACGACAGACGATTATTAGTAGTACTGCCATCTATATTGGTGAGCATTAATGTGGCACGCGCAGTATGTACTTACTAACGTCAAAGTGTAATTGCCCAGAAAGGGACTTGGCCAAAAGTCTGAAGCCCAATGATTCAGCAAAGTCTAAATTTAAACACCGCTTGATGACAAAACAACCTTGGCCTGCAGCTGCCATCGGAATCGGAACATTACCGTACTGTATTCATGCGTCACCTCAAGTCTGCCATCCGCTGTCCTTCCGGCTCATCTTTCTATCTGCCCCCTTCTTGTGTTTCTCACCCCTGGGAGTGGCTCCTCTCTCGCGGGACTTAACATCAATTCACCGCCCCTTACACGTCTGCCCAGAATGGTCGTGTCGAGTTGTGTCCATCGCACTCTCATGAGTCGTGCACGTACCATGCGCCTGGCAAGTAATCTTCCTCCTAACAGATGGGATGAATTTGTGGTCACTTCATGCTACCTTTCTAACCGTGTTTCCGTCAAATCACAACAAGGTCTTACACGCTGGTTTGGCTCCAAACCCAACCTCTCGCATCTTCGGGAGATCGGCTGTCGTGCATTTGTTCTCATTCAAAATGTGCACAACCCAAGGATCCATGCACGCTCCATCGAATGTGTGCTAATTGGCTACTCTGCCGACTCCAAAGCATACTGGTGTTACCATCGTCCATCTGGCAAAGTACTTCCGTGTATCATTTATTGAGTCCCATGAAGCCATCTCTCACCCATTCTGTGCTTCCGCTCATCCCCCTTCTGATACACATGCCGTCCCACACCCTGTGTCATCCTCCCCTCCTGTCACTCCGGTACCCCCCAACTTCGTCGGTCGTCACGCATCTCACCACAGAACGACAATGCACTGCTAACGACATGCCATATGTTTCTGCAGCAGACCGTCGCCATGCGATGCAAGCATCTGTGACTAAGATTCCTGACGAGGACACATCACTTAGCGCACCTGGCACCATCTCTGAGGAGGATTTGGCATCACTAGTCGACATTTTTGCTGCCTCTGTCCCTGAAGACTTCACACGGGAATGCCCTGACGACCCTACCACCTATGTCGAGGCTATGGCTTCCCCCCATGCAACTCAATGGCGACTTGCACTTCAGGAGGAGTTCGACTCCCTCAAACAAACTGGCACTTACACACTCGTCCCTCCCTCAGATGTGCCCCGAGGCCGTGCATCATGAAGACCTGTCTTCAAACTTAAATGGGACGAAAAGGGCCCGATATGTCTGCCGGGGTTTTACTGCTGTTTATGGCTAGGACTATACCAAGACCTCCTCTCCTACAGCACGTCTGGAGTCATTCCGCGTCCTCGCACACCTTGGTGCACCCCCTCGACTGGGAGATCGAACAACTCGATGTCAAAACAGCCTTTCTCCTGGACCCCGATGAAGTGTGCTATATGGAACAGCCAGAGGGATTTGCAGAACCTGGCAAGGAGGACTGGATATGGTGACTAGAGCGTGGTCTTTATGGAATGAAACAAAACGGTCGTGTCTGGAATCGCACACTCCATGCCGCACTTATCTCCTGGGGTTTCAAACGTCTCGAATGCGAACACTGCGTCTACTTCCGCCGTAATGAACTTGGCACCATACTCACTGCCATTCATGTCGACGACTTCTTCAATGTGGGTAGCACCAAGGAGGCTCTTGCCCATTTCAAAGATCAATTACGCAGTCGATGGCAATTTTCTGATCTTGGCGACGCCCGATTCTGCGTTGGGATAGTACTTGAATGCGATCGAGCTCAACGTACCATTTCGCTGTCACAGACAGCTCTCATTGATCAAGTTGTCGACCAATTCGGACTCAAAGATGCATACCCAGTGTCGACCCCCATGGAACCTGGCCTTCACCTATCGCGAAAAGACCACACTCTCAAAACAGACGATGCCCGTGCCCAAATGGCTAAAACCCCCTATCGATCACTTGTCGGGAAACTCATATACATGGCGATCGGCACGCGCTCAGACATCACCTTTGCCGTGCAACATGTATGCAGATTCCTCGATGATTACGGCCATGTCCACTGGGAAGTCGCCAAGCGCGTCGTTCGCTACCTAAAGGGCACTCGAGACTTAAAACTTATTCTAGGAGGCCAGCACTCAGCACGTCTTTCAGGTCATACTGACAGTGACTTTGCTAACTGCATCGATACATACACGACATTCCATTGGCGGTTACTGCTTTTCCCTCGGCAGCGGCCTTGTTTCATGATGCACACGTCAGCAAAAGACCGTTTCCTTGTCTACAAGTGAAGCCGAATTCATCGTAGCCTGCGAAGCCACCCAAGAGGTCATTTGGTCACATGCACTCTTGCTTGGCCTTGGATACAAACAGGACTCACCTCTCCCTTACTCTGCGACAACAACGGCAGCATCATACTCTCTGAGGACCCATCATTCCATGCTCGTGTGAAACATATTGATATCAAATATCACTACATTCACGACCCGCGTGCATGACAAACACGTCCGTCGCCACTACGTCCAATCTAAGAGCAACATCGCCGATATATTCACTACAGTACTTCCCAAGAAAGACTTCCATCGCCTGCGCGACGCTTTAGGCTTACGGGGATGACTCCAGACGAGGAGAGATTTGGTTCGCGTCGAGGAGTGTTGGTGCTTAGATGCCGACGCGAATGTGGAGCTCAAACGTTTGGAACGCTGTAGCACTATATATAACTGGACTCTCGTTAAATTAGGCCCTCTTTCCTCAGTCCGTTATCTGGGGATAGAGGGTACGTCTTTTGCTTTACTTCCCGCCCGCCGTACACTAACTAGTACCTAAGTCTGACTTTGCGTTTAGTTCTAAAACATTCCTCTTTCTGCATGTGGTTGTCCAGGTCAAGTGGCAGCACTGTGGTTGATATTGACGTGGTGGTGGCTGATATAGTTCACGTAAAGAAACCATACAATGGCCCCAGAGTGTCCCCTCGGATTCCCAGCTATTTCGCTTTCTCGTAAGTGCACAATACTTGCAAGGACAACAATGAGATTCAGACAAAAGCTGTGTTCCTACATCTGACCTCTAGTACCAGTCTAGCTACAGTATCCCGAATTTCCTTTCAATACTTCAAATTCTAGCTTTATGACCGCAACATCCCCTCCAATGTGGTTCACCGTGCTACTCATGTCCTGCATGAGAGTACAAGTACGACTGCTATTGTCCTCATCATGGGCCAATTTGTAGGTGGCATCCAATGTGGCTCCCCGCGCCAACACTTTTTCTATCATGTCAGAGACATCGGATTTCAGGCTTGAGATGAGTCTAGACCTTACTCAATGTTCCTGACACTTGTGCCTCGGTACGTTCCCCCTACGTAAAGACACTGAGCGGCCGCTCAGTGCTCACCCTGAAGTCTGAACCGTTCAGGGTCACCATTGAGTATGTACCATAGAGACGAGTCACGGGCGAGCATCCCAAAATCGCCTTGCACTAGTAGATGTCTGCTATTGTGCGCAAATTTCCAATTTTAAATGCATCCTCTACGATCCTCGCCATTTCATGAGTCATGAGTGGCGGACTTCTCGTTCTCCTTCCCATGAATCAACCAGCAAATATCAAACTGAACTTCTATTGCTATTATATACAACGAGACTGCACTGCTTTCCGAACGTTTCCTGACCCCTTGAATAAGACCTTACGCACCATCCTTGACGGCGAGCCAAGCAGGCCTGTTAGAGATGTCCTTCCACCACCTGCGCGTCAAACGATTAAATCATATCCACGACAGCTGGCCTCATAGCTCTCACCTAGCAAGGTTGGGCCTGCTGTCAAACACCTCAGCAAACCCATTTGTGTAGAACGCAGTGCCATAAGGCAGATGGGTCAAATCAGCGAGCGTGAGAAACTAAGTAGCCCTGTTAGTTCATAGCCAGAGAAGACGTCGAGGAATAAATCAGACGCACATCACCAGCAAGGTACTTTTGTTTGCTGAGGATCACTTCATACACATCCAACTTCTCCTGGAGGGTCTTCAACGCCTCGCCAACACGTTCCTCATTTGGTTGCAGACCAAAGCGCCTTGAGAAATCGTCTGAGCTACGTTGGAACAAAGAAGGGAACCACTCACGGCTTGAACACTTTTTCGAAGACAATTGGCTGTACGGAGTTGGTGAAGTTGAACACCTCGATCGAAGCTGCTTGTTCAAACAGGGCCTGAGCCTTGGGGTCGCTGGGAATCAAGGGGGTGCCCTGGTTGGGGTATTTCTTGATGAGGTATCTTGCGATCGCGCGAGACTCGTATAGAATAAAACCGTCGTCATCCTTTGAGGGCGTAAATCAGCGAACGACATCATGAGACCTAGTCACAAGTCGACTCACGATGTATGGGACCTGTCCGAATGGCTGGATTGCCGTGAAAGATGCGGCCTTTTGTTCACCTTTGGCCAAGTTGACCTGGATCAACTCATATGGGATATTCTTTTCCTTGCAGATGAGAGCGACGAGGCGCGTGCATGTGGAAGTGGGAGAGCCATATAACTTGACCATCTTGTGAGATTACTGGGAATGAGGATGATATGCGAGTTGATGAGGGAGTTCCATGAGCGCATGAATTATTTATACCCATGGCTCCTGTGGGGCTCTGCATGAATATTTAGGTGGATGATGAATCGATGACGATAAAATATCACGCATGCTGAGTAAAGTGCTGATATTTACCTTCGTACTCGGAAAGGCTATTAATGTTACTAGTACTTAAATGGAGGTCTCGAAGAGCGTAAAAGTACTAGCTACTTACCATGGCGGCACAATCTTGATGTGGGTAACTATGGATCAGTGGGCTATGCGGGGCTTCGAAAGTAGGTTAAAATTATTTGGTGAGGAAATAGAAGAGCAATCCAAATTCTGGACTTGGATGCTGCCAGTGCGAGTCCTCCGAGCTGGTTATTGGGCGACACTTGTATGAGTACTAGTCCTGCTTGGTATCGCGAGCCATAACCTTGGTGGTTTCCGCTTAATCCGAGAAAGGTGCTTTGCTTTGCCGTGCCAACGTACAGACGATTGCTAGTAGTACTGCCATCAATATATTGGTGAGCAATATGGCATGCGCAGTACTTACTAGTGCAAGTTACGTCGGAAGTGTAGTAATTGGACTTGGCCAAAAGTCTGGAGCGCAATGATTGAATCAGCAAGTCCGGCAGAGTCTCACTTTAAACACCGCTCAATGACAAAACAACCTTGCGATCAGCGGCCTGCCATCGGAATCGGAATATTACTGTACTGTATTCATACACCTTATGATCATGCCATCCGCTGTCCTTCTCACTCATATTTCCATCTGCCCCCTTCTTGTGTTTCCCACCCTCCCCACTCCTCTTCCTGCATGTAATGATGTAATTGTCCAAGTCAAGTGGCAGCACTGTGGTTGATATTGACGTGGTGGTGGCTGATAACTTGTAGGTAGCATCTACTGTGGCTCCCCACGCCAACGCTTTTTCTGTCATGTCAGAGACTCCATCGGATTTCAGGACTCCTATTTTGGCCTCTATGCGCCTGGCAGTGTCGTCATTATCCTGGTGATTATTTTCGCAGGGTCAACATCATCGCAACGATGCAACAGACTGCCATCTATCGCAATCAGAGTAGTGACCTCGCTGAGGGAGCGCATGGAGCCGTGTATGCTGCTAGTGTATGCTGTTGCGGTTTGGCATCAGTACAACTGTATAGTAACGAAGGAAAAGATACGAATAAGATGCATGTTGAAACGTTGACTAGTGTATGACTTGGTGTATCAAGTATTGATATCGCGCAGATTTCTCTTCAACTCAGAGAAGGTCTTCACTTGAATCGAGAGGTCCAGTCATTGCCGCTTACGTTGCGTTGATGACACATATTTGATCATTGGAATATTGGTGCATACTTGATATACTAATATTTTCGCGACCTATTTCATGCCCAACACCATCCTTCCCCTCGGTTTGCTCGATTTTAGCCTTGCTCATGTCCGATCAGTAAAATGGGCATGTTGTTCACGGAACTTCCACCAGGCGGTTGCCCTTGCACCGTCTCCTGCGCCATCTTTCGAGCCCGCTGAGGAAAAGAATGCGTTTTCTAGGTGAGTTGTCATTCTGTATCAGTTATCAACGCTTATGCAACACAGGCGACGCGGACGCCGCAGAACACCAAGCACTCACTCTGGAAATTTGACCGCGTTCAAGTTGCCCAAAAGTTTTACGGCCCCAATGTCCGAGCTCGAAAGGAGAGTTCTTGCGTTGCAAAATACGCAAGCGCCATCGGATGTCGTGCACTCTCAGTCGGTAGGCCCTCGCTTTGAATCTAACCATTCATGTACGCTTTCTGACGTGAGCCTATGTTTGTTCAGTTGGAAGCAACCCCGGAGTCAGAGGCAGCGCTTTTCCCTCGTTACACGGACGAGGAGTTATTCTCAATGTTTGAAGACTTACTCGACACACCGCTTACTCAACAGGCCGTAGAAGTTACAAAACCCTGTGAAGAAGATGGCATCGTGATTGGAGTGAGAGAACGGGTCCGTGCTTATGTGCGTATTCTTAATTTCAAAAAGATGGGGTCAAACATCTTACAGGCCTTATAGATGCGCGATGGAGACTTGGGCAGTGCAGAAAGTGCAATAGAATCTTCGAAGGTTAGCATCATAATATCATCTCGCTTCAGACGTTCACGAACAGCTCAGCTTTCCGGTGTTACACTACCCGAAGACATCGTGAATATCGTGCTCGGATATCACGCGTTGCATGGAAATACAGAACGATTTGAAGGATTCATGGCAAATATTTTAACCGGTTCGTATTCGATACATGTACTTGCAATTGTCAATTAACTATATCTATGCATAGGCAAACCTTCTGAAACTCAACGAGATCTGCATATCAAGTCGTACCTTCGTGACCCGGCTGTCTTTGCATCGCGCGCATTTCCCACTCGTGCTATCGACCTTCTGCACAAGTATGAAGCTTCTGGGCTCTATGCCCCCATGAAATCCTATTCACGTATTATATCCTCCCTATTCTCTGTCCGTCCCTCTCCTTCACCTCCTTCGATATGCTCAACACCGGACGTACCATTAGGAAGACTGGCCGCGAATTCACAAGCTTGGGACCTTTTCGCGCACATGCGCTATGTTGCGCACCCGACCCCAGATGCTCATCTCTACGCGTTGATGATCCGCGCGTGTGCTTCAGCACCCTCATCTCCCGAACCCGAGCGTGCCCTGGACCTGTGGACTGAGATGCTGGACGCGGGAATTGTGCCGACCGAAGGGGCATACGACGCAGTGATCCGTGCTTGTGCGAAGGCTGGAGGAGAATGGGTTTCTGAGGCCATCAGGTTTGCGCGGCAAATGCGCGACCGCTTTGGACGCGGTTCTTCTGAAGTTGGTGGTGGGGACCTTGAAGGGGTTGGCGGGCCACGTACTTGGACGGCTCTGCTGGACGGCTGTAAGCGTGTGGGTGATTTGGGGCGTGCTAGGTGGATCCTGGCAGAAGCTGTGAGAGCTGAAGGTCTAACCGAGGAGATGATGCAGCACATGTTCCACGCTTATGCCGCGTATAAACCCCCTTTCAAAAGGGGCGCAACCAGGATCGTGAACGACGGGGCGGTTGTGGCACCAGCTTCAAATCAAGAGGGACCGCTAGCGAGCGCTGCTGAGTGCTTATCAGACTTACCTTCAGAATCTGCGGGTGTTTCTTCCGATTCCGATGCAGTTCCGAACGATTTGGCTCGTATGGCTACAATGCCTTCATTTTCACACCTCCCACCCCAATCACCAGGCGAGGTCGTCGCAGAGGCCACGGCTCTCTTCGATAGAATCCTTCAAGATACTAACCCTACCTCTCGTTCATCCTCAAACACGCCTCCCGACCCTCTCGCTGGAAGGTTCAACGTCAGACTCACACCACGCCTCTTCAATGCGTACATATCCGTGTATTACTCACATGCGAGTCTCGAAAGTGCGCGCGATGTATTCGAGAGGCTGTTTTCATCTTTTGGGGTTGACCTTATGGGTGATTCGCGCGCTTATGTCGATGCCCTCGAGAGGTGTGCACTTTCAAGATCGCATGAACGTGATCTTGCAGGAAAATGGGTGGATGAGCTATGGGCGCGTTGGGAAGAGCTTGAGCGCGAGTGGGCCAATGGGGCCACGGAGACTACAGTAACTGCCAGGCTAGTCGAGAGAGCGCACACTGCTGTCAGAAGAGTTCATTCCTTGTCAGTCTTTTATTTTCCAACATCTATAGTCATACTAATGCCTTCGTCTAGAAATGGTGATGTCGACCGTGCAATTACACTGCTCCGCACATTTATGTCGCGGTATCCTCCAACCGCGCTGCTGCCTCCGGCCCGCAATCCATCGTCTGGTGATGTAGATACTCCCAGCATGAAAAAACGTACGATCACCCTCTTCGCAAAACCACCCATCCTCTCGACACGAACGGTTCTCAATAATTCATCCGCTACGCCTCGTCCCCTCGTGCGCCTCACATCAGCCATCGGCCCACCTGACGAGCGTGTACCGCCTTTGCTGAGTTTCGCGGATGTGGAGTTGCTGCATGCCCGATTAGTAGAGCAGGGTAGGGGTAAGGAAGTGGGGTTTCTGAAGTGGGCGTGTAAGGCGTATGAGGGAGCGCTGAGAACTCGTAGGGAAGCTGTGCTTGGAGCACGGGTTCCGGGGGGAGAGGATGTCCGATGAGAGGCGAGTATCGTCCATATTATATTCAAGTAAGATAGTTACAGTTGTTGCTTTTACACGACGCCATCGCACTGCTCTTCCTTAATCATACTAGCTTTCACTAGGACGAGTGGTCCGAAAACATCGATTGGGATACATCTGCGACTGAAGTTTTATTGGTATTACATACGACATTCCTCTGCTCTGCTTTCCAAAAGTATCCTACAAATCAAATTGTTGAACTACGGCTCATGCGCTTATGCACCATCCTTGACGGCAAGCCAAGCAGGCCTGCTAGAGATATCCTTCCACCACCTGTGCATTAAACGATTAAATCATATCCACGACAGCTGGCATGATAGCTCTTACCTAGAAAGGCTAGGCCTGCTGTCAAACACCTCAGCAAAGCTACCTCCGAGTCCGTAAAACGCAGTGCCATACGGCAGGTGGCACAAATCAGCGATCGTGACAGACTAGATAGCCAGTAGATACCGTTAGTTCATAGCCAGAGTAGATGTCAAGAGGTAAATCAGACGCACGTCACCAGCAAGGTACTTCTGTTTGCTGAGGATCACCTCATACGCATCCATCTTGCTCTGGAGGCTCGCCAACAGCTCGCTGACACGTTCCTCGTCCGGTTGCAGACCACGGCGCCTTGAGAGATCGTCTCAGCTATGTCGGATCAAGAAAGAGAACTACTCACGGCTTGAACACCTTTTCGCCGACGATGGGCCCGACGATAACGCTGAAGTTGAATGTCTCGATCGAAGCTGCTTGTTCGAACAGAGCCTCTGCCTTGGGATCGCTAGGAATCAAGGAGGTGCCTTGGTTGGGGTATTTCTTGCTAAGGTATCTCGCGATCGCGCGCGACTCGTATAGAATGAAGCCGTCGTCATCCTTTGAAGGCGCAAATTAGCGGATGGGGTAGATCTGGTCACGATTTGGCTCACGATGTATGGAACCTGTCCGAATGGCTGGATCGCAGTGTGCGATGCGGCCTTCTGTTCGCCTTTGGACAAGTTGACCGAGGTCAACTCGTATGGGATGTTCTTTTCCTTGCAGATGAGGGCAACGAGGCGGGTGCATGTGGAACCGGAGAAACCGTACAACTTGACCATTTTGTGAGATTAGAGGGTGGGGATGATGATGATGGTATGTGATGGTGGATATCGATGAACGCATGAATATTTATACGTACGGTCTAGATATGTTTGCAAATTATTACGATAAGATCACATGGTGCTGGCGCTGCTGATCGATTCGATGATCTTCTAAGCTAATTCAGGAAAGGGTTCATCATGATTAGGTCTTGCCTTTACAAAGCTCATCAAAGCTTAATGGGAAGGAGCTAGCTGAATGTTGATCAGGCCTAGGCCCGAGTGACTGCGTATCAGTACGGCGCTGGCAAACAAAGCAGCAGGGGACATTCAGGATAGCGATCTTGGATGTAGAAGCTTGTTCGTTGTTGTGGGGATCGCCGGCATTCCGCGCTTCTACGTAGGACCTAGAAGTTTCAAGTCGAGGTGGCTCTGACTAATTACCAATAGTCAGTGAACTAGTGACCATCCACGGAGATTTCAGGCCAAGATTGATTATTGAGCATCCTTGTGACCTTGATGGTGACCATGTGATCATGAAACCGAATCAACCAACTCAGTACTTGATGCAGATGCTCCAGACTCACTAGCACTTATCGATCCACGGCCTTCCACGGGAGACTCTTAAGGTATACGCGTATCCCCTCCCCCACTGTACCCCAACTATACTGCTCTTCGAATTCGAATTCGATACCGCGAGACGTCTATCAGCCTCAATTGTCAGGATAGCTCAGGCAGCGCCTCGTCAATGGATGCCATCAATTTTGCGGGAAACGATCGATGATGTATATGATTTGACGATGATCTGTGTCAGTAGTCCTAGTGGTACGACTCTGAAGACAAATATCACGTGCACTTTTCGAACGGTCCGTGCCGTCCGCTTGGTTGGAATTGAACACCCTCACGCATTCCTAACTCTTTCCGAGCCTCCAAGTTCTTCGATTAACTTTTAAGCTGTTGCAACGCGACGTTATATCTGCTGTGTAGAATTCGGGGCTAGTGACGTGGAATAAAAACGCAATTAATGTTGAAGTGTATGTTGTTCCCGCCTGATTTATCATGCTTAACTTCTCTAGCCATTCCTGCGATATCTCTTTCAGTTTCAGGGTTGGACCTTCGAAGGCTGCTTGCCGCTGTTCGTACCCTGCGTAAGCCTCTCTAACAACCTAATCGATACGAGGGCGGCCACGTTGAACATCATTCTCGTCATCTCGACTCATTTCAGCATGTCAGAAGCATATGCCGTGAATATGACTATTGTGACCATGGTCAGACTCAGACCTATTGTTTATGCGAGTGACATAACACCGATGTTTCCCCTAGCTGTGGATAGAAAAGGCATGCATCCTCGCCGAGCAGCCTCCCTTCGAGGCCGTTATGGGAATCTTCGGTGTCCCATTATTATGCGGGGCTTTGTTCTCTTATTTTCGCACTGTGAAGTCATCCCTCGTCACATTTCCTTCTGTTATTATTCCATTAAGCGATATCTTCGATAACCAAGCTGCTTCGCTGGATGGCACCACCGGCAACTTCGATGGTTATGGCGCCACATATGCAGCAGAGTACCTACCTGAGGGCCCGTGGTTGTATAATGGAATCTCAGTGAGGATCACGATGACGTTTCGTCTATTCACTCAGCGATCTTCAGTATGACCTGCCATCGACTTGGGGACAAAGCCAAGACAATGTCGTTGCTGGAGGCCAAGTTGTGAAGCTCTCGAATGCAACTTATGTTCACGAGTTGCATATCATATATGCAGGGGATAGTTCGGGTAGTAAGCGCAGTCAGCTACTATCCGCATCCTCTAACGTGTCGACTTGAATTCGTAGGCGGATTAAGTGGAACGTTCAGCCTGAACTACGCGGATCATTCAATCAAGTACTTGCAATGTTAGTCTCCATTGAATCCTGCACGGACTCTGCCAGCTCATGGACAGCATTTAGTCACTGGACAAGGCTGGTTGAATATAAATGGGGGAGCAATTCGAACGTAAAACGTGCATTGTCTTTGCTAACTCATACTGACCTTTGACCCATATCAGACCATACCATTTCGAAGAATATTCATCCAATAAGAATTGGAACTCTACCCAAATCTTCCAATTATCGCTATCCGTACCGTCTCGTACACCGCTTGAAAGCATCGCGCTCCCAGAAATGTCTTCTACCTCGAACAGACTCCATATATTTGCGCTTTCTATGACACCTTCTTTTAAACCTGCCAGTGGTCTTCTGGTGCCTCAGCTCTCTATCCGTAGTGCCCAATTCAGCACGAGGTGGGAAGACATCAATGGGCAGCGAGCTCAAGCCGTCGCCATCACCCTTGCGAATCTGCTCTCAGGGAGTTACTCTACCTCCCCGAACGCATCCATAAACTCGCGGTACGAGATCTCAGTGACAGGCGAGGGGGTCTCCACGGTCACACCTGGCCTCGTGTATCGCCTGGTCCCCGCAGACCAGGCTCGTGTAGATGTCTTTGTTCTCAACGATGGCGGGACAGGAAATGCAACAGTCACGATCAAAGATGAATTTGGGAATGTTGTTGGGACTTCCGCGGGTTGGCCCATCGTCCCGCTGCGGACAGAATGGACAGCAGACGCTGATGTACTGGCCACACATGAGACGCCCACTTGGTGGAATCAGGCCAAGTATGGAATCTTGTAAGTACCAGATAATTCCTGAGGATTACATGGGCTCATGTATTCGCAGCATTCATTGGGGCATCTATAGCGTCCCTGCTTGGGTAGGTATGTTTGTGCTGTCTGTGACGCTCACATTGGTTGATGCATTTCAGATAGGGTCCGCCTGGTTCATATGCGGAGTGGTATGAGTAAGGAGGTTTTCCATCATATGCGAGCCATCCTGACACAGGAACAGCTGGAGCCTTCATAATCCTCCGAACTCCAGCTCGCCGACATGGGTACATCACCTGGACACTTATGGGAAGGTAGCTATAGTGAACTTTCAGTCAGTAAATATTAACGTTCATGCTTGTGCACTGCAGGATATCGTATACGATGACTTTATTGCTAACTTCACAGCGTCTACTTGGAATCCCAGAGCTTGGTTAGATCTGTTCTCTGAGGCTGGGGCGAAGTACTTTGTCATCGTTACTGTGGGAGCTGCTCTTTGTTGGTTGTCAGTCAAGTCTAACCGTGCCGCATTGCAGAAACATCACGACGGTTATGCATTATTTGATACAAAAAACACCACGCACAGAAGTAGTGTATACCTTAACCCACATCGTGACTTTGTCAAAGAGCTCATGGACACTGCCAAATCTGATTATCCCGATATTCATCGAGGCACATACTACTCACTTCCCGAATGGTAAGAGTACTGACGCCACAAGTATAGCTCCTGTTTCTAATCTACTGCAGGTTCAATCCATACTTCTCCAAGTATGGGTTTAGTTCATGGCCAGGAGGCTTGGCGCACAACGCATTCAATGCGTCTGAGCTAGAGCCTTATACTGGAATATTGAATATAAGCGACTACATCGAGGATTTGCAATACCCCCAGATGCTGTCTTTGGCGCTGGAATACGACACAGAAATCATGGTTAGCTCGTTATTAGACCGACTTCTTAGCATGCATGCACTGACGGGGGCTAGTGGTGCGACATTGGAGGCCCCAATAAGACGTTGGACTTTGCTGCACAGTTCTTTAACAAGGCGATGCAGAATGGCTATCAGGTTACCATAAATGATCGTAGGTCGTCTTTGCTGCGAACTGTCAGGCATGTCTGATGTAACACTCACTTGAGGTTGTGGTGCGGTCCCGGACTTTGACACACCAGAGTATGCGACGTTCGCTTCCCTGTCCACTCGCCACTGGGAAACGAGCGAAGGGATGGACCCGAATAGCTATGGTTTGAATTCTGCCACCAATGCGAGCGAGTACAAGAACGGAACGACCATCATTCAAACACTGATCGATAGTCGTGAGCAAGAATGGAAACTAGTGAGGAATAACATCATCACCTTGGTACTTTTTCATTCAATTCCACAGTTTGCTCGATGTCGGTCCCACTGCAGAGGGCGACATCATCGCACCGATGGCAGACAACCTCCTCGCTGCCGGCAAATGGCTCAAGTATGCAGGCGACTGCGTCTACGCAACTGTAAGTCACAAAAACTCTTTTGGCACTCCTTTTTTAGATGAAACATCAGGATTACTGGTACCAAGCGTCCCAAGATCCGACGGGATTATTTAGGTTCCTCACCACACCAAAAACATTTTGCATTATCGCGTTTAACAAGCCGAGCGATGGGAAAGTTACGGTGGATGCGGGTGGCGTGGCGCTTCCGATTCAGAAGGGAGATAGTGTTGTGCTACTGGGACCGTCAACGAATTCGCAGAGCCTTGAGTGGGACGTTGATGGATCGGGTGTCTTGACGGTTGTGGTGCCTCAGGATGAAGTCGATCAGGTAGATTATGCCTGGGCATTCCAGGTGTCATATTCTGGGTGAACGTAGGATTAATAGCAGTGAGGCTGAGTGAGCACCGATACCACCGCACATATACAATGAGTAAGCACAGTACGTACTGTCCAGCATAGGGCTTCGCCCCACCGGACAATCAACAATCTCAAAAAAAGAGGCACCAATTTGTATGATGCATATGCGTGCACTACCGGTGTAAGCGTTCATTTCACAGTTTTGCAGATGACTTGACACCCACATCCGGTGTCGTCACGGTCATCACGGGTTTCCGTTTCGGACATCTCGACATTCAATATTCAATATTCAATGTTTTTCCTCGGCAGTCCTACCTCCATCACATCCACTGAGGTATGCATTAGTCTACGGTCCACATGCTCTGGATTGTTTATCCGCCAACCTTCGGTTCTGCCTATACTCTCAGCCTCAAGTCCGCTGGAAAGCGCACCCATTCTGATACAAGTGCCAAGCTTACTTTCCAAACGTTTTTTCTGATAGGATATAAGAGTAAGGCCACTAGCAGAATCTGTTCATCCCATATAACCTAGCACGAGCCATGCATTTCTCATTCCTCCGAGTCGTCGCAGTCGTTGCAGCTTTGACAAGATCTATGTGTGTCACCGCACAGGAATGTGCGCTCTCAGGCCAGGCTTGTGGCAGCACCAGCCAGAAAGGCCTCCCATGCTGCGTCGGTGTCTGTCCGCCTGTTGTGAGTATGAGTCGTTCGCTTTGCGACCGAAATTCAACCCCACGACTCACTGGCACCTTTGCGCCTTGTAGCAGTCCGGAACTCCTCTCGTGTACTGCGCGAAATCTTAGATGAGGTTGGCAGACTAAGCATGTCACAATAACGAGTCTTATCTCTTTCGCGTTGGCACAGTGCTTGATTGCACGACAGTTCGTCGCGGAGTTGATGGATGTACTCACTTTTATACAAATTTTCCTGAACGCCTCGACCGGACTCCCGAATAAATTACTGTAGCGTTGATAGAAGACCTCGGGCTCAGGCCTCATATCATTCAACTTGTATACAGTAAAAGTAGAAGAAAATTGGTGTCTTCAGCCGACATTCAAGTAGGTGTACGTGACATTGACGATCATTCGAAAGAAGGGGCTGGTGTCGAGGCATTGGAACAAGAACTTAAGAACAAGCCTCAGCGTCGTGAAGAGAACCAGTACTAGTGAAGTACAAATAGCGTGAAACAAGAAAGTGGATCACGTGCACCTGGACTGTCCACTATGTCAGGGTTGGACCTTCGAAGCTGCTTGCCTCATAAGCCTTTCTAACAGCGTAATCGACACGAGGGCGGCCACGTCGATTCAATGTCATTCTCGTCTTCTCGAATCATTTCAGCATGTCAGAAGCATATGCCATGAACATGATTATTGTGACCATGGTCAGACGGTATTGTTTATGCGAACGACATAACACCGATATTTTACCTAGCTGTGGATAGAAAAGCATGGATCCACGTGGATAGCACCCCTTCGAGGCCGCTATGAGAGTCTTTGGTGTGCCATTGCTGTGCGGGACTTTGTTCTCTTATTTTAGCACTGTGAAGTCATCCCTCGTCACATTTCCGTCTGTTGTTATTCCACTAAGTGGTCTCTTCGATAACCAAGCTGCTTCGCTAGACGGTATCACTGGCAACTTCGATGGGAATGGCGCCACATATGCAGCAGAGTACCTACCTGAGGGCCCTTGGTTGTATAATGGAATCCCGGTGAGGATCATGATGATGTGTTGTCTATTTACTCAGCGATTTTCAGTATGACCTGCCATTGACGTGGGGACAAAGCCAAGACAATGTCATTGCTGGAGGACAAGTTGTGAAACTCTCGAACGTAACTTATGTTCATGAGTTGCATGTCATGTATGTGTGGGATCGTTCAGATAGTAAGTGCAGTCAGCTATCTGTATCCTCTGGCACGTCGACTGTAATTTGTAGTAGGCGGATTAAGTGGAACATTCAGCCTGAACTACGCAGATCATTCAGTCAAGTACTTGCCATGTTAGTTTTCCTTGAACCCTACGCGGACTCTGCCAGCTCATGGATAGCATTTAGTTACTGGGCAAGACTGGTTGAATATCAATGGGGGAGCAATTCGAACGTAAAGCGTGCATTGTCTTTGCCAACTAATACTGACCTTTGACCCATATCAGACCATACCATTTCGAAGAATATTCATCCAATAAAAATTGGAATTCTACCCAAATCTTCCAATTATCGCTATCTGTACCATCTCGTGCGCCACTTGAAAGTATCACGCTCCCAGAAACGTCTTCTACCTCGAACAGACTCCATATATTCGCACTCTCTATGACACCTTCTTTTGAACCTACCAGTGGTCTTCTGATTCCCCAGCTCTCTGTTCGTAGTGCCCAATTCAGCACGAGGTGGGAGGACATCAACGGACAGCGAGCTCAAGCGGTCGCCATCACCCTTGCGAATCTACTCCCAGGGAGTTACGCGACCTCCTCGAACACATCCATAAACTCGCGGTACGAGATCTCAGTAGCAGGCGAGGGGGTCTCCACGGTCACATCTGGCTTCGTGTATCGCCTGGTCCCCGCAGACCAGGCTCGCGTGGACGTCTTCGTTCTCAACAACGATGGGAAGGGAAATGCGACAATCACCATCGAAGATGAATTTGGAAATGTCATTGGGACTTCCGTGGGCTGGCCCATCGTCCTGCTGCGGACCGAATGGACGGCGGAAGCTAATGTGCTGGTCACACATGAGACGCCCACTTGGTGGAGCCAGGCGAAGTATGGAATATTGTAAGTACCAGATGCATTCCCGAAGACTTAGATGATCCATGGACTCATGCATTCGCAGCATTCATTGGGGTATCTACAGCGTCCCCGCTTGGGTAAGTATGTTTCTGCTGTCGGTGACGCTCGTGTTGGTTTGATGCATTTTAGATAGGGCCCGCCTAGTTCATATGCGGAGTGGTATGAGTAAGGAGGTTCTCCATCATATGCGGGCCATTCTGACACAAGAGCAGCTGGAATCTCCGTAATCCTCCGAACTCCAACTCCCCGACGTGGGTACATCACCTAGACACTTATGGGAAGGTAACCGTAATGAGCTTTCAGTCAACATTGACGTTCATACTTGTGCACTGCAGGATGTCGTGTATGATGACTTCATTGCTAACTTCACAGCGTCTACTTGGAATCCCAGAGCTTGGTTAGATCTGTTCTCCGAGGCTGGCGCGAAGTACTTTGTCATCGTTACTGTGCGAACTGCTCTGTTAGTTCTCAAATCAAGTCTGACCGTGCCGCATTGCAGAAACATCACGACGGTTATGCACTATTTGATACAAAAAATACCACACACAGAAGTAGTGTATACCTTAACCCACATCGTGACTTTGTCAAAGAGCTCATGGACACTGCCAAATCTGATTATCCCGATATTCATCGAGGCACATACTACTCACTTCCCGAATGGTAAGAGTACTGACGCCACAAGTATAGCTCCTGTTTTTAATCTACTGCAGGTTCAATCCATACTTCTCCAAGTATGGGTTTAGTTCATGGCCAGGAGGCTTGGCGCACAACGCATTCAATGCGTCTGAGCTAGAGCCTTATACTGGAATATTGAATATAAGCGACTACATCGAGGATTTGCAATACCCCCAGATGCTGTCTTTGGCGCTGGACTATGACACAGAAATCATGGTTAGCTTGTTATTAGACCGAATTCTTAGCATGTGCTGACGGGGGCTAGTGGTGCGACGGTGGAGGCCTTAATAAGACGTTAGATTTTGCTGCACAATTTTATAACAAGGCGATGCAGAATGGTTATCAGGTCACCATGAATGATCGTAGGTCGTCTTTGCTACAAATGGTTAGGCATATCTGATACAACACACACTTAAGGTTGTGGTGCGGTCCCGGACTTTGACACACCAGAGTATGCGACGTTGGGTTCCTTGTCCACTCGCCACTGGGAGACGAACGAAGGGATGGACCCGTATAGCTACGGTTTGAATTCTGCCACCAATGCGAGCGAGTACAAGAATGGAACGACCATCATCCAAACACTGGTCGATGTCGTGAGCAAGAATGGAAACTAGTGAGGAATAGCATCATCGCCTTGGTCCTCGTTTTATTTCATTCCACAGTTTGCTCGATGTTGGTCCTAATGCGGAAGGTGACATCATTGCACCAATGGCAGATAACCTCCTCGCTGCCGGAAAATGGCTGAAGTACGCAGGCGACTGCGTCTATACAACTGTAGGTCACAAACACTCTTTTTGCACTCCTTTTTTAGATGAAACGTGTGCGCATCAGGATTATTGGTATCAAGCGTCTCAAGATCCGACGGAATCATTTAGGTTCCTCACCACACCAAAAACATTTTGCATCATCGCATTCAACAAGCCGAGGAATGGGAAAGTCACGGTGGATGCGGGTGGCGTGGCGTTTCCGATTCAGAAAGGAGATAGTGTTGTGCTGCTGGGGCCGTCAAGGAATCCGCAGAGTCTTGAGTGGAACATTGATGGATCGGGTATCTTGACCATTGTGGTGCCTCAGGATGAAGTCGATCAGGTAGATTATGCCTGGGCGTTTCAGGTGACATATTCTGGGTGAACGTAGTGATAACGGTCAAAGCGTCCACCGGTGACGTTAGTCACATCAGTATATCACGTGTTTGACAATTTAGCGCTCCGAGTCCGGATGTGAACAATTTTTTATTCCTTTGGGTCCACTTCCACCACTGTCAACCAGCCACAACCGTGTATACATATCACGCCATACAATTAATGTGTGGACAGCGCCAGTCTCATTGACCTTGCATGGTCTTTTTTATGGCCACATACGCCTTGTAAATGAGGTGCTTTATTGCGTTATCTCATTCTTCTTCATTGCCGATAGAAGTGAACTAATAATTGACGTCAATCCACTATAGCAAAACTTCCTTGTGACATCACCTATATAACATCTAGCGTACCAGCAATCTTCCAGTCCCTCAATCCCCCAATTTTCTCCTCTATCACCATGTCTGGAACGCTCGCTCTGACGGAAACACCAATCAAAGGTTACGCCCACTACTACACGTCTCCAGAAGCCTCCCAGCTCGCCGCAGGAGGAAAAGACATGCCTCTAAACCTATCTTTTGAAATTGCAGAAGACGATGAGGGTATTTTTATCTCAAAGGCAGCTGCGGTTTGGCAGGGTGCTATTCCTAAGAGAGCGATGGTTCCGCTTCCTGCTCGAGCACGTGCGATGCATGCAGGCACTACTAGCTATGTTCATGGTCATGCCGTCGCTCCTCCGGTCGATCCTATTTCCTGCGATGGCAATACGTCACACCACATGCAAATATGCAATGACGAAGTGGCGCAAGACGCCTCCGACGTATTTCAGAGTATCTCGGCGACACCGGGTCTTCGGTCATGGAGTTTTGAGGTACGTCGGCTTTTTTTGTCGACGTTGCTTACATCATTGATCATCTATTCGTCTAGGAACTCCGTACAGAATGCTATTCGCAATCTCGTCTTGCTACTGGCGTTGCTCCTAGAGCAGTCCCTCTTGGCGCGCCGTCCTGGATGATTATTCCCCCAGCTTTCACTCCCTACAAAGCGATGACTTAGTTTAGATGCTTCCAGTTGTGCGATAACCATGTATGGTAGTTCGATCTTGAGTGTGTAAAAGGTTATAATGTGTAGTACTATGTAGACAATATAGTTATCCATCGCTCTATTCTGTTATATATTCATGCGTAGATAACTTAACTCAACCTCCCTATCAAAGAAAGATCACGCCATCTCTTCCGCGGCGTTAGCATATGCTTCGTCTGATTGGATCCTTCTTTCGAAATACCTCCGTCCCTCATGCAGCACGAAAGACGTTGCAGCTATGAGTAAGATGGTCAAGATGTCCTCCCAACGAAGAGCATCTGTCTGGAAGATCGCTTGCATAAAGGGAACATAAATGAGCGCTAGCTGGACGAGGAATGATATCGATACGGTTGTCACGAGCATCTTGTTTTGCATCAAGCCACATCCGAGACCGCGGTTCTGCACTGCAGACACGAGGTCAAGGAAGACGAAGCACGTGAAAGTCTATTCAACACGTGAGTTGTGGCAAGTAGAATCCAAGAGTTTAAGAACCGACCATGGTTTGTTCCCGCCTCGATACAAGATCATCACCCAACGCAGTGGTATAAATAAAAGATGTTCCGCAGACAATGGTAGCAGCCGAGAAAAGGACGCGATATAACAGGCGTTTCGTTATTATTGGTTCGTTTTTCTTCCGTGGAGGTCTTCGCATGACTGCTGGATCTACTGGGTCGACACCTAACGATTGACTTGGAGGTCCTGGTACCTACTCAGACATTTGCTATTCGAGGGCGATCCAGAGAACGTACCGTCCATCAAAATATTAATAAAAAGAATCTGCATGGCGTTGAGCGGGTTACTGAACCCAAGCAAGGTACTAAGTGTAATGAGCGTCAATGCAGCAGCAGCAGTGCTGAGCTGGAAAGACAAGAAGTTTTGGATGTTGTGAAAGATCGATTTGCCTTTAGAACCGCTTAGTTAGTTACGCGACCATGATTTAAAGAACAGATCGCTTACCTTCCTCGACAGCAGGTAATATCGTACTGAAATTGTCATCCACAAGGATAGCATCAGCGGCTTCCTTCGCAACGTCGGTACCACTTTTCCCCATCGACACACCGATGTCTGCCATTTTAAGCGCTGGCGCATCATTGACTAGCGAAACGGCCGAAGAGAAAGCAGGCAAAATTATATAAGCTTAGCCATGGCATGATATAGACAGCACTCACCCCCGTCTCCAGTCATAGCCACAACAGCTCCACGAGCTTGAAAGGCTTCGACAATTGACATTTTGTGTCGCGGTGTCGTCCGCGCGAACACGCTCACGCTGCCTACCCGCTCGATGAGCTGTGACCGGCTCATCTGGTCGAGATCCTTTCCAGTCAAGCAATATTTGCGGAGCTGGCTATCGTGAGCGTGTGTAGGACCAACGCGGAGCCCCAGCTTTTGGGCGATAGCCAAGGCTGTCTGCTCAGCATCCCCGGTGATCATAACAACTTGTACCCCGCCGTTCTGGAGCAAGCCGATAGCATCTGCGACTCCCTTACGTGGGGGATCAAACATGGCCTGAAACCCAACAAAGACTAGATTGGTCTTGTCCTCATCAGGCACTGGGGTCCGCGACACCGAGTGGGCGGCACGGTGCTGCGGTTGTGTAGAATCCTGACGTGGAGAATCGACAGATCCGTATCCATACGCCATGGCAATTACTCGAAGGCCCCGCGATGCTGTTGCTTGAGCGTTGTTCAGTATGACGTTGCGCGTGTTAGCGTCTAAGGTAGGTGTTGAGCCGTCCGTAATAAAGTAGTACTTGCAACGATCCAAGATGGCGTCAATGGATCCCTTGACGTAGTACATTTCGCTAGGAGAACCTGAATAGATAGTTGTGGAGTAGGAGTGAACACCGCTGACGGCCATGTACTTTTGTTCCGAGTTGAATGGTTTTTCCGAAAGGCGGGTGAAGGACTTAAACCGATTTCAGTATAAAACACTGACGACGCCGTTGCTGTAAACCTACCTGTCGTTGATCTGGCATATCGAATGAAGACAGAACATTCATCAACGCCACGTCGGTCGATTGTCCAACGTATTTGCCCTCGCCATCCTTGGACATCGAAGAATTGTTGCACAAAGAGCCGATTTCCAGAAGCTTCCTAACTGCTGTAGATATTGTTGGCCGAGGGTCATCAACATGAATATTCTCATCAACGACATATATCTCTGTGACTGTTTGTTCATTCTTTGTCAAGGTGCCTGTAACATCAATTGTAACAAAAGATAAGGATAATGCAGTTATTGACTGACCGGTCTTGTCAGAGCAAATGACAGAAATACAGCCCAGGGCTTCGACAGAATGAAGTTTTTTTACGATGGCCTTTCTCTTCGACATCCTCAACACGCCAAGAGCTAATGTGACAGTCGTGACGATAGGGAGGCCCTCTGGAATAGCTGCTACCGCAAGAGATACTGCATGCAAAGTTAAACGAGCAAAGGTGTCGTCAATGGAATCAACTACCTCCAATGGTAAACATGTCCAGCCAGGGCCGTTGCTGCCACATGCCGATGAGGCAAATGACCCCAATAATGCCGAAGGATAAAATCGACAACTTCTTGGCTAGCTCATCCATGCTTAATTGAAGAGGTGTACGTTTTTCCTCGACCTGTTTGGAACTAAGTATGTTCATAATCAAAAGCTCAAAAGACACCTACATCTTGCATCATGGAAAAGATCACACCAAACTCTGTTTGAGTACCAGTCGCGATCACGACACCCATGCCACGACCTTAAGGTAGTGTGGGGTTTAAGCACACGAATCCCACTCTTAGTATTCACTCACCGTTCCGAACCAAAGTTCCCATGTATCCAATGCATGACCGTTCAGCTAACGCGATATCTCCCAAGTCCTCTGGGCTACCCGAAGCAGTTGTGGACGTAGAAACTTGAGAGACGCAAGGATCTGAATCCTTTCGACGTGCATTGGTCTCACCAGTGAGACTACTCTCGTCAATTTCGAGGTCTACTGCCTTGATGATACGCATGTCCGCGGGAACACGGTCTCCCGATGAGAGCGCAACAATATCCCCGGGAACCAGCTCATTGGCCAGAATGTGAATATCACATTGATCACTGTGAACATTTGTAAACGTTGAGATAATAGAGTATTTGACAGAATATTTGTGCCGCACCGAATCACGTGGCAGTGGTGTGGCACGAGCTTGTTAAGCGCTTCCAGGCTTTTTTCCGAGCGCTGTTCCTGCACAAAGCCAACTAGAGAAAATGAGATACTTCCATTATATTCTGCAGATGCTCACCAGTCAATACTATTAGCACTGCCACCGTGATACTGACTGCATCATCGACGTTTCCCATGACCGCACTAATCACAGCGCTGCCACATAGGAGTAGGATGAGCGGGCTCTCGTAAATGGTCTTAGCAAACTTGAGTAGAGCTGGCTCAGGCATGGATACGGAGAATTCATTGTATCCATGGACATCTTGCAGCGCTAGAATTGACGAACTAGGAAGACCAGAGACTGCTGACGTTTTGAAGTGTGCTAGAGTGTCCTAAAAAGGCAATTTGTGTCAGTACATTGATACCCGACACCGGAGCCGCCGCCCGTTTCGAGAAATCCTTTTAGGGGATTACGAGAAGATAAAAATAGCGTGATCAGAAATCTACCCTTCCATCCTGGATTTCTAGAAACATTGTGGACACAGTGGAGGCAGTGCGGGACACGCACACAAGATGAGCAAATTTTGAAAGGAAAATACTCGCCTCAATTGTCCAATGAGCAAAACGTGCAGAAGGAGTGTCCCTTTTGTCTCGATCCTCTCGAAGTCTCGAGTGCTGGCTGACCCGCTCTCCCAGCTCATAACGTGTTTCCGCAGCACTATCCGAGAGTTGGCGTCCAAGGACACCCTTTACCTTTTGCCAGAGTGATGGTAGTCCCTCGCTAGAAGTAATGCCACTGAAATCCGGATGAAGAATAGGGCCTTCAAGATGATGTCTCCTAAGGGTTGTGCTATACGCAAAGTGGGTAGCAGCACCTGGTGTAGGTTGTGGTTCACCACTCTGTATAGTGGACACAGACGGGAAATAGCTCGAAGCGGGGGGAGAAGGGCTTCGTTGGTGTGGATATGAGTATGCCTGGGGTGCTGGAGCAGACGAGACCGGTAATATTGAATGAGCAGATGTAGACACGACGGAGGACTCCGGAATGACAGAAAGCTCGCTGGCGGTTCGCGCTGGAGCTGGAGGTAGCCATTAGGGATGAGCGTTTGCCCAGTGCACCTGAGAGACTGCCGTGACGGCGTGATTTGGACATCTTGCTCGTTAGCACGAGAAATATCCTTTCTGTCAGTGTTTGGCGCGCGCAACGTGCTTCCGAAGATCTGCAAGCTTTGTAACTCGGCCGTGTGACTTAATAGACAGGATCCCGGCATGAGCAAAAGGAGAATAATTTTCGCTTATCAGAAATAAGTTTGATGCTTACAGTGAGCTTACGGCGTTGATGATGGGGCAACACTATTGGTGGAACAGACAGGACAATGTAAACCAAGACGAGAAGTGTCCTGAGCTACACCAAATATGGCCTGGGTTTTGACTTGTAGATGCCGGCGGCCACGTGTTTCCTTTTTGGGTTGCTTCAGAATTAAACAAACGCCCGATCGACCAAGCATGCACGGGCATGTTTACAAGGGCTCTTGGTTCGTTCAAAGGAAGGGAGTGCTTGGCCACAATATTTTCATTAATATCAACATTTACCGGAATTAATTCAAACCACTCCGTTCGGGCCCACCAAGCGTCAGATCGTGATCAAGGAGCAGGGCCGCACTGGACTGGGCAAGTCACCGGGTCAACCGATAACCTGCCCACCACCTTGGAACCATCTTGATTCTTGAGACCATATACGACAGCCACCAGTACGGCATAACATCTTGAGATGGTCGAGATCCCACACGACCATAGCCCAGTCTATGACCCAATCATATCGCTTCTCTTCGTCTTCCCTGCCACGGCAAGCGAGCGCCAATCACCCAAGACTTGCTCTGGCATTCCGAGTCGGGTCACAATATTGACCTCACTCACCCATCACAGGAGCCGGCCAATCAGACACGCACTTCGATTCACGGGTCAGCAACTCGTGCTCGAACATAGTATCTGGAAGATTTGTTCAGAAGAACACCGATAACCTCAGTGAGTACGTATACAAAGAACAACTTCGATAAAATTGTGCTAGAATCAGGGAAGAGGTGTGTTCTATGTGAAATAACATGATACACCATTGACACAGATGCAGGCCTTGTGAGTTCATCGTTTACGTTTGGAGTGTGTACCAGGACACGTAAGTTCATGCTTCGTCTTCGCGTACTTGCGCGTGAATTCTCTTTCACAGCGAGTGCATATAGCCCTGACTTTGCGGAGATGAATGTTGTCCACATGGCGAGTGTGGCTATCTTTCTTGAGAATACTTGAGCATCCGGGCCACGTACACTTCACTTTCTCCTGACCGCCGAGCACGATGGAGAGACACAAATGTGGGATAACGTCTGGCTGAAAAACTGGATGTGGTCAGCCTCTCTGTGGCATGCCCATCTGCGAATGACTGGAAGGGCGGTACGATGTGGTTCATGGAACCGGCGACCATTAGATCTGGGCGTCGTATATGGTAAACGCTTGAAGTGAAAGACTGCGGAAATAGCGAATTCTACCTGGGGAAAGTTGTCCAACAGGAGGATCTGCCATGACATTGACGACCCCGACAGATTCTTGCAACAGAGGACCGTACTCTTGGGGTGTTGCCAACGACGGCGAAATAGTATCGGAATCATTGTCTGCTGCAGCATGAAGCCAGGCACTATAGATGACTTGCAAGTTCATGATGTTATCCATGTTAAATTTCGCGGGTAATGACGTGAGCGCAAAGAATCAGTGAAGTAGATGATGCTTAGCTGCGTGGGTCTGCGTCATATCATAAGTTAAGGGCTCTTTTATCTTGAGGATTGACTATCAAAGAATATGAGTTTGTCTGATATGCATACTAGTACACGCGAACTTTGTTTCAAAAGATCCAAGTTCGGAGCTGGACTTCCTACCCTCACACAGCTCGTTATAGATATCAGACTATTACCCCGATGATGCATCAACGTTCACCGAACGTTCTGTGGTGGGGTGGCACTCTGGCGTTACCTGCTATCTAAAAATGTATTCATCGCGCGGCACGGGTGTGCGGGTCTGAGTCACCCGGTCACCGTGACGGTGAGGCGGTAGTGTGTAACCAATTCTAGAATCGACACCCACACCAACCCGTCATACGCGGAATATGTGGATGCGCCACGGGCACTTGCCAAGAATTCCGTTGACTGATGTCCATGCGAAGGGATTGCCGATGGCGGACGGCAAACTAAGAGATCTGGTTTGGGTTGGTGAGGCAGGTACCGAACCGCCGCGTGCCAACTCAGGTCTCTGCCGCCGACTCCGAGTCATGTGTCTTGGCTTGTAGACTGGGTAGCGCTCGCCGCTCGGAGACTGTATCCTACTATCGCGGTGCGCAGAATTAAAAAAACCCGTTCATGTTACTTCGGAGCTTGTTTGGTATGGAAGTGACGAGTTCGTGTGCGAACTTTTCCAAGCGAAGGAAATGAAGACAGGCGAGGACGCAGGTTACTCTTAGAAGGGATCGTCTTCATTCTTCTATAAAGGTCCGTATAGGGGAAACTAAGGTTACTCCGACGATGGGCACAAAGCAAACGTCGAGTAGCGCGTTCTGAAGTACGGATGCATGTGGTGGACATTTGAAAATAGATGATGCCGACAACTTGAAGCTCTTGCAATCGAGTGGTCGAACGATCGAAGGTATAAAACATGGTCTTCAAGGTCGACAATAATACACTGGTGGCGTATTGATTGAATGTGTTCGATGCTGGAGCGAGCGACGACTGGAAGTTGTGCTGCTAGTAGTACCATTAATCGGCCTCAAGTACGCGTGATCTGAAGGAGTGATATTGTAAAGGGGCAAGAACCTTTTGCGATGTGCATGTCTTGTTCCAGGAGAACACGAGAGAAAATTATTTCGTTTGTTTCAGGGACGTTTGAGTTGCATTCGAGCGAACTTGAAGTCGATGGTTCGTTGCTGCATTTATAAAGAATTATTTACAGGTATGACTCAGTAAGGCAAATGTAGAAATAACGTTAATATTACTTTGTTATCATACTAGAATACTAGTATGCAAATCTGTCTATTAGAGAGAAAGTCAAGGGAGAGTCGGGTTCAGGCATGTATATGACCGGTAACCGGTGAACGTTTGAACGTTAACCCACGACTACAACACATGTATCGAATCACAAATACTTATCAACGCTGTCCATGTAGCATAAAATTATCGTTCGCTTCAGATATGTCCGCATTAAATTAATTGATGTGATAACTCGACCCCTTGACAAACGTTCACTTCCTGCGCTTCTGGACCTCTTTCAACCGTCGCAACACCATGCCTGCAGGATTTCACACGTTCGAAATGCCTCGCAGAGGCATCATCGCGAGATAACCTGATACAACATACCGAGCAGCACCATTTCATCTTGAGATGGGTGACGATGACATGTCGGACGACGTTCTCTCTTTTCATTATCTTTCCACAGCCATCCCAGTGGCAAGGGACCTGCCTCTGACTGTGTTCCGCGTGAGCCCTGTGCCACCTCTGTATATGCCTTGCCAATCGTATACGATCGCCCATGACGTGCATACCACATTCCTGCCCGTTGTGCGTCCAGCGACAGAGATAAGTGATAACGAGACCGCCATTGATACTCCTAGTCTCCTTGACGTCTTCTTCATCAAGGACAATCCCGTTGCAGAGCAGAGCTTTTGCGGGCCGGTCGACATAACTCGACCACGAGGCTCTGCGTTTCTGACGCGGTGATTGGGAAGCAGGTTCATAGCCAGCTGACCCCGTACCAGGAGTCTGTGGACCTATTGCAGCGGTTTCATTATGCCGAGAGACTAAACCTTGAGGTGTGCTTTCATGTCGAAGAGCCGGTGGCGTCGGTCTCGAGTGGAGTGAAGGAGATTGAAACGCAGCGCTCGCGGAGCTGCCTACAGCCTCTACTTGAGGATACCACGAGCTATTGGGTGGTACTTGCGCCGGGGATTGTGGACTTCCTTGCAGCATTGCAGTCCTGCGGTCTTCATGCAAGACTTCTAATGAATGGAAGGTCCCACTATGGACCGGTCCATGCACAGGCCACATGAAAGAGCTGCTAGCTACCATGTGGGAAAGAGGTGAATGAATTGGTTGATATGAATTGTGAGCAGATGTCTCGAGTTCCGGAGGTAGAGTTGCAGAGGCACTGGTCAACCAGGCACCGTCAGTAGTCTGAGAAACCGTGATTGTTGACACCACATTGCCAGGGGAAGTCACTGGCAAGCTATCATCATTGTGCCTCGATGCGTCATAATCAATGAATGGGTCGCCCTGAAAATTCTGATGGCTTCTCGCGAGAAAAGGATCATCAGATGGTATTATCCCAGTTCCACTGTTTTGTTCATGAGAGACGCATAAACAAAGAGGAATCCTTCTACTCACGGTGCAGTAGCCTCATTTGTGTAGGACAAGGTGGGGCTAAACAACAGTAACAGTGATCAGCTGGGGAACTAGCCAAACAGCAAAGAGACCTAGCGTACAATGACCATGGTGGTCCAACACTGAAAATGGGCGAAGATCTTGGAGGAGTCAGAGACGTTGTTTCCTGCCTGGGTAAGAAATTAAAGGGTTTCCGACCGCTGTCACGATGCATGATGAGCAACTCAAGGAGATGATAAATAACTAGGCAATGAAGACGTACTAGGAATCAGAGAAAGGTCCCTCTTTGAAAGACATGGGAGTAGAAGCGTAGCCTTGGTTTTCAAAATACCGCTAATAAGGAGTACTTGTGAGCCAGCATGAGCCAAAGCGGCAAAGAAGGAGCGCTTTATACTTGTAAGGATGTGGTTTCTAGGCCACACTCTGCAATGTGTGAAATGTCAAAAAAGCACTATTTGGTCCATTGTGTATATACTTTCACTTCCTGTACGGAAATGGAGGTTCATGTATTATGTTTCCACTAGTAGTGCGGCCATTTGACAAACACTCGGGCGGTCCTGTTGTAAAGATATGAATCGACTTTCAATAAAATGGAGCTGTAACCAATGTAATCCGTAGTGCGCCTGCGAGCGATCGGTGTATAAAGTTTGTTCATGGTGAATAGAAAAATGTGACGCACAGGAGGTTCATAACGGCCATTTCAAGCTGGCTGACATGCCATAAATATGAAATTCGAGGTCTGCGCGCGATCACGTTAAAGCCGAGGCGCAATGCCCCCCCACGTGGCAACATGTACATGTGTCCGGCTCGTGCTACCCCAGAAATCGACCTGATGATGATAGGCAGCACAGCAAGACGTACACGATTTAGGAGGTCCTGATGGCCATTCTTGAGAAGCACTGAATTTACAGGAGAACAAGATATGGAAGAAGTGGCCAAGCGCCTGCCGATATGACAGCGTCCGAGCACTGTAACGTCCAAATGAGATGAAGCGGGAATAAGACTAGTCCTTCGCGTAGAGTGCCGAGCTTGCACGAAAAAAATAATAATAATTAGGTAGATGCTGGTGGACGGCCCTTTTAAAATCATGAACGTTGTTTGGCAAAAGCTTCTGATCCAAACAACCGCAATTAGATTGTGGCTGAAATATTCTCACGCTACTCGATCCACTTTGTTCAGTGAGTGAACGAGTTTAGATCTTTTGTCGAAAACCCATGGCCTCAAATCAAGCTCGGAGGAGTCGAAGCCGATCTAGAAGTCAAGATAGAAACACTCATGACAGGAGAACTACGAGGAACAGAGAGTCCTTTATAGCAGACAGTGGTCATAGCCGACGTTTAGGAACGGATACCGAAAGAGACGCACCTCGTCGGTCTCGATCCCCTCTTCGCTCACGTAGGCGCTCAAGATCACGGTCTCGCAGCCCCAGACGTAATCGCCAACGGCCAAGGTCTCGGTCCCGCTCCCGTGGTCCCGAGCGCTCACACTCTAGGGAAAGGCATGAACGTCCTAAAGGAAAGCACAGGCACAAGCGTTCACGCTCTCGTTCAAGCTCTGTATCAAGTTTGTCTGACACTGATTCGGAGCGAAGACGTCGTAAGAAGAAAGACAAGCACCGCAGTCGTGAGGAGAAGAGGGAAAGAAAAAGAGAAAAGAAAGAAAAGAAAGTGAGTAGTCCTAAGAATTATAACCATCAGCGAACCCGTTTTTCGCAGAAGAAAAGGCATGGGACTGCCTCTGGTGCTCAGTGGGGTAAATACGGAATTATCAGTGAAACCGAGTCAGTTCAATTGCAACAGCCGCGGCTGTATGGCTAATTTTGTCCCCTAGCTTCTACAACAAGACCCAGGAATTCCGCACGTGGCTTCTGGAAGAGCGCAAAATTAACCCGGAGGCCATATCCAAGGACCAGGAGCGCAAAGAATTCGCTGTTTTTGTTGAAGATTATAATACTGGTGTGTGATTTCAGATAGCTTTTTGCCGATATCGTTTAGCGTTTGGTAGCGACCCTCCCTCACGAAAAATACTACCACATGGAGGCATACGAGCGACGAATGACGTCGTTACGAGCCGGCGAGTTCGTTCCACCGGCAGAAGACTCCTATGATCCTGAGGCTGATATACGGGCTCACTCTTTACGACACAAGAGAGCGCCCACCGAACACGAAAGTTATCTAAGCAAGGAAGAGCTTATGGAGTTGAGGAAAGTTCAGAGCGAGAGAGTTGAGGTAAGTTGTTTGCAATATAGACAATGCTAAGATATCAATATCACATTCGTTAGGTTGGGAAGATGAAACTCTTGGGTATGGAAGTGAAACAAAATTTCGGAGTCAGGATGGATAGAACCATGTTCGATGATTGATTGGTATTAGTTAGAGGCTATCCTAACTCTAAAGTTTCAATACAATGTGTACATCTTTACTGTATCTTGCAAAAAGTCGGACATTCGCGGACAAGAAGTTATGAGGTGGTCACGGTTGCTTGTACGACATACCGGAATAGCCGGTTTACTTACGTATGCAGAGGTAGCTTGTACGGGTACCGCACCTGTGACGCCCATCCTTTGCTTCTCATCATGGTCGACATAGTTGTTCTCGGTGCGACAGGTATGGTTACACATGTTATTATTCACCAGCAGCTAACTAGTGGTCTTCAAGGCTATACTGGTCGTCTCATAGCTCAGTACCTTGCCACGCATCCGCAGCGTTCATCTTTCACGTTTGGTCTTGCTGCACGGTCGCAGCCAGCACTCGAGAAAGTTTTGAAAGGACTCAACCTCTCGAAAGACGATGTACCTGCATTCATCATGGACGTTACGAATTCCAGTGACGTGGTTGCTGTGGTACAACAGGCCAAGGTTGTCATTAACACCATTGGTCCATACTGGCGGTTGGGAACTTCTGTTGTCCGAGCTTGTGTACATCATGGGAAACATTATGTGGACTTGACTGGCGAGGTTCACTGGATAAAGGATATTATCTTTGAGTATGTGGAAGCCTATGTTGATTTTGAGAAGTACCAACTTGACCGCTTCTAGACTCGATTACGCAGCTGTCAAGTCGGGTTCAATCGTGGTCCCTTGCTGCGGGTTGGACTCAGTACCTTCTGATATTCTTGCATTCGTCGCGAACAAGACACTGAAATCCTTCGGTGGGCCGTCTACCACAATCGACCTCTCCACCTCGGCGTGGAAGATTGGTGGTGCTTCTATTTCAGGAGGCACTTTCTCCACAATCCTCGCTACATTGGAAGAAGTTCCAAAGCGCAAACTGCTCGCGTTAAGGCAGAATTTTGCATTGAGCCCAGGTTTATCTCGCCGCATTGAAGGATGCGATGGTAGCTGACTTAATGTTGTTTATTAGTGGAAGGAACCCATCCTGCTCGACCCCGTATGCTTTATACCTTGCCGTACTCCGATCGACCCGTCTACGGGGCGTGGTATTTCATGGCAATCACCAATTATCAGGTCGTGCAGCGCTCGTGGGGTCTGTATGAGCTCGCACGCCGTCTCAACCATCATAATGCGACCGCTGTCGCTCCATTCTCCTACGGTCCGAACTTCAAGTATGAGGAGTTCGTGATTCTGCCAAGTGCACTATATGCAATGATATATTCAATCGTATTTGCTGCGATAGCAGCATTGCTCGTTTGCTGCCAGCCTGTTCGTTATCTTCTCCTTGTCCTTGTGGCAGAGGAAATGACTGTGTGTGGATGACTTTAACAGGCAAGATGGTTGGCTCGCAGAATAATGCCCGGTCCCGGTGAAGGCCCGTCTGAGAAGTGAGTGCAATCGAATCTATTGATCTCACAACTCATGTCATGCCACACGCAGACAACTACGGAGTGGCTCTGTTGAAATTACTAACATCACTACGTCCAGTCCCAACTCACAAGGGGAAAAAATCGTTGTACGAAGTATTTTCCAGGGGCGAGGTGACCCTGGATACTTCTTATCATCCAGTAAGCTCTATTTATACTTCCAGCAAACCATCAATCAAGTATTCATTTAATTTTTCAGTAATGATTTCGGAATGCGCACTAGCGCTGGTTTTGGATGGTGCAATCTTACCTCAGATAAGCACAGGTGGCGGCATTTTGACTCCCATGACTGCTTTTGGAGACGCTCTCGTTGAGAGGTTGAGGAGATCAGGACATATCGACATCGAAAGTGAGTTGTTAGTGGGGACAGAGGCACGTAAGACACGTTGAGTATGGACTCTGATGGTTACCTGTACTCTTGAAGTATTACTTGCGTTCCTCATTCTGAAGCATATTTTATTTATTTCTGTCACATCTCCGAATTCACACTTATTTATATAAACTGTGTATAAGTAAGTCATCGCTGCGAGCCAGTCGTCGGAAACCACACGAAACCGCCTGAACCGACAGTTTTGAGTACTAAGCTCCACCTGGAATTGTCAATTCAGCTTAGAGATTGGTTACAGATCTGGGGGCGCCTCTTTACACACTGCCTATGCAAGCTTTCAAATTGCAAACTTGAACGGGTCGAGCCCCGAAGCACATGCGTTACGGTGTCGCTGAGTATAAAAAACTCCGCCTCCTTGCTAGTTAATTTGCAACCTTGGTTGAACGTCCCGATCCCAAGACCCTGTAAAGGATGATCGATAAAAGTTCACCTGGAGCATCAAAACATCAAAACACAAGTTCGATAGATATTGTTGAGATTTAGATCTACAGCGGAAGAATCAACGACGAGTAACTGTAGGACAGAGGAGCCTAGCCGTGAGTTACTTTTAAACACCGCGACTGGAGGTTTGTTTTTCTATACCTGCTTGCCTCGGATGTGTTCTTGTGTTCGGCTCCAACATCATGAACGAACCCTAGCTGACGATCAACCGGTAGTATTGATATTGGGTGTTGGTGCTTACAGTTGATCCTTGAAAGGTTCCTGAGTTTGGGAGAGGGGGAAATGGCGGCGTGCTGATACGCATTTTGGCCCTGATGATGTTCTCATCGACCGTGCGAGACGACACGAAAGGATTGAATAGTAACGGATGTAAATGCCCTTTAGTCAAGAATGATGTAGATTTGATACTTATCCTGGGGTGAACATATGCGCGTTTGAATTCAAGCGACCTCTGAATCATGTGGTGCTATGGAAATGACAACAGTCATCTCGTGCTGAGCACACACATGTCCGCGGGGCATGACCACTCTAGCGAACAGCTTGGTCGTTGTCCTTGTAGTTGCGGAAGGAAAAGGTTTGAATAAAAAAGCTTTATCGCCTTGATCTCCCGTAGTCAGACCTCGATAGAAAAAAGACAATATCCGTTCTTTCTTTTCGAATTATCGCTCATTGGGCGCTAATCGGCCGCTGCAGTGGTCGTGTGCTACTTACAACTCGGAGTCGTTACAAATGAACAAGTCTTCGGCGAGTTTGTTTGTGGACATCGAGCCAATATATAATACACATTGCCAGACATGTAATATGATGACAAAATCTGTTCGAGTCTGCTATTTTTTGGGTCGCATCGATGCTCGGGCCTTTAGCAGGGCGCTTGAGCTTATCGATGGCGTTGGAGCTCTCACGGACCACCGAAACGTAAAGTCGGCTAAGATCTCTCAGTAAAACTACCATCACAGCGTCCGTCCATCTGATGCATTTTTCGCGTTTTCTTTTTGAGCTGTCGTGGGATATCAAAGTGGTAAGTGCTACTTGACCCGCAATTTACGAATGGCAAGCCCGATAAGAAAATGACTCAATTCCATAGACGACGGACCACGAATGATGCCCTTTTCGCGGTTTCTTTTTCATCTGTCGTGGGATATACAAGTAGTAAGTGCCACTTGGCCTGCAATTTATGAATGGCAAGCCCGATAAAATGATGACTCGATCACACAGACGGACTAGGTCACGCTCCTGGCGCGTTGGTAAACTAAGCCGGTCGGCATGCCTGTTTCGGTGATGATTAGTTTGACAACCACCACAAAATGGCCGACCAATGTACCTGGAACCCCGCAGTTAGTGCCAGCCATGGCCGAAAAACCATGACCGCTATCGCGTATGAGATCTGGGACCCTTCCAAGGGCCCAATCGTTACCAACCTCATGTCCCCAGCCTACCAGCTGGCAGGGACAGTGATACATAAAATGCGGGCAATGTTTCGTTCCAGCCAGAACATCCATTCCACATGACGAGTCGACCGATGCACAGATACGATCAGTCCCAGGATATCGACGGGTGGGCTAATTTGCACTGTAAGTAACCATTAGAGGTGTCGAGATTTTTTTCAACAGCAATACACCTATAGCAGACGTCCTGGACACTGTGAATAGTGAAGCGGATAATGACACACTACTTCACTTCATGGAGGAGGTGCGTGCATTGTGGAGACGAGCAATATTTTCAGTTAAATGTTTCCTGCAGGATGAGGGGCTCGCCTTATTTCTCGATAAAAAGTTCGTCCAGAACAAAGAGATTCCACTTGAAGAGGTGTCAGAAGCTGTCCTTCTGCAAGCGTTGGAGGAATATTTGGCAATTCCGCCCATTGAGGCCAGCTCGGGTATTGAGGACCACCCTGAACCCCCAGACGATCCTACGGAAATTGGCGTCCCAGACGGTATGCATAAATGCAGCTGGATGGATGAGGCCACATATAGAGAGTGTCATAAGATTGTACCAGGAGGTCTGCGAGCGATGCTCCTGCATCTGAAAGAGGCGCACAATGTTCATGGTTCAGAGACAACCGAAGTGGAGTGCATGTGGGTTGTACTCAAGTCAGGCTACAAACTCCCATGCGGGAAAAAATTCCAGCGTCGCAATATTCCTCGCCACATAGGGACGCATCTGGGGTTGCGCTTTCCGTGCAAGCAATGCGGAAAAAGCTTTGTGCGCTCAGATCTTCTGAAGAGTCATGAACGTGATAATTGGCACGTGGTCCAAGACACTAATGCAACAAATGCTAAACTGCACAGCTGACCCAGGTGAGCGTTGCGAACATCATGTAAAGCAGTCAAACTTACTCATCGCTGGCCAGGTTTTATCATGTACCAAACGCGCTGCCCCTATAGCATACATGTAATGAATCCCATATGTACCGATGTACCGTTTTTCATCGCTTAAATTTGATGACCTAGGCTGCTAATGATTTCAACATGTGTTTAAAAGTCGGCTTCATCACCCCCAGTGGTTCAATAGACGCGAGAGCGCCGAACTCGTGATAGTCCACAATTACCTGAACCCGAGCAGTAATTTTTGACCACACGAAGTCGGACGACCCGACATACATGAAGAAGCTGAAGTTCAGCCTGCAGCGGCTGAAGGCTGCCTAGTGATACTAAGCTTTTATGAATGGAGACGCGGGTAGAGTCGTAACTGGGCCGCAAGATGTAGGTTTGTGAAGACCGAAGCTCACAGCTGCCAAATACACGGGCTAGAGCCAGGACGTACGTACATCTGACAGCATTGGTTGAGTTTGCCGTTTACTGAGTACCGACGATCGCACCACCGACTCTCGTGATTTGTGTTGAAAGATGTCACAGTGACGTGGACAGTCACATGCCTTGAAATCATTACCATGCATACCGCAGTAACTGTACTAACTGCAGTACCAGTTATGCATGCCTCGTACACGCGTTGGGCGCCATTGTTGCAACGTTGATGACTCGGTGACCATTTATTGGTCGCCCATAGTCTGAAACTTGGATGGCAGTCGAATTCGATGGAGTATGAAGAAAAAAATTGCCGCATTTCATTAACGTTAGTAAGCCTAGTGACGTGCGCCAAGAGCAAAGGGCATAGATTCAATAACTGGAGCTGAGTTGTCACATAGGGCCAATGCCACAGTACTATATGTCGATCTTCAAACCGACGAAAGCAGAAACGACGAATCTTGCATGAAAACGCGGCGTCACGAAATCCGGAGATTCATGCAAGTGTCCGAGTCGAGGAACCAGCTACCATTGACAGTGCCATTCAAGTTGTATGCACAAGTCGTTGCTGGTTCAACTTGAGCTTGAACACCACCATCATCTCGCGGTGATGGCGTATATTGGCAGTCCGCCTCAGCGTGTGTGTATAACGTGTTGTTGTATGTTTAATGTCATCACTGATTATTTGAATGGTCTCCTGCTGCCGCCAAAAGGTACAACATGCGGCCCCTGCTCAGCGCATTAATACCACTAGTATAGCACTGAAGAATGATGGAGTCTCACCCACAAGCCAACGACCGTCAAACACGCCAGACAGTGTCGAGGCCTACGACTTTTCAGATTGGACGGATGTGTAGTCTTGAACAAATGTACGCTGGGTGCGTGACGCACCAGGCCCATCGTCATTGAGGTTCCTAATTCACAACGGAAAGAAGTAGGCATGCTGCACGGATCAGCATATAGGGAAGAATATTCATTGGGTACGTCACGAATGATCACACGGGACTCGATGCCAGTTTGCGGACCTTAGCTGATTCTCCATCTTAGGCGCTCCGGGTTGTTTGCTCTCTTGCACGATCGATCGTATAGCAGCACCAAAAAGGCCCCCACTGCAACGCCAACGGCGCATGCAGTCGTCTGTGTTGCGGATATGCCACGACTCATGCTCCGTGATTAGATGAGCTATAGTCACCCTTGAGATAAAGTGAGAACATAATCAAGACAGCAGGTGACGACCGATTACTGTCAGGCCTGGGTTCGTGCCCACGAGGCACCGGTGAATCTGTAACACCTAGTGAGGCGGTAAAGGCGCAACATAAACTCGAGTGAGCTAGAGGCGCTTTGCTAAGCATCGAATGTCGAGAATGTCGACCGTAATGGAGAATAATCGACATTTCTTCCGGCATCTCGATGGAAGAATCAACCTGGGACTTTTTTGTGATAAAGGATTCATGCCGTGAATGCATTCAAGTTGAGTTATATTTTATGGATGGGAGTTTGTGTAGCTGAATATAGATGTGTCGTTCGATGTCAAAAAGAAGGTCGAGACCTTCAAGTAATCAGGCGCTTATAGGTGAGCTATTCGAATGGGTCGCATACGATGTACTCAACTCAACTCGCATACTGTGCGACACCAAATTGCCTGAATCCCGATGATCTGGTATACTCGACCTCGACGAATGCACCCATTTAGGCCGTGCAAAAAACCTACTAGGCTACGGTACGACACCCAAACACAATTCAAAATGCAAACCCAACACCGTCCTCTCCGCTGCACTGATCGTCCTGGAACTGCAACCGATGATCTGTCTTTCTTGTCTTCTACCTTACTAATCCTTTTTACTAGTTGATGAGGCCAAGGTGGCGGGGGATTCATACCTTATCGGCTGTGCAGGCTACCAGGAGCCTAGTACAAATAGAGCCACATTAATATCGACCCACCTCTTCCACATCCACCTCCCGTGATTACAAGTTGCAGCCTGAAAGCTATCTTAAACCTTTTGCCTCATACTTATTTCTTTACCACCATGCTATTCTATAATACCGAATGGATCAACAGTTGTACGCCTATCAATGCCAACCTTTTGCTCCTCCCATATCTCTCGTTGATGCGCTTCACTTTCAAGAGATTGAAAGGAATTCAGTGCATTGGAATCACCTGCACTCCAAAGCGACATTTTTTTTCTTTCTTTTTTGTTCGTTTTCTGCGAGTGATTTTTGTAGAGTTCGGTTTATTTGCAAATAACTACAACTGACAATTTTTCTTGTATTGGTCTCCGAGTAGATGCAAGCTCCTACTTTGGGGACAAGTGCATATCTTCGTTCGCCATGTGGTCTATCTACTCCTCGATTGTGAGTTTTTCCATCTCGTTATGCTTCTTGTTCCAATACTATCACTTATTTTCATCAAGCAATCGAAGCATGAGTTGGGTAGTCGACTTCCTATAGTGACCGTGACGTTCGCGCAGCACCCACCAACATACGAAGCCATCTTCCTGTGTTGATCTCGTTGGCATTACGTGCCTTACATAACACTGCCGATGGCTGAAACTTCTATTATTGGCCTGATTCATACAATTATGGCGTTGGCAGTCTGATATGAAAAGCCAACGCCGGCCAAGCAACGCGTGGCTTGGCCGCCATCACAATGGCGTTCCATGGCCATGGCTGGCCACGGCCCTGCGTATGTGTCTCGCTATACTATTTTGTGCTTAGCGCTTAACCCAATATAGTCGATCACGGAAGCCAGCCGTGGAAGCTAGCCATGCCGCGTGCTCTGCATGTGCCAACGGAGGCCAGCAAGCCAATCATCGATGGGAATGGTGAGTGACGTTAAAGGCATGTTATCATGGTGCTGACATGGCGTTTGGCACTCTCCAAGTCCTCTCCATATCCGTTACACTCAATTAGCGATGAGTCAGGACAATGCCATATTTCGTACTGGGCCAGTGCCACCATCCACAGCATCAAGGACTAAAATAGGCGTGCGACAATATTGCGATTTACGGTCTTACGAAATATCAGTTTGGCCTATCGGACCATTCGAGCACTCGGCCAACTCGTAACCTGGCCTTTGACATATCACACAACCCCACAGTCAGCAGTCAAAGTTTTGACTTCTGGATATGTTTTAGATCGGGCCAAAGGACGACGTTTCTTAATTAATCTTTTCAGCTTCCCAAAGAAGCCAATTTTATAAAATTATTATTCGGTTAGTCACAATCGATGGCCAGGTTTACACGTTCTAATGAGGTATTGGTTGGCCCATCATACAGCCAAAGACTTCTCTGGAATTTTCCGCAGGCCAGCCAACCAGCCATTCTATCCGATGATACGGCTCCTATGGACAGATATAAAGTCTCGGTTGGCAGGTATCCGTACTTCAGAGACACAGTCAAAAAATGTCGACCAACACACTATCGTTTGTTTCCTGCTTGCATGACACACTCAGAGATATTGGAATATCAACCAGGCATGAATGACACTTGCACTCTCGAAATCACTTAGCCTTACGTCCTTTTCAGGTTGCATGAGGGACAATCAAACGCCTGCCCTTGCTATCATATAGTGCAACTCGTTCTGGACCACCTCCATCATTGGTTCGTGTGGTTGCCCGCTATGTGAAAAGACTTACTGAGGGTTCTATTCAGGCTACCTCTTCCTGAAACTCAATGTCACGGATCTCCTTCGGCCATTGCCGGTGAATGGACACAGTACAGCAATTCCGCTTTGGACATGTTCGACATGACAAAGTACAATGCGGAAGTACCCATTGCATTTGAAGCAGGGTTGCCCAGCTTTAGTGGTCCATCTCCCATGGAGTGCGATGTCATTCACCAGCCCCATCCAAACACCGCTCTTGATCCAGACAACGGAATAGATACATCTTATCTTAGCGGGCCTGGGCATTTGGAATCCTCACTCGAGTTTTTCAATAACTTCCCTCCGGAGCTCTCCATGACTTGTTCCATGGATGACGCTTCATCCCAGACATGGAGCCCTTGTGCTCTCCCGCAGTCACCTGATGCATCATCTTCCGACGAGAGTTCATCTTGCTATTATCCACGCCAGTGGAACGAGCCCACCTACGGTTATCATGTCGAGCCATCATTCAACGATATACAACCTCACACGCAGAACTCCGACAATGTTTATCTGCCTAGTTTTGGTAGCGGAGCTGATCTTCATTCGCCCACACCGTCGTGGCAGGAGGAGAGAAAGAGTGACTGTACATTATTGAAGGACGATATGAATGACACTTCAGTCGTATGCCTCTGGGATGGTGGGGCCTGCTTCTTACCTCTGACTGTCGACAAGTCCGAAGTGGCGAAACACCTCCAAGTACACCACGGTGTGAAACCTGGCGGCGACAAAGGTAAAACTTCATGCCGATGGGAGGGCTGTGGGAAGGAAATGAAGAAGGAGAGCATATCGCGGCACATCGTTGCGGTTCATTTGGACAACAAAACGGAATGCGGTAGTTGTGGAAAGAAATTTGCTCGGTTAGATTCTAAACTGCGCCACCTAAAGAATGCAAACCGAGAGGAGTGCAGAGACTCCGAATCCTATGATGCTCGTACCAAACGCTGTCGTCGGTCGTGGCCATGATTTTTCTGTCATACATTCTTGCAGCTTATTATGCGCAATACCAAGGACTTCAGTATCGTCATGTGTGTATAATCGTTTTTTGTCACTTGAGTCGAATGGTGATCCGTGGATGTATGTACTGCCAAACCTATGCTTATATCAACTTCTATCCCTCCAACGCACTGCCATATAGAAGCAAGCAAAATGACTCAAGTTGTAGGGGTCGAATTCAGGCCTTGGAACTGTACCTTGGTCCGCAGAAACTTAATGGTCGACAGCACAACGAAATCCAAGGAAAAATACATAGTTTCCAGTACAAATAGTGTAGATCAACTAAGTAGGAGTATACGGTAGGATGTTACTAATGACGAACAGGAGCTACAGGGAGATGCATATGAGGTTGGAATACAAAACAATAGTAGGGATGTCACTGTAAGATAACACTGAGGACTATATCAACATGACGTTCTGGGTAGCCGACCAACCACCGTCAATGTACACTAGGTCAATCACTCGTGACCCATCTCCGTAGTTAACAACGACGTTTGCAGACTGACAGTTTGGTCTTTCGAGCGAATGTCGTCGAAAGGCGTCCTCACGCGAGAGTGAGGACCCACAATTGTCGCACATCCAGCGTACTCCAAGATGGCGCGTCAGGACATGACGGGAGATATTCCCTGGTTTCGTATGAGTATCAAGACAACCACTCCAAAGACATGCAATTTTTTCCGTGTCCTCGCTGGTGGCGCTGGTATTGATACCGTGATGTTGCTTAAGATGTTTAGAAACCTGCTTGAGCTCCACAGGAATGTGCATCCTGCAGTCCTTCCAGTCACATGGGTGCACTCTGACCTCGGTATCATATTCATGAAGTGCATCCCTAGCGATGAGGATGGGATTCACCCCATGCGATTCCAGGAGCATATCTTGGACCATGGACTTGTCAGACGAACTAAAACAAATAACAATGAGCCACAACAAAGGTAGAGGATGTTATCACTAACCGAACTGGGTTCATATTGAATCAGAGAGGAGTTGGTTTATGTCGAGTTGGTTTACGTGGAGTTCTTTTATGGCTTTTAACTTGCCTACTCTATGGCGCTGTTCCCCACCGCAGCGCGACAAGAGGCACGAGCGTTGGCTTGGATCGCCAGATTTCCACTAAGCTCTCAGGTTTGTGAAATTTCGTTACAATGGTGGTGGAAGAGATACATTGGTTACGCGCTGTGTCGTTATAATCTTCAAACAGGTAAGTTGAATGAATGATTCTGGTCATTATGCCAATGTTGCGCAGCGGTTCAACACAAGAGACCGGGTTACCAAATCGATTTCGTGTTGGAAGGTTTCTGGAGTGAACAATGTGACGAGGGTGCCGGAAAGCCTTCGTGGCACCCGGGCAAATCAACTTTTGATCCGTCGAGTGATCAGCGCAGCCACTCGACTGGCATCTCCCTTAAAAGTTCACTGACAGCGAGATTCCAAGATGGAGTGGGCGAAATGACCAGCTGCGGATACAGTAAACAAATCACCTCTCTCTCTCTCGAGCAACTATGAGCACGCATCAGCGAAATAACGAACAGTTTGGTATTCATATTATGTCTCGCGTATGCGTGTTATGACGTCTCCAAGGGGCCAAGTGTACCGAAGTAAACGGGATGGTGGAGGGATCTGAATTCAGTATGAAGCTGGGCGACCTGTAATCATAGTGATCGAGATATGTATCCATCGGACCAGAGTTAGACCGACGAGGCCAGGCCCGACAAGTGACTGCCAGTACTGATGTGGGTCCGACGTAATAGTTGAAGTATGAAATCATACTAAGAACCGGCGATACCATTTCTCTCCCTCCGATTCCAAAACCGTTACGCTGTGGAGATAAAAGATTTTCAGTCTGCTTCAATCGAAAGTGCTGTGGTAACCTTGCCATGACAGTGGGGAATTCAATGAACCTGCATCAAACCATAAATGTGATGTCGAGCGCTAGTACCCGCGAACCGTGGCATCATGCAAGCATGTGAGCATGCCGCGGAACCCTGTCTCATGGATGTGCTTCCATCATGTAAGGTACCACCGCATGGTGGACATACACGCGTTCCAGTGTATGAGCGTTTGGTAGAAAGATATCGCTTGAATTGCAGTGCTGAGCGCTGAGCATGGCGCGCAGACGACAGAACTATCGGATAAGATCCATCATCCAGAGGCTTGAACAGCAGGTGTGATACGTTGCTAGGAAAATAATGGGCTGGCCTGAGGCATGATGCATGAACCACCAGGGATCTTGTGAGTTTGGCGCCTGGTAACGAGGCAGACCAACTTCAAGTTGAAATCAAAAATGATAAGATTCGGTTGATCACGTGCAAGCGCCGCCGGGGCTGTGTAGGCCTCGAGTTCATATACTACTACGCTACCACTAGTGTAGTAATAGTACTAGTATTGTACATGTGTTCATACACAATTACAATAAATTATTTTTTACGTGGAATATGACTAGCCAGGCAGTGCCGCACTAAGAAGAGTGCAATCTGCTTACGCGAAACAGACCAGCCAGCCTGAACTTACGGACCCGGTACGCTACTCCCCGACAGCCGCGCACTCTTCCAAGTAGAGCTGAGTCTCACTCTGATGGGGCTTGAGCTTGATGCACACGGTAACCATAAACTACTCCCACGAAAGGACTCAACAAGTCAAAGTAAAGGTCTTCCGTGAGAAAAGTTAAAACGGCTCAGGTGGCATGTTCCTTCCTTACTCGATAGTACTGGAACACTTAGAGAGTATGGATACTATGGAAGCCAGCGTATAACGAGTTGTCCCTTCATATTTGAAAGAGGTTCGTCTGTCATTGAATCATTTGACCATTGTGAGTGGACTTTGAGCGAAATTCACAGTATCAGACAGCTCAAGATGATAAGTGAGCAACGTACCGCATGGATAATAACCTGTGTGGGAATCGGGCGCGTACTGTCGTGCAAAACCCATCCGAGTCAATCAACCATCATGCGGTTCCGAGCAATACTTTTTCTCTCCTCAGATCAGCAGACTGGGCGCTTGTCTGCTGATAAAGGCCTCTCGCAACCTCTCTTTTAGAAAAAGCGCTCTTGGATTTAGCCGCCCCTTCTGATATGATTTTGCCTGTTGCTGTTCTTCTGGGTCTTGCGCTCCGCGGTGCTGCTTGCGCGGGCGATCACTTGCATGCTCGTGACGCCCATGTTCATGAACATTTGAACAAGCGTGAATACCCACAGGTTCCAATCACACCTCCCTACCGTCCTCTCATCTGGGGAGATTTCAATGTGATCCACACCACCGACACCCATGGCTGGTTACTCGGCCACCAGAAGCTGTCATTCCCTGAACCAGACTATAGGTGAGTTTCAAAGGACTTCGTCTGGGGCATAGCTCAACCACATCACTCTGCGCGCATCATAGTGGGGATCTTGGAGATTTTGCTAGTTTCGTAACGCATATGAAGAACATCGCCATCGTTCGTCCATCAGTCTAGATCCTGACTTTGTTTTATATATTTCCTATTACAGGAAAAGGACGTCGACCTCCTTCTGGTAGACTCGGGGGATCTACATGACGGTATGTATCGATTTGGCATTTGCGAAGACACAATCCAATCTACTTCTCAGGAACTGGGCTTTCTGATGGTTACCCCCCCGGTGGTGTCGACGCGCACGAGGTCTGTTGTTCCATTGCTGATACATATCTCGAAATTGATACCTTCTATGTGTATTCAAAAGTCAAACAAGTTTCTTGAACGCCTTCCATACGATATCATGACTATCGGAAAGTGAGTATTGAGTTTTCGCTTCTCCCCTATCCGCCTGGGTTGGACTGACAAATTTGTTTCCATAGTCATGAACTGTACATCTATGCGAATACATACGACATGTGGGTCCTGGATATTCTGAGCAAAATTCGGTTTGACTGACAATATCTACTTCTGCATCGATTTTGGTTTCCTTCGCGATGTCTATATTTTGTTCAATCACCACCTTCTGTTCGACACTGCACACACATGACCTATACTTGCAAAATGGACCAACCCTCCTTCAGGTACACGAACTTTGTCCCTCATCTTGGTGGGCGGTACTTGTCTTCCAATGTCAACATCACTGTTTTCAATTCGGATGGCGAGCCTGAGAGTATTCCAGTCGGCAGTAAGTTCGAATTTTAAAGTTAGTTTGACTACTGTCGATGTCCTCTCCGCAGACCGCTACACCAAGTTTACCACAAGGAAGTAATAGTTCCTGTGAATTCAAGGTGGGACTTTATTCATTCGATGTAACAGAGGCCGTCGCATCACTTCTCTTGGAGTCCTGTATGATTTTACTGGAAATGACGTGAACACGACCGTACAAACTGTGGCTGATATGGTCAATGAGCAATGGGTACGTTATCTTAGGCGTCTATAAGGTGATCCAAAAGAGATTCTGATCGATCTTTGCAGTTCGCCGAGGCCATCGCGGAAGAACCTGACGTGTTTGTACTTATTGGGTAGGTTGATCTGATGGTTTCTGAGAAAAGATTTTTAACGCATTTCAGCCACATGCCAGTTTCCTTTGATAACTGTAGGCCAGCCAACTACAGCAATTGTAAGGTTTGATGATACGATGAATTGGTTTTCTAGGGCCTACTGTGTTTGACGCTGTTCGAGCTGTGCACCCTTTGACACCCATCTTAATCTTTGGAGGTGGAGGTCACGCGTTTAATGTTTTCAACTATCTTTCTCACCGCGGACTTAGGACATAGCCACATCCGTGACTGTCAACAGTATGATGGTCGTGCTATGGCTCTCGAAAGTGGACGCTACATGGAGACGATCGGTATGTGAACATCAAAGATGAGTTGGGTACAGTGTCTCACATGTTCCTTTAGGCTGGATGAGTACATTGTTTAACAAAAACAATATTTCAAAGATCTGACCAGGAACTTAGGTGCGGACCTTGAAGCTGCCACGGGCAACGCCAACAACATTTCTTTCACAAGAAGATACCTGGACCAGAACCGTGTGACTTATGAGGTAAAGTATGCCATCAGTTTCTCAATGATGTTCTAAATCGCGTGTCACAATCAGTACCACACCCAAATGTCAAACCAAACGTTTGACACTGCCTACGGGCGCTCAATTACTGATGGCCTGCAGGAGCTCGCGGTCAGCTTTGATTTATCCTATCTGTATGGAACATCCCCACAAGATTATACCATCAACCAGTGGGTACTCCGTATATATTGCATAAGCCACTAACTCAATCGTATGCTAGGAACCCATATCCTTCCAATGGATCCCTTCTATCTCTTTTTATTGCAGATGTAAGACCTAATTTTCCAGAAACGTTAATTGCTTACGCTTTTGTCAGGCTATCCCATACGCTCTCTCTATTAACAACACGCGTGATTCCATCCCAGCCATATTTATCACCAACTCAGGATCTCAACGCTTCAACGTCTTCCAGGGACCATTCACCAAGAACGATCAGCTCACTGCCTCACCATTCACGGATTCATTCTTGTATATCTCCAATGTCTCATTTAGCATCGCAAACCAGGTCCTTCCAGCTTTGAACAATGCGGGTGCAGATGAGAAACGGAAGCGAGATGAGATTGAAAAGGAGCTTTGGAGCCGTGGGGTTGTTGACACTCGGTACAAAGCCTGGTTAGAGGAGATGGATCGACGTGCTGGAATTGGTAGACGAGAAGCAATGGCGGGCAATTTGACGCTTGGATATGTTACTGCTGATGTAAGTGGCCCATCCTCGCACTCGCTTCGACACGCTCATAATAGTGACTTAGTCATGCCCTGGTGCTGGGGACGACACGCTGCACTTGGCGTTACCCTACTATTCGGTTCCAGACTTTATTGGCTCGAATCCTCCTAACGTGGCTGACGACACGCCTATTGATCTTGTCTTTGTTGACTTCATTGAAGCACAACTCCTTGGCATTCTTAACGGCTTGCAAAATGCGCAGAACTACACCACCGCTGATGTTTCGCTGTACAGCCCGACTCTGGCTAACGCAGCGCTGGGCCTGTATGCTCAAGGTGTGTGGAACTAACTGAACGGCCAGTAGTATGCCTATGCTGTGATCGTATTTACCTCTTCTCCACAATCACCTGGCATCTTCTTGTTATCTACAAGAGTATATTCTGAGTCAATGACACTTGGGTTGTATACCCTGAACGTTGAATGCGCCAGGATCAGAATAGACTTTGGATCTCGAGAGAAGGCCCTAGCGTAGTGGCCGCATTAGATCTTTCGCAAATTGAAAGATGATTCTGTGGGTCAGAGATTTGGCCGGTCTGAGACGGCAGCGAACGGCACCCCCAGCAGAGTTTAAACTCCGTTCAATGTTTTGTGCCAATGCATGACCTTAACTCTGCCCGCCCCAGACTCCAAACCAATCGGCGGTGTGTAGCGAGTCTTCATCCTAGTACTTAGTGCCAAATATGTACATACAAAACTTATTTCAAACACCGCAACTTTGGACTCTTACACACCTACACACCGCCGATTGGTTTGGAGTCTGTGCCCGCCCCTCCTTGCTGCTCGCTGCCCATTTTATTTTGTGCCTGCCAGCCCTCTGTTCTTTGTCCGCCGACCATTTCAGAGATGCCCTCGCATCGGGCAGCCTGAGGTACATCTAGAACTTCTGCTGCCAGTTGAAAATGAATGCAGTGTCCATGACCAAGACGAGAACTGGGGCGCGTTAATGCATGCTCCAGCGAGATTTTCCACCAAGATATCTGTGCAGGTTCTGGTATAAAGTACGGATTTGCTCGTATATTAGAGTCTAGACTTGTTGACCAACGTTATCTTTGCAATATAAGAGGATCGTTGATTTCCGAATGGCATGGCCAGCTAAAGCGCGGAATTTGAAAAATCTGGTCATAATGATATCATGGAAAGCCAGCCTGCTCTACTTCCAATGCTAGTAATTGGGGCGTCAACCAAAGTTTTGGAAACTGCTGAGTTTTGCCAACAGCACTATGTATGTCTCGATCACACGCTTCTTGCCTTGAAGTCACTGAAACCTCATCGATGCATCTGCCACGCTGGCAGGACCACCTCCAAATCTTGAACAGAGACGAGTTAGACACGAGACTAGAGCAAGGATAGATGAGACGGGTAATAAGACGTTCTGATGAGGCTATTCAGTTGTTCTTGGAGCGGATATCTGCGTATATATAAGGTGAGAATATCGTTCGCTGTGATCCACTGATCCCCCGCAGTTTGATATTCTGCTGGATTCTGCCAGCGGAATTCTGCCATCTGCCGGGTAGAACCGTTCAACCGGCCCTGCCAACCTGGCTGGCAGAATGGCGGACTTCTGCCCACACAACTTACAATGATATTCTATCATCCAAGTTTTAGTCACTCTCCTGTGTAAAAATATAAAGGCTTGCGAATTATTCGCTCAGCCTTCCATCACCTTTTCACTCTTCCGCAAGCTCCCTACAAATACTATGGCGATGGCCAACAAGGCAAAACTTGAGGCACTCCTGACTCTGATCAACACATCCGCACGAGATGCCATCACGTTGTATGAGCAGTATGGTGAAGTACCTGCTATCGACCAGATGGAGCCCCACCCGTTGGACGATGCGATCGATCAAACAGCTTTGAAGAGTGCTATTCGTATTCTTGAAGGTGCTTGTGCACAAATATGCGCGACACTTGCTCCACCTTCCCATACTGCAATTAACGTAAGAACTTGGATGATGTAATGCAGTTTCCTTTCACTCATCAGATTGCACGCAGCTTGTCCAAGTGTATGATCATGCTTGCGTGCGAGTAGTTGCTCGGGAACGTGTTTCGGATATTCTGTTGAAGTATCCCAGGGGTCTTCATGTCAATGAGCTCTCCAAAGAAATCAACATCGAGCCAAAGAAACTGGCCAGGATCATGCGCCTCCTAGCCACGAGAGGTTGCTACAATGAAGGTAAGGAGCCATTTGTTGCCTGGTTTGATTTCTTCTCACACTGAGCCAGTCGACACGGACGTTTTTGCCAACAACCGACTGTCTCTAATCCTACTCGAAGAAAATCCTGTCAAACACATGATCTTGCTTCACGTGGAACCAAGTGCCAAGGGAGCAACCGTTTTCTATGAAACACTCAAGGATCCGAGGATTGCCTACTCGTATGAGCAAACGGCTGCACCTGTGATGTACGCCATCAACAAAGATGGAACCGAAGGAACGATCTTTGACTTGATGGCACGGAATGTATGTTTTAAAATATTGCTCGTCAGAAAGCCTCACTCACATGATTTACTTGTAGGACGACCAACGCAAGGTGGGGGTTTTGGTCCCTTCGCACGATCATTCTGACATCTTTAATAGTGCTATAATACATCGATGAGAGGTCTGAACCATATCATGGGCTCCCTCGCCGTCCTGACCCGTAAGTATCTCAGCACACAAAGACACGAAAATTTTATGTTAACCTGATAATAGATTTCCCATTCGAAAAGTACTCAACAGTCGTTGATGTTGGAGGAGGTATCGGCGCATTTTCTCTATCTTTGGCTAAAATGCACAAAAGCATCAAAATCACAATCCACGATCTTCCGGAAGCATTAGTCCCGGCGAGAGACGTAAGCCAGTAGGCCAATGTGCTTGTCACCAAATTGATGGAATCTAGATCTGGGTGAGAGAATGCCCTGAAGCCCTGGCAGAAAACAGAGTCGAGTTCGACGATTTGAACTTCTTCGAACAAGTGCCTGTGAAGGATAAGGACATTTACTATGTAAGCGCTAACCTCTGAGCGACAACCTGCGAAGTTAACAGCGACCGTAGCTTAGAAATATCATCCACAACTGGGATGACCGCGAATCTACGATCATTCTTTCAAACATTCGCAAGGCGCTCGGTCCAAACAGCCGCGTCCTCATCCGTATGTTGAATATAGCGCAATCATTGTCCCGCAGTCTGACACATTTTAGATGACTACGTGCTTCGTCAGCTCAGCCGCAAGCAGGCAGTAATAGAAGCTTCAGAGTTCGGAGTTGTTTTGGTATGTTATGCTCGTTGATCTACATCAATCTTTGCTCATCCCCTCACCTAGGCTCCTGAACCTCTTCTCGCAAACTTTGGTGTTGGAAATATACGTTCATACCAGCAAGATATGACTATGTTGTTCGCACACAACGCAAAGGAGCGAACATTGCAAGACTTCCTCGCACTCGCGTGAGTAACGTTCGATTGCTGCCTTGGTTTCACCTGATTGCTTCGGAATAGCACTGCCGCCCGTCTGAAACTAGAGAAAGTCTGGGACCTTGCTGAATCATGCGTCTTGGAGTATTCTGCCGCATGATGTTTTGTGAGCTAATTGATGTGTTCATCCACATCATTCCGAATCCCCTTTTTCTTCGTCGCTTAGTTATCAGTTGGCAGTTTTGATTTCTTGTGTCATGGCTACTAGTTCTCATCGTCTCATTCTGTTGGTGATGCTTTGGCTCGTCCTGTCGCTCTGGTGGTTTCGGATCAAGAACTTCCTGATGATGGAAGCTCCGTTGTGTCGACGTGCGATTTACGCCAGTATTTTGGGTATTTTGCGGTTACTCGAGGTCACGCCGAGCAAGGCAAAGTGGTGAATTGAGCATAGCTAAGCACTGAGTGGCTGACTAAGCCACTAGAACAGCGATTCAAACTAGGCTCTATCTATCAAAGAACCATGACATTGAACCAGGACTCCAACTAACGATTAGAGCGACTTGGGCCAGTCGTAACGTGACGCTGACGGGCAAAATGAGCTCGGTCTATGGTTTCTACCTCGCCTCGAGATAGTAGAATTTCACCATGTACGTACTACGTTTGATGATTTTGGCTCAGGCAGCAACAGTTATGTTCACCTCGAGAACTTGAAGTTTGGGAGGCTGTCTTGGATGAAGTGTAAGGCCGCTTGTTTCGTAATATTTAAGTGAAGGCTTGAAAATAAATTCAGTGCCCCAAGTACCTGTATATTGTTCCACTCGGACAAGGTCGTACCGTAGGGTGTGCTGACTGGGCAGTGCGGTCTGACCCTTGCATAGTTGAAAATTGCAATCACGACACCGTTCACCTATCAGATATATCAATTATGGATTGATCAAGGAAACGCGCTAGAACTTTGTCGAGAATATAAGTGACGACTACATAAGCATAACACTAATAGTAAATGAGGGTGTGATACATATATATAACTTGAACTGAAGAATCAAATTAGTAGATTCGGATCCGGAAATGAATGGACAACACAAGTATGTATGTCAATATATAGCAATAAGTTATTGGATGGGCTCTATCAAGAGGTCTGAAAGGAGGGGTATACGGGCCCTGGTATCCATGTGGAAATTAAAGAGAGAATGAGAAAAGATAGACATATTAAGAAGTGATTAGTGATTAGGTAGGAAGATTACGATAGACGATAGATAGAATTTTGGGTCTGTGCGTCCGCGACATGTCTTTTCTTGGCTGGGGGTTCGCAGGTTGAAACCTTCAGCGTAATAACTCCGGTACCGTGGACAGGGGCTATTTGCATCCTCTGGCAATCTGATCTCGCGTTCGCGTGACTTCTCCTGCACGCATCTTCCCGCGCATAGTCGACGTTGCAGGCGGTACATTTTATTTTGTAGCCGATATGCGTGACGAGGTGACGGGCGATACTCGTACCTTTCATAGCGGTGCGCTTTTTTGACGTACATCCATCCCAGAGACAAGTGGTATCCCCTTCACCGCCCGTGAAGCCATGAAACCTGGCGAGATGGTCTGTGACGTTGGCCTGGTCACCTTCGATATGCATACCACAGGGGGAGTGATTTTTATCCCACTGACATTCGTAAACGTACAGTAGAGGCTGTCCGCCGATCCGCATGACAGACTCGTCAACTAGGTGGTCATCGCAATCCACCTTTTTTGGCACTGATTGTCGATGACGAATTGGCTCCACGACGGCACTGACGTTAACGTGCTGTGCACGGAGATACACAGGTGGCTGGGCACCATGCGGCGCTGCGACCGTACGATTAATCCTAGATTCTGAGCGGGAATCGCATGCCTGAGGCAGTGCAGTTATCGTGGTGTCCCGATCTGTAAGGTCAGAATCCGAGGACCTTCTCCTCAATCTTTTCCCCAGAACTCCGGTACGCGGGGGATCTGCTGAATAAGGGCGAGGTGGTAACTGGGTGGGCCCCTTGATGTAATGTGATGGCCGAGATAATACAGCGGTCTCACGAAACATGTCAAGCTGCTCAAATTCTTGAGCATTCAACTGAGAGGAGTGATAGACCGTCTCTTGGGCGGCGAGGGAATAAGGTACGGGAGAGTATTCGGCAAGAGGGAAAAGCACTGCAGGAAAAGGATAAGTAGGATGATGCTGGTAGATCCAAGGGGGACGCGTGCTGTCAAGATCATCCAGAGAAAAGGGGGGCGATGTAGGATGCGTCATTTCGGTATTATCGTCGTTGGTTAAGTAGGGACGATCGAAGGTAGTGTCCAGGGATAGTGCGTCACACTGGTGGCCCTGACCTGCGGTCCTTGAGAAGCTGGCAGTCTCGATGGCTTGGTCCTCGTTGCTTCATAGAGTATCAGTAAGAGCTGGAATAAGTTTAGCAACGGACAACTTACGAACACTGATCCCCAGGTGCCAGGGGTATTTCTGAGAAAGGATACGTCGTCGAATCATATAGCAGGGGCCGATGCTTTGTAACACATGCAATGGGCGGATCTTGAAAGCGGTGTTCCTGATAGACATGAGTTGATGACGTGTCGTGGATCGCGAAGCCGGGGTGGGCAGGGATGTAATTCTGAGGCATATTTCCAAATGAAGGTAGCGGAGAAATGTAGTGTGCGTGTTGTGAACTTGTATCAAAGGAGTGATGTATTGGAAAACTGCGACGCCGAGCCATCATAATTTCAATACATTGTATGATGACGACAGCTATTGTGAATGATCACCTCGTGGCATCAACGTCATCTAGATTTCGCGCTGCATCCGCCTGATTGCGTGGCGGAAAGGCTTCCTGTTCCGCAAGAGTGCGATTTCGTGGAGCGACCTTGGTCGTCGTCGACGAACGCTGCATCTGCGCACCCAGGGCATCTCTGGAGTCCAAAGAATGACGTCAATTATATATTCGACAGTGACTCCTATCAACACACCTGATGGAAAAGGTGGAATAATCTAGATCCATCACCGAGCTCTGAGAAAGGAAGGCGAAGAAGCAGGGAAATGAAGCTTCTATATAGCTACTCGTTCTACAACTGTGTGAACCCCATGGTGAACTCCAGTTTATATCTTGCATCGTGCCTTGAACACACCCCTCGGGGAGTATGTGAAGGCTCATAAGGCCAGCCGCATGCTTCAACAGCACTGATTCAGGATCAGGCTGACGGAATAGGCGAGGCGAGAAACATAAGGGCGAGCGCTCCAACCACGCGGCTGATAGGTGTCGACTAGGCAGTGTTATAACCTTCTACACTGACATTAGCGCTCGCAAACGCACCTAAATGATTGGCAAGCGCAGCGAACCAATACTCCGATGCACAGCATTTGCAGCGACGATAAGGGACGTTCGAACACACTCAATATTGAGTGTTGTAGTAGCTCCACTGATATTGCGACGATACATCAGTTCTGCCACTGTGAGTATGTTCTGAAACAGAGGTAAAACAAAAAAACGCAATCTGATTGACGATACGACGTATCGCTTGCAGATAAGCACGTGCCCTTTCAACACGTCATTTGACTGATGGGTTGTGAACATGTTTGCAGCAATGCACATCAAATATTGCGAGGCGGCCGAAGTTGGCATATGAGTCGCGCCCGTGGCTATAAGCACACATATTCGGATACTTGCGAATCGGTTTTAGTAATAGGTGCATCAATTTCAGCGGAATCCCGCACCACGATGCAGGACGGGTCACTGGTAGACCAAGACGTGTTTTTCATTTCGCATAGCCAAAGTGTGAGGCGGTGGAGGAGTAAGACGTCTTCACCCGACCAGTGGCACTAAGTGCAAGCGCATTGGGCCATTTGGCTCGGCTGTATTTCAAATTGAGATAACAACAGGCCGCCATCCGAGAAACAAAGGCAAGTAAGGGTTTGCGTGACCTAAACATCTTCAAGTCTGTAGACATCATATGCAACCTCTTCGTACGGATGAACCTGAAGGTGCCACATGTCAGGGCGTTCACATCCGATATTACGAGAAATATATCTTGCCGCTTTCAAATGACTTATCGCATGCTTGAGTTGTACTTTGTCGCCTTGATCATTGACCACAATTTCTACCCTATCCTCATCCACGTATTCAAGCTTGCCAGGCTCTCCAGTAAGAGGCCGAGCGCCAGGCCCTGGCTTGAACTGTCCTATGGGTGACCTCAGACAAATTGCCCAGACGTAATCAATTGAAAGTCACTGCCTCAGTAAGACTCACCGACTCCAGGAGTGATGAATGCGCATTCCTCATACTGACCGATCTTACCGAGTACATTCGGGCATTGTTTGAACAGCGTGCTCAGGATCACCGCGGTGTGAGTTTTGGGGGTAAAAAACACAAGCTTAAACCGGAGTGACATCATCAAAGTTGGAAACAAGGGCTTTTCGGAGGTCACAGATGAAATGAAACACGTCTAACGCCAGTAGGCACTAGTCTTAGCTTGAAAAGCCAATTTCATAATTTCCTTTTTTGACATAGTACAGTATTCGGATGCTTTTCACAAGTAGCCAGTATCGACGATCTGTTGGCCACGTCGATAAAGGTCGGTAACCGCAAAGTCGCATCTACTGAGAGCAAGGCTAACGTTGTGTGTCCCACTTTTGAAGATGAATCTGTCATTATACAGCGTAAACGCATTCCTCATCTTAGACGCTGAAGGACATCGTGTCCTCGCCAAGTACTACCGACCCAAAGGTCATCCCCAGGGCGAGTCCAAGGATCTTCTGGCGTTGAAGGACCAACGAGCATTTGAGAAGGGTCTATGGCAGAAAACAAAAAAGCCTGGAGGTGCGTAGCCGCACGTGTAACAAGAAAATTTACTCACGTAGTCCGTCGATATATACGTATTCAGCCGATATCATACTCTACGACGGTCGTCTCGCAGTCTTCCGGCATACATTAGACCTCATCTTCTACATTATCGGCGGTGCAACAGAGAACGAAATCATGCTTTACTCTGCTCTTACTGCGTTCTCTGATGCAGTCCATTTGCTGTTGCGGAATCAGGTTGAGAAGCGGGCTGTGCTGGAGAACCTCGACATGGTCCTTCTGTGCCTGGATGAAACAATCGATGATGGGTAAAGCGTTTTATTGATTAATGATCCAATGCATATTCACCCTGCCAATCTCAACAGAATTATTGTAGAAACAGATTCGACGACAATTGCATCCAGAGTTAGTCGACCAAAGGCCGACACAACTGAGATTGTAATCAACGAGCAGACGATTCTGAGTGCGTATCAAACCGTCAGGGAAAAAGTCCAGCAGAGAATACAACAGTTGTAGATCCATCATTTGTAGTCTGTCCATCATAGAACATTCGCATTTTACAGGGACCCTTACCCGACCAAGCTTGAGAGCAAATTGCACAAAAAGCGCTTTCAAAATACTAATTTTACAACATCTAGATGATAGCAGTAAAGTAAAAAAACATTGTATCACATAAGAATGATGGGAAAACAACTGGCCGACACTAGTACAAAAAATGACCTAATTGATGATACATAGCGGTTCAGTAATGACCCATATACCAGATGGAGAACCGTCTGCAGTAACTGCATATAACCCTACACCGTTAGCTCGTCTTACATCTAGCTTTACCCTCCGATCCGATCCAGGGTAAGCTCGTCCCCTGCTTCTATTGAAGTCTTCTATGCTCTAGATCATACAAATCGACTTTCCGACGATTGAACAAAAAACGATGTGTCGTGTTTGCCAGTGCCGTGAGTACGGAACACTTGGGCATCCGGCTGAATCGTCTCAGATCTAAAGAAGTGTTGAACTGCGAAGGAACTCAACGACCGAACCAAAAGTCAATTTAAGCGCGACTGACCTTCCCTGCCCGGTACCAACGTGGGCGATATACTCATACACGGCTGCACTGGATGCAGCAACGGCAGTCAAAGCCGCTGCAATCTTTCGCAACGTTGATACGGATTCAGCGGAGAGGCTGAAATCGGGGTGCTCGTAGATGGCATATGGACGCATGATGGCTTGTCTGTGTAAGGATTGTCGAAAGCGTCAAGGGGTTAACGTTCGAATATCGATGAACCACAAGAGCTGTGACAACCCCGAGATGAGGTAAAATGTGAGGCTAAGAAGCTACTAGAGATAAATCACCAAGAATGGGGCCTTTAATACTACAAGATGTCGCCGGAGCCGACTTCGGATTAGCACAATGCGATGACCACAAACGTTATCCTTGCTCGGATGGATATTTGAGGAGCCGATGCATGAGCGGTGATCCTTATTAGTATGTCAATCTCCCCGGATATACATAATTTTAACGGCCGTGTTTCAAGGGCCGGGAGATAACCGTCATAACCGGGAAGATATTTGTGTTCGAGGCGCTGGCCAGGCTTCGAGTTTATCTTCGAATTCGTATTTGGTTGCTGTACCAAGCACCCTGCATTTTGAAAGAAACAGCTGGTGTAAATGATTATGAGACAAAGGACAACTCATTGTTGCGGCTTGCCCTCCTTTGGAAGTGTTACAGTATTAGCCTCGAAAGGATACGAGACTTGATGAACACACTAGTTTGCATACGGACTGAAACACGCACGAGTCTGCACAGCTATCGCAAGATGAACGTTAATGTAACGCAACTACACGTGTCGTATCGTCGATAATGCATTCCATCGAGATTTTCCCTGAGAGAACAGAAGACAACAGTGTGAAATACTATCCCCCTACAGTCATTTGAGTCACGTGATTTTACCGTTACATTGTGTGACCAGCCATCACATCTCTAAGCGAATAGCGAATAGCCCGCTAGGGGTTAGTAGCTGTACCTATACATATAGTGCAGGAAGCAGACTAGACTCCGATGCGGGCCATGGTGTCACAGGGTGCAGCGTCATGGGAATGATATTCAGGACGCAATAACGCGTTCCTAAACAATGTCTAGACTTCAAATAACAAGAGTTGTGATGTACGGCGGAGAAGCTGGGGAAGATTATCATAGATTATCACACGAACTTATCGGTGACCTGATTCTAACGTCCACGGATCAGTGAATATTTCCGCCAGTAGATAAGGTCGACCAAAAGATTGTGTACCAACAAACAACCTCACAAGCGTCAAGGGACTCGTTACGGGTTTGAAATCAGTAAGGAAACATAGCAGGTATGTGAAGTAAGCCAAAAGAATGATGTAAATGCAGAGCGCGCTGAAAACGAATGAGAGTATATGACTAGAACAAACACACGAAATTACTTGGGAACACGTGCCTACCAGCCTGTCGTCTAATCTCGTCAAGCAACTCTCCACTCCACCACCCGTCCTCTGGGGTATCAGTTACAGCGATTATATCGCCTGCTTGGAAATCAAATTCTTCGTCGATGGTTGCTGCGTAATCATACAGTGCTTTCACTGTGCGAGTACAAGTTATGTTATGAACACACCGATATACATTTTGGAGCCACAAAACGTACCGTAAAACAGGATGGGGCGGCCATCATCAGTATAGGCACCTGTGGGAGGTGGTGGATGACGTGGAAGCTGTGGAGAAGGTGTGCGTGCCATGACAGGGCTTGGCGCACGGTAGTTATTCGTGTTATGACCATAGTATGGTTGCTGAGGGTGTTGGTGATTGATGGCACCCTGGCTTGGGTGAGCTGCAATTGACGGATTCCGTGTAGGCGGACCGTAGTTGTTGTAAGGCTGCGATGGCGGTGGTGGAGGCTGGTAAGGAACAACAGGCTGAGAATCATATTGAGGACGTTGAGGCGGGTGATTATAGTTGTTGTAAGATTGTGGTTGTGGAGCAGGGGCAGGATAAGTCGCCACAGTACCATAATCAGCGCGAGGCTGCGGCTGCGGCTGCCGACTATCATTATTATGATATCCTGGGTATGATTGAGTGCTGGGTGGTTGTGCTTGGACGTAAGGTGGTTGTCGCGGGGGTTGATGTGCCATATGATCCACAACGACACGACCATCTGGGCCAAGAGCAATGCCAACTGGGTTGTTCGGTGTCACTGGTCTTTGAGCGATTGACGGCTGACGAACAAGTGACCCCGCCGGAGGCTGAGGACCTAAATTTTGAGTACCAACACCAGGATAGCCCCCCCTACTAGTCGGGCGTACCCCGTTTGGATCCTGGGTTTGGTGATTGTTAACAGGAGGTGGAGGACCAACAAAACTATTGGCCCTGCTACGAGACCGTTGTTCTCCTGGGAATACACGGCCATAGTTATTGAGGACTTGCTCGACTGGGAGATTCGAGGAGGGTGGTGGAAGTGAGGGTGGCGGGGCTGCAAGAACGGGTTTAGGAGGATTTGGAGAGTTCGAACGCGATGGTGCCAGAGGGTATGACCCAACCACAACTTCAGCTGAATTGCGGAAATCGCGATTGCCGGAGTAGACCGAAGAGGGGGTAACGAGAGATTCAGTGGTAGCTTTGCGAGGATCTTGTCCTGAGAGTGTATCCCTGCGAACGGTAGGACGTCTAGCCAAGTTCTGAGCGGCAGTACTCAGCTCAGCCATTTGCCTGACTAATGGGTCATTTTGCTCTCCAACAGGAGGAGAAGTCCGAGGTTGGCCTCTCTGCTGTTGCGGGTCCTTGTTCGGATCAACATTCCAAGTCTGCCCTCCGATAACTAACTGCGTGTTAGAGACCGTGGGGCCAACTGAATCCCCACGGGGCTCTTGCATAGGCCGAAGAGCAGAGGCTGTACTATCGCGCCTCTGTGCCTGGGACGGCTGAGATTGAACATCGTGGAGAGGGGATATATGTCCGTTGACACCGTTCGTTTGAGAGCGTCCACTTTGAGATTTTTGGGTCTGACTTCTCGCGAGAGTAGATTCAGCAGGAGAGCTACGACTTCCTGCACCAATTGCCCCTACACCTGCATGGTTTGTATCGTCGTAGTCTTCAGGCTCCGGAGGCGGTGCGCTACGCCCTGCCGATGACCTCTGGGAAGTTCGAGCATAGGTTGCAGGACGAGTAGCAATGCGAGTAGAAGATGAGGGCACTGCATCGGAACTGGTGTAGTTGACGAACGCCGGTGGTTCGGGTATCGCATTTCCCGTTGCATAATCGCGAACAAAATTCTCCATCTCCTTCTCCGGTTCCATCTGTTCCAGGGCGAGCCGCATTTTCTCGCAAGACTGCACAGATCGATTGCTAAACAGTGACAGCCAATGGTGGTGAAAGACTTACCTCATCATCTGAGACACATACTGTTGATACAGAATTGGCATAGGCCCACATATTATCCTTCATAAACTCCATCCGCTCTTCCTCGAGATCTTGACATGTGTCGCAGAATGCCTTCCAATCCTGCTCCCATTTCTGCATAGTCTCTTGCAACACCCGAGTAAACTGAGCATAATCATTTTCGTTCACTTGCACTGTTTGCTGCGCACGCTCGAGCTTCAAGTGAATCTTCTCGAGGTCTTTGCCCTGGACCAGCGTCGACTGAGCAGTGTAGGAGTTGATACGAAGGCAATCAGACTCATATTTCTCTCGAGCTTTGCTTGCATGCTGTTCGCGTGTTTGCTTCACTTTGTACTCCTTCTCGATAGCGGCTTGATACGTCTTCTTGTGGTGTTGCTGCCTTGCGGAGAAAGCCGCGGCCTGACCTTCAAGGTCATTCCGTATTTGCTGCGAAAGCTGCAGGTGAAAACCGGCTTGCTTATCGGTTTCCAAACGCAACGTATCCACGGAGTTCCGTAGTTCCCTGTGAGTTGCGATCAGTAATGAAACCCAGGCATAGGCCACACGTCAGATGCAAAGTTGCGCCACCACACAGCTGAACGCTGTGTATTCGACCCGAGTAATGAGACGGGAAATACATATCCCTAAGTGCTTTGTGGAGCAACGTGTAGTTCTGCAACTTGCAAAGCCACAACTGTGTCATCCCGCCCGCCCGACCAGAGCGGCCCGCAGGCGAAGGTCAGGGTTCAAAGAACTTGAGTAGCTCACCCTATTTCATCCTTGCCGATTGACATTTTGGCCAACTTCGCGAGCCGTTTTGCATAATCTTCCTCGATCGCAGATCTGCAGACATGTGTAAAGGTTAATGAGAAAAACATACGGGAGCCAACTTACCTCTCCTTCCAAAAGTTTCTCAACTCCTCCATTGTCCTTGCTGCTCCACGCATTCGAGCAAACAATACATCTACGCCTCCATCTCCAACACCCCAGAAAGAATTGCAGAAATCCAAAGAGCGAATGTTGGTATCGGGCGATGTGGTCCGTGCATATTTGGCTAGAGATGTTGTCGATGACTGCCTCCTGGCAGACATAATTCGTGATTTATGGCGAAATTGACAATCAGGCGAGGTACAGCAACTAAACTTGAAGTACAGAATGTCGTCGTTTCAAAGCGAACTGGGTCGTCGTCCGTTGGGTTATTCTTGAAAGTGCGTATACACGCCTCAGCAATGGCCAGTGGCAGTGCCATTCGGTGCGTGTACTGCCACGCGAATTTGATAATTCAAATCGTGGCTATAGCGCTCACAAAGGCAGTACACTCCAAGATCAACAAAAATGTTTCTAACACTCTAGGATGAAGCAAGGCCTTGTTGCGCTTTAAAAACAGGTTGCAGGCCTGCCAGAAGACAATTTTGAAGCTGCGTCCAGTGGAAATGTACCAAAGAATAGGAGAATGAATAGGCAGGTTCCTGAACGTTATGTTCACACTCTCCTTCAGACGGTGGCAGCGGTGGCGGAAGCAGGTGCGTGACTGGTAACTATGCGTCTAGTCTAGACTTATCAATTTCTGCTGTGTAGACACATCTGGACGAAGGTCGAGCTTGACCGGTCTGACCCTGCAGATGTCATATTCATTCTTTGTTGGACCTCGCCGGGTCAACCTCCCACTAGTGACATCACATGCGCAACTCTCAGGTAACAGGTTACTAGTACTACTCGGCGTTCAGCAACTTAGCTTGTATCTCAAAAGCTATGCAGGAGCAGGCAGAACCAGAAATGTTTCTTCTCTCAGAGAATGCGTGCGTGCGGTTATTTGGTTGTTCTGCTGCTGATAATATCTCAGTCTGTAAATCTTCGCAACCTTCTCTCATCTAAAACAATGACTACACACGGCTTTGATGTTCGTTGCCAGTGAATAACTTTGGCGTCACGATACAGCATTGGTGCATCATAACGCCAGTGTGGGAGGACACATCACACAGATTTTGCTAACCTGAAACCAACCAAACACCACGTACCTGCATTGATTTCAGGGAGCAATACGCTCCTCCTATCAATCCGCAGAATCACGGAGCAAATGGTGGTATGTAATATATGTGCTATATAATCTGCACAAGCGACAATGATTATTTTTGACCTTCTGGCCTGATGATAGTACCGAACGGGAGAATGAAAGCAACACACGCTATCCTGCGACATCTATTTGTAGACGTTCATGGACGAAATCTCGAAGTAGGCGTTTGTGAATGCAGTAGGGTTGTCTGTGGAGGGTTTACAGTTATACTGGACATTTGCACAGGAGCACTTACTGTTGACGTAAGTCACGCAGTCTAAAGGACATCCAGAAGCATTGTAGAGAGCCGGGTTACCTGCCCAGTCGCCGCCTGCGCGGGGCATGAGCACGACAGACCACTACAATACAATACAAAACCCACAGAATGACAGATTAATGATGATGTTTTGGCCTTGAAAGTGAGACTGGATGTCACACTCGGTGTTGTTAGGGAAGTTGGCGGCAGGAATGCCCTGGCAGTCAAATTATATGTAAGCATAATTCAAAAGGGATGTGAAAAGTATCACCCAGCTGTCAGTATCGATGATCCATGCACCGCTACTAACGTCCAAGGGAACAAATGGGTCGTGTCTCTCCCAGAACCAAACCTTGATATAGTGAAGTGTACGTTCCATAGCATACCTACGGAGGAACCTGTAAGCTGCAAGAGTGCTGAAAGTAAGTTTCCAGACCCATAACGCACCATCCTCCGCCGATGTTGTTGAATCCTGGACCAAAACTGCTGTTATCTTGAGTGTGCTTCACACCACACCCAACATTGTAAGCGACTATTGTATTTTAGCACAATGATGGGATCAGCTATGGTGGCATCACCTGAAGCGTCGCAGTTGGTTGTGGCAAAGGTTCTAAACAGTTAGCATTTTAGCCGGACGAGGTTCGATGCAGCGACAGATCAAAACATACCCTGACTGGAGAGTGGTATTTGGCATGGAGCAATCTGCGTCAAGTCAAATTTCATAGCAGTTACAAGTGTTATAGTGAACGAACTGTGACTAGTGTGAAGCGTCGACTGATTGGGCACCACATTGTTTGCACCCTCGAGGATATCGATTTCACCCTGGCGAAGTAATGCACGTCAGGATGGTAAAGTTATCACACAAGGAAAAAGAACAAACACCGGCAGGCCAACCAGTCTCTTTTGTTTCCCAGATAGCCTACTATCTGTTAGTAATGATAAACTTCATCGGAGCCGCCTACTTACGGGCCATGTTCTATTTTAAGATGTAAGCGACAGAATCCTCGAGCAAATTAAAGTAGCTCACCCGCATCCTTCGGGCATGTGCTGTATGTCAAAGCTATTATTGACAACGGCATCAGTCAGTACATAAGACATTTACAAGGAATCAATTACACAACAACATGTTCACGGTGCCGACGATTAGACCGAATCCTAACCGAATTCCGGCCTGTGTCATTGACACCCAAAACCGTAGTGTCATCTGCGCGCAAGATAAAGGTGTCATCCGTGGCATAAGTCAAGTTGAGTCTCTCCGCCGTTGTTCGGTTGACATACGTCCTGGCATTCCATTAAAAATGAACAAATTGCGTGCATGGGGGGCGGACGTACACACGGCCGTGGGTGGGGTCAGTAATGTTCTCGAAATTGAAGGAGTCGTAGAAGCCTTCACCACGAACGCACTCGTCCAGGGTGTAGATCCTGCCTGCCAGAGCAGATCCCACAAGCGAGGCAAGAACGAGAGTCCTGCTGCTGCTGATCTTCATGGTGGAAGTCGGCCTGGCTGATGCGTACAACTAGGGGGGCGAGCGGCCGGACCTGTTTCACTCTGTATTTAATACATCCACCCTACTCCCGAGGCCCGCGACGAGCAGAAAAAATGTAGTCCCGCGAGCAACGACGACGTGTCATCCCCGAGAGGCACTCCGAGATTGAACTACTAACGTAACTCGTTTCCGATCCGATTGGACGAACGGCAGGACTAGCCGAATAGCGAGCAAAGGATGACCTGCCACACGCTCCTGCACGACGTCGGACCGGATCAAATGGCGCGTTGTGCGAATGGATGCACATATCCTAGAAACTTTGTATTCAATGGCTAGCTGTTCAAATGCGTACCTTGTGTAAGAACTGGACAATGGTATAGTTACATACGCCGGGGATTGGAAAGCACAGCAAACGAATAACGCATCTCAATTGGCTGACTACGTTAGCAAGGCACCACCCACTGGAAGTTTACATAAAAAATTGATTGATTCCTCTAAGACCACCAGTAGTAGTACTGATGGGCCAGGCCAGGGATCAAGGAGCACGGCAACTGCCAGTAGTCTCCAGTAGCTGATGCAATATAAGATTTGCATATAGCTGCTAGCAGGTTAGCGTTGTCACAGCAGATCAAAACATACTGTGAGCCGAGACGGTAAAACAACTGATGCGAGCCGGTCATGCGAGTACACCGTGGTGTCATTATTTGCTGGCAGGCCTTCAGTGTGTCGAAAACACCTGCCAGCATGAACATCGGTCGGTCATTAATATCTTCAATATTCATTGAATTTTGAATTGGGGCCAGACTCACACGAGCGCTTCCGGAGACTGCAGGGCAACCCCACCCCAAGGCTGTAGATGGATGAATAATGTGCATCTACTGATGTACTATCAGGATCAACCACGACTCCAGTCAGTACGACAGGACTCTAGCACGGAGGCCCGCGCCAACCTCCCCGCTGCAATATAGTAGTAGGCACTGACGAGAGATAAATGAAGGGACGACTACAATAATCTCGTAATCACGAACAGTCCATGCTGAGAACTGGACATTGTAGTAGGGTGGTTTGACGTAGATGCTCGAGAGCGCCAAGGTTCCTAGCTCGTAGTCGGTAGTAGTCCTGCGTTGTGCTGTAGTAATCGGTTCTCGTCGTAACCTCCCGCTATAGAGGTTTAGCCTGTAGTCCGTGTCCGTTCCAACATGGCTCAAATCGGCACACGCGGGTGGACCACAATTACATCTTGTATTCTGTGAATATACTTGCACTAATTGATGGTATCAGTGTTGTTGTATGTGAGATGCAGACAATTTGATCTGTTGAACGTCGCTCCGCTTTAGATATGACTGAAGGTGTTACAGTTAAGCGGGATTCCAAGGGTCCGTGGGCTACAAGTTACACATCTCACCAACACGACTCGCAGTGTGTAATGGGTGCCTCGTACAAGAAGGCCGAGTATCAAGTGCTGCAGCGCTGAACAAGTGATCGATCTATAGTGATAGCATGCAACACAAGGTGGAAAGCAGAGAACGCAAGGGTGTCGAGAGAAGATATCATCCCACTCTATCCGAAAAATCCCTTGAAAAAATGGATCGCGTCGGATCTTGTTGAACACGATCATCTTTGAGCATCCTATGCAGAGGAATCAAGACATGAGTCATATTTCGCCAAGAAAGACCTCACCGTGCGTCAACTCGCGCATCCTCGCCCTCGACACCAATCACCGCTTGTGGCGTTTTGGCATCAATGACCTATCAGTAGTGTGATGAGATCTTGATTCACAAGGATGCGATCGATGCCACTTACATAGTGATTGTCGCAGTGCGGGCAAAACTCATCGCTCTCCTCGTAATTCGACATATCCTTCCTGAAGGCCTTCTTGCATTTCTTGCACACGAACACCATCTCAGTTGTCTTCCCTAACATATGATCTTCCGCCTCTGCATGACATTCTGCGCAATCAAACCATCGCTTGCAGCACGGAGCCCGTATCGAAACTTGAGCATTGAATATATGTTTGCTGAAATTGAGAGAATGAATGCCGCATTGAGATGGATGGAAGACGATACGCTACCGACCACATCACGATGAACAAGCAGAAGTCACTACGATAGTACTCGGTCTCAGGCTAGAATTCAATGAACTTCAACTCGAAAGTCTGCAAGATCCCGATTCCCGACACAATTTAAACCTTACACTTTTCCCACGCTATTAGTATCATACCTCCTGAAGGCGGCTCAAGACAACATGATGGTGCACCCGTAGTCAGATTTTCAGATCCGCAGCCCTTGATCAATAGCTGTTCCTTCATTTATCTCTATGTATTTTTAACGTTATAATAACACGCACGATTAATGGGGACATTGTATTCTAATCTTATGCTTAATTTTGACGCCATGCGAATTTGCGAAAAGACTTACTACAGTGTTGCGATGCATATCCATTATTAATATTATCAGCATGTACTTACCGTTTTTAAATATTGTTATTTCAGTTCTAGCCACTGGGACAAGTTTAGTGAAGTAAAATGAATGATGAGGCAACACATATGCATAAGTAGCCGACTGTTGTGCTTCAAGTTAGAGTTAGCAAAGCAGTCCATCTACAATATGTAAGGACAGAACGTTTGATCCCGTTGGTGTATTTTTTCCGCCAAATCATTTGATATCACCGGTACCAAAGCGGTGGTTCTTCAACTTCTGCTTCCTCCATCAGCACCCATCCACAACAGCAGAAATAATGAGAGTCCTTACCAAGTGGTGATCGCCAGCTATACACAAGATGATTTATATTCGACTTCCGCATGACTGTATTATGTTTGGACAGAGTAGCGTCGGTGAGAGTGAAGGCAGTCCCCATTTGCACATTCCCATCCTTTGTTCTGCGATTTGGTTGCAAGGATAGTGACGGTGACATCTCGTACGGCCCATATTTTGTACATTCCTCGTCCGACATGTCTTCGATTGAGAATTTCTGTATCGAGTGGCCGAGAGCTACTGTCTCATAGGGAGGCAGTTTATATGTAGACACATGTTGATCTCCACGCTGTACATTCATAGGATCTTCTCCGAATGTGTTTGATTGGGGGAATCGGCGGAGCTCGCGAGCTGCTTCCATATTTGCCATTTCCGCCTTGATTGAGCGCGGGAAGAATATCTGAGGTTCACTGCTTCGAATCAAATTACACGACTAGCAGCTATAAATGACGCACCATAAGAGTAATCCCAGAGGATACGACACAACCTATAACCGAAATCATCCCCAATAGGTCTAATAAGAAAGATGGGTTAATAACTTAAGCCTGCCGGGCACGGTGGAGTTGCATACCAGTGGCAAACCTAGACGATGAATTTAGCATATGACGTTAGCATATTTCAGACGCAGGCACACAACATACGCACATGTTATCGTTGATGTGCTGATGCGGTCTGACACCATCGATGCCCAATATTACCAACGGAACTGTGAAGAGAAACCGAAAAAAGACCCGGATACACTTCCATGTACCACACGTAAGTCGAGTAATGATATCACATCTGCGCAAAGCTTACGTTGAGCTCGTGAAACTTTGTAAGTCTAACCATTGTATTCATATCAACATCGGCTTGTTTCTGAAGAGAGCGGTCAGGTCGGATCGTACTCCTGCCGATCGAAATGAACTAACCAGGCTCTCGAGGAATGTGGGGAATGTCCACAAAATCGGAAGAAACCATATTGTCAAAGAAAAGCTTCCGAGACTCCCAGCCAAGAATATGTAAGCCTCGCACTGGTAAAAGCTTACAGTTTTGGTTTGATATTCAAACATGCAAATAACAGACCTTGTAGGGATCCTCTCGCGTGAAAACCGCGACAAGGGGCATATAAATGACCGCGACTATAGATCCTGTCGCCCATGTTTTGAAATATAAGCTGCGGAACCAATCTTGTTTCGCAGAGCTAGAGCGAATCAGGAAAAGCCAAAAACACAGCTCTACGGGGAGCAAATTGAGTCTCAACTCAAATGTCAAGGCGTGAAACATGAACCTTCTAGGTGTGTTACCCTTAGTCGAAATGTGAGCCGGTCTCGGTGAATATCGGTTGGGTAGACTCACATCTCTAATGCCCAACCAACTGAAAGACACAGGTATAGAGGGAGGATTGCGCTTTGTGCACTGTCGCGCCAAAGCTCATACGGAGTGGGCACGACTTTGAAAATTTGGCGTCAGCGAGATGTCAAGGTTATCGATTGGGCTCACTCACTACCCGTCCCGGGAATAACAGTGAAACCATAACTGTACTTGATAATGGAGAAACCCATAGCGTAGATTGCGATCAACGGAAGACTGGTCAAATAAGAATACTGTGAGACTATGTGAGTAATAAAATGGAAAAGAAGGAAACCGTTACGTACCGTCATGACCCGCTTGAACGTGCCAGAACGTGGTCCATGATTCCACCTGTACAGATGTAGTTAGGGCACTGGTAAATTATGTGTGCAACAATCCACCAACCTCAGACATTTGAAACGATCAAAGGACCAGAGATGATAAACTAAAACGAATTCGAACTGAATCAAATGGATGTCAGTATTTCTTCTATTGAACAATCGAACACTAGACAGACCATAATTATAAGCACTGCCCATATGAGATTGACGGCTGGACTCAAGTGGGCCATGATTCAAAGGCGAGCAAGGGAGAATAAGCGGAAAGAAGAGGAGGCCAGCCTGAGTATAAGAGTTGCGCGAAACAATGATGGAGATCTATATAGTGCGTAAGTCTCGCTCACACCCGGAAGAGAAAGGATCGCGAAACGGAAGCGAGTTTGTTTAGGAGGCATGGCACATATATTAATATATGACATTATCGCAACAACACCCGTTGTGGCACGTTCCTGTTGGGACGATGATCTAAGAAGTGATTACAGGTACTGAGGTGGTGGTACCTGTAACGGGTCCGGGCCCGAGAGTGGCTAGTGATCAGCACAGGTTCAATTCAATAGCCTGGCAGTCGAGCTGATTCAACGAACCAATGCGGAACTTTTATTCAGTGCTGTACCATGTGGAGGCTGCACCGCTGCACCGCCGCTGCAATCGTCATCGTGGGGTAAGTCGCTTAACTTGTGAAAAAATCACCAAAGGCCCGGTAAAAGTGGTGAACTGCCGAGCCGTCGGATCTCGGCAAATAGTGTGGATGATGATTGGGTGATGAATGAATCTGATTCATATCATTTTCTAAATCTTTCATGTACAATGGCTACATGGCCGCTGCCCACAGACGACGACAAAGAAAACCTCCTCCTCTCATGTCGATACGATGATCTCAACGACGTACAAGGTTTCGTAACAAAATTCGGCTCAGACGCCCTCTCCAGCGTCCGAGACGACAACGGAAACACTGTACTACACATGACATGCGGGAATGGACACATAGGTGAGACGCGATCTCATCGTATCACATCTCCATACAACGAGAACTGATTCGCGTAAGGTATCTCGTAGACGTGCTGGATTATCTTCTTCCTCTTGTCTCCCCTTCCGTCCTGTCTGCACAAAATAGCGCCGGCTCCACTGCCTTGCACTGGGCAGCGCTGAACCAGCATCTCGAAGTAGCACAGAAGCTGGTTCAGTTTACTGGGGCAGATCTAATCGATATAAAAAATACCGCCGGACGATCACCCTTGGGGGAAGCTGAAATGATTGGATGGGATGAGGGCGCAAGGTGGCTTGTGCAGGAGATGAAACTCGACGAAACAAGCCAACATGACGTTAATGATAACGAAGAAGATAGCCCCATGGCCATGGACCCTGCACAGGATGTAGAAGTAGAGATCCAAGATGCGGATGGCCAGGTGGCAAAGATGACGATAAGCGGTGGCGCAACCACCTGATTGTTTTGTAGGTTTGGTATATCCATGCCGTGTGCGAGTACTGTCTTATAATATCACGCAGCCATCACGTCAAGATCTTGATTCAGTCGGGTGCATATGAAACACAGAAGCGCTTTGCCAAGTCTGGCAACGAACCTGAGCGTTTCGCTTTTGGACGAGTACTTACATTTCAATTCTATAGGTCGCGTGAAGGATAACATGGTGATGGCCGGATCGAAATCTCCGTAGAACAGTACTATGGAATTGGACTTACATCAAACTCATATCTGAGCAACACAACCTGATCATGAAGTTTAGGTGTTCGATCCTAATACGTTTCACCTTCTTGAATCTTCGCGCGATAAACGTAGGACATTGCATGATGTAGAATGGAAACGCCTAGGGCCGCGTAGCCAAATGTCACCTATAACACAGCACGAGTTCACAACTATCAAAATTACCATGTGGTTACTGCACAAATCAAATACATGGGGAAAACTGAAAAGAAAAAGATATCAAAATTCACGTAACATTCAAGGGGCAAAGCTCCTCTTCATCACGTTCCGAGCGTTTCACATCGACGGTGACCGTTCTTCCACAGGCCATGACAATGCTGCTGCGGAGGGGTGTGAGCGTGTAGTTGACATTCCTCTTCACCATCTTTCACCGTCCATTTTCCAGCAGCATGCTTCTCCGTTACGTTACGTGACAACAAGTCGTCTGGGTTTGCTGTTCTACAATTTGATTTTGCATTCTCGTTTCCAAATTCATCAATATGTGCAAATTCGTTTGGTGGTGGATTGGCCAAGAAAAGCGCACCACGCTTCCACCCGACTGCTTCCGAAGTAGGAGAGAGAAATTCGCGTGGTGCAAACGGACTCCAAGGAGACAAGGTAGACGAACGAGACCTTGTTTCCAGCATAGGCGACGAAAATCCAGATCTCACACGCTCCGAACGACGTGGCATGGGCTTTGTTTGCTGTGAGACAGTGTAGACGAGCTCGCCGGCCACACGTCGTTGCGGAGGAACATACTTTGCATAGGCGCCTGAGCGTAGGGTCAATCCAGGAAAGCTGCATCGACATTCATCAGATAACATGTATCATCCGTTCAGGTTGACATACCTGTCAGCTTGATTAGAGGCCAACGCCGGCGTCCCCGGCTTTGTTACGAGATTGTCGTCAAGGGGCTGAACTTGCGTCTTACAGGAATTAGGCTGTTGTAGTGAGGTGTGGGCACACGGCGTCTTTCGCGTAACAGTAGACCAGGAAGCAGGACGAGATGCGGACCCACTGGAAGGGTTCCTGTCGGGCTGGTCGCCATCCGTGGCGATGGTTTGAGACAGATGAAGTATAGTCCTGGCACCCTTTGGTTTGAGTGGCTCTAAAGTCGTAAAAGCAGCGGTGACTCTCAGTCTCTCTTGCACGGCTGTCTCCCAGAACGAATCTGGACCGTCGGATTTGCGTTCTGACCCAGTTGACCGACTGTAGTCCGGTTTAACCTTGGTACCGACAAGTCCATTTGATGAATGTTGACTGCCTCTGCTAGAAGGGACCGGCGTGCTGGCACTCCGGCGATGCATATCGAATGGCGTAGCTGTGTGTTCCGAATCACATAGAGAATCGCACTCTAATATATTATCGCGTCTGGAAGTTGACGGTGAAGGACGGGAAGTAACGTGATTCTCGTTCTTGTTAATGGGTTGTTGTGAAGATAATCTGAGAGCCAATTGATCCCCTGGAGACTCGCTGCAGAAAGCCCCTTCCTCGCAGCTGGAATCACTATCTTCTTCGAGATCAGCACCGATACCAGCCGTCTGAGCCCAGCTTCGCTTTTTGGGAACCATCGATGAAAAAGAAGTTTGGCTACTCGAGACGGAAAGATGCCCGTCATGGTTGGGCCTTGCAGGTATAGTCATTTGAAGGTCGCCATCGCGAGTTGCACCATCACACTTGCGAGCTGGCCAATGCACATCGTGCGTTCTTGCTTTTTCGTGATATACAGCCTCAGCCAGTGGCGGGAAGTTGCGGACGAGATGCACCGGACATAAGGGTTGGCGTGGCTCAGGCTTAGCATTGTGGATGACTAGTTCGAAACCTGCGGAGCTCGACGATTCGAGTGAAGGTGAGACGTCCATAGACGCCGGATCATTGCAGGATACAGACTCTTGACTCAGTGTGCGTTCGGTATCGCCATGTTCGTTAGCTGTTTCACGTGGCAATACACATCGACTGTTATATAGGTGTAGGGCTGCGCCAATAACTTTGGGACTGTCCAGATCCTCATGTAGGGCATGTATGTTGGGAGCTCGCAAGATGTCTTGTTGTGTAGCAAGCAAACCTGAATCGCTGTGGTACGCTTCTTGGTCGGGAGTGACGCATACGCTCTCGGTCCCGGATAGCTCGAGTGAAACCGCTGCACTTAGAGATTCCCTGTCACTCCCGAAAATGGTTTCAAGGCTACCCCATGATGGGAGGACCAGTAGACGAATTTTGTTTTTAAACTGGAGGCAAGTGACAGAACACAGACATATGAGACCAAGGTTGAGGGCAACCAAGACCAGGATGCTGCAAAAACCACTGTTAAAATAAATCAACTGGTTAGAGTAAAGCAAAACTAATATAAATGTCAGCAGAGGTAACCACAGTCTGGAGTATGGCCTGACCTAGAGAATCCACGAAGTTTGACAAGTAGTGTTTGTGCTGGGAAATCAAGAGTGCATATGTGAGAGTGGAGGATGACGGGGAAGAATGGTGGTCATGAGCAGAGACACGACTGCTTCTATTGCTCGAGGCGAATCCGGCGGGAAGATAGTTTGCCGGAGGATCTGGCCACAGGAAGTTGTGTCTCTCGAGGACCGTAGAGTCTCCGTCGATGCTCCGAACAGAATTGAAGGGATCCAGGGTAGCCAGCAAAGGTGACCATTGGAATAGTTTGAGAAGGGCTAATAACGAATTTCGCAAGAAGAAAGTCATGGAACTGAACGCAACAAACGGAAAGAAATATCGATCCCTCGCCAATGCAACTTAGCATTTGTTTGTTCGTATTGTTTGAAAGGGCCTTATTAGGATTTTGCCGCATCATACCCCGTGCCGCACCCTTCAAGGGATTCTGGTCATATGAATCTCAGTCGCCATGATTCCAGTACTCGGGGAGACTTTCATGTGGGTCCCATCGATCTTGGTGTGTGCCAGCGTCTTTTCCCCATTGTTCACTCCCTGCAGCACCTGCAGCCGATGAGAGTTCGAACGTTCGCTGTTCAAGTTGGAGGTCAAGCCAGGCGGCCTGGAGTATCGCATTTGCTTCCTCTTCAGCAAGGACCCGAAAGGCTGAAGATGATCTCCAACTACAACCGGGAATTTATGGGCAAACAGGTGACGGACTTGGACGTGCGGGGTGGACAGGCATGTTTCGAAGGACGAGAATGTAAGTCACAATATAGAATCACTATATAACGCTAATACTACAAATACTCTCTCTAATAGTGGCCATCAAACGCCGATAATACGGCATCGTCTAACTCTTTGGCTATCTATCATGTTGCAACTCCAGGTGAGTAAGTCATCTCTTTGTACCGGCATCATCCTGACGCGCCTGACCATTGCCTGCTGCCTTTCTAGTAGGCACCTACATCACAATGGCAATGGGCACTGCGTCACGACGAAACTATAGCATCCCTGATACTCACCATAACCAACCGCGCCTGCTCCCTCGCCCTCCGTATCTCAAACTCAGGTTCTGTCCCATCGAGCTGCGCGTACGACGGCCGAGGGCCGTTTCGAAGCTCGTACATGGATTACGCGTGGTATCTACGAGTATCACATCAACGCACAACGACCCTAAAACAAGGAACATGCCCAAGCCCGTCAGCCTTATCTTCTCCTACTCCGCATTCCTCTTCACCTGCTCTCCCGGCTTCAAAACAGGATCAGCCTGTGGCTAGTAAATCCCAGGTGCAAGCCTCATGCTCACCTGTAGCTGCTCCCCCGGCTCCCAAGCCGCGTCAGGCAGTGGCTAGTAAGTCCCAGGTGCAAGCCCCATGCTCACCTGCAGCTGCTCTCTCGACTTCGAAGTCGCATCCCGTTCACACAGCACCATCCGAGGCATCTACGCCACTTCCCCGCAAGAAACAGAAGAAGCCCACTTACGGAATCCGAAGCGGAGGAAGTTGAGACTCCAGTTCGAAGATCGCCCCGAAAAGCTTCAACCCAAGACCGCTAAATCCACTAGCGCACCGAAGAAAGGAGGGGATGAAAATGATCTGTAATGATCGTCCATTTTGTCTCATTGTCGACGCTGATTTTTTTCTCACTCAGGATGTGTCTTTCTCGTCCGTCCGTCTCATTTGCAATATTCAAGCCGCTGTCCACTCGTCGCATGTTTCACTCTTGTCGTCGTCCCACCTCTCATTCGCAATTCGCATTTAAAAGGGCCCCGCCTATTACGATACCGAATCGTCGGGCGAGATACCCCAAAATGCTACTGGACTGTGCAGCCTTCTCATTCGACACGGTCTTCGGACACCATTCTCACTATGGTTGGAAACCGCCGTCACATTCAATCCAGCAGCCGCCATGAAGCAACAATGGGACCATCTTTTTGGCCAGCTCCACAACTAAACAAAAGCGGTGAATGAACAAAAATGGATTCTGGCCTATCGATATGAAGTTAGTTGTAATTCATTAATCAATGTCAGAGGGAGTACAGCTACAATGCTCTGCACCTCATTTCCAAGAAAAAGAGCGAAAATATCAATGGGTTTATTATGTAAGCTCCATGCGGTGATTATAGGTCACTCATCACCGCTACCATTCAATATATTTCTGAAAACTGTTCCATTGCTCACGTAGGCGTATAAAATGAGTGCGGCTGGTTGATATGGTCATCCACTCCAGTTCTCTCCCCCTTACACACTCGTTACAAATGCCCTCCAAGGCAAGATCATTGCTCGAGCTCACCAGGCTCCACTTGGGGTGTGACTTCATGTTCTGGCCCTTCGGTGAGTCAAAAGATGCATGGAAGGCACTACTCGTCGGCTGATTTTATTGTACTTAGCGTGGGGCTTGCTGGCGGCATCATATCATGTAGCATTACCCATGAGTGAAGTTGTCACGAACACTTTGTTCTATGCGTTGTTAGGCACGCTGGTACATAGTGCAGGCTGCATCATAGATGACATGCTTGACCGCGAGTTCGATCGCAAAGTTGGTATGTCGATTCCATTCTGATTGTCGCTAATCGCCTGACAATGTTCAATCAGAACGTTCAAAAAACCGACCGATCGCGTCGGGAGCTGTCACTATTCCAGAGGCCTCGGTTCTTCTGATCGTGCTCGTTGCTGCCATCTTTTACATGTTCTCAACTGCTGGCCCTACAGCGTGAGTAAATTATCCAGAAAGTATCAAGACTTCTCTGACAGGCTAGTTTAGTCTGTTACTTGGTCTTGTTGCACTCCCAGCTGGTGGTGGAACGTATCCGCTAATGAAGCGCTGGATGTATTGGCCGTCTTTGTACCTTGGTATGGCTTTCTTGCAATTAAAAATTATGCACCGTCTGATTTAGTTCCCAGGTTTTGCTGTTAGCTGGGCCATCCCATTCACGTGGGTGGCAATTACGGGTGAGTTTGATTGGGGCATGATACTGAATGTCGGAGTCGCGTCATGCTGGTAAGTGTGCCAGAAAGGTGTTTGTTTCTCCGAGGGGCTGACGGTGCCTCCCTAGCTGGACGTGTATTTACGACACTATCTACGCGTGTCAGGTGACTAGCCCATTTGGTTCTACTCTGAAATGTCGGTGTTAATTACGTTATATCAGGACAAGAAGGACGACGAAAAGGCTGGAGTCAAGTCCATGGCAGTCCGTCTGGGCGATGGCATTCGTCCTGCATTGAGTGTATTTGATGCGATATTCTTTGCGTGTCTTCTGTGGGCTGGGTACTTGAATGGCCAGCACCTACCGTTCTACGTGATGAGTGTCATTGCACCCTTCTTCCTCTGTCTGTGGCACATATGGTCATTTGATCATAATGATCCCCAAGACAGCTCGAAGACATTTTCGGTATGTTGAAGTGTATAACTATGAGCTGATTCTGATATCATATTGTTGTGCTACAGGCATGTCGCCACGGCGCAGCGTTGGTGTGTGCAGGATTGGTCGTGGACCATTACTGTAATCTCGTGTCCCTGGCCATTTGAGCATGTACTTTCATCTCAGGCTGGATTCGAGGTGACGCCTTCAACCATCTTGTCAATGTACTTACCACAACCTTGCACTTGCCTGTTGTTATCCTGGAGTGTCGCTCTTTTTATCTAACCTACAAACTAATGGATGAATCGACGTACTTACTACAGTCTTTCGCTTTCAAGTTCATGTTTTTATCCTGGAATACTGTTTATGTTTTTTTGATATACAAACTAATACATGATTGATGATGTAGACATCGCGAATTAGTGTGATAATCACCCCTGCGTGGTAGTAGGGAAAAAGGAAGTACAACTCGTGGTACGAGGGGTCGAAGTCACGTATCCAACTCAAACATCCCATAGCAACTACCTATCAATACAAGCTTAGCTTTCAGCATCAGCGACGGTATGTACTGATTATGAAAACTCAGGTACTAAGCCAGCGTGCTTACACCCCTGCGTGGCAGTAGGGAAAGAGGAAGTACAGAGGTCAAGCCAGGCGGCCTGGAGTATCGCATTTGCTTCCTCTTCAGGAGTAGGAACTGAGTCCGTTCATGTCAAGTGCTACTGAGCAACGTTCAGTCAAAATACTTTTTGGCCAACTACTAAGCCCTAGGCGTCGGCTAATATTAATGATGCAATGCTACAACACATGATTTGTAATACCACTTTGCTGAAATGTTTCAGCGATATTATGAGTCTCAGATCTGACGTTATGCACTAGACTACTTTTTTGTGCAACAGGTTTGGGCACATGTCCCTCATGATAGTTCTGCAAACCTCAGGCTACGATATTCGATTAAAACGCATCAGCAAGGACCCGAAAGGCTGGAGATGATCCCCAACTACAACCGGGAATTTACTATGAGCAAACAGGTGACGGACTTAGACGTGCGGGGTGGACAGGCATGTTTCGAGGGACGAGAATGTAAGTCATAATATAGAATCAGTACATAACGCTAATACTACAAATCCTCTCTCTAATAGTGGCTATCAAACAACGACAATACAGCATCATCGACTCGCTCGCCGGCTATCGACGCCTTGCGATCATGTTGCAACTCCAGGTACTAAGTAAGTCATCTCTTTGTACCGGCATCATCCTGACGCGCCTGACAATTACCTGTTGCCTTTCTAGTAGGTGCCACCTACATCACATCGCAATGGCAATGGGCACCGCGTCACGACGAAACTATAGCATCCCTAGTACTCACCATAACCAACCGCGCCTGCTCCCTTGGCACCACCGCTCTTCTCGCCCTCCGTATCTCAAACTCAGGTTCTGTCCCATCGAGCTGCGCGTACGACGGCCGAGGCTCGTACATGTATTGCGCATGGTATACCTGCGAGTGTCACATCAACATACAACGACCCTAAGACAAGGAACATGTTCACAGACCTGTTGAGTCATATCTTTCAATGCTAAGTTTTGACATGTAGCAGCTTTCCTCTTGGTTGGACCACACGTTTTATTGGGAACCACACTTTCAAAGCTCGAGATAAAATGTTACGAGGGCTGTGGGTGAATTCCACAGCACGAAAATGGGCAATGGTCCGGGCAAACGAACAAAAGTGTCAGTGGCATGGTGAGTGGCGCACGCTTTGCCTCGTCCACAGTTTGCTTGTATACAAGTTTTTGCTTAAATACCTCTTGCGAAGATGAGAAGGCCATCACTCACTCCCCTCATTCGCATTCTAAAATTCTAGCTTGCATCAAATAGCTCTAGGAATTCTATACTTTGCTTATTGCATAGACATGGAAACGGGTCCCGCACGTTACAACCCCATGGACGCACAGCGTTTCGACCCCCTGCGACGCACTAACATGGTCAGTATTTCCTTTGGTTTCATTACTTTGCGTTTTCTTAACATCATTGTCCGCCTCCGTTCCATTTTTTCAGAGACTCGTCTCGCTTTTCAAAACCGGCAGTTCACATTTGATGAGGCAGGACCCTTGCATCAGGACCGAGAAAACGAGCGCAAGTGATGCATGGCCGAACCACAAGGTTGTATTTGATCCTATCGAGGGGAAGGTTCTTATTTGGAGGGGTCGCGCCCATCCCTTACGGACACATGCTCCACTTCCGCTACACCTGTCGACGTATACCACCCCGCTGACATCGTTGTCACACGTACCATCATCCGCCCTAATCCCAATCCCCATCGTCGTCCTACTCGTATGCTATCTCGCACACAGATGGTGTTTAAACGGATGTTCTCGCGCGCGCCGTCTCCCGCAAGCACATACTCTTTCTCTCCATCTTCTCCGTCATCTGCGTCAACCCGATCCACTCCCCCTTCGCGCTTCAAGGGCCTGGTGCTCAACTGTTTCAGCGCATCCTCAGCCTTTGATAGCAAGGCCGATGATATGCAAATGCACAGGAGGGAGAGGCCTGTGTTACTGGCGATTGTGAAGGAGACAAGGGAAAGATATGAGGATGATCAGGCGTTTAAGGAGATCGTGGGGAGTGTCATTCCTGCTGCTGGTGTGAGGGGCGGCGCTTGAGTTTGATCTTTGCATGGCGTGGGTTAGATGCTTGTGAATGGTTTTTCTGCAATTCTGGACGCCCTATTGCATATACACTCCTTGTTACGCTAATTATTTACAATATCTGGGGACTGTCTGTATGTCTGTACACTTTCATTTATGTGTATTTCATAGTAACTTGGTTGTCATCTATCTTGTATCTACTTGTGTTCACTATGCGAGTGAGTGTTGCGTGATCAAAAGTTTCAACGTTCGAACGTTCAATGTTCAATGTTCAACTGCAAAATCGGCTTCCCTGTCAAGTCACAAGTAATAGACAACGTCACATGAAGTTGAATGTGTTATCCGATGTTCAAAAAAGACATACACAATTACAATATTTCTAGCGTCCTAATGTCCGTCGTGCCGTGCATAGATGTCATATCTTTAACTTGTGCAATGATATCGTGATCCGATGCGATCCTCTTGTATACCCCACTGCGCTGCTGGGTTAGCAAAAATGCGCCAAACAGCTGTCCGAGGCAAGCGATCAATCGCAATGCCTGCGAGTAAGATTCCGAATCGGTCAACTCCTCTTCTCCAGGCGAGCCGTCAAGGGACTCGGGCTCAGACCAACCTCCCAAGCTTTCTGCATCGTACGAATCTGCGAAGTCAGGCAGCTCGAGGAGATGATGATCCCAAGGACGCACAAGTAAGAACGTCCGTCGAGTTGGTCTAAGCCACGAGAATTGAATCAGTTTCTCTTTGGTGGTGATCAGCGAATCATCAAGCCCGCCTACCTTTCCGTATGTGATCAAGGGGGAGCCTTATTGAAAAATAACCCATATTGACTTGCCACTTCAGCATTAACTGCAATAGAAGATTGAGCCAAACGCAAACAGGGTCTGGTCGACTAACCATTTTTCAGTGATGGAAGGGGCATGCCATGGCTCAGTGCTTGTTGCTAGTGTTAGAGGTATTGCGCACTTTGAGCGCATCTTGTAACAAAGTAAATGTCGTGACATATTGCTAAGGGCGGGATATGAAGGAGACACACCTCTTCCTAGTGACCCATGACATAAAATCATGCAAGGTTCAGGCCCGCATCAGCACGCGGCGCTGCTGCTACCGAACACCTTATCTCGGTTCATCGATGCTTCAGCCTGCTGTTCTCCACCATTTCTTCCTTCGCCATCATGCGTCATTGCAGTGTGTGCAAGATCGAGTGTGAAAAGCCGCTACGATGCTCAAAGTGTCAGAAAACTATGTGAGTACAAGCTGGTACGAGAGATAAAAACCTTTGATCTGACTTGTGATGATTGGGATAGCTACTGCTCGTACGTGACAAACACCAGCGTTAGCACTTATTAGACTGGGAGTCTAACATAATAATTTTTCTCTAGCGCGGACTGCCAGAAAGTTGACTGGAAGGTGCACAAACGCAGCGTCTGCACCAAGCCGGCCATCTTACACAAGGTGGACAAAATGATGAAAAAATGGGGCGGGCCAGGGTCGACGATGGACACCATCAATAAGATGGAACAAATGGCTTGGGAAGAGCGTCGACGGAACCCGATTCCTGTGTCGAAATGCGATGGTTGTCTTTTGCGATTCTGTGGTACTCCTCCAGATGAGGATGAGGAGGACGACGAGGACGACGAGGACTATGTGAAGGATGTGGGAGATGCCTTCAAGCGGTGCACGACTTGTGATTACACCATTTGCGAAAATTGTACGCACCCAGATATGCAAGGTACGTTTCATGGTTTTCATCTCTCCATTATTACTGCTAACTCTTTGAACCTCAGGTGTGCCATACTTTGATCGCCCGCCAGGTACTTGCCGCTGCCTAAAGTCGAACTTTGGTGAAAGTTACTGCTTGTCGTCGCCCTGTTACCTTCACGGTGATGGTAGAAAACCATACCATGGTGATAGACACCCTGATGTGGCGAGTAGTGGGTATGGTGAAGATGCATTTGAAGCGGAGGAGCGGAAGTGCAGGACGTGTGGTGTGATTGCGCGATGCTTGAAGAAAGAGCATCTGAAGGATGCGGTTCCTGGCATGAATTAACCATGTAAAATCTTGCAAAACCTCACTTATGCAAAATTGTCTGTCTTCCCTTTTTCTAGCCTGAATTTTGTCTATACTAGGTCTTCTTAAATAGCGTGTTGTTGCAACGTTAGGCCTCCCTCACGCGCACGCATGATATAACGCGCCAAACTAGTAGCACTGCAAAATCAAATAACGCAGTAGAGTGGCAAATACACAGCCACCAGACAGAGGCGGCTCTCAGCCTCTCTGTTGTTCAAGTTGTTTGTTCTCAACAAACACTTGATAAGTATTTTATATGCACGACGCGCCCAACAGCAGCCCGTTTCATTCGCAGCGCCATGGGTATTTGTGCGCACATCACAAGAGCATCCTGGGAGCACATGTGGAAGAAATTTAGTCTACTCCCATATTCCTATCTACCTGGGTATGCTCTACATCCTCACCACTCGCTAACCTAAGCAGCCCCACTTCGCCGCCAACATCATCCACCGCTCTCGTCCTTCTTTGATACTTGAAGGAGTACTATCCTACCGCTCGCAGGAAAGTCTGACGTTTCAGGACCCACTGCAAAGATTGTGAGAAAACGCGTTTATTAAAGTCCGGTATGGCCATTTGCGTATAAAATACAAGTGCCTAATTCATCCATCAATTCCTGCTTGACCGAGATCTTCGCTACTCTTAGCAAAGTGAGGCCTGCAAATATGTCAGTGATTAAAGGAGGGAATCATTACTTGAAAAAAGGCTTACCGTTCATCGTCAGGACCCGGCCTCGATAATGCTGTCCTTTAGAAGGGACAGCTCTGCATCAGCTCGATGAAGAGATTTTTTGTCCCTGTCATACGCGGCAGCAACGTGTCTGGCATCTGCCTCGAGAGGCCTCAGTTTCTGACGGTCAACAATCATATCAAGTAACCAGCGTGACTCCTCCTTCGCTGCTACGAATTCCATTTCTGAACTGACCATTGTTGTTTGAAGAAAAGCACACAGCCTTTTGGTCTCCTCGAGTTCCCATGCCGCAGTGAACATGCGCATGCGCTTGCGTTCGCGAACTGCTTCTTTGTAGTGCACAGCATAACGGAATGACTCGGGTGAGAGTTGTTCTATTTGCCTTGTATACACATCCTTAACCTAAGTGCATGTGAGATGTTGCCAGAGCTATACACGACAGCAGGACCTACCCTAGAGCTTATCGACTCTGACGAATCGTCACTATTAAAGGGTCTGCCTAATAATTTAGAGCCCAGGTACTCCTCTTCGAAACTTGGGGATGGCCGGTGGTAAGGGTGGGAGCCTCGGTTGCGTTGCCTCTGAAAATGGCTTAGAGTTGGCGACCTACGAGGGAGGATATGCGCACATCCCGTACGGTAGGAAGATTTAGAATCAGGCATCAAAGGCAAGATATCTTCTTCAGTATCTGAACCCGAGGTTGTGGCGGCTGTGGTGGTCACGTTTGAGTCTCTTGACCATTGCATAACGTGCATCATCAATACCTGATTCTGAGAGCCCGGGACTCAGAGAGGATGGGGAGGGTGGAGGTGAGTTTTGATTATAAGAGTCCACCTCGTCGGAGGAAACTGTAAGGGCTGCAGTGGGGCATTTAAATTGGCCTTCATCACAGGCAAGAGTTGTTGTGTTCATTCTTCAACGACTTGGATGGGTGTTGGGTAGCAGAGCATAAATAAACGATTAAACCGGAGCTTGAAGAACTACCGTAGCAGTGAATACTATGATCGTCTGTGAGTCTGTGACACTTGAAACTCAGCTCTTCCCAAAAATGGTATTTGAGTGATTGACCAGAAGCTTCTCTATTCCGTACTGTTTTTCGATCGCTGACATATAAACATTCTAGCTGCAGTACTCTAGCCCGCATTCTCGATTTCCAAGAGCCCAACGCCGAGAAGAGCACTCAGGCTGCGATAGATCTACACATTGCAGCTGAATCCGGGTAACCGTGACTTAGCTGTGTATGGTGCTGCCAGCCTTCTCAGTTCCTGTCCTGTCGTGAAGGTCAGAGAGATGACTGCCACTTCCCGTCCGCTCCGAGTCCTATTCATGGGCAACGCTTTTAATGATTGGCTGATTTGTATCAGCAGGGGCTTTCTGCATCCACACCAGATGGTTCGCTAGTGTAATGCTAGCGCACCTCAAATTTTGCACATGGCATATCTTCTATTCGGTCCACGAGCAGGAAGAACATCTCGTTGGCTGCGTCGCTGTCGTCAACCTCGTTGATCCCACGTCAACTCAAACATCTACAAAGTCTTGTGGCGATAAATATAGGGAGCTCGGCGGGAGCCTCTACCAAGCCTCTACCCAGCTTTCCTCACCCTGGGCCCTGGTCAAAATCCAATGCTGTCTTTACTTCTGATAGTTTCTGCCATTCTTCTCCCGATTCTTGCATCTGCGGAATACTCCTGTGACTCAGGAATAACTATGTGTTGCTCCAACACCACGACTGTGTGTCATGATCATTGTCTTGGAAAAGGCTTTCAAACATGCTAAATATTAACAGACAAACACAACAACCGCTGAAAAAATCATCGCTGCATATTCTATCAGCGAGTCTGGGTTAAGCGGTCTTATCGGCTACGGATGCAGTGCTATCAAAACCACGGATAATGGAAGCGTTTCAGCGTGTATCAACGAGACTGCTTGTTGCACCGGGCAGTACTATGTAAGACACCGACGCTGGTCTTGTTTTACACTGACATTTGATCATAGAGTGGTGGGATTGCTGTCAATTGTACCGCCACTGTGAGTGTGTAAAGGTCCATGAACTTCCCCCTGAAGAAACATTGCTTTGACGTGCCCAATTCGAAGGAGTGTAATCTACCTGTTATTTGTACTCAAGGATCTCGTGCATTTTGAATCATGATTATGATTTATCTCCTTTCTCTTGCGTTACATTTATATCTTGCTGAATTGTTCAGACATAGAAAATCCTATGATACAGTGCACGTTTCGATTACTTACTGCACCCACTAGCATGCTAACAACTTTGCGTTAATATTTGTTTGGCAAATGCGCTGATTTTATTCATCTTGCGACGTACCAACAACTTCTCGTCTCGTGCATATGCGAGGATCCAGAAGGAAGTGACATGGCAAGGAATCTGTAGACAACTTAAGGACTCAGGACATGAACATACCAGCTCAGCGGCTTCAGAACCTACTGGACTACAACACCACACCCACAAAAAATTCTCAGCATCACAACCCGCCTCAATTATCATAAAACGAAGCGTCGAGAAGGCCTTGTTTCAAGAACGGTACAGAGAAAGGCGGAAGATCAAACGGATTGGTGATGGTGGCACTCAGGGCTGTTGCGAGTTCCTCCCCACCAGATGGGAAGAGTTCAGGATATGCACGAGAGGGCGTTCCGGTCAGATACCAGGCGGGGTCAGTGACTTCTCCTGTCGGCGTTGAAGGTAGCAATGGTAGATCATATTGAGAGGGATGGTTATATGCGTACGAATCCGCGTTGAATGGGTCATCAGGACACGGGGAATTGGCTAGCGGCAGCGGCTGAGGCGCAGGACCTTCGAGCAAATCTTTGATGTGGCTGGCTTGTCCAAAAAGGCCAACCGGGGAACATAGCGGTTTTGGATGCTTCCCATCAACGGACGTGATGAATATGGTGGGTGCGACGGCGACGTGCGCTTTTGCTGATGTGGAGCGAGCAAACTTGCACAGCCATCGCTTCTCCTGTAACTGCTGTTTTAAGTTTGCAAGGTACCCAGACGCAGGCGAGTCTTTGAACTTGGCAGACCAATGGGGAGCAGGAGAGACGATCATGTCAGAAGAGGTATTCAGGGATTTGATTGGAGAGATGTTCTCCTGAAGCTTAGCATAGTGACTCTCGCCCAGCGAAAGCTTCTCTAGGGTTGCACTAAGCTGTCGCACGATGTAATCGCCCGCCGAGTGAGAACGTAGGTCAAACATGGACGGAGATGATATCAATGCAGAGGATGCACCAGACCTGTCTGCGACGGGGTCTACAGGGGCTTTCGGAAGAAGAGCTGAAGTGGTCTTCGAAGGGCGCATACCAAACAATGAACGTGACGACTCCTCCGATGGAGCTATGCTCTGTTCAGTGGTGGTAGACCGGCTAGTAGATTGTGAGAAGATGCGCGTGTTATTGATTCCTGGTAGAAGACTCGAATGGTTGGCATTCCATTCGTAAGGCGGGTGCCTGGAAGGAGGTGACAAGCTCATATCATATTCAGGATGGGGTGATGGGACTGAAGTAGTCTGCTGCTCAAGCGCGACCTTTCCCTTCAAACGGTGGTGCCTAATGGACTTGAAAAGGTGACTAAGTTTGATGGGCGAAATTTCAGTGTTTGCACCGCGGGTCTTGCGATGGCGTTGCTGTGTTTTACCAGTCTTGAGCTTGCCGAGAGAGAGGGAAGGATGTGGCATTCTAAAGATGTCGTAGAGCACAAGATCAGTAAAGGCCAAAGCGGTCACTGCTGCTCACCCTGACTCACTGTCAATCATTAGAAAGATGACTGGCCAACCAAGCTAGTCATTCCAATGATTTTGGGATGGTCTAGATGTGAACATTCAGTTCTCGACTGTCCTGGATCTATGTAGCAAATAACGGTCGTCTCCTGCGGTATAAGAAGGCTAAACCCAGGTCCGAATCACACGAAGTTGAGGAAATCTCAGTGCAAATATGTTTATGGTGCACATCGCAGGACCAAGTTGGCTTTCTACCGTGCATGTGATTGCTAGACAACCCACTTAGTCCTTGATACCGCATGCTCGAGTTTTTAAGAGTAGTGGTGGGAAGAAGAAGCAGGTCATAGCCGACTCTTGCCAGGTACCCGGTATTCTACGACTCTGGGGCCAGTCTGGGGCTTAAACTTCTGGTTCCTAACGCCCACATCTATGCCCCATGTTGGATTCCCCTTACTCTTAAAATGCTTGCATCTGGTTACTGGACGTGTTGTGTCAACGTCACCTCGGTTCTGTCCTTGAAGCTTGAAGGTCCTTGACTTCATAGGCAAGGTCGACGTGCTCAAACTTCAGAGCACTTAGGGCGGCCGGCCTACTACTCTCTGTGAGGCATGAAATAGAACAAAGGGGGCTTTCAGGAGCAATAGCCTTTCATCATTCATGAACGTTGACAATCATTTGAAGCTCCGTCTGTGTTGTATATAAAGACTCGTCTTCACTTCTGTCGTTCCTGAGCATACTTTCTACCATCTTACCCAAGATGCCCGACGTAACAGTAATCAATAACCTCAGTGAAGAAATCCATGTTGCTTTCTTCGTAGGCGTCCCCACCAATTGGAAAAATCACCTCAAGCTCGGAGAACGTTGGACAACGCACCTAGCCAGCCTCCCGCTTCACTTTGAAGCACGCTCTGTGACCGGGAATCGCGAGTTCAGCCACAACGAATCCATGGAGATGTTTGCAACCATCGGAGGCGCTTGCGCTGCTGGTACTGCTAGCAGGTGCATTGTTTGCCGGTGACATGCTTGCTGGCATACCCGTGGTTTCGGTTTGCCTCATAGACGGGCTGGTCACCAGTCTAGGTTTCGGTGCCACTTATGGCTGCTGCGAGTGCTGGTGAATTTTGAGGTATTTTTTGAATGTCATGATGTTGCTGTTGTCCTTTGACTCCAGGTGGCACGAAATATGGTGAGTGGGGTGCAGATGTGAGGAAGTGCACTGCGAGAGTGTGGGTCCCGCTGTGGGACCAGCCGCAGTATTCAGTTAGAATGGTTGATGGGAGGTGTGTTCTGTGGGATGTCGATGCTGATAGAGGGGTCTGATAGCTATGGCTGACGATGTATGACTGACTCTCATGATGCACGTTCTATTTGTAAGTCGCTGTCATTGTACGTAGCTAGCCAGGTCCAGGGCCTGCATGATAAACTACGCCAACGTCCTGTTGATGATTCTGTAGTAGAGTTTAGTAACGCCTATTGTATAAATTTGGCCCTTCCGAAATGCACCGAGATAGTTTTGGATGATACAGGCAAGTACAAGTTCGCACCCCGAACCTTGTCATCACCTTCAGCGGTTACCACCTCTGATTAATCTGATTAGTCCGTTACTCCCATTCTACAAGTGTCATGCACATCCGCCATATCTCCATTATCCGCTCTCCTCCAACACTACGACACGCGCAGCTGCTGGACCATTCTCAACGGCCACTAGCTGATAATCCCACCCACCACTCAGCCCACCTTCGTTCCTTGTCATGTTACTGCATCACCCGCATCATCATGCCTGGTAACTTAGAGGGCCAGTATATCAGACTGGAAGAGCCTAGGTGAGTCGCTCTATATCATCTTCATATCTATTTTGTGCAACAGAATACCTGGTTGCACCTTACTTGCCATGGTAAGCAGGACCGTACTCAACTTCACAATTTTCATTTCATAATGAGATATGAACTCTGACGCAGCTCGTATGCTGCGTTTCTATCAGCATGAAATATTACTGTCGGGGATGATCAGATGCCCAACGAAGTCATCCAGCATGCAACTGAACTGCAATTTTCACGGTTCGAGGGCGTCGTTGGCTCGCTGTGGGAGGTCGAGGAGGCTGTCGTGAAACACGTCGTCGAAGCAAATTGTACGAGAATACGTTCCAGGACTTAGAGGATGGTGTTGTCACGGACTTGACAAAGCGGCCAGCATGCTACATGTTCCAAGAAGAAAATGCTCGGGAAAAGAATTGTTTTCATTGGTATTGGTGTGTAGTTGTATTGCTGTCGTCTGTTACCGGTCATTGATCATGAATTCTCTATTCTAGTGTACAAATTACCTTCATACTCTTGCAGTGTAATCCTCATAATTTCGATATACCTCACTTTCGTGTTTCTCTTACTCAAGTCACGATGAAATACTGCGACACCGTCTTCTGTGTGGATGTGAGTCGACCTGGTACTTCTGACTCAGTCTTCAAATCCTTCTGCACCTCAACCTCAACTAAGCACTCATTGTCGAACAGCCTCGAGATAGAGGTGTAACTCATACACCAACTCACCTACGCAGAGATCCTCATCCATCAAGTTGACCGTTTCGTCAGTGCCTTGGCTGCGTCTGCGTGCTTGCATCTACTTGATGACAAATGTAACTCACATAGACGGGGTGCTATGGGGTCAGTTTGGGAAACATGGCAAGTACCACTCAATCGACTTGGAAATATGTTTCATCTCGTACGTGCCACATTCACATCATTGTCATAATGATATTTGGTGATTAAAAATAGTAGTGCCCACAGGACAAGAGCACATTGTGCGACCTAGAAGGAACAATAACTCTGCTATAGGCCACCGGGTCACAACTTATGGTCCCAGCCACAATTGATGAGGAAAGTATTAAAGGCAGGCTCCTTCTCACCAGCTTAGCATCTTACTCTTCTGTCATGGAGCCTCCTATCCGCTCTCACTCTGGCAACCTTCCTATGGAGCTTCTCATTCCCATCCTCGAAGATGCAGCCCAGCTGACGTTTTTCCCAGGGGAGAAACATGTCGATAAAAATTTCTATTCGACAGCCGTCTCCCTATGTCGTGTCTCTCGACTTTTCAGACGCATCATCCTCCCCAAAATGCTGCACACGGTATTTCTCCGAGGTCATGGAGTGAAAAAGTTCGCAAATGCTCTGCTTATGCAGAAAGCGTACGCTGAGAAAGAAAGCGACCTTTACTTGGACTATACCTCTGCTATAAAGAGGATGTGGATCAGTCACCACTGGCCAAGCCTCTCCGTGTCTGAGCTCAAGCTGAGCTTGAGCATACTGCATCCGGTCATCCTTGCTGTACCAGTACTTGCAATTGACTCTGAGCATTTGAAGCTTCTTGTTCAGATCGTGGAAGATGCGTGGACCACTCATGAAGATCTCAATATCGACCACGAATACCACCCTTTTCCTGGAAAAACTCAGAATCTGACGATAATGAGTTCCAACGGCTCTTGGTCTCCCTTCAACTATGATCAAAAACCATCCATTTTCCTCGCATCAATCCCCCGTCTCACATGCCTGCCCGCTTTAGAGGTGTCTTCAGATCTTTTTCGTGACATCAGCAGGGGCTTAAGATCCACCGGATCCTCGCTGCAGTATTGGATGGACAAGATTGCGTGGGCTCAGATGACGAACCTTCAAACCTTTTCAGTGGTCTATCCGCATCTCGGTCCCCAATTCAGCATGCGTTCATACATCGATCCTAGCAGGGGACTAGACCTGCATGTGGAGCGGCTCAATGTGTCTGCTCCCCTGTACAAGCAGGACCCTCAATCCTTCCCGTGGGGAACACCGCCGTTTTCTATGACCAATCCTGGAGAGAAGAACATTCGAACGAATGGTCTTTCCTTCGAGGTCACACGTAAGCAGACACACTTCTGCCGATTGGATTTCTCGTGGGAGAACGCTTGGGCCTGCGGATTAACTGACGATGAGGGGTACAAAGAGAGTGTGGATGTTAATATGACATGATACCATAGTGCCTGTTCGCAATCAGTTTTCCCTCTTACTGTACAATTACTATAGACTTTTCATACCCGGACACTTACTGTACACTTCTCATACCCAATGCCTAGGACGCAAACTCTATCATATATGAGTCATAAGCTAGATCACCGAATCTCAAGTTTGCAAGTTGTGTACATAGCGATAAAACACTCTTACGATCTCTCTTTAAAGTTGCGTACTTGCGCATTTCGTTCAAGCAGGTCTTGGGAATCGATGCGATGAAGGGGTGATATTTGCACGAAACTATATACATACGTTCGAATGACTGGCGTGGGATGTGCTGGAGTAGCTAGCTGCTCGATGCGAAAAACAACCATATTCATGTGGTCGTGCAAGATAGATAGTCAGAATCAAGCGCGCCGGGAAGTGCCTAGTACTGCTCGATTGGATGCGACAAGATACATTCTGGAAGCTTTGAGAGAGTCGGATGCCTACATGCACTGAGGCGCTGGGAGGGTATACTGTCGAGGATGGCGGATATGACAACAAGATGCAATTTTGCTATAACCACAACAGTAATCAAGGCATAGATGGAGGTAAGCAGCCTCGCGTTCTGCCAGGTATCTATGGGAATGAGGCAGGTTGACGTAGTATAAAACACGCAATACACGCACCTCTGCAGCTTAGGGAATGTTCAGAGAGACCCACAATCCCTCCAAAGTCCACTTGGATCGCGACTAACGCGATCAACCTCCGATAGAATGTCGAAGCTCATTCCAAATTTCCAATCACGACACTCCTGCGAGAGTTCAAAGGCCATGAAAAGGACGCGACGGTAGTCGGTCGAGCCCGTAACCATCTGGGGAACCCTGCGACAAGACACTTCGTGTGTAGGACTTGAATACAGATATTGTGCTGAGGAAGAGCAGGGAGGTGTCGAGATTGGCATGGCGTCACAGAGTGGGTAATTACTAATTGATAGCAAGCGGCAATAAATGTGAAGAGGCCATCGTCTGGCACCTATCACTTACCCAACTCATCATGCATCAAAGCCCACTCCAGAGTCCAATTAATCTTCTTGCTGGACTTTTCTCCTGATGGGACATGGGACAACTGCTGGTTACTGGTTCATGGAACGAAACGACAAAGCTAGTGAAACATCAATATCTGGGAGTAACAAGGAAATCCGATCGAGTATGATACCATCTACTTATCATAAATCAAAAAGTAGGCATTACCAGGGTTCGAACCTGGGTTCCGGGAAATCGTGTTATCAAAATCCCAAGTGATGACCACTACACTATAACGCCGGCGGTCTTGGGACGGAAATTTACGTGGTTGAAGACATCTCTTTCAAAATTCAAATACATGTTCTAAAAGCATCGATTCACTATTAGGTTATTCCCCATTGCTTATTACTGACGGCTGATGCTGTCCTACCGCATTCACATACTCCATATACCACTAACGCGCCAGAACTTGCGCACCTCTAGAATCAAGCTATTTCAGTAAACTCAGCACCAAGCATCACAGCAGCGCATAGGTTAATTTCCCAATCAATACCTTGCGGGTATTGAAGCATTCCTCGCAAATCATATAACAGGTATGTCCGAGAAGTCTGGTCGACTGCAGACCCAGTCAAGCCCCACAGTGGATACTCAGGCTCGTGAGGATTCTTGTGACTAGGCTATTGTTCGCTAATCGGATGCTCCAGGCTTTCAAACACGCGCATAACGCTGCAGGTAAAGTCTGGTCAGCTAGAACATGGATGGAGACCTCGAGCGAGCGGAACCTAGTACTAGTGCCCAGCACACAAATGATGGTATGCACACTATAACATTCTATCGATCTGGCAGAATGCTCAAGAACTATGACAGATGACCGACGTGAAGAGCATGTCCGCGTCATGACTAGAAATGATTCAAAGAATGTCGCAACAATGTCAAGAGATAGCTCAGCGCTTGTGGCAGTGTGGATGCAACGACTCCAAATGCTCACCATTATAGTAGGTCATTGCTGAGTACTTTGATTACATGCTTCTGGAATAAACCATCAGACGACATTTCTCGCTTCAATCGATGGAGAACTTTTCGTGCTTACCTCCACGCCGTCACAGCCGACACTTGATGCCCAGGAATTTGTTTATGCGTGTTTTACTGGCGCCCTCGTTTTCCATGTTTGTGCTGGTGAGTGTCGGGATGGTTCGAGGAAGTGCGAGGTGCTCACGAGCTGACTTAGCGATTCTGGGATATGTGGCATCTTTTGCTCTCATTCGGTATCAGATTGGTGATGTAGCTTCTTCTGATACAAAGAACACCGAGGTGGGCAAATTTCTAATCCTGATTTGCACCAACCTGAGATCATGCATGGGACGCAGCGAATGCTTATGACCACCCCTCCTTTTGATGCCGCTAACACCCTTCTTCAGATGCCATTGAATTCGGGGATCCAGGTTAGATCAAGAACGTCCATTCCTCCACTGGATCTCCTGACCCGGTGCTATTTTACGACTTTGGCGCTAGGTAGTGTTGGCTTTATTTTAGTACTTCTTGGTATCGCTGGTTACGCATGGGTGATACTGCGGCAGGCTGTAGGGATATTCACGATAGTTTGTCTTGGTGTTAGCGTCGTGGCGTCTGTGTGGGCGGTGCTATAAACCACGTACTTTAACCGCAGGTCTAGATTCTCCCAAGTTTGATAAAGCTAGTAAGTGTCGGCACCGACAGACGACTTCTCTGATAGCCTGCAGAGTATGTCCAGTGGCAGATGCAGGATCCATGACCATCGTAGCGTAGATAAACAGACCACCCTTCTTACTGTACGGACAAGGTGTCTTGAATCTGTCATCATCTGCAGCTGAGGGCTTGCGCTCGCGCGGCAGCCCAAAAACAGCGGGGCGGCTTGCCAAGGCTATTCTGTCCAGTGGTGCTCGCAGATATCCTGGGAACTTGCTTGCATGACGGGCACTGGGCAAGTCTGGGCCTAGAGCGTCTTATTGCCACGTGAGTAAAACAGGTTCTAAATGCTAGTCGCGGGGATTGCCGGGGCCTGTTACGTTCTTCTAATTCTCAAGTTGTCAACGCATCCGAGACAACTTTGAAGCTGGCGAGATAAGTAGCGACCGGTCTCTCTTTCAAGTTGTTTTCATTTCCTCAGCTACGGTGAATGCGATATCTCCAACGCTGGCGTTCGTGCAATCATGTTAACTGAGCACTTGCCATGCCGACTTTGAGGCTTATGTAGTACGGTCGCTCTACGGTACGCAACCGTGTTCTCAGACTTCTAAATTAATATCTGATGGCCTTTCCCAAGTTATACTTATATGCATCATAGTATCTTCCATTTAATGCCTCGTGGCCATAGCGCCGCTACTAGGCAAGCATGAGTTAGTGTGTTGATCGCGATGCAACATGGTTTGCCATAATCAGACGCCAGTCGAGGGCTGGTGGCGACTGTTCGAATCACACTGATGGTGACTCACTTTGCGTTCTTCCGAACTAGAACACAGTGTGATAGCAGACAAGTCATTCTAATTTTTCACAAATATTCAATGCGCCATGGATGAGCGATAGGATAAGCGCTTAAGCATCGTATCATGATCCGTAACTGCCTGTGGCCACGGGCTGACACCACTGATGGCAGCGTGCCGGTCAGCCTACTTAGGTAGGTACCACTGATGGCAGCGTGGGCATTCTCGTGGACCCCATCGAAGCTTCCTCTACGTCGTTCCCATGATAATCAACGCCAACTTGAGATCCGCAGCGGCGCAACCGGTCGATTAATTGACTTCCTTGAGAGTAGGGCGCAATGCGTATATAAAGTGGGTCCCAGAAGACCTGTCGATTCAGTGGACACTCTGTAGTGCTCAGTGTTGCAACGTTGCACTTAGGTGAGGAATCTTGTGACCAGCTTATATCCACTAACTGGATCTGCAGGCAGCCAACTCGTAAGGATACTCGGCACGCAACTTTGTTCTCCCACGTAAATCTGCAATGTCCACTCAAAGAGATCTCGAACGAGCAGAGGCTGGACCTAGCTTTGGTATGTACTTGACAACATTCTATCAATCCAGCAGAAATGTTGAGAATGCACAGATGCTCAACGAGATGAACAAGTCCGCGGCAAGGTTCAAAAGGATGTGCAAACACCCACGGAAGACGATTCGACAATTGTGGCAGCATGGATGCAACGGATCCAGACACTCACTCTTATAGTAAGTCGTTGCTCAGCGACTCTGGTTACATGAATCTGGAACGACCCCTCAGACGACATTTCTTGCTTCCATCGATGGAGAGCTCTTCACCCTTACCTCCGTATCGTCGCAGGTAACAGTCAATGCAAGCTTAGACTCTCAGGAACTCGTGTATGCATGTTTGACTGGTGCCCTCGTTTTTCATGTCTGTGCTTGTGAGTGCCGCGATGTTCGGGGAAATACGAAGCGCTTACAGCCCGTGTTAGCAATTCTGGGATATATCGCGTCTTTCCTTCTTGTTCGATACCAGACGGTAGACACAATACCCCCTACCGACATACTGGGAAAACTTCCTGATACTGGTTCACCTCACGAAAACGTTAATGGAAAGCAACTCTTGCTTAAAGCCATCCCTCCTTTGTATATCGTACAGTCCCTTCTTCAAATACCCTCCGGGGTCCGATTCCAATCCAGGACGTCCACTCCACCACTGGATCTCCTGACTCGGTGCTATTTTACGATTTTGGTGCTAAGTGGCGCCGGCTTTATCTTGGCACTTCTTGGTATCGCCACTTATGCATGGTTTGGACTGAAGCGGGTTGTTGGGATATTCACGATAGCCTGTATGGGTGTTAGTCTGTTGTCAGGTGTGTGGGCGATGGTGTACTGAACCACGTGCCTTGGATACGTGATTATCATGTTGTTAACGAAAATACGAACTCATTCACGATTTGTTTGAAGCTGTGCACTGAGTGGATGACTTGCCGTGGGCAAAATAATGCAGAATAGATTGTACCGGAGTTCGTAAACAATTGGAAATCACTGATATTCTGATAATCTATGCAGCTTTCTAAACTGTAGTCACTTCACATATAATAAATTCACTTTACTTGCTATTATGGATACTCAAACTCTACAGTTTGTGATGATGAACAATGAGGAAATGGTAGAGCAAGAGGAGGATGAAGACTTGCAAATGCTTGTATCAATGGTTATTGTTGGTGCAGAGATAGTGAGGCAAGACCACAATATTGAAAGTCAACGGCCAAGTTGTCTTTACCTTCGTCGCTCCGAGCTGCTGCTCAATTGAGCTGGAAGTAGACCTCTCGCAATTTCTTGCCAGTGTTATGTACTTGATGCACGTGTCACATGACTTCTAAGACAGATCTGTTGTCTGACTCACACTGTCTGAATCCGATAGATGATAGTTGGTCTTTCAGATGCTTGTACCATAGCATTGATGACTGCTTGAAGCTGTATAGGCTCCACAGGACTTTGACAGGATGGCCTGTACCATCTTTGAATCCTGGTGGTTGGTGCATGTATATCTCATGGTCGAGATAGCTGTGTAGGAATGCGCTGGTGACATCATCTTGTCCTCATGGCCACTGGTAAGATGCTGCTATGTGGAGGATGATTCAGAGAGACTCGAGGCGAACTGTAGGTGAGAAAGTGTTGTTGTAGTCAACCCCAGGTATCTGTGAGAATCCCTGTGCGACAAGGCGTGCCTTATAGCGCGTTATCTCTCCACTTGGGCCATGCTTTGGGGTGCATGTCCAATGATATCCAACAATTTTTCGTCCCTTAGGCAGGTCAGTTATCTCCCAAGTTTTCCTCTGTTCTAGCATATTGATTTCCTCCTGCATAGCTTTGTGCCATTTGTCTGCATCCTGGCATCTCACAGCCTGGTGATAGTTTGATGGTGTGCTATCCCCGTAGGCTGCCATGTAGGCCAAGTGTGCAGTCTCACCATCTGGGGAAAGGTCAACCAGTTCTGCATTTTTGAGGACCTTCTTTGCTGTTGCGTCACGTTTGGCCTTTGTCTCCACTCGCTGTCGTTTGTTCATCACCTTCTGCCGCTCATTCTCTTGTCTTTTCCATGATGGATGAGTGACAGGTTTGCTTCAACAGAGCTGAAGCAGGGGTGTGGAAGCAGGTTGAGGTATGGGCATTTGTTGTGTTTGAGTGTCGCTGCTAGGGCTGATAGGGATATTTTTAGCGGATTCTTCCCTTGTCACCCCCTTGCTAGGAGTGGGATCTGGAATGTCCGAGCAGCCAAAAATTTTCTCATACACAATCACATTGAATGAAGCAATGAAGCAATGTTTGCCCAGTACCCATACCTTGTATGCTTTTGAGCCTGACTCAAATCCACAGAGGATTCCATCAATGGAGTGCACATCCAACTTCTTTTGTGACTCAGGGGGGACATGAATGTGGCATCATGACCCAAAGATGCAGAGGGTTGAAACATCAGGTATCTTGCTGTAGAATGCTTCATTTGAGGTCTTCTTTATCAGTGCTTTGGTGGAGCTTCTGTTTCAAGTGTATGAGGCATACTCATGTGCTTCAGGCCAGAACACATTGGACATTTCGGCATCTTTTAGCATGGCAAGGGCATTTTTGTGTGTCGTTCTATTGAAGCACTCTGCAACACCATTTTGCTGTGGTGTGTGCGGTGCCAAAAATTCCTGCAAGATGCCTTTTGACTTTAGGTATGCCTTCAGTTCCCCACTGATAAATTCACCCCCATGGTCTGATCAAAGTATTTTCACCTTTTGCTCAGTGAGTGTCTCTAATTGGGCGATGATGGCCTTGATCTCCTCAGCCGCATCTGACTTTTGTGCCAGGAAGACTTTCCATCCTTTTTGACTGTGGTCATCAACCACTGCTAGGGTGTAGAAGTACCCATGGATTGACTTGTCGAATGGTCCCTGAAGGTCCATGTGGAGTCGTTCAAGGATTTTCTTGGCACATTTTGCTGTTGTTGGGAAAGGGGCCTGGGGGTGTTTTCCTTTTGTGCATCCAGTGCAGAGGCTGAGTTCTCCCTCCTTTTGAAGAGTGAGTCCACTGACGAGCTTATGCTTCTTAAGCCTGATGATGCTTCTAGGGTTAAGGTGTCCGAAACGATGGTGCCAGAGTTCAAGGTCGTGGGATGGGTGGGCTTGGGTAGTGAATGCAATGTTAGGTGTGGGTGTGGATGGTGGTGCAATGACACAGTTGAGTTCATAGAGGCTTCATCAGAGCGCGCCTTCCATTATGATCTCACCAGTCTTCTTTTGGATCAGTATCCTCCCATTGTCCTTTAGAATGGACATTCCTGCTCGATCCATCTGGCTTTTCGATATCAGATTATCACGTGCTTTTGGTGTGAAGCATACATCTTTGAGGGTGACTACTCTGTCTGCTCGGCCCTTTACACTGACAAGGATGTTGACAGTGCCAATGTCTTCAACCTTGCGTTGTGGGCCTCCCTCATTAATGTCATGAATCTTTTGGTTGGTTGGAATAAGATGAATGCTGAGCAGTCCTTGCATAGGTGGGTGGTTAATCCCCCATCCAGTATCCATCCAAATCTGGAGTGTGATGATGCTGTACTGAATGCCATGTACATTGAATTGCTATCTTCAGATTCTGAATCCGATTTCTCTGATGATGCATTGCTTGTAGCTATGGCCTGGTTGGCTTAGCACTTCGTACTGGCTTTCTTGCAGTTCTCACAACCATTATTCTTCACCTTGTTATCTAACTTTCTCTGCTTCTTCTTTTGCCTTGGCCCTTGGCCTTCAGCTCTACCTCCTCGCAAATAGCATTTCTCAATGGTATGTCTGGATTTTTGGCAATTATTGCAGAAGGGCTAGCTTCCTTTCTTGTCTTTGCCTTTTGGTGTGTACTGAGCTTGATAGGCTGTTGCACCCCCTGCCTGATTGGTCTATGTCCCATATTCATCCTTGATCCGGCACTCTACCTCAATCAAAGTGTAGTAGGCAGGTAGGTCTGTGAAGATATAATTCCAGTTTGATGGCATGGATATGTGGATGAAGGCAGCAAACAGGGTGTCATTGATATCATACCATATTAGGAATAGGTCTCAATGGTAACCTCCTAGCTTTGCTATGTGTATAGCCACATCTTCCCCTTCTTGGTATCTTATTGATATCAAGTTCATGATCAATAAGGTCCAGTCTGTAAGTGTTTGCCCTGCAAATAGGCGACGAGCCTTGCTCCATATCTCTGATGAGTCCCTGATGTGCCCTATCTGCCCCACCACTTCCTCAGTCATGTTTGTTGTGAGAACCGAGCGGACAAGTGAGTTTGCTTTTGTCCAGCGTCTTTGGACCTTGTTTTTATCAAGGCTTGAGACTTTGATTTCTCCTTTGCAGTAACCAAATAGGTGGGCAGTTTTGAGGGTGGATTCTATCATTGTCATCCAGGTAATGTAGTTTGAGGGTGATAACTTGTGAGGCAGTTTCAGGAGGTCACAGTAGCAAAATTTGTCAACTGATTTTAACAGTGTCCAGTGTGGCCTATCCTCATCGTCTGAAGACTCTGTTGATGAGGTCGAGTATGAGCAGCTGCATCAATGTTTCTTTGGCTTAGGCAATGAGAACTTGGTATATGGTTCCTCCTTAAGTTCTGAGTCATAGATCTCAGCTTTGGCTTCCTTAGTTTGTACCTGAGAGAACTCGGCTGGATGCAGAGTACCAAGGAATGGTGGTGAACTATTGCTACCAGAGGTTTTTCTTCTTCTGGGAGGACCTGACATTTTCACAGGGATGTACTTTCATGTAGAGGATACAGATATTTGTCCATTAACAAGAGCTTCTAATCTTCAAGTACTAGGTGAGTTAGAGGAGCGGTCCAGGGCTCATAACCTGTGGAAACACACTAGACACATGAGTGTGTAAGTATATTACTGGAAATCAGTATTAGCTGTAGAGGTAACAAAAGATGGACATACCCTCAGTCTCAGATAGAAAGACTGAGGGAAGTGGTAATACTAATGATGCGTGTAAGTAGCGTAGAAAATGGGAGATTCCAGATGACTAATATATACTGAATACAGTACCTACAGTAGAGTCTGTTGTGCATTGTCTATACTCTTCTATATAATCCAATAGTTGGAGCATTGGGCTAGCATTGACATGGGGGATTTCAATGAGTATGCAGATGGGAGTGTGAGCAACACAAATCTTATAAGATAATCCTTTTCCAGTCCTCTTTCAGTCTAATACTGGTGCTTTAAAGCTAAAGTTTATTTCCTCTTTCTATAGGCTAGAATGAGGGGTCTTCTTCTTGATTATAACTTTAATATTTGTTGCCTTGAAATTATTATCAATGGTTTGAGTGGAAACAGTGCTGGAGATGATAGAATTGATGAATTGTGTGGCCTTAGTAGCATTAGTAGCTGTTATGAACTCAGATAGAGTCTTCCGTAACTGCTCCAATAAAGGAGATCAATAGTACAGTATCGGATAACGACGACCAGAGGTAGAACTCTGGTGAAGTGATTGAGTAATAGCTAGTCTCTTCTCAAAGAGCTAGATCAGAAGGCACCCTCAGGTCCTAGTCAGGTATCAGGTAGAACTGAGTAGATTCAAGTTAAGGAGAATACAGGGAATAGCTAGGGTTTATATATGTAAAAGAAGCATGCACGGACCAGTCCAAGAGGCGTTGTAGAAGTACAAGAAAGGGGAACCAGAAATAAGGAAGTCCTCATGGTTGACATGAGGTAGGCTAGAAGTGAGACGGAGATCAGGAAGTATAGTACATGTGTAGTCCTGTAGGTGATGATGGGAAAATGATGGGTTACTGTAACATTACCCCCTTGTTAACATCTGAAGTTCTCAACTTCATTCACAATTCTGGTAAAGCTCCGGGTCAAAATAAGTGTCTTTAGCGAACTGGTTCTTATACTCATCCGCCTCATTGTCTCTCTCATTTTCCCATAGCCTGAGCTGGTAGTGGAATGCATGGGTGCCTGGTTTGGCAGAGATAATTTTGGTGCCGTGAAGGTCAGGGCAATTGGCTGAGAGGTGGCATGGTTCATGCCTCATGCATACACAACAAAAGTACTTGGGACATTTGATCTGACGATGCCCTTCCTCATTGCAGTAGCGGCAGGTGATGGTGGGGTAGTCTGCGCTGTTGCGGTCGCGAAAGGTTTCCTCAGAGGGGGCACGGATGAATGCAGGGGTGGACTCTTTGTCTTCATCAAGAAGGGGTGGAGTGGGGCAAATAGGGCGGGATAAGCCGGTGAAGGTTCAACGATACAGCGAGGCACGAACAATGCTCCTGACTGTATCTATAATTGTTGTAAGGTCGTGCGTTGCCTAGTCTGCTATACTTGAGACGACAAGTGCGTTCGACCCTAAAGGGGAAGCGAGTGCAGCAAGGATCTAGAGGTATGCGCTGAAAGCGCTACTGGTTGGCCAATGCGAAGCGCGAGAAAGCGCAGGTGCACGCAAGGCGCGGGAATGCGCGCGTGTATGGCGCGAAGCGTGGGAAAGCGTGCGCGTGTATACAGATACGAGAGAGAGTAAGAGTGAGTTTGCTTAAGTGATGATATGATGTAAGACAAGAGAAGAGAGATGCGAGGTGTAAACAAATAGATTTCTACTATGTTCTGCTAGGTAAATAGTGGGTAGTAACCAGTAAGTCCTCTGTCGTTCTGGTGGGAGAGTAAGTCAGTAAGTAAGTATGTACTGCTGGCGCTTAAGTATGGCGCCTAAGCGCTGTCATGCGGAGCCGAAGCGCTACCGAGTAAGGTATGTAAAGATATATGTAAGTAAGGGTCCATGATAAAAATAAAGATGGAACGATAAGCAAATGTGAGAAATGGAAATATACGCACTAGGGAACTTGGTGGACAGTGGATGGATGCTTCCGGATGGCTGGCGCTATAGGGCGCTCAAGTGCGGGAAAGCGCGCGCGCATATACATTGTGAAGCGCGGGAAAGGTACGCGCGCATGGCGCGCGTTGCGCGGGAAAGCTGCGCCTCATATAGAGATAGCTGCGGGTAGCACACAGAGTGATGCTACAAGTTTGTGCCATGTACTCCCCAGTGAAAACTGCCATATTGCACAATGAGAGGCATGAGTCTCTACACCGGTACCAAAGATGAGGGTCTCTCTTTTCTTCTTGCACTCCTGGCGGGGTTTTCCGAGGGATTGGACAGCAAGTTGGGAGCGGGGAGGTGCTGGAATGGGGGTATCATCATCATCAGAGGAGGAGGAGGAAGGGGAGATGGGGACAGTCTGAGTGATTGGTTCAGGGGAGCAGGTGATAGAATAGTGGGAGGAGCAAAGGTAGTCGTCAGGTTTGGGGAAGTCAGAGAGAGACATGGCAGTCTCAATCCCTTTGTCCATGAGGTGTCTAAGAATAAGGTATTTGATCTTTACTTGTTGGGAGACGATGAGTCTAGCTTTGTCATCAAGCATCATAGTATTGGTATAGGCGATGGTGAGGTCTGCAGCACGAAAGATGTTGATCTGAGCTAATGCATCAAGATCTTCAGAGAAGAATGATTCGAAGGGGAGTATACAGTCGCGGGATAGGAGGGCAGCTTCAACAGCAGCTTGTCTTTCTGCGAGGGCAAGTGACAGTTGGTGGGATTCAAGGGAGGCAGAGAAGGAGGAAGAAGAGGATTTCTTGGAGTTAGGCATGTTGTTTGTGCGTGGTCAGATGAGGAATTGAGCAAGTCTGAGGTGGTTCTTATAGGTTTTGAGGGTTTCTTGGGCATTGGCGAGTTTCTTTTCAGTGAGCCAGGAGTTTTCAGAGCTAGGGTACCCTTTTCATGACATGGAGAAGCGGTGTTTTCCTTTTATGTTTCACTTGTGGGCGAGAACGGCTTCTATTTCGTATTCCTCATGTCCATCGATGAGGTCAGGGGAAGGTTCAGGGTAATTGGGTCCGTGGATTTCTGTCTCTTCATAGGATGATAGTTCAGAAGCGTGGAAGACAGGGTGTGATTTCCAGGAAGGGGGAAGTCGGATCTTGAAAGTGATAGGGGAGAGGACAGTTTCGACTTCGAAAGGGCCATAGCATTTAGGGGCGAGTTTCTTTGAGGGGAGGTGCATGATAAGATGCACAGCAGATAGCCAAACTTTGTCTTTGGGTTTCCAGGGTACAAACTTCTTTCCAAATGTCTGATCAGCCATGCATTGCATTGCAAGGTTGTGACATGCTATCGCTTCCTCTCGGATCTTCTGGAGGTGTTTGACTCGGTCTTCTGCTGCGGGAATGGAAGATTCAGGGAAGGCATAAGGGATTCCTCAGGGTTCATAGCCCATCATGAGGAAGAATGGAGAGGCATTGTGGGAGTCGTGTTTTCGGTGGTTATGGATGAATTCTGCCATAGGCAGATGCTTGACCCATTCAGAAGGTGTGGGTCAGCAGTAGATGTGGAGATAGGTTTCTAATTCTTGGTTCAGACATTCAGTCTGTCTGTCAGTTTGGGGGTGATAGGCGGTGGATAGGGCAACTTCATAGTCGAGAATTCTTTTGCAAGTTTTGAGGCGAACTGAGGTCCTCTATTGGAGATGATTTTGTCATAGAGGCCAAACCTAAGAAAGACTTTCTTGAAAAAGAGTTGGGCGACTCCTTCAGCAATAATGGTTTTCTTGCAGGGACAGAGAATTACCCCCTTCGTAAGGCCATGGTTCTACCACGACCATGACAGAATCATAACCTCTGGACTCTGGGAGGTTGGTGATTAGGTCTACGGAGATCTGCAAGAAGGGGTGAAGTGCAGTTGAAGGGATGGGATTTAGGGGTGGGGAAGAGGGGTGCATATTGGGTTTCATTTGCTGACAAAGGGTGCAACCCTCTACATATTTTCAAATGAAAGTGCCCATGCCAGGCCACCAATAGTCTCGCTTAACGAGTTCTTCTGTCTTAAAGTGGCCGGTGAAGGTGAGGAATCTTGACTATAGGTGAAATGTTAAAGCTAACGGGGGTTCTACAGTAAGACCAGGATACGAGAATATGACTCGACCCAAAGGACAGCTACTGAGAGAAGCTCCTCTTTAATGTAATGGAGGGAGTCTTTGCCAACTAGACGGGCGGTAACAGGCGCGCGAAGGCGCGAGAAGATAACATGCACGTAGGCGCGAGTAAGCGATGCGAAGGGGCGCGCATGAGCGAAAGATGCGAGGGGCGTGCGCGTATGCAGAAGCGTGCTTTTGAGCGATGGGGGAGAGTGTTCAAGTATAGCAGATGCGCGAACGATGGTAGAATAGTGAAGTATAATCAGATTTCAAGTACTAAGGTGCACTATACAATTTGCAGTATACTCAGATAAGGGAGAAGGGAAGGAAGAAAGTTAAAAGGAACTTTCCCTCTATTTAAGAAGGGAGATTACGCTATGCGGCGCGCTTCTGAGCGTGGTACCGAACCGAGTAACCATATCAACTCTAAATATATTCTAAAGCCTATGATAGACTTTCTGTATGTAAGCGCAGAGATCGGACCGAAGGTACGTCAATTCAGTGAAAGGGATAAGAATAACGCACCAGTAAATCAGCGAGGACATAGGATGGACGGATGGACAAGGGCACAAAGGCCTAAGGGGAGGCGCACGAGCGCGCGCGAAAGGCGCGAGTGCGTGTAAGGCGCGCAAACGAGGCGCATACGTAGGGCGCACGTGTGAGAGCACGTATGACTGATCCTTCGGATAAGAGCTGGAACATGTAGGGAATTATGTGGGTAATAGGGCCGTATATTCCGCATTGAGAGGCGCGAGTCTCTACACCGGGATGTCCTGCAGTGGGGTGGTCATGGTGGAGTGATAAGATCTGGTGACGGAGTGAAGGGGGGACATAGGCACAGTTTTTATAAAATAAGGTTCCATCATCGATCTTCCAATCTGAGAGCGCAGATTTCATGGGGGGAGCATTCAGCCCGTTGAGGGCTTGTTGGGTGGCAAGGATAATCAGATCAGAGAGGGTCAAGGAGGAGTCCTTTAGGGACTGGGCGAGGTCGGTGTCAAGGATGCAGACGAACAAGGAGTTAGGGAGGAGCGTGACATCACTGTTATCAGAGGCTTCAGTGGAGCGATCAGGACGGCAGGAAAGTGCATCAGGGGCAGCAAGTTTGCTCCCTGCAATGTGGTGGAGTTCTAGGTCGAATTCATTCAGGGTTAATTGCCAGCATGCTTGGCAGCAGGTGAGATTCTGAGCGGAGCGAAAGTAGAGAAGATTCTTATGATCCATGAACACTATCACAGGGTGGGGATTTCCTTCAAGGTAATGCCTCCACGCTTTCAGGGCATGGATGATGGCAAGAAGTTCTCGGTTGTATACCTGGTAGTTTCATTCTGCAGGGTTAAAGGATTGGGAGAGATATCCACAAGGATAGTATGCTCCATTCTCATCGGTCTGGAGGAGGATAGCTCCAGTGGCTACAAGGGAGGCATCAGTTGCGAGGGCGAATTGTCGAGAGGGGTCAGGGTTTTGAAGGACAGGTTCAGAAAGGAAACATTGCTTCAGCTTCTGGAACAACTCTGTGCAAGGTGGTGTCCATTCAAATTTAGCATCTTTCTTGATTAGGTTGATCAGGGGGCGGGCGAGGTCGGAGTAATGGGATATGAAGTGTCAGTAGAAATTGCAGAATCTGAGGAATGATCGGACTTCTTTTACTGAGGTGGGAGTCTGCCAATCTTTGATTCCAGAGAGTTTAGCGGGATCCATGGCTACCTGGCCAGGGCGGATGATCATACCAAGGTAGTCGACTTCTTGGACATCGAAAAGGCATTTTTCAGGTTTCAGGAAAAGGGTTTCTTTATGGATGATTTCGAGCACACGGCGGGTTCTCTCCCGGTGCTCTTCTAGGGATTTCGAGAAAATAAGGATATCGTCCATGTATACGATCATCCATCCTTCATTTATTTCTTTCTGGAAGGTTTGGTTCATATAGGCTTGGAACATGGCTGGTAATTACACAGCCGAAAGAACATGACTTTTGGCTCGAAGAGTCCGAAGGAGGTGGTAAATGCTGCTTTCCAGCGATCGTCAGGGTGAATCATTATGTTGTTGTATCTGGAATGAACATCCATCTTGGTGAAGTACTTTGCATCACGGAGCTTTGCAATGAGAGGGGGAATCAGGGGGAGAGGATAAGTGTTCTTTATCGTCCATTCGTTAATGAATCGATAGTCTTGGCAGGGTCTGAGAGAGCCATCTTTCTTTCCTATGAAAAAGAAGCCGCTCGCTTGGGGCGACTTGGAGGGTTGTATGAAGTCCTTAGTGAGATGCTCATCTAAGAAAGCTTTCACAGCTTCAGTTTCTTTTGGGGATAATGGATAGGTTTTCGCAGATTTTGGGATGTAACCAGGTTTGGTTTCAATCCTATGATCAACACCCGGTCTAGAGGGGGGAGGTATATTTAAGCCATCTTTGGCGAAAATATCGGTGAAGTCGTGGAGATAGGTGGGGACAAGTTCTTCAAAGGTTTTCTTTTTCTTTTCTTGAGCGTCTTTGAGGGCGAACTCCTGAGCTTTGTTGCTAGTCTTCAGATATTCGTCTTCTTTGGCCTTCCTGAGAATCCAGTGGTTTCTGAGCGGGGTAAGGGAGGCCATATGGCGGATCTCAGCAGCAGATGTGCCGTCGCAAGTGAGGGGGGTGTCGAAGGTGAGGTTTTCGAAAAGGGTTACCTACCATCTTGGGTGTATTCTATGAGAACCTCATTGTCATTGAGGAGGTAGGTGGCAGGGTCATTGACTTTCCTGGCAAGGAAGAGGTTGCATTCAAGGGGTTCGGTGGGGATATCATCCCATACATCCCAGTTGGTATCGTACTGAGGTGGGACTGCGAGGTCAGGGACAGTAGGAGGAAGTTCTTCTAGGGCATCATGGAAAACTTCCTCTTCTTTCTGCTTAACTCATTCAATGGTTCTTTTGCCGTTCATAGGCAGTGGGTTATGCGTGGGACGGAATCCTTCTTTCTCTAGTTCTCCTGTCACAGAGGTCTTCTTGTACAGGCCGTACTTCTTTCGGTAGATGTTCTCAAGGTGGAGGGATCGAGGAGTGGATGGTAATTGGAGGGTGTCATTGGTCCAATCAATGTCAGGGTTCATGTCATTTAGCCAGGGTTTTCCCAGGAGGATCATATCTTTGTTGCTCATGTTGAGGACATTGAACTTTCCTATCATGACCCGATCGTTGATCTTGATTGCGAGGTGGCAGAAGTGTGTGACAGTGTGTTTCGAGTATTCCCCGTCTGCAGTTCAGATTCTGATTGGTCGGGATAGTTCGTGGGTTTGGATCTTGTGTTTTCTGACAAACATCCAATGGATAAATGTGGCTACTGCGCTGGTGTCAATGACGGCAGTGGTTTCCAGTGATTTGTTCCAATGTTCAGAGGATAAGACGGTGACCGGTGAAGGTACAACAATTCAGATGGTGAGTCTGAACAATGTTGGGTCTTGAAGAACCTAGCTGCTATTCAACCCTAAAGGGTTTCTGGACCAGGCTCAAGGCTCAGAGGAGAGGAAATATGATAGAAACTTGCTGAATACTCAGACTCATACTGGTAACTGGTGAAAAGGTAACTTCATTATGTAAGCTACAAAGTGCCAACATAAGGTAAGGTAAAGACAGTCTCTACAAGCCTAGCCAGAAATGAATCCCTACACCGGCACCCTAAATTCTCTGGTCTTTCCTACATTATTGACAGTACGTACATTGATATATGGGAGGTCTAATGCTGTGGTAGGCTCCCGCTCTAAAAATCCAATCTTTTGGTTTCTAGATCTTCATCATCCAAATCTTCGATCTTGCTGGTTTCATCATCAGGTTCTGTACACCTTACCGGTTGCTTTCCTTTATCATTCTTTCGAATATCTCCAGTGGTTCGTGGGTGGAATGCAGTATCATTGGCATGATGACCACTCTTATGACACTTAAAGCACAACCCTTTCTTCATGTGCTCATTTCTAGCTTCTTCGGTCATTCAATCCACGTCCATGGCATTGGGATCATGGGATCAGTTGGGAGTGTATCATGGGGTTGGCTTTCAGCTGTTCTGGGGATTCTGGTGGTGGGAGCGATGGGCAAGGAGGAGTTGATATGCAGATTCCATATTTACAACTTTCCTTACCAGCCCGTCAAAGGTGGAGGGGATGTCTCCAGAGTCGCAGATCTTCTGCACGACTCCTCACTTCAGACTGCGGAGGAAGTAATCTTTCTTGGCAGCGTAGTTCGTGACTCCAGCTTTACTGCATAGCTGTTTGAATGTGTTGATGTACTCATTTACATCATTGCCTTGTTTTATGTTGTGCAACTTGTATAACACAGTACCTGCAGAGTCGATGGGTTTGAAGGATGAAGAGAAGGCGTCGAGGAAGTCTGCCCAGGTACCATAGCCAAAAGGCTAGCTGGTTTTGAGGTCAATCTCCATGGCATGGTCAATAAAATCTTCCATCCATATGGCGGCAGTGCCTTCTTTAAAGAAGGAGAGGGTGAAGCCGATCTTCTCAGTGTCTTCTTTGTAGATCTGGGCATTGATGTCTAGATAGAGTCGTACGAGTCGGATGAATCTAGAGGAGAGTTCTCTGTCTCCATTGAAGTCAGGGGGGACACCAATTTTCTTTTCTATTGGTTTAGGCATGTCGTCGTCAGAGTCTTCTTCTTCTTTGTCAGAGGGTTTGTTGTCCAATGGGGGTTCTTCGGGGTATTTGGGTTGAGCGTCAGAAATTTCTTTGTCTTCGTCTGATACGAGTGGTACTGGTTCAGGGGTAGGATCAGGTAGGACTGTCAATGGTCTGATCGAAGATACAGTGGTTCTTGCCTGGACTGATGATGGCCCTGGCACGTTTAAGAATGCAAGAAAGGGGTTCGGGGGTGTCTGAGGTCTGTTCAATCCAGCTGTGAAAACTGGGGATCTGGGGTAGGGGTTCAGTCCAATGATTTCGCTGAACGTGTGCTGCTACTTTCATGAGGCAGGTGTCTTGGTCAAGTATAAGCCCCGCTGGATAGCTGGGGTTCAGAATAGTTAACTTGAATCTTTTATTATGAACTCAGATAGAGTCTTCCATAACTGCTCCAATAAAGGAGATCAATAGTACAGTATCGGGTAACGACGACCAGAGGTAGAACTCTGGTGAAGTGATCGAGTAATGGCTAGTCTCTTCTCAAAGAGCTAGATCAGAAGGCACCCTCAGGTCCTAGTCAGGTATCAGGTAGAACTGAGTAGATTCAAGTTAAGGAGAATACAGGGAATAGCTAGGGTTTATATATGTAAAAGAAGCATGCACGGACCAGTCCAAGAGGCGTTGTAGAAGTACAAGAAAGGGGAACCAGAGATAAGGAAGTCCTCATGGTCAACATGAGGTAGGCTAGAAGTGAGACGGGGATCAGGAAGTATAGTACATGTGTAGTCCTGTAGGTGATGATGGGAAAATGATGGGGTTACTGTAACAGCAGCCTGTCCAGTTGGAATATGATAAATGTAAGATCTTTAGTTATGTGGAGTGAGCTTTCAATTTAGTCACCAACAGCTCAAAGACCATGATATCAATGTTCTATTATGTCTAGCACAGTCCCTGGACCTCAGCCCTATTTAATGTCTCTGGAAAATACTCAATAAATTGCTTGCAGCCTATCAAAATTCATCATAGGAGCTATTTCAGCTGTAGGATAGAGTTGCAGCAGAGTGAGGAAGGAGTACTAGGAAGAAATGTTCAAAATTGATAGATAGCATGTCTAGAAGAGTGGCAGAAGTGATTAGAGCAAAAGGAGGTCACACAAAGTATCATAATTATAGAGATTGTATTGATCAAACTAAAAGTCAAAAAAGTGTCTCAATGAGTCACCAAATTAAAATAGCCATATCTGCACAACATGACATCAGCTTCCCATGCTATAGGGGACATAAATGAGGCTGAGAAGTATAGCCTTCTGACACCTCCCTATATCTTAGTCATATTCTCACACCCTGGCTCATAATAAAGCAATTACATGAAAAGTTACAAACATTGAGACACCTTTTGAGCCACTGTACTTTAGTAATGCTCTGATCAATATGCCATGTTTTTTTTCATCAGACAATCATTACCACAGTTTGGATCATGTTTACTGTGTGTAGCTGTAATTAAATGTATCCTTTGTATGGTCTGTATTGTGTGTGCAGCCTGTATTGTGTATGCAGTTTGTCTGCATTGTAACAAGATGTACAGATTGTAGGGATATGTGACAGTATTGTAAAGGGGGGACTTCCTTGTGTAATTGTAATGTTTGTCACCAACACTGTACAATCTTGTACACTATTGTACAGGCACCCCCTAGTTTGCTGATGTAGGCCATGTCTAGGCATAGAGAACTGCATGGGTATGGGTAACCCACAGCGGGTCACAGGTACAGGTACTGCCGGGTACGGGTACGGGTCAGGATTTTGTGACCCGCACAAACACCCATACCCATGATGTACCCGTCACAGTCATGGTGTAGCGGTTACACTTGACACTCATTCTCATATATCTATGCTTGTGTCATATCCCATATTCCGGACCTACATCCGATGATGTTCCCATGCCTCATCCGGACCTCCGGACCCCCTGTCCATGTCCTTTATCTGTCAAGATGCCTGTACACCCGGATCCCTGCACCTTTGCATATCCACACATCCAGATCCAAAACCTGGACACTCAATCTGATATCCACTTGCCAGGATCTCTGGATCTGACCTATGCTTCATATCCGAACCCAAACCTTAAATCAGTGCTCATCCCCTTATGGTAATCACCTGTTTCCAGACATCCGGACATCCGGATCCGACCCACATCTATCTTCCATGCCTTTTCCCTTTGTATGTTCCTTCTCGAGTTAGTCTATACTCATTTTCTGTACCTCGTTTCATTTCCACCTTTATTTTCCTATGTTCTCATTTCCGTCTTCATTTACTATTTTCCAATAGACTAGTGTTTGACTTTTCTATACACTCCGTCCACAGCCTCGCATAGCTTCAGACTGCGCTGACTGATTCTCCATTATGTCCTCCATAGTATATAAACCCTGTAGAAACTCCTGTATTTCCTTAGTCTGAATATTACACATATTAGTCCTCGCACTAGACCTCACACTAAGTCCTCATACTAGTTTTAGTCCTCTGACTTAGTCAATATCCATCTCAGGCCTAGGGAGGAATTCCCTAGGCCGGAGCTCTGCTCCTCCGATCCTACACTCCTCCGAGTTTCCGGAAGTTCCTCCGGAACTTTCCCGTGGTCCTCCGGACCTATTCTGCTTCGGACTTTGTCCCTGCAGCCTTTCCTCTGTTTGTTTCTACTCAGGACTTGTCCTGAGTAGCCATTACACATATCTGTACCAGGACGAAACCTCATAGTAATTTCCGGAAGTTCCTCCAGAACTTTCCCAGACCCCTCCGGAAGTTTCTCGCACTCATCCGGATCCGGATAGTCCTTCTGGACTTTCCCGCGCTCCTTCGGAAGTCCTACGGACTTCCTTGGACTTCCTCTGGATGTCATCTGAATTAAGGGCACATACTCGGGTAAGGGGTGCAGCGCATGAGCTGAAGCCAAGCCCTTCGGAACCAGTCCTACCCTTTGTGCATGGTCTTAACAGCTTGCTTGTGAGTGTTATACTACTTGTCTATACTTATTTTTGTTCACTCACACCTATTCCAGCTTGTTTTCTGTCTGCACGAGGTACATTTGTGGCGCACGCATGTAGAGTCAACTCTGGATGGGGAGTTGGTAGCATCTTAAGAAGAAAGGGAGAATGGTTTTGGGAACGCTCGGGCACTCGCGTGGTTTTCGCCTAGATGCGCTTAGATGTGCTTATGTCGCTTATGTCGCTTACCTCGCTTAAACCTGTTTTTGGCAACTCGCGTGGTTTTCATGTATATTTCGAGCAGCGACTCAAATAATGTTGCCCATTGGAAACTTAGCATGATGTTGGTAATACTGTATACATTTGACCTTAGGTTCGTTACAGCGTCGCCGAGCCCCCGAACCGAACCTATTTCGTGTGACAGTCACACCAAATTGAGGGTAGTGAACCTAAATGTGTGACATTTTGTTCATGGGTGGTGGCATAAATTATAATTTTACCATGTTTTTCTACTTACTTTCTACCTCTTTTACCTTGAATATTGAAACAGTTACCTCTTTGCATTACATTTCATTGCATGTGTATGTATTATGTAGAAAAAACATGTAAATATGAACCTATTAATACTTCTGTCACACCACCCTCAGCCAGACGAACATGCGAACCTACCATTATGTAACGTCACACTGGGACCCCCACAAACCTAAGGTCGAATGCATACAGTACATGGCATTAAATAATGTGTTTGAGCAGGGGGACAACGGGATTTGAGTGTTTTGCCTACTGTAATCGTTAGTAGTGGCTGTGTATGTACATAAATGGAACAACATATGATACAATTACAAACAGGGAGATAACAAATGTGGTGACAGGAGATAAGATTCAAATAAAAAGATACAAAGACAATGTAGACTCAAAAACTGGAGAATGTGAGGACTGGGACATGGGAGACGGGAGACGGGAGACGGGAGACGGGAGACGGGAGACGGGAGACGGGAGATGGGAGACGGGAGACGGGAGACGGGAGACGGGAGACGGGAGGACATGGGACACAATGGGAGATGGGGGGCAGGGAAAAATGGGAAAATAAATACATTCAATGATACTGTTACATATTTTGTAATTTTATTTCTCTCAAAATCCTACTCAAAGAACGCAGAACTGACTGATCTTATGTACTATGCACTTTTATATGGTGTGGTAGATTGTACTTTCAGTTCTTTTGAAATCCTGCTCATAGATTGTTTCAAAATTCACTATCAAGGCATGATCTTATTCAAAATGCATGATTTATTAGGATGCAGCCTGAGGCCAGGAAGCCAAAAGAGGCCTGCACTCTCCTTGGCTTCCTGTGACAAAGGAACAATGCTCATCAGGAGCCTTCTGAATTATTGGGATGAAGCTGAGGCCAGGAAGCTAAAAAAAAGAGTGCAGAGTGCTCTTTTTTGCTTCCTGTGCCGAAGGCAGAACAGGTGTGGACTCGTTAGGTATGGATGAAGTAGACTTTCGAGTGGGGATCTCTTTCTCTCAGCTGCAAAGGTGCATGCATTGTGTGTTTTTATGCTACTTCATCATGCTAACTGATCAGTAACTTATGATTATTCGTGTGCATACCACCACTCACACCCTCTCATTCTTCCCATCTCATCCCTCCTTCCACTCCTTCCACTGTTCTGGCACATTCCAGTGTCCTCCACATATGTTTGAGCCATGTTAGCATTTGCTGACATGTGCCAAGCACTAGTCCTTCAACTCATTGCTCATCGTCCAATGCCGCCACTCATTTCATATGTTGCGCATGTAGACTCAAGTCTGGATGGGGAACTAATATGTTTATTGGACAAGGTATGTATTTTTTTGCGACATCACGCACGCGGCTCACTTGAACTCATCTGCACTCACCCATGCCTCCACTCCTCCTCTGGTGCCATCCACATATGTTCAAGTCACGTCAGCATTCACTGATGTGTGCTGGACATATGTGCTAAGCACTGGCGGCTGACCTGCAGGCTTATCCCTCACAGGTAATGCCCTGGGTCCATTCTGTTGATACCCGCAAGAAAACCCATACCTGCACCCATACCCGCACCACGGTGTAGGTATACAACACAGAGTGGGGCTATACAAAGATGGCTCCAAACTGATATCTTTATGTTGTGGTCTTGCACTGCCTATCTGCTATACTTGTGGGACAAGTGTGTTTGACCCAGGGGTCTGCGGTCTGGGAATAGTTTTGGGGGTCAGTGAGTGATGTGAGGTTAATAATCCGAGTGTGGGAAACAGTGTCCGAAGGTATAATTACAATGTCCGATGCAAAAGCATCAGGTCCGATGTTTTTCAGGTTTTGGGTTATCGTGTTCGGGTTTGGTGTATCAGAAACTAATAGTAACGCGATAGCGAGCATTGGGAAAGTGAGCGGTGTGCGCAATAATAATGATAATGGATACAGACAGTGAAGGAACGATGATATTCGCAATGTCAACTAAGAACTATGAAAATATTGGGTTTGACCACTAAGTGTCAGAGGCAATTCTCCTCTACTCAGATGATGATGATGCTATGGGGAGTCCAATATTTATGTAGATACATAGAAATCCGGAACCCTATAGGCAAAAGTAGTAGCGGAATATTTCAGGTCCTATGTAATAAGACATGATGTACTGCAGACTATGGGAATACATGTAATAACGCGGTCGACAATGTTAGCAATGTGAAAACAAGTAACTACACACCTAGTGGGGCTAGCACAATGAGACTGGACATAGGTAGGACAAGTGTGCGTGATATCTGATCGGCTGATGCGAAACCCGATGTCTGATGCCCAATGTCCGATGTTTTCCGGTTTGGTGCGTATTGAGTTGGATATGATAGGGAATGATTTGGGTAATGATTAGCATTCAACATGCATCAGAAAATAGATCTCTATGAGGCTATAAGGACTCTGGCAAGTCCTACAATGGGTACAGGTATATCTCTGGGTATGGGTACAGGTCCACCTGTGCACACCCAGGGGTATACCCATGCAGTTCCCTATCTAGGCATTGCTGATGGGCACAATATAACATTCTGGTCAGGTTGAGCAAGGGTAAGTTTGGAAGTGGCAGCGATAGCAAAAAGCACAGAGAGAGTGAGATAAGACATGTCTCAAATTTCAGCATACCATCTGAACAACAAGTGGTGTGTGTGGAGCCATATCTGAGTGGCTGTAACTGGTAATTGATTAATTACTATACCAAGCAAGTACTGGTATGAGCATCATGCACCCACCATACTGTGACTGGTGACCTGTGACCCAACACGCAGAGGGTGGGGCTCACCTTGAGCTTGCCATTGATAACGGTGAGCATGGAATGATTTGAGCCAGCAGGTGGATGACTTTTGTGAAATGATTTAGAGTTTTGAGAAGCCATGTGGATGACTTTTGTGAAACCAATTTGAATTTTAGTTATAACATCAATTTATTTACTTTATACATTTTGATTTTATTTTGTCCAATATGGTCCCTCATACCCACTGGCCAAAATTTAACCTCATGACTTAGTGCCAGATATCTATGTACATGTACAAATGTATCAAATGACAGACTGCATGACATTTATTTTCTACAGAACCCTCTTCCCACTATGGGACGTCTTCCCGACGGCATCACGTGAATTGCCGGAAATTGCCAGTTGGTCGAAAGTTGGCTACTAATTATGGGGGTCGTAGGAAACCTTGTCAAGCACGGTCATCAGTGAACTGATGGACGAATTAGAAAGACATATATAACAATATATAGCACATATTCACAAGCATCAACATAATTCTGCTATCGATCGTTACATATGAATATTTGACCTTGTAGAGGAAACAACAGTTCCTGATGTTCATATCCCAGTACGCAGTCTGGAAAAGGTGTATATATTGCTCAGACTCGTACTTGAAGGGAAGGCGAAGCAATAGCTAATGATAAGGCTAGAGGAATCACCACCGCCACATCAGAAGTAAAATTCACAATTTCAAAGTGAAGAATGGAAGACAGCATTGTTCAAAGAACGACTGTGTGCCCACCAAGTGAACAAGAATACATATACGTGCTGCTGTAAGTTTTAACACCATCTGCTTAAAATTCCTGATATCCGAAAACTGTAGGCTAATTTCCTAAATCATGATGAAAGATGGCACCATTCAAAGAATGACAATGTGGAGCAACAGTCGACAATCAGGCTAGAGTAATCACCACGACCACGTCAGAAGTAAGATTCACAATTTCGAAGTTAAGAATATAGGATAGCATCGGTTAAAGAACAACTATGTGCCCGCCAAGTGAACAAGAATAAACATATCTACTGCTGTGAGTTTTGACGCTATCCGTTTGATGTTCTTGACATTTGTCAACTATATATCAGTTCGGAATCCGTGTGAAAAAGTCTTACCTATGCACAACAGTCGAGGATGTGTTTACCAGGTGAGCGAGAGATTATTTTTTCATACTTCAAGTTACACGCAACCTTCTATGTTTATATAATGACTGGCAGCTGTGTCCTGCTTTGGATACTGCGAACATATTGGATAACTGTCTTTCAATGGCGCTGATTGGCCAAGCTGTAACTTGATTGATGTTGTTAGCGCGATGTCGGGACAATACGAAAACCACCATTGTTGCCCTGCATTGCCTCACCTGAACTTATTAACAAACCAGAGGGAGATCACCATCATCACTCCGCACTTTCTTACCTGAACTTACTAACAACCCAGAAGTCAGATGCAACTTAGTCAAACAAGCTGGCAGATGGCTGAACTGTAGCTCGATTGATGCTGTTAGCACGACGTCAGGGCAATACAAATATCACCCTTGTTGCCCCGCATTTCTCCACCTGAACTTAATAACATCCCAGAGGGAGATCACCATCGTCAGTCTGCATTTCCTCGCCTGAGCTTACTAACAACCCAGAGGCCAGATGACTGAACTGTAGCTCGATTGATGCTGTCAGCGCGATGTTGGGACAACACAGTACGACGCCATTTTGACACCATTTCTTTCTAATGTTTAATCACCATCTATTGTGCCTCGCTTACTATTTGATATGGGCAAGGTGCAATGTACCATGCGTCAACATAATCTGATGTCTTTGCACGCTGCCATAGGAGTTTTTGGTGAAGGTATTTGGGACATTGGCTATTTAGGTTGTTGATTCAGGGACAAGGGGGGCGGATCCACGATTTAGGGCTGAAGTTGTGTTGTCAGTGATTTGACTAAAAACTGCAGATATCGCCATTAATATCCTATGTTTCCTGCATTTGGCCTGGTGGAACCAGGCAGGTAGATTCACAACTCCAGGCTTAACTTGTGCTATCCGCTATAAGCTGCAGACTCTACTGTAGTCGCTCTGTTTTTCCTATCTTCGGCCGTTTGAAATCACGCAGGTTGATTGTCCCATGTGACGTGTCATGGTATTTACTTTGAGTCTGAAGCTGCCACTCATGAGAGGGTGTGTCACACTGTTTAACCAGAAATTTGCTTGAATTGTTATCACATTAGAAGTAAACTAATCAGAAATAATGTGGTGGTAGCAGACTATCGATAGGTGCCTAAGGTGAATCAAAAGCGGCATCGTCGCATTGCGCCCTCTGTCTTGCTAGAGCATTCACTGACATGCTAGCCCTTGCCATATCACTAAGCTCATTGCGGTGATTCCTTCCAAAAACTTTCCTAAAAAAAATGAGTCCAGTTGGGGCTGATTGGAAATGTAAGAGTGACACACCTAGTCCACCATTGAAGGAGCCTGTCAACCCTGCAGTGGGCTTTGTGACCAGGAGGCCGTTCAAAGAAGTCCATGATGGTTTGCCAGAATTGTACATAATCGAAGTCCCCATCAACAGACCTCCAAGACGTAATAGAAGAAATTGTGAATCGCACCTGCCACAATTATGGTTATCATTCATCATTCAAACTAAATATATAACTTACTTGACATGCAATGTATGCAATTGAATGAGGTGTCACTTTTTTCATCTTGATGATTTCTGCTACATGTTTCTTGACCTTGACTCCAGAGGAAGACTTCTTAGCACGTGTATTGTTTCGGATGACATCAGTACCATCGCCGTCACCTTCGACATCCCTTGCTGATGAGGGCGATGTGAATACAGCTTTGTACCCCTAAGAAGAATCAGCGAGCTCGCTGTCTGGCTAGAGTCGAGTGGGACAAACCTGAAGAAGAATTTTGCCCTTAAACAGGCCTTCCTCTAGATCATGTGGGTTGGCGGCATATTTATCATACAAGAAAGTCGGAAAAGAGAGATCTGTGACAACATAACCCTCCGAACGATCTCGAATTCCTGCCCTTACCCTGCCAGATAGTGAGCGCTTCTCTTGCTGAGTCCGAGTGCACTACTTACACTGGGTCATTCCAATCTAATTCGGCCGGACAGAGCAACATGCTGCACACATTGTGAGTAAATCCACGAGAATGTTTATCCTCGGGGTCGACTGGTGGATCAGGCTTGAAGTCACGATTGAGCCATTCGGAAACAAGAGTCTTGAGCTTGGAGGTGTCGTTGCCTCGAGCACTGTCAGCGCCTTGCCGAAGCTAATAAAGACCCCGTGAGATAAACCAATTGTAGACATCAGTAAAGCGTACCATTTTTATCATGTGCAAGTAGTCATCGTACTCCAACTCACAGCCCTTCTTATGAAACCACGGTAAGGTTTGCATCAGGACGACATACCCTACTTGCAATTGATCCTGTCTAGATACGCCAATTAATATCATTCACGACCCAAAAGTGAAAAACATACTCTAGAGTGGCGTCCTGGTCCTGCTGCTCGTCGTCATATCTTCTGTCATTTTCGGCGACGAGGTCCTCAACATTGTCGAACAGAGCGACAACCCGTCTGAGTGCTCGTCCTTGAGCCATGTAGTAATTTATTTGCCTGATAGACGGTAAGAAATGATGACTCAATGCAAGTAGTGGGGGACATACTTTTCTTTTGCTGCCCACCCCACCTCAAGAGTCTCGACCTGCTCCTCAAGTTGAGCAATTCTCCTTCTCTGTCAAGCCTGGACATGATTTGCCGCTTCGGATTGCCGAAGATTACCCCCATCTTGATCCTCAGTGTCCGATGGGTTGCCTCCATCCTGCCGCCAGTCCTTGTCATGTGGCGCACTAGCCTCGGCGAGCGACATAGAGCTAGGGAGACGAGATGAAGTAGAGAAGACAAAGTGAAGTAGACGGTAGAAGAAGAGAAGGTGTGAGAGTAGGGAAATAACCAGCCAGGTCGCATGAGTCTTATATGATGCTGGGTGGGACTAACACTAGTTTCCTAAAAAGAAAAATGTCTCTGCTGGGATTACCGTAAGAGATCAAGCGATTGGAACAAATACCTATCTGGGAAAACATTAAGGTTAGTACTAGGAATAGTCGGTCCTTCTAAAAACAGAAAATAGGACTGTTATAGTCTGGGAGACCGACATATCGTCCCTGTAATTTTGCTAAGTCTCCTGTTTTGCAGCCTTGACCAAGAATGCTTCATACTTGGTTGACTGCTTTTTATCTGGCAACAAGATACCGTAGATGCGTTGCAATGAGTTGTTGTTTGCATCACCCAGGAAATACAGAGTTCTACAAGGGCTGGATCAGAGCGATATTATATCAAGCGAGTTCCAAACTATATACTTGCCTTTGGTGACCATAAATGCCTTGATCTTGCTGGTGTGTGGTATATGAGAACCAATACAGAGATCTACCATCCACGACGATACACAGCGGTAGAGGTGCCATCTGGAATCATGGTCTCGATCAAGTGCTTCTTGTATCTGTAACTGAGCTGAGACGGTGATCAGGATAATTGATCTCGAGATGGATGTCACGCATACTTTTCACAAATTTGTTGTATTTTGCGTGCAGTTCTTCAAATAGCTTGATGCAATGATCAAAAAAACTTGGTGGTGGTTGGAGCTACTCATAGTCTCATAGTAAGTCAGTTAAATTAAAGTTTAAAGAACATCTGTAAGGATTACTGACTTCTAACTTGAAGGCGCTGCTACTGTTGCCGTCATTTTGTCCTTCTTCTCTTTTGGGTTCTTTGCATTTCCAGTGTGTGGTCCATTGAGGGAGGGTATTTAAGCGACAGTTGCAAACAAGATGCGATTGGAGTAGCCAGCTGTCGAATAAATGTGAAGAAAGCTAACTTGTGACTTGTAGATACGCTACAACGCGCCAGATATGAGTCTACCGGGTCAGCCAATGTTAACCCGGTAACCGCCCTTCGTAAAATTACTGTTATTGATGTTGTATCTGTAATAGTATCATGTGGTTCAATGTCATAGTAGCAGAAAATATCCCGTGCTTTGCAAAGTAACACTACAATCAAATTTAAATAGCATGCAGCAGTAAAGGAAGACGTGCACGATGCGCGTAGTGAACGCAGAAGAAGCTAAGGAAGTGGCACCGGCAGTTGCTCAGCGTGAGTGCCATTCGACCCACTGCCCTTGCCATCGCCGTCCCGTTCTTGGCCATACTTAACAAGGTCAAGGACCGTCTGCCAGTCGGTGCCGGTTTTCTCCCGACAGATGCACTTTGGAGCTGGACCACCATTCTCCTTGTTGGAGTGGGGGAGGTTGGCGCAATCCAGCCCCCTCTTCGACATCAAACGAACGTTCACAGCAGGAGAGGCTTTGACTTGCAATGACATAGCCTTGCTACCTGTGCAGCCGGCTTCGACTTTCGAGTCAATGGCGCCCTGGAGCTAGGTCACCATAAAAAATCAAGTGTAGCTGCACTACTTACCATTACATTCTCTTTGTCCAGCTGAAGATCCTTATAGGCCTTACCCCTATCGCTACACTTTGTAACCCATGGGCTGCGTCGTGACTCGCTGAGGAGGCTCGTCCACTTGAACTGCTCGACTGCACCATCACATTGGAGGCCAGGTGCACAAGTCTTCTTCTTGATGGCTGGAGCAGCGATTGGCAACAACTCCGAGCCAGATCTATGCTTTGTAGCACCGCAGCCGCTGACGGGAGAAGGTGAAAATTCACGCAAGGGCGAGCCCATAAGACTTGGAGGGGTGGTGGTAGAGTCTTCAGGTGAGCAAGTGAAAGGGTTCGTCATGCTTTCACGCGATGAATCTGGTTCACAGAACATCAACATGCCATCACCACTCCCAGATGTGGAAAATCCATCATGATCATAATGCTGTCGATCATGTTGGACACGGGCTATCGGGTCCTCATCCCAAGACTCGGAGGAATGGGTGTCGCTAGTTGTGTATGGATTGGGACGTAACATGCTAAAGCTGGTACAGAATTAATGACTATGAACTGACGAGTTCTTATACGTATTAAGCTGTGTTGCTGGGTGTCCATCATACCAAGTGTGAGTAACATTGTGCCATGAAGCAAAAGTTTCCATTTTTAGAAAGAGCTGGTTTACTAATTCTCAACTGTCATTAGGTATAATATGACGCTCAGTGCTGATCACACATTGCAACGCATAGTTAGAACTTGCAAGCAATTTCCATTTTTGACATATTCTGAGTTTCAAAGTGAGTCATGATCCGTTGAACTTTACGTCCGGTGTGCTCCGAATAGAATCACAGCGAGAGAAGTATGGTTTCCATTCTGTCAATCACTCAAATACCATTTTTGGGAAGAGCTGAGTTCTAAGTGTCGCAGACAAATTGGATGGCTCGATCATTTGTTATTGGTATTCACTGCTATGGCAATTCTTCAAACTCCGGTTCGTATTTACTAATCGCTTATGTATTCGTCATGCTCTGCTACCCAACACCCATCCAAGTCGTCGAAGAATGAACACAACAACTCTTGCCTGTGATGAAGGCCAATTTAAATGCCTCACTGCAGCCCTTACAGTTTCCTCTGACAAGGTGGACTCCTATGATCATCAGAGCCCACCTCCAAGCTCTCCACGCTCTCTGAGTCCCGGGCTTTCAGAATCAGGTATTGATAATGCATGTTATGCAATGGTTAAGAGACTCAAATGTGACCACCACAGCCATTACAACCTCGGGTTCAGATGCTGAAGAAGATATCTTGCCTTTGACGCCTGATTCTAAACATTCCTACCGTATGGGATGCGCGCATATCCTCCCTCGTAGGTCGCCAACTCTAAGCCGTTTTCAGAGGCCTCGCAATCGAGGCTCCCACCCTTACTGTCGGCCATCCCCAAGTCTTGAAGAGGAGTACCTGGGCTCTAAATTATTAGGCAGACCCTCTAATAGTGACGATCCGTCAGAGTCGATGAGCCTCAGGGTAGGTCCTGCTGTCGTGTATAGCTCTGGCAACATCTCACATGCACCTGGGTTAAGGATGCATATACAAGGCAAATAGAACAACTCTCACCTGACTCATTCCATTATGCTGTGCACTACAAAGAAGCAGTATGTGAACGCAAGCGCATGCGCTTGTTCACCGTGGCATGGGAACTCGAGGAGACCAAAAGGCTGCATGCTTTTCTTGAAGCAACAATGGTCAATTCAGAAATGGAATTCGCAGCAGCGGTGGATGAGTCACGCTGGTTACTTGATATGATTGTTGACCGTCAGAAACTGAGGTCTATCAAGGCAGATGTCAGACAAGTTACTGCTGCATTGACCTGCACCAAACCGGTTCGGTGCATGGATGACTAATGCTCTCCCACGAGCCCGATACCCTAGAAATCATTATGAACAATCTTCCTTTACTTTATGGTTCAGACTGCAGTTCAGATAGTATTTTCATTTCATTTCTCAGACAGACTCAGATAGGCTGAATATTCTTGTATATTTGATTTTGCGGTAAATTCTGCTTAGTCAGCAATAACAATGACTCAGACTGAATCCCACACATGTCAAGTAACAGTGTAAAATAGTTCTTGCATAAGTTGCCTTGTGGGAACTTTCTTAACACTCTAAATACACAGCTCGCGTCATTTCTACGGTCAATAAAGTAACATCATAACAAGACACCAACAAATAACATAATCAGTCTGTTACTTAATATTTGTCACATGATACTAAGTTATATGACTCTAACAGTCAGGTGACCTATGATCCTAAACCAAATCATGACAAAGCAACCTTTTGAGATGACTAAAGCTTGATGACACAAATTATAAAGCACATGACTACAGTAAATAGTATTGGTACAATCTGACTAAGCCTATTCCCCTTAGAACGTGGGAAATAGTAACACAGCCACCATAATTTATCTATATAAGACCCCACTTTTTGCCAATAAAAATATGCAGAGAGGGAACTTTTAAGCCCCACAAAATAAATTTGAGTGTGAAGTGTGATCAGTATCAACAACAGTGACAAGAGCTGTTAAGCAACTAACTGAGAGGTCATTGTAAGCAACATCCAGCAATACCTTTAGCTCATTGTCAACAACCGTCAAATATCTTGAGCTCACGGTGCTCAACAGTGAGCAAAACTTTTTCTTTGATTTTCTACTGGTGAACCTCTAGTCTCTTTCTTTTCTTTTCTTTCTTCTTTTTCTCTTTCTTTTCCTGTTTCTTTCTGTCTTTTTTCTCATTTGTCTCTTTTTCTGTTCAGTTCGTTCACGTCTTAGTGTTATTGTCTGAATTTGTTTCAAGATCTTTGTGTTGTCTTTACGTCCATCTAAGCACCGGCTTAGTGGGAAGACTTCAGAAGTTGATAGTGACACTTGACCTCACTCATCTGAGTAGTGATACTGAGCCAGGGTTTTCTTTGTCTGCTAGACTTTAGTTGTTGAATAGGGGACTTGGTACTGAAATCCAAGGACGTCCGTTCCTGATTCTGTTTAATACTCATTGTGAGTTCCTTGGCAGCAGGTTCAATAGTGAACTAAGAGTTCTACTGATCACTGATTAGTCCTGACCTTTGATTCTACCTGTTTGTGCTGAGGGGGTGATTGTTATAACTTCGCACAATTTTTCTGTAGTAAATTTATTACGAGAAGCATTGTTACTGAAGGAAGGGTTTCTATCATCAATCTATTTCTTTTTTTATCAGTACCATACTGTTGGGCTGACTTTTCTTTGTTCTCTAATCACTGCCATACCATTGGAGTGATTTATTTTCTTTTTGTCATCACCATACTGTTAGGCTGACTACATTCTGTTTATTTTTTTTATTACATCCATACTGTTGGATTAACTGGTATTGCTACTGACCTCACAGGAAGTACTTTTGTCTGAACATAGCTTAGTAAAGTGTAAACAGCCACTCACGAACAACCACATTATCAGTCATTGGTATTTGTCTGAATCACTGACTGTGGAGATTTTTGATTTTGTAGGTGTTTATCTATAGATCATCTATCTAAGAAGCCAGCATATGACAGGAACAAAAAATCTCTTCATTGAGCTGATGCAGAGCTGTCCCTTCTAAAGGACACCGCTATCGAGGCTGAGTCCTGATGATAAATGGTCAGCCTTTTTTCAAGTAATGATTCCCTCCTTTAATCACTGACATATTTGCAGGCCTCACTCTACTAAGAGTAACGAACATCTCGGTCAAGTGGGAATTGATGGATGAATTAGGTACTTGTACGTTGAAACTTACTGCATACTTCTGTTATACAACTACGCTCTTCGCACTCGCTTGTAAGCGCCTTCTGTAAAGTACTGCGTCTTAAGCAACTGTCCGAATATTAAATTTTGACTGAAAAGACTTGATGATTGCTCTGATGGGCTTCATACAACGTGGAGTATTGCGCAGGTGGCGATCCGAGTCTCAACGCTGATCGACGAAGCGAAAAATTAAACTGCCTGGGCGTACGAACCAACTGGATTTAGATCTGGCAAGCCTCGTTGTCATTGCAGTTTTATTTACTATTAGTTTTATGGTCTCGTAAATGTTCAATACATTTTTCCTATCACAGAAATCAGGTTTTAACGAGGCATGAACATTGATTAATCATCCCACCATCAGTCCACCACAATGATGCTGCCCGCTTACACCTGCGATGACCAGCAGCCAGATTTCTTTTCTAACAATGAGTATAACTTTGACAGCCTGTTCAACGATGAATTGAGCCCCCATGATCACCATGACTACCCGCTGCCACACCCCAACCCTTTCTACAACGATTTCGTGCAGCCTAGCGCAGAGACATCAAATATGTTGATTACCAGGGAAGAAGAGACTCACCCCCTTCAATTCTCGCCATCTTCGATCGAAGATTGGCTCAACCATAACACATCGTCTCACATGACAGTGGACAACCCAGGGACTACCCTTCACTTACAAGCACCAAGTCAGCTTGGGCTGCATGATCCTGACAATCACCATGAGCCATTCAATGCAGAGACCCCTCAGCCAAGCATTGGCGATTACCTGAACAGTTTTGGTCTGCCGGTTATATCTACGGATGGGGCATCAACGTTGTAGAGACTCGTGCCTCTCATTGTGCAATATTGCAGTTTTCACTAGGGAGTACATGGCACGAACTTGTAGCATCACTCTGTATGCTATCCACAGCTATTCCTACATGAGGCGCAGCTTTCCCGTGCAACGCGCAACTTGCGCGTGTACCTTTCCCGCGCTTCACGATGTATATGCGCGCATGCTTTCCCGCGCTTGAGCGCCCTATAGCGCCAGCCATCCGGAAGCATCCATCCACTGTCCACCAAGTTCCCTAGTGCGTATATTTCCATTTCTCACATTTGCATATCATTCCATCTTTATTTTTATCATGGACCCTTACTTACATATATCCTTACATACCTTACTCGGTAGCGCTTTGGCTCCGCATGACAGCGCTTAGGCGCCATACTTAAGCGCCAGCAGTACATACTATTACCGGACTTACTCACCCACGAAAAATGACAGAGGACTGAACCAGAACAATACCCATTTACTACCCAACAGAGCATAGTTGAAATCTATTCCTTGGCACCTCGCATATAACATCTCTCAGCTTGCATCTCTCACCTCTTGACTAGTGTCTAATCATCACTTAAGCAAACTCACTCTTACTCTCTCTTGTTTCCGCATACACGCATGCACATTCCCGCGCTTCGCGCATTCTCGCGCCTTGCGTGCACCTGCGCTTTCCCACGCTTCGCATTCGCCAACCAGTAGCGCCTTCAGCGCCTACTACTAGATCCTTGCTGCACTCGCTTCCCCTTTAGGGTCGAACGCACTTGTCATCTCAAGTATAGCAGACTAGGCAACGCGTGACCTTACAACATTTATAGATACAGTCAGGAGCATTGTTCGTGCCTCCCTGTATCGTTGAACCTTCAACGTTTCCAACAGGATTCCAGGGTGAACTAAAACCTCTGGGGAAGGCCTTACCGCCTCCTGTCAATTGCAACCACAGAGCATCGAAGAGAACTCACGAATTTCTGTTTCACCCATATTCACACCAACCTGGGGATCACGAGGTGAGTGCAGTGGATGTGCAGCAGCTAAATTGCTGACGGAGTTGGGGTTGCATAGTCCCAAGCTCCTGAGTCTGAACCATCCATAGTCCAACCACCGCTACTCCCCTCATATGCTGAAAATGATCCTTTGCACGTGGAAATCGTTCAGTTTTCATTGGACCATGTGATTGACTACGCAGTCAACGTTCACTGCCTCCTAAATCAGAAGGAAAGAAAGAAGTTAGTTGAGGAAGCCTTGACCAATGCGGTCAATTCCATCTGCCCTCACACACTGGCAGGTAAGCATGCGCGTCTCTTTTTTGAAAAAAGAACTCACTTCCAAGTTTTGGCCGTGTATCAGGGACCAGAAAGAAATGGGTCAAAAATAATAAGAAGGCACTGTACCAAACAATTTCCGATCCTTTCAAAAAGATCATGACCACTTCCAAGAGAATCGTGCGGGCCAAAATTCAAACTGGATATCGTTTGCGTCCTGAACCTTGGTCAGGTATCTCTGAACCCGAGCACCAGAGAAAAACAGTCCAAGACCTCATTGACGACAATATCTTCCCTCACAAATTTAGCGTCGGGAGTGACGGTCATGCGCTCGAGAACAGGGTGGTATGGGACATCATTCTCAATGCTCTTCAAGAAGTTGGGTACCAACGGTACCTCAGAACGCTGGATAGCATGATGCTGACAGCAATCGTCGCTGTGTACTGTGCATTATCGGAACTGTCAAGTGGAAGGTTGGTAGACATTGAATTTGGGGCCGATGCCTTTAAAGACCAGTATGACACACTGCAGCATTATATTAACCAGAAAGTCGCCCATGACATAGCATTTTCGGAGCGATGGAAAGATTACGAGTGGGTTACTCGTGCCAGGTTGCTTGAGATTTAATTAGTACTCATACTCGATCGTGATGATAACGTACCTTGCTACCAACCATTGTACCAACTTCAATACGTGTACTACTAGGCAGTCGTCTTCTCTCAGTGTTAGTGCAGATTCTGCAGAAGTAATATTTGAAATAAATAAATCACCTGATCATGACGACTCCCACATTAAGGGCTTTGTCGAACACAAACAAATTCCCATGCGTCAGCCGATCAGTGTAAAGCTGTGCACTTGGCCAGAATCTTAATTTTATTCTCATCTGCTGAGTGCTCTACAGTTTTCGGCAAATACTCACCATCATACTTTTGTCAGTAGCTGAGCGCTGAGTCTTATTACATGGATCTCACCGCTCTTGGACATCCAAACCTGTGCGACAGCAGTTCTACATCTGTTTTTAAAGCCACTGAGATGACATCACTGTAGGCTTTGTGGAAGGGTTGTGTGTGCTGAGTGTTCTGGATGGGTAAGTCTTGTGTTTTACTGTGTTTCGCTTTTCTCTGTCGTTCGTTTGCTTTTTCGCTACAGTTGATCCTTTGGTTTTCCATGCCGCAAACTAACACTCCTAAACTCAGACATTCTACATCACCGACCCATCCTCCCAATCCCCTTCTGGCAAAAACACCAAAGCGAAACCTGCACGCGCATGCAACGAGTGCTACAAAGCTGCCTTTCCTCCCGTCCAGTCCATCACCGGTGGTTACAGCTCGGTTCATGAGATTGTTCATCATGGATATATCTTTCGATTCACGAAAAATACTAACAAGGCTCAGCCAAAGTCAAATTCACAAACTTCTGCGGACAACCTGGCGTGCACGTTGACGCTGACAGGTCCATCTATTACAGAGAGGGCCACGAACGCGAAACACTCATCTTCAGGCTCCTCAACCTAATACTCTGGTATGGGCCACGTAAACACTATAAGCGTGTACAGAGAGTATGGGTGGACGAGATCATCAATGCCCCACGCTGGAAAGACTTTATCAACCAACTAGATAACGAGTGGCTGGGGTTCACGATCTATGTAAGTGCTTGATACATATTGTATGTGATCTTTTTTTAGTTCAATGAGCCTCCTTGATCACACATGCAGGCTTTATACATGTCCCTGATGACCAACGGAATTCCTGGAATTGAAAACTTGGCATTGATGCATAGCTTGCCATATGCACTCCTTGTATGGGCGTATGTCCTAATTTCCCCGCGTATCAATCCCAGAGTTCTGACCTTGTATCTCGTCAGGATGGTATTCTTCGGCCTCGCATTGTCTATCTTCATTTTTGATACCGATGACGTTGCAACACTCGCGACGATGATCCCTGGATGGATAATAGTCTTGATATTCATGTTATGGCGCTGGCATTCAAGCCAGCCCTAACGTCTCGCGCCTCTTAAAGTGTTGGGGTCTCGGCCCACATCTCGAAGAGCTTGGTGTCAAACCACACAATTTGAGCATTAGACGATGTGAGTTACGATTAAATGTCCTGGTGTTCTTGATTGATGTTCTCCAGGGAAGAATGATGAGGTCGTGGGGTTCACGCCATTTGGGGAGACGTTCGTGAAGGAATACGGTTCCCCTTATTACCATGTACATGTTGAGTGCTCTCCCTGATGCACTGATTTTGCCTGATCAGGTTGAATCAGCGAGCTGATTTTCACCGTATGCTCTATGTGGCGGTTGAACCATACTGTAACATACGTGTAGGTTGTCGTGTTGTATCCGTGGATCCGTCAAAACCTAGTGTGATGCTTGCATCTGGGGAGATTGTATCTGCTGACGTACTCATTGGCGCTGATGGAGTCAAAAGTATTACTCAGCAGTATGTCATCGGCGGGCCCGATGCACCCATGGCTACTGGAGACTCTGCTTACAGAGCCCTCATCCCGACCGAGAAACTTCTGCAGGATGATGACCTGAAATCACTGGTGGAGAAGACAGAATCAATCATTTGGATGGGCCCTACGATATTCATGCTGTGGTCTACAATGAACACTGCTGTTGGATGGCTACTGAATTTTGCGAAATCCTTGCCCTGTCAGCCAGAGCGCGTCATCCAATACCTGTGTGGCTCAAGACACCCAGAATTGGACCAGATGTTCATTGACAGACCCAGCGATCGAGTTGCATAACGATGTACACATATGGAGTGCGCCACTATGCTTCCTTACTCTTGCACCGCCGATGCTATTCTATATCTGTGGTTTGGTTGGTAGGCTTACAGGATAAGTCGAGAGTATATACTAGTATACATCCTCCGAATTATATCGTGCAGCCACATGGTTTCTCCGATCTTATTACATCGGGTCTCAATGGTGGAACCTGGTGGGACTTCATCGAGGTCCATCGATTCATCATTTACGTGTGGAGTCAGCAGATCACGAGAAATAGTTCTCATTTCAAATTTCGCTTATAGCTATTCCATAAGCACTAACTTGAAACACCCCGTATATACTTCATCAGCGCATTCACACCTAGTCCTACCCATCATCTCCTGTGGATCTTATTAGGTGATGGCGATTCTCCCATGCTCTCTCCTTCTTCCTCCCGATTTATGGCTCAAGACGACATATATGAAGCCGAAGATCCAGACGTGCCCACTATGCGCGTGCGTGATCCATCGACATGGGACTGTTACGCTGCCCCCACTTGAGATCAAGAATCTCAATACCAAGAAACCACACCAGCCCTCCGCGTTCCTATATCCCCATCCGCATCAACGAACAAAGGTAATAAGAGAGTTCTGGGATACAGAAAGAAGTTATGTGCAGGGACTGGATCTCATGCATGATGTGAGTATTGATGGCCCTTGATTTGAATGAGATGAACTGATTTCCTGTGCAGCACTTCTTGACGCCGATCATAGTGTCGCTCGACAGTTCCCGTCCGCTCCTTATGCGCACAGAATTGACTACCATTTTCTCAAATTTTATTGACATTTGGAACTTCCATCATGCATTTTTCAGTGCCCTGACTGCGCTGCTCTATCCCTCTCTGTCTCACCTTGATGTCCCAAATCCTAACCCACCACCCCTTTCAGCACTCCTTCTCTCGCATTTTCCTTATCTCTCTCTTTACACGCCATTTATAACTGCATTCCCAAGTTCTATATCCTTCCTTTCCCGTCCACCCGCGCCATTTGCCCTATATCTACGAACACAAGAATGTGATCCACGCTGCGGGCAGCTAAAACTCACAGATTGGCTTTTGAGTGCTTCCACAGGTATGTCCACGGCGTTCTTACTCCTAGTTTAACACTGACACCACACAGCACGACCCTCGGCTCAGGATAGTCTACATGCACGACCGGGCGAAGACATGGACATAGGCTGCATTTTTTCGGTTCCAACTCGTATGTTGGGTCACCTACATTTAATATCGACTCAGAAGATGCGACTGGAGCAAGTGGGCAACACATTTCTAGCTTCGTTACTGTCATATGCTGATCAGTCCTCTAGCATACAACACTCCCGAGGACAGGTTCTGGCCACAGCGACCACTGTCTTCAGTAGCCTATTCCCCTCAAATAACTCACCCCATAATGCATGAGTGTGTCATGTATTTCGGTCCTGGCACTGTAGTGGGTAGCCCGACTGTGATCGTCCGATCTCCGCGTGCTTCTGGCACCAGTAAGTACACATGTTAATGTGATATAAACTCTGTATTGATTGGGTTACTAGCATTCTGTTGATACAATCATTTCTAGTCGCACATGAGTCTACTAAATGCTTGGAGAGTACTATAGCTTGAAGCAGCTGGAAATGTGTTTAGTGACCGCATGTTGACAGTTCTGTATCAAAGATTGATTTAGGGGTCTGCCTTAAACCTGATGGTTCTTAGAATGTGATGCAGCTTGTTAGTGCGGGTCCTTCCAATTCATTGGCAGTTGAATAAGGTCAGAAAATAGGAGAGAGCCGGCGGAGGTCCTTGCCCTTGTTGAGAAAGATGAGTTTCTTTATTCGTCTATGTCTCTAAACTGAACGATCACCAGTGACATCGTCTCTCAATACATCTCTTCATGCACACGCACATACACTCTCGCTCCTCGCATTGCAATGCGCTACCCTCGGCCTTCCGCTTACCCTACACTTCATTCAGCCAGGCCGCACCTTAATCTCCAAGAATACGACTTTAGACACTCGACAGCCAAAGCTCCCCGATTTAGCATCTCAGCAAACACCGAATATAACAACTCCAAACCATGGAGAAGGGTTCCCTCTTTCCACCCGACCTCAATGTGCACCCTTGCCCTTCCTACCCCCGGTCTGGGTCCCAGACGCAAAGACAGACACATGTATGTGGTGTGCACGTCCGTTTGGGCTTGTGAGGTTCACGGTACCTCTATTGATGTCTGTGTCTTTCTCTTTGCTGTCGTTTGCATGTATTGTGGTTGCCATGCTGCTAGTTATTTTGACCCCAACTGTAAGGCTACCTGTCTCCGTGAAGTCCAATGCTGACAGCTCGTTCAGATTTTAATAGGCGCAGGCACAGGTGGTTGGGTAGCCTATGGCACACTGATCGTCCTTTACCTTGTTTATCTTACGTTGTTTCTGATTCTTGTTATCACTAGCCGGGATCATGATTCAAGAAGCTCTGGTCCCAAAAGTTCCAGCTCCTTCAACTGGTTCAGACGGCACAGACATTCCCAAACAACCCGCGAAACTCCTTGGTTATTCTTCTAAAGTTAATCATCCCACTTCGTCGTCTGCAGCGATAGTCCAACTTCTTCATGATGCAGGGGCAATGGCTCATGTGAAGACTACCGTACCCCCCAGTCTTCTCGGAATGGAGACATCGTCAGTCCTTTTTGGGTGAACGAGTAATCCATATAACGAGAATTTCTCCAGCGGCACTTTGACTGGTGGTGGGGGCGCACTTCTTGCGGGGAGTGTCATCGAAATCGGCACAGATCTTGGCGGCAGCATAAGGTTGCCTGCCCATTATTGTGGACTCTATGCTATGAGGTCTTCGATAGGACAGTTTCCATGTCAGGGCACGCATGCCCCTGTACCTGGATTAGAAACAGTGGCTACTACATCTGCTCCGATGTCTCGAAGACTGGAAGACCTTGAAGAATTTTGGAAGCGTGTTGTGGAGATGCGGCCATGGGAGTATGACCATACGGTTCGCTAAGTTCTCATTTCTAACATCCACCAGACCTAATGATTGCCGCAGTGTGTTCCATTACCTTGGCGACCCGTAAATCTTCAAGAGACGAAGCTGAAGTTTGGAGTGATTTGGGAAGATGGTCAGTCCCCTTTATGCTGCTTTTTGCATTCATTCCTCATATCCCTAGGCATCGTTTCTCCCTCTCCTGCTTGTCGTCGTACTTTGGAATGGGTCTGTGATGCATTGGAGAAGCAAGGTCATGAAGTAGTTGATTTGTGCGCTCGAACCGCTCTGATCTTGAATTTTGCTGACAAATAACATCACCCAGTGCAGATGGGGGTGAGTACTGAACAGTATTTGCACGCAGAGACATTCCTGAAGACGCTGATCATCATTTCTGATGCCAAGATCACGGACGAAGGCTCTCTTGGCACTAGTTCATTCGTGTGGTCCTATGTCTCTTCAATGGATATACCCGGTATGTTCTATGTTTCTGAAAGCTGTTTCTGGTATTCATTTGCCTTATTCCTTCTGCGTAGGCTTGGACTTAGAGCTAGCGATTCACGTTGGACCTGCATCTTCGAGCAAGTGTCCACGGTGCTGGACGTATACTCGTGAAGAGCAGCATGATTTATGTCCCCGCTGTGAGGATGTTTAGACTAGATTGTTGGCCAGTATAGTACACACATATATATAGACTACAATACTAATCCCACCTCTTGCACTTGTTTGAGCTTGATTTCGAGAAGTGGATCCGTATCAAATGGTTGCATAATCATCAATACACTTCGTTTCAACCCTGAGCCCGAGATGTGTAACGCTCGGCCTACCTGGCGGCGCATTATAAAGCCTACTAAATGAGTCACGGAGGTTCAATGTTAACCTCGAGTTGTTCAGACTTTGTCCTACTGTCCCTATGTGATTTGCAAGGTTCTGACCGTGACAGAGGACCCTAATTAGTACTACTGGTTTGACTGCTACTACCGTGACTGTGACTGACCATCGGTTCAGGCCTACTACTACCAGTCACGTGGTTGCATTGCTTATGCCCAGCGATTTGCAAGCACAATGCACACGTTCTGGGCTGGCCTTTTCTTGTTTCTTGTAATGGTATCTTGTGACGCTCTGGGTTGCTCTTGGAAAAGGGCGACCAACAACCGAGGACTCAGCAGGCATCGCACGATGTGCCATTTCTATAAGAGATCTAGTACTCTAGCCAGTCAAAGGAGAAAAGACCGGGCAAAAGAGGCTTCTTCAAGCTCGGTTCTGCCCCCTTTCAGCAATACGCCAGTAAGTGTTCTATCTATTTCAAACTTGAACTCAGTCATTTAACGTAATCTCAGAGAATACTATCTGCTGTCCGACATGTGAAGGACCGCCCAAGTTTGAAGCCAATCGCTCCCGACAAGCTCCGCAGGCTCATGTTTATGGCTGACAGCTTGCAAGGTGTCTCCAGCATCTTAGACTCGCAGACTCCCCCTAACTCAAAGCAAATTGAATGGCAACTTGAAAGTATTCCTATTGATGTTGACTCGGAGATAGAGAATGTGGAGCCAAACTTGAACACCTTGGATTATTGTGATGGTCTAGGTCAGTATTCCTTGAGTAGCGACTGTTTTATCAATGAGTTGATATTTTCCAGAGGAAACTAGACTATCTATGAGAAGAATTCCGAGAGCCTTCCGCGATGTCGAGCCTTCACAAGACGACCTCCACCACTTGGATAATGCCAACGTCTCACCAGTTCAAACCTCAATTTCATTGCCTGCTCAATCCAGGATTCGACGAGTCCTTCTAACGCTAAGGGACACTCTACAGACCGCGTATAACTCATTCGGTCTTTGTCAATTGTACCCTCGTCGTCCCTCCTTCGAGCCAGATCATTTGATCCCATCCTCCTTACTTGCAAGGACGTCTCCAACGGTTAGCCAACTTGAAGGAACTGATTCTCAACAAAAGGTTTTCCCACCTCCTTACCCCTTTCCTAACATGACGGTCCATAGACTTATGTCTTGGATGAATTCCGGGAGTGCTCTGTTGTCTGAAACGAAAGTCTCGCGCTTGATCAAGGACGTGATACTGGTGGAAGACTTTGACCCCAAGCACCTTGAAGACTTCTCCGTGAAGCGAAACTTGCGAGAGCTGGATAGAGATGAGGATGGGAAAAAAGTAACCTTCCCTGATGATTGGATTGAGACTGACATTACCATCAACATTCCGATGAAGTTGAAGGAGGACAGCCCTCGGCCCTATACCATTCCTGGATTCCACTACCGCCCTCTTGTTGAAGTAATGCGCGCCGCATTCGCAGATGCTCAAGCTCAGGTGTTTCATCTCCTCCCTTTCAAATGGCTGTGGAAAGACCCTTTGGGCAGCCATGAAGAGCAGGTATTCGACGAGTTATACACCTCCGATGCATGGTTGGAAGCTCAGGACCACATTCAGAAGCTGCCCAGGGAGCATGGGTGCTCACTGGAGCATGTCATCACCGGTCTGATGCTCTTTTCTGATGCCATGCATCTGGCAAACTTTGGGACTGCCAAAGCTTGGCCACTTTACTTATATTTTGGAAATCTGACCAAGTATGCAAGGTCATCACCCAAATCAGGAGCTTGCCATCTAGTCGGATTCTTGCCATCAGTGAGTTTTCATTGCATTCAGCACACTCGCCTTCTGTTGATGAAGTCAGCTTCCCGATAGCATGAAAGATATTCTCAGTAATTTATTTCGCATATCAAAGACCGGCATAGTGTCCCTTCAAGCCCACTGTCGCAGGGAATTGTTTCATTCCTGCTGGGAAATCCTGTTGGACGAGGACTTCATTCATGCATATCGTCACGGCATCGTTCTTAAATGTGCTGACAGAATATGGCGGAGGGTATTTCCTCGAATCTTCACATATTCTGCGGATTATCCTGAAAAGTATGTTCCTCTGAATACCTATTTTGAGACTGCTCAATCACCGTTAATTTACAGGGTTTTAATTGCAACCATCAAGGACATGGGGTTGTGCCCTTGCCCTCACTGTCTTACGCCCAAAAGCTCATTTAGTTTTCTCAGGCTCATGAAAGATATGAAAAGTCGAGTGACAAATCTTCGGGTATATGCTTTGGCGAAGGTTGTGAAGGCTCGTGAATTTATCTACAATGGAAGCACAGTCAATGGCGTAAAGGTAGAACATAGTCTCGGTGAGGGCTCCTGGGTGCCCATCCTGGTGAGTGCAACTATGCTTCCCTGTGTTATATGAATTAACTGCACGCCATATATTGCAGAATCAGTTCGCCAAAAGGCTTGGACCACTTGGCCTTGATGCATTTGGCATGCTTGTAGTCGATTTCATGCACGAGTGCGAACTCGGCACCTGGAAGGCGCTACTTACACACCTTATCAGGTTGCTCTATGCCATCCCTGGCGGGAGTCAGTTGGTGTCAACCCTGGACGGCAGGTATGGAGATTTCACATAGTGCTGCCGCCTGCTAACTAGTAGTCTAATCCTGATCTTCTATAGATTTTGACAGATCCCCACTTTTGGCAATGGGGTGATCTGCAAGTTTTCAAACAACACCTCTGAGATGAAGAGGTTAGCGGCGCGCGACTTTGAAGATATCTTACAGGTCTTCTAGTTATTCATTTTATACTTCATATGGGCTGACACCCTCTTAGTGCGCCATTCCAGCCTTTGAAGGACTTTTTCCGACCCCTCATGATGTGGTGGTACAATCTTTGTTGTATCGGTTTGCCCAGTGGCATGCACTCGCCAAACTCAGGCTCCACTCTGAGTCCAGCGTTACTTTCCTGGCAGAAACCTTCAAAAACCTGTCTGGGATGCTACGAAAGTTCCAACGTCACACTTGTGCCGCGTTTAACGCTGTGGAACTACCCAAAGAGAGAGCAGCCCGCCAACAAAAGGCCGCTCAACATCCTGAAACTCACAATACGTCTGCAGAATCGAGTGGGGCGCGCCGGAAGACATTCAATTTAAGTACTTATAAATTTCATGCGATGGGCGATTATGTGAGAACTATCCGGTTCTTCGGAACTACAGATTCGTTCACCACTCAGATTGTAGGTACCTTTAGCATTCACGCTATGTATCTGAAGTTTGCCCAGGGAGAGCTTGCTCACAGAGCCCTGAAGGTGTTTTATCCACTGACAAATAAATTAGACACCCCAGCGCAGCTGGCGAAGCACGAGCGTAGGCGCTGTGTTCTGCAGCGGGTGGCAGAAGTAGCGGGCACCTCGTCACCAGGCAATCAGTCAGGAGCCGACACCCTACAGTCAACTTCCTTGGAACAGCATCATCATATCGCAACGAATCGGAACAATGCAGTACAGATCTTCGCCTTTATCCGGGAACATGAGGGTGATCCAGCTGTCAAGGTAGATGTTATCTTGGATGCACCTGTAATCTGCTCACAGAGTTTGTCAGAAATTCATGCCAAAATTAAAGGACCATATCCTCTATAGGTTGCGGGAGCTCGACATTACCTTTTGTGATCACATCTTCACCGACCAGGAACGCAACTCAGTGATCATCCCCAACAACGTAATGTATGCAGTTCAGACAATGCAGGTGCACTACACCACCTATGACTTGAGGCACGAGTATGACGTCATCAACCCCCAAACTCATGGGGATGTCATGGTGCTGTCAGGGGAGACAAATCCTAGGCACCCATACTGGTATGCCCGGGTGTTAGGCATCTATCACGCGGAGGTATGGATTAACGACGGTCACCTGCCTGTGAAGCGGCACCTAGACATTCTGTGGGTAAGGTGGCTGGCACTTGTACAAAACCATAGATCTGGTATGAAATGCGCTCGCCTTCCAAAGGTTGCATTTGTTGAAGAATCGGACACGGATGTATTTGGCTTCCTTGACCCAGGGCAAGTCATCAGAGGGGCACATTTGATTCCTGCATTTCACTCAGGAAGAGGTATAAGTTCGCTTCACCACGGAAAGTCGCTTGCACATCCTGGAGGGGAGCTAGATGATTGGGAAGAATACTACGTCGGGATGTAAGTGTGAATATCCCTTACCCCTTGTGCCATAACGCTCACGATTTTGAGCCAGATTCGTTGATAGAGACATGTTTATGCGCTATACCCATTTAGGCGTTGGTCATTCAGTCACACTTTGAAGGATCGCATGAGACACTTTTGGTACAGATTCGCCGACTTGGACAGGGACCGAAGCCATGGATGTTGTAGATGAGGAGGACCTGGATGGCGGCGAGGGTTTTCAAGAAGGCGACTACCAACAAGAAGACTGCAGTGATGAGGATGACGACTCAGAATGTGACGATGAAGAGGACGTGGACTCAGATGGAATGGATGGTGAGGAGCATGATGGTGACGACGAGGATGAAGAGTTGGAATTTTCTTTCTAAAAAAATGCCTTCCTCACATTTGTCGAGGACGACACCGACTATAGCGCATTCAGAGCCCTTATACATCGTTTGTACTCTCCCCAGCCAGCTGAATACTATGCACGTGCCATGCCTGCGCCAATCATGACAACACCTTAGGTTCTATCATCGTACTATCCAGCTGCGGGGGTAAGGCACCCGCATTACCAGACGCAATGTTGCCCATATCATGAGACTATTCGGATAATCAATTATGTGTGATACCAAAACTTTGTGACAAAACGGACGCATTTGACGCTACTGGTCATCACAGATTTAATGCCCAATGCGAACACCATTTTCCATGACAAAGCCTTGAACAGCCTTGTAATTCACAACATAAATATGGGAGAATGAGAATGCTCAACAAGGGGGTCAAACTTACGCTTCCATCTCTTACCGGTCATCACACTACGACATCACAATTTTCTCATAAACTCCTCACGATAATCTAGAATTGCAGACATTAATGGCTATGTACCAACAACTCAAATTTATCATAGTATACATAGTCATATTTAGCAGGAGCAGAATTATATCCTCCTATAGTTCCCACGGCTACGATATCATGGACTCATGAATTCACTGATGGTGAATGCGATATCTCCAGCGCTAGCGTTCGTGCAATCATGTTGACTGAGCACTTGCCGTGCCGACTTTAAGTGCTCTATGTAGTAGTACGGTCGCTCTACGGTACGCAACCGTGCTCTCAGACTTCTAAATTAATATCTGATGGCCTTTCCCAAGTTATACTTATATGCATATATATACATCATAGTATCTTCCATTTAATGCCTCGTGGCCATAGCGCCGCTAGGCAAACATGGGTTGGTGTGTTGATCGCGATGCAATACGGTTTGCCATAATCGGACGCCAGTCGATGGCTGGTGGCGACTGAATTAGGGCTCCGTGAAAAACTACCCACGGAGTTAACGACGAGTTTTTAACTCACCCTCACCCTCGAGGGGTTTTTGACAGACTCAAAAAATGCGTTTTTTCAGGTCATTTTGACATTTTTTCGCTACGGTAATGCAAATGCCCACTGTACAGGCCCTCCCGGAGGCGTTGGAACTGTGCTATCCTGTAGTTGAGGTGTCCTGCTTGCCCCTTCCACCGGCTTCTCTGATAGTAAGTCCAACAATCGAGGAGCATCAAGATGAGCATCCTCGCTACCCACAAGTACTCTCGTATCACAAGACCTGTACATTGGATCACGCTCAATCTCTGGGTCCTCGCTCTCCTCCAACCAATTGTCCTCCGAGTCTGAATTAGAGTCCTGCGGCTCCGGGTTAGCCTCTGCTTGCGACTCGGAGTTGTCGTGTTTCCTTTTCTGACCGTTGCTATCGAGATCGACATCGAAAAGAGTACTGTCCAGGTCACGAAACTTAACTGTTGGTTTTGAGGGAGGCCTTTTGGTCTACGGGACAGGACAGTGAGAAGGCGGAGGAAGAAAAAGTGGGACAGCGCGAACACGTTCAGGATCCATCAAAGCCCACTGCCGAACTTGAACCTGACTGACAATGGTAGAACTTTTGAGGGAGCTACGTAACGCGGAGTTCAACCAATTCATCGTTGACGCTGTACGCTCATCCGCCATCGAATTGACGGTGACATCGAAAATTCAGCCGAACGCTCAATTGGACGGTAGTTGACAGATCGTTGGTCATATCTTAACGATTTTTCGGTGATTTCGGATGTTCGGATGGAGAATTCGATAGGCTATGTTCCCGAGATCATATACATATATATTTTAGTTTTTGACACCCCAATATCAACCCCGAGTTATCGACTCGTTAAAAACACGTTAAAAACCTGTCAAAAACTCCAACGTCAAAAACTCGGTAGTTTTTCACGGAGCCCTAGACTGAATCACACTGATGGTGACTCACTTTGCGTTCTTCCGAACTAGAACACATTGTGATAGCAGACAAGTCATTCTAATTTTTCACAAATATTCAATGCGCCATGGATGAGCGATAGGATAAGCGCTTAAGCATCGTATCATGATCCGTAACTGCCTGTGGTCACAGGCTGACACAGTCACTAACTTCAAGTTAGCGCGCCGGTCAGCCTACTTAAGCAGGTACCACTGATGGCAGCGTGGGCATTCTTGTGAACCCCATCGAAGCTTACTCTACGTCGTTCCCATGATAATCAACGTCAACTTGACTCGAAGATCCGCAGTGGCGCAACCGGTCGATTAATTGACTTCCTTGAGAGTAGGACGCAATGCGTATATAAAGGTGGGTCTCAGAAGACCTGTCGATTCAGTGGACACTCTGCAGTGCTCAGTGTTCCAACGTTGCACTTAGGTGAGGAATCTTGTGACCAGCTTATATCCACTAACTGGATCTGCAGGCAGCCAACTCGTAAGGATACTCGGCACGCAACTTTGTTCTCCTACGTAAATCTGCAATGTCCACTCAAAGAGATCTCGAACGAGAAGAGGCTGGTCCTAGCTTTGGTATGTACTTGACAACATTCTATTAATCCAGCAGAAATATTGAGAATGCACAAATGCTCAACGAGATGAACAAGTCCGCGGCAAGGTTCAAAAGGATGTGCAAACACCCACGGAAGACGATTCGACGATTGTGGCAGCATGGATGCAACGGATCCAGACACTCACTCTTATAGTAAGTCATTGCTCAGTGACTCTGGTTAAATGAATCTGGAACGACCCGTCAGACGACATTTCTTACTTCCGTCGATGGAGAGCTCTTCACCCTTACCTCCAGATCATCGCAGGTAACAGTTCATGCAAGCTTAGACTTTCAGGAACTCGTGTATGCATGTTTGGCTGGTGCCCTCGTTTTTCATGTCTGTGCTTGTGAGTGCCGCGATGTTCGGGGAAATACGAAGCGCTTACAGCCCGTGTTAGCAATTCTGGGATATATCGCGTCTTTCCTTCTCGTTCGATACAAGACCATCGACGCAATACCCCCTTCCGATATGAAACCCGACGTGCTGGGAAAACTTCCTGACACTGGTTCACCTCACAAAAGCGTTAATGGAAAGCAACTCTTGCTTACAGCCATCCCTCCTTTGTATATCGTACAGTCCCTTCTTCAGATACCCTCCGGGGTCCGATTCCAATCCAGGGCGTCCACTCCCCCACTGAATCTTCTGACCCGGTGCTATTTTACGATTTTGGCGCTAAGTGGCGCTGGCTTTGTCTTGGCACTTCTTGGTATCGCCACTTACACATGGTTTGGACTGAAGCGGGTTGTTGGGATATTCACGATAGCTTGTATAGGTATTAGTCTGTTGTCAGGTGTGTGGGCGATGGTGTACTGATCCGCGTGCCTTGGATACGTGATTATCATGTTGTTAACGACAATACGAACTCATTCACGATTTGGTTGAAGCTGTGCACTGAGTATTTCGAGTGTTGTATTCAAGATTCATCGGTAAATGCCGTTGTGTGTTCAACATCGCAAACGGGAGATAATCTCATCATAGTTTGATTATAGCGCCCGCCAACTTAGTTTGCCAAAATAAACACTTTGCACAGGTGGTTTCTGTAGTAAGAATTTACAGAAATTTAATCTGTAAGCCGTACTGAGTGCTGAGGGCCGGGCATCAGGTCTTTGAAGGGCTTGCACAAAAGAAGCGATGACTGAGTGATGCGCACCATCAAAGGCGCGTCAAATATAATTCCCGATACTCCTTCAAGCTTCAAATTTCACAAATGCATCTCAACCACATCGTCAAAATACTGATGTAGAATCTATGCCATAGCAATCTTCTTGTACTATGACACCTGTCGTTCAAATCACAAATACGCAGCATAGGATGTGAAATAATGATTTATCATGTCGCATGCATCAGGTGGCCCATCAAAAGGTCAGCGCTCAGCGCTCAAGCTTGTTAACTTATCTGCACTGCAGGCGATGTCGATGATCCCTTGTTTTACTAGTCGCCTTTTACGGCAGGTGTTGTTTTTCTCAGTTTGTTCGACTCTTTGACTTTACCACAAGCGCATCACTTCCAAAATTCTCATTCCGAGGTTGATTTAAATCTCCCTGTCGACAGTCCCGGCCACATTGGTAAAATACATATGATGATATTTTGCCATAGGAGTACGAGACATGTTACAGGTACACAATTTGCAAAAGGGATCAGTGGCTCATGTGCTTACGCTCATTGAATGCTGAAAGGAAGGTCCAGATCGAGTTACGGTAGTACAGACCTCATGTCGCTCAAGCCCTACTCAGATCCCGGATGATATTGCAAAACGCGATAGCCTTGTCTCCTCGGCCACATCCGCATCACAGATACAAAGGGTCTCATAAAGGTCTCTTCAACCGTAGGCAATCTCTTTATATTGCAAGTGCGAGTGAACTATCGCTTAGCATCCTTCACTTGCACATATTATCACTGTGCGCCTCTCTTGCTTTGTGCATTCTGTGCCAGTGGCTCGGATTTTTCCAACGACTTCCTGGTACATTCATTTTCCAGAAGCCCCACAACCATGCAGAAATCCATCTCATTTCCGGTCTTCGTCATCCTTATCTTTGCTTACTGTTCGTATTTGAATTACTGTCTGCTCCACTTTCATTTGATTCAAACTTTGTTCAGTATCCCTTCTTGCATGTGCAAGTCCCATCCCCATCATTCTTCCGCCCAGTGAGGGCATCACTCTTTTCAAGGATGTCATTGCGGTAAGCCATCTTTTCGTTTTCTGTAAGTTCTTGAATGAGAAGACGTGCAGCGTGATGTTTTGCTCGAGGTTAACATATTGAGGCGTGAGCCTGCTCTACTTCTGGAGCTGCATGAAGCCGCCGCCGTCTTGGTGCGAGACGAAGACGCAGGACTTATCGCAGAACCCTCCATACTTGTCGATGATCCTGGCGATGCTCTGGAAGCACGTGTATGTCGTTATGGATGCCTTTGAATTTTTCTAGTAGGCACGGTTATATTATATATGGCTAGCTTTCTAGCTCATCCGCAGGAGTACTAGTAGCATTCCTCGCGCTGACGGGCTGTATATCTACTACATTCATTCAGTCCGGTACTCTCTGGAGAGCTCGTGTCGTCTCTCCGTCCGCTCCTTTCTCGGGTTTCTTTCTGTCTTTCTGCTATGTATTTTTGATAGCCTATCCTCTGATTTGGTATGGATGGACTCGCTCGATGCGATTGAAAAATACTATATATTATTATATACCCCTGTCTTCATTGCTGGCTTGTGTAAAATCGAGTTCACCGTGCTCTCAATGTACCAGCTCATATCATATATCGTCCCGACCCTTGAGCGCACGAACTAATAACTTGCCACAACCTGCCAAGACGCCCATCGGATCTGCCAGCAGCATGCAGAAACTCATGCTGATGGTACCTTCCAAAATGGCATGCCCTTCTGCGATGAATAGCTAGTTAGCCGGAAGGCAGAATATTGCACGCAACCGTCAGGGTTCTCTCGAGCACCGACTTGAAGTTATCCCCTTGATCCCAAACAGGCAGGTGCTGTAGATTAACTAGCGCTGGACCGGACACCGACGCAGATTTCTACTTCTCTTGACACCCAACAAGGGGACATCCAAATACGTCGCTAATCAGGGTTTTCGTATCAAGGTTATCTCCGTACAGATAGAAGTGCGTGCAAACGGAAGAGATAATTTAAGAACCAACTTGACTGACGAACAAGCTAACGTCCTAATTGGGACTGAAGCTACTCCCCAAATGCGGTCGTTAGCTTTTGGACCAACCTCCTTTGGCAATATCAAGGAGTCGAAAACTCACAGAAGCCGGCTCACGCAAGGTGGTATAAAGACGTTATCGAATGGATCTTGTGACTCCACGAGCTTTTTGTGCACTCGACTCTTATTGTTCTGCGCTCAGAATACATTCTCCATCTAGCGCTTTGATCAGAACCTTTTTTCCAAAAGTCAACAGAACAATAAAACCACTTCCCAAAACACTATGTTTGTCAAATTCGCTCCATTCTGCGTTATCGCGTGCTTTGCTGCTTTGGGTGAGTTTAATTGTCTCTTCAAATGTTCGCCATACTGACGGTTTATGTGATTGATCTGTAGCATCTGCATCGCCTTTGCCTGTTGCAGCTCCTGAAGCTGTTGCCCTTGCTAACACGGGGATTCTTGCTGTAAGTCGTTTTATATTCGACAAAAGATGAACAAACCGAATTACGCCTGATTTTTGTAGCGCGAGGCTCTAGCAGTAGCAGAAGCTCTCTCCGCACGCGAACCTACTCCTGAAGAGTCAGAAGATGTCGAGGCCAGGGTGTGCCGCTATGGTTGCCTGTGATCGAATATCTGTTCCCACATCACTTTTCGCGCTATTGCGATTTATCAGCGCCCCCACTGTCCTTCCTGCCATTACACGCGTCTGCGGTCCTGCTCGATGCGGACCACCATTGACATACCCAGCCGCAATTTGACCTTCTCCGATGACCATTCCGGACAATATTCTGGATACCATTTTCTTACGCACGTTACGAGTTTTTTTTGTTAATCGGCAGGGTTTTGTAACTGTATTACTTGAGTCATAGACGCTGTATTGTTATTCCTTTGCTTTCGTATGTGTTTTCTGTTATGGAATGTCCACATTCAACACAGCTGTTGTATAAAGTACTTAGGTACTTACTTCGAGCTACTACTTACATGGTGCCCGATATTATGAAGGAAAGCCTGTATTGGTGTACACCACGTGATATTCGAGTGAGCGTTGAACAACTTTGATAATCCTTGCGTCGGGCACCTTTACCACCTTCATGTCTATTGCGGAAGCGAAACACAGCAAACCTGCTATAAGCTGATAACGTGTGAGTACTGTTGCAGGAAATTAGCGAAAATTGTCAACACCCAATGATATTTCAGGACCGCGATGATTTGCGCGGTGTATTCATTACTGACGGCAGATGAATCTGCCGAAGGTCATCATAGTGAAATACTACAGATTGCAATGTTGACTGGGATATCCCATTCACAAGATATACTGTATGCTCCACAATGGACACATCGATCTACTGAACTTGAATGCTCTTCAAGTACTCCAAGCGGTAGGGGTTAGCATCCGTCTGGTTGCCACGGTTATGCGCAATCCACTTGGGCTCATCCTGGAGCACAATGGCGGTAAGAATACGAAAAAAAGGAGAACCGACTGAGAACATACCTTGAACAGTCTCATGGTCCTGACGCGGTTGCCCATATCGAGAGTGAAGCGGTGGTAAATACCCGCAGGGAGGACTAAGAGGTCACCGGCACCCATGTGGCAACGAATCCAGGATTCACTGGAGTGTTCTGCATAGCGTAAATTTCATCAAAAGCTCCAGAGTTTAGGTTGTTACATACCACGAACATCAAAGAAGCCGGTGCCTTCAAGAATGTATCGGATTTCTTCATCTTCGTGCATATGCCTGAGATTATCAGATACATAGTGGTGAGTACATTTCGGATGAACGAAGACATCAGGTCTTACTCGTGGTAGAAGTTCTTGATCTTTGTTTCAAATTCATCACCAAGGCCCTCTTTGCTGATAGAAACAATATCGTGGTTCCTGTAATTCCTTTCCTTCGCAACAGCAGTAATCTCCTGCTCGTACTTGCCCTCAGCATCAATGGGAATGTGCCAGTGCAAGACGCCAATGGACTTCAAGACCTCATCTGGAACGTCCATGCCGGAGTCATGTGGGAGGCGTTGATCACCCTCAAGGTTGTCAAAGTAGTAAGCACGCATATTATAGTTGAGAAGATATCAGACAAGATCCTAAAAGATACAGGATGGAACTCGGGGTATTCAGACGATGACAAGGCTATTATATACAGGGCCGTCAGCTGACCTCGTAGGTGTATAATGATAGATCACTTACCCCGAATTTTGTGAGCAGCTAATTTCGGATGGAGGTATCCACTGGACCAAACCCGTATGACGTGTGCAGATGCTCGATATGATTGATGAATAAGCCTATGCATCAATGTCTAGGGTGGAGCGGGTGCTCCGTACGTTCCGTAGGCATCTGAGTCGGCGTCCTTTTCGAAAGTTCTAGAGCTGGTGTTGGCCGTTCTTGAATCAATAAGTGGCACTCGTTTGTGGTGTGGCAGATCGAGGACAAGTTGGTTCCCTCCGATTCTATACTCGGAGAACCTAATACACACGAGAGAATACCAAACGTTTGCCAGTCACCTCGAGGTAGTACCATAGAATACATCACCGTCATGAACGTGTACATGATCATCACGTGACATTCGTCCAGCGTTGAATTTTGTGACATTAACGTTGATTCTTGCCAGATTCTTGTACACTCCTCCATCCCGGATTATACCTACCCTCTCGATAATGGCGACTGCTGAGAGTCCAAAGAGCGTCGGCAGGTTTGAAAGCCAAATTATTATGAAAACAATAGGCTAATCTCACTTTTTCCCTAGGCACTCGGATCTTCTGACTACTCTCCCAGACGTTATTCTGAGCCATATTCTCTGTCTCGTTTTTGACGATATGAACCAATGCACTACCAACGCGCTCATCGTAAACCGGCGTGTTTTCTCATTGGCAAAACCTATATTCCTGTCCACGATCGTCTTACACTCGGAACTATCAGTCTTACACCTCATACACCGTTGTATTTCCTCAAGTCAGACGAGCCTTACACCTGCCGATAGGGAATACGTCAAGTGTATAGAAGTCAATTTCTTACCATCATCTCAACAGCAGACCCTCGCAGCACCCAGCGTACTCAGCGCTGCTATCCCTTTTCCAAACCTTCACACTCTGAGGTTTCGTTTTAACATTGGAGTCCCGTTGATGTCGAGCTTGCCTACTCCAGAAATTAACCAGCAACTTGTCGCATATACAGCTGCACACGCTCGTTGGCTCAGGGTGGATTCGCCATTATTCGATCTCTTATCGAGCTTCAAGCCGCAGCGTTTCGAATGGATTTCTGAAGTTTCTCGCGGCCGATCTAAGTTAGGCTCACGTGTGGAGGGAATCGCAGCATCTATGGTCCGACCTATTCATGTTCTTGGTTTTCACGGTGCTTTCCGAGCTCTTATCAAGCGCTGGGACAGTCTTACACATATGTATCTGGATGGTATCTGTTTGCTTGCCAAACACTGCACATCGACCTTTCACCTTGCCCTCCTCGCAAAGCATATGCATATCACTGTGGATTCTCATCGAGACACCTTGCATCTCTTTTCTTCAGCTCCCCACGTTTTTTTGGGATCTCGCAAATGCGAGAGTCTGGTGGTTGAGCGTCCTGGAGCGAAGAAAGATCGGACATCCATCTATAATGCTGTTCTTAGACCTGGAACCTTACTTTCTTTTCGCGGATTCTCATCGGCTCAGTGCGCATTGTTCAAGTACACGTTTTTTAGCACAGAGGACCATCGATATCTCGGGCCGGTACCGCCAGAACAAGTTATCCGAACCGTCAGGGCCGGGGTCCACGAACTACGGGGGTTGAACATTTCTTGGCCCACTTCAGGCATGACAGCTGTCACTCGCCCTTCGGGAACCGCCTTGTCTCCTGACGAAGCTACTACCAGCCCTCTTACGCCTAGAGATTCGAAACCACGCCCTACGCTCGCTTCTGTCATATCGACAACTAGTTATTCCACCTACATTATTGGCTTCATCGCTATCCCTATTGCCATTTCCTTCACCATCTTGTATTTCATGTCATTGCCCGCTGTCCACTATCTCCAACGACGTCTTAATGCTGCCTCCGCTACGACTACCTCCGTGGCTGCCTCTGCGCCTACCGCACCTCGGGACAGACCTCGATCACGCGCAGCATCGTCCCTTTGATGCAAACCCGACTCGAAGTAGGTAAGACACTTACCGAGCGAGATCCGACAGCATGATCGTTTTATTTTTATTCTATGTAGATCTTCCTTGAAAATTTCTGTCAGTTTTACTGTAAGAATCGATTTGTAAATTTCAGCAGATGTGCCGTTGGGGTTTGATCTGATTGATTGGCGTTGACGTTGAGCGCTGAGCGTGCGAAGTGACATACATCCCCGCCATGAAGAATGGAGAATGTAATTATTTTACCCCGTCGATTGGGGATACTTTTGACCGTACATACATGGTAATAATGCAAACCGGACGAGAGTGAAGTTCATCTCATTCAAGTTTATATCCATTTCTCACTCATCATAGATGTCATTTTGATGCTTGGCCCATGAACGTGACATCAAAGACGAGATGCCGGTCAACCGATCTGGGGATCTCGAACAGAAGAAAGAATCGTGCTGCTTCTAATCATCAGCGAGCCAAAGGTGTATATACGAGATCATGTGAGGTATCCGGGCACCACCACCAACAGTACAGTGAGCACAAATGATAAGCATACGTCATACAATAAATATCCGATGGATTCTGTTAGTAGGCAGCAGTAGTAGATGGAACTCTCTCGAGTCCTTTGGTATTGAAGGTTCACCTTACCTCACAAGGAGAGGTTGGCCCATTCTAGGCCTAGAGCTTTGCGCGAGGTTTCAATTGTCCCACCGCAACATCGGTCTTCGCACGCTCACGAAGCTCACGGCGAAGGATCTTTCCAGCGGCACTATTATTTGCCTCATCAGCCAGGCGACAGAGCAAAGAGGCAGCAGTGTGACCAGACCTTTTCGGTACCTTGTCGATGATCACAACTCCTCCTCTTAGTTGTTTGTGTGACGCTACACGCTGTGAAACCCAGTTTTGGACACCTAGTGCGAATGAAGACGCTTCCTGGGGGGAAAGTGGGCGAGAAGGCGTTATATATGCGCTTCACAGTGAGAAGCTGTTAGCTTGATTCACTAGAAGACACTCATGAGCTCACCGAGGTAATTCTGTTGCTTCCTCCTTACTCTCAATCCCAATTACGGCTGCGTCTGCGATCTCGGCATGCTGTAACAACACTGACTCCAGCTCGGCGGGAGGAACTAGCGCATTAGCTATCAGTTGGATGGTCGCACGGAAGAAATTTAAATGTAGGTTCACCTTGGAAGCCCTACGTGCGTGACCAAATGAGAAATGACAACGGGATGCATCGCAGTAAAAAAACTCGCCTTATATTTAATCAACTCTTTTCTCCGGTCCACGATTGTGAAGAACCCATCCTTGTCCCGCACGCAGATATCACCAGTCTTGAACCACCCATCAGGCGTAATAGCTTCAGCAGTTGCAGTAGGGTTGTTTAGGTATCCCTGATAACTTTCCGTGATCAAACTGGTTTGAAGAATATCGACACGCGGAATACCTTCATGATCGTCGGCCCTCTCACCCATACCTCACCAGCGCCTGGGATATCTGTGTGTGGCTGTAGAGTTCATCATTAATATTGACCTGTCGTAGATAGGCGTGAAGGAAGAAGTACGAACTTCGCCTTCAGTTTCGCCAACAAGTCTGACCTCCAAATTTGGAAGCAGAACTCCTGCCGCCCCAATATGACTGCTGGCGTCAGGAACGGGGAGGAGGAACACCGTCGGTGATGTTTCTGTGAGTCCATAGCCTATTCAAAGATCTGAGACCCAGTACTCCCCAAAAGTGAAACAAACACACCTTGTAGAATATCCACATCTGCGCCAATGCTCTTCATGCGCTTCATCACGGCCAAGACAAGCTCAGCGCCGAGAGGTGCGGCGCCTGAGAAAAGAATCTTGAGGGAGGTGAGGTCATGTTTTTGAATAGCTGAACGTAGGATTGTGTCAGAAGTTAGAATGGAGATAAATGATAGGGGGACAGAACAAGTGGGTACATGTGCACACAACGGACCCCCCAAAAGGTTAGATCCAGCAGGAGCATTGGCACTTATATATAATGATGCGAGATAGGTCGATATATGCAGTCAGACCGGAAATTCAGGTGATGTGAGAAAAGATGCGAAGGGAGACCTGCCTGGGTGTCTCGCAAATACTACTAGCATTGGAGGGACAACAAAGCCAATAGTCACGCGGTATCGTGCGATAGCGGCACAGAAGCCATCGGGGTCGAATCCTGCCATGACAACCCCGGGTACGCCTAAGAATAACGGCAAATGGAGAAGTTTGACTCCGCCATAGATGTGATAATAGGGCAGACATCCGAAGAGGACATCTACACCACCTTTTGCAGGGATGGACGGAGTAAGGCATGGCTTGGAATTAGGCCAGACAGGTTTGAGCATCTCAAGGACGGAGATGATATTGTAATGTGTAGTCTCGACACCCTTTGGTTGACCAGTTGTGCCAGAGGAGTAGCAGAGATATACAGTCTCGTTTGACCGTTCACCGTCGAAACTGACTTCTTCTTTGAGCTCGCCGCGACCGAGTAGTTGAGTTATGGTCACGAGATCTTTCAGCTGGTCATCTGGAACAGACACATCCTTGTCACCCATGATCCACTGAACTCCAGCCACGATGATACGGCTCCGTATTTCTTGCTCGGAGCATTCAAGGGATCTTAACATGGTCCGGGCTGTCCCAACTAGTGAAGGGTGGACAAATATCAGATGAGCTCCTGCATCAATGTATTGATACTTTAGTTCATGTGGCGTATACCCGCTGTTTGCAAGCGTCGCGCGGAAGCCAGCGGCCACCGCACCCAACATCATGACAGGCCATGTGATTGAATTAGGAGAGAAAATGAGCACTGTCTTGGTGCGATTTTCTAGAGGTAATGGGAGGTTATGAAGAGAGAATGCCAACTGAAGAGCATATGAGCGCAATTTCCCGCGAGAAATCGTTGTACCAGAAAGAGCATCTATGAATGCGGGTGATGAAGCGGGGAAGCCACCAACTGTGCCTGGGGAAGATGAAGAGACACCAAGAATATGAGTGAAGATAGAACGACGGCAAATGTGGACAGACGGATAGGCCGACGTGTAGATGGTATCCGTCATCGTGTTGCTCGTTGTGCTGAAGCCTCAAGGTGGGAGTGAAACTGTGTGATTCCCGTTCGGGATAGTAGCACTACACTATTAGTGCAAAGTTCTTTGTCAACCTGCAACAAATCGCGATTAACAGCGGCAGAGTTTATAAAAACAACGGCTTTTACGATATCTGTCAATTTCATTGATGCATCATTCCTAAGACCATGGGGAATCAGCGCCAGGCAACTTGAAGCGCTGCCAAACGCGTAAGGTTTCATCATTCGGTCCAAATCGGCAGTCAACGTTCTGCCAGTGGTAGTTGTGCGTTTTTATTAGACTGCTACATGAAACAGTACTGACGATCATCAAAAAATTTAGATGATTTCGAGTCTCGACTGCCAACCGCTCGGTGTTTCGATAGCTCGTGTCACAGCAGCCTTCGAGTTGGTCCATGATCAACCAAATGGTAGTCCAGGAATATGCCATCACCTGACGACGGATCACTGCGATTCGGCGCTCAGCCAGGGGCGTTTAAAGTATTAAATCAATCTTAGCTTCAGAAGCTAGTACGTACTAGTAATAACTCGGAATTTTATCTTCATCCGTCCTTTAGAGAATGTTAGGTCTCGTAATGATTGTCATTGATCGACACTATGTACATATGTCAGTGCTAGTGGCATATCTGATGGAATTGTTCCAATGCCGCCCATATGCACACATGGAGCTTGAATATATATGCGCTATGCCATCTTATTGTAATATTTCAGAATTGACCATCACAGTTTACTCCGCAACTCGGGGATTAGGTCATTCCCTTGGCCATCGCGAAGGAAGTCTCTCAAGTTAGTGAGCGCACGAACCTCCATGTGGCGCTGAGAATCCTGGTTCTCTGTTCCCATGTGGGGGAGGAGCACGTTTTGCGGGAATTCGAGTAAACGCGGATTGACGAGAGGCTCGTTTGGGTATACGTCTAGGCCAACAGACGACAACTGTCCCGGTCGCAAATTTAGAGCAGGCAAGGAGAACAAAAACAATCTGACGCACATGACCATCTTCAAGAGCGCGAATCATCGCCTCCTCGTCGATGACCTTTCCACGCGCGGTATTCACGATAATGCTGCCCTTCTTCATCGTCCGAATCTCCTTCTCACCCACCAGATGAACTGTCTCGTTACGTAAAGGGACATGCAAGCTCAGAACATCACTTTCTCGACAGAGCCCTTCCAAGCTGTCGATGTACTCGCACCACTCTGGTGCATTGGCAGACTTATTCCTCGAGTAATAGACAACGCGCATAGGGAATGCGTGTACTAGATGAGCAAGCCTAAGACCGATACCGCCAAGACCTAAGATACCCAGCGTGCGTCCCGTAACATCATGTGCCCGCCCAGGGTCGAGGCCCGATTTGAAAGTCCCCTGGCGAAGGGATTGTTCGGCCCAAGCGTAATTTCTGAGACAAGAGATGACAAGGTACAACGCCGTAGTGGCAGTCGCATCATCAACAGCGCCAGGGGTATTAGACACGCTGATGCCTAAATCGGATGTAAGCCCGTGAAACATCATTGATGAAAGACCCAACAGATGCAGGATATGGAAATCACCTTTGTTTGCGCATCGTGAGACATCGATCTGATCGTAACCCGCACCATTATGCGCGATCCACTTAACAGTGCCCGTCTCAGCCAGAGCATCGATAATCTCTTCATCAAAGACACCGATGCGGTCTGCGGAGGTGTTGTGCCGGTAGATGCCCACGATTTGATCGTACTTTCCTCCTGATTTTAGCCCCACAAGGAAATCTGCGCGATTTGGAGAATCCATAACCTGGGACATGTGTTAGATGCAAATAACTCTTTATCGAAGGGAAACGACCATGATAAACGTACAACAAGATCGGCGAGCCCATCAAAAAACTGTCTGGCCTCTTCATGAGCCCAAACAAGGTTTCCTGCGAGTGCCGATCTTGTAAGTATATATAAACGTGGCTGCGATGGATCAGGACTCACCACAAATCAATATACGGGGTTGGCGAGACGACATTGTGCGAGTCTAGCGGAAGTGGGGAAAGCGAAAAGGATCAGGGAATGATGGGTACTTGTTTGAGGATAGACTCGAACTTTAACATCATAATGAAATCGAATTGGGGTCAACTGATCAGTCAATGAGGAGGTTACGGAGTCGCGGACCGGATGTCCGGGTCTTATCTCGATGACTTCTTATCACCACGAGGTCGGTAGGCGTAGCGGGCATGCTATAGTCCCAGGCTGCAAGCCTACGGCAACAACAGCAAATGAAACCAGAAGCAAAAGACTGTCCTCATTTTATAAGGTCTGACTAGCTTGCTAAGGGAAGCTAAGGCATAGCTGGCTAGCCCCAAAGCCAACCTTAGGTTAGGTTAAGTTCGTATAAAATGCGAGAGTTTGCATAAGCTTCTATCTTCATCTCGGTTGTTTCTCGTGCGCGTGCCCGGGAGTCCACGTGTAGCATCAGGTATTCTGAGCCTTGAGGAACTCAAATAAACTTGGGCTCACATTCGGTTCGTCACGGAACACCAATCCGACAGACGACAGCTAGGGAAAAAATCATCAGCACGTAGCAAGATCATAATAATCGCTAGAGTCCGTACATGCACATCATCTAGCGCCCTTACTAGCAGTGCCTCTTCATCCACCACCTTTCCCCATGCCTCATGGCACGAATCCGCTACTCACCAACGAGATTGACGCCGTTGTGTCATCAGCTGCAGTACTAGTGCCGGTGTTCGACGCACGACTTCCTGAATCCAATAGTGAAGAAAGGGTGAGCGAAGTGGAACTAGTACGGACCTACGGTACAGAGTCTTGGAGGGTGCGGCGTCAGGATGCATTATCAACGAGATGAGTGATCGTAGCTAGATTCGTTAAGAAATTAATACTGGCAGGCATTAGCAAAACGAGTTAGACAATCCGAAGATAAAATGACGAATTTGATTACGTTGCCACTAACTACTCGGCCCCACAATACGCGCTGATCCATCATGGAAACCTCAAATGAGGCAGACATTATGGATGATTGTAACAGTACTACTGATACAGGTGGACAATGCACAGGAGGAGGATATAAAACGATACAGGTGACAAAGATTAGTACAGTAATAGCTCACGAGGCACGATAATACGAAAAAATATATACTAGGCTGGAAAACCCGTCAAAAACAAGTATGAAGGACAGCTTTGAAAGCTACTCACTAACTGCCCGAGATACCTCAGCTTCAAAAACTCTCATATCAAATGCCTTCTTGAATGGTTCAAATAATTTACCGGGAACAGCAAACACAACTTCTTCAAACGAGTCTTTGAACGCCGCACGTGGGACAGTCGTCTTTCCATCTTCACGATTCTCTTCGCTTTCCCCGTGTACAAGGAGGTCTGCCCAGATCTCCGCGACCATTTCAACTTTGTTCTCGCTAGAACCGCACCCGAACGCACCGAGGACAAGAGCTCGGTCACCGCGTGCCTCAAAGATGCGAAGCGCCCTTCCCATGCGGTCCCGCATCTTGTCACGTATGCCGTCCATAAAGATATGAGCAGTTGATGCAGTAATGGTGTAGTTTTGACGTATTGCAGCTGCGTTGACAGGCACAGCTGAGAGAACATTAATAAGATAAGGGGGGATGAAGTCATTTGACGACACAGTCGTGAGTGGGGATGCGTTATCACTATCATCTTGACGAAAGGCAACAACACCTGGGCTATATCATGGAGTGATCATTGAGACCAGCCCCATCGACACTAAGAAATTTCTTGTGGGTGGTGTAGAACTCCTTGGCTTGATCGGCCAAAAGACTAGCTACAAGCGATGAAGACCTAGCGAGAGTCTCTTCTTGCTCATTACCGCCGTGCAGATAGCCTCCACCGGGACGTTTGGGTGAAGCGAAGGAAAGGACTCCAATCGAGGTAGTGGAGAGCGAATACGGCGAGCTACGAGTAAGATCTGGTCGCCGCTCGTGTAGTTGCCGAGCAGCCGTGAGCGTAGAGCCAGAAACGAACGAAAAACTCGTTGACTTGGTTCGGGCAGGAGGGACTGCAGGAGGCTTGCACCAGTCAGCCAAAAAATGAGGGAAGAACGTTGTTCCCTGCTTGCTCAAAATGATTTGTAATGATATGTCATGCGTGACATGCTTTGTGGTCATGGTGTGCTGTCCATGAGAATGAGAAGGGTTTACTTGTGGTGAGGCGTTATCAGGATAAGAGACATGGGTAGGGGGTATGAAACATGAAACAGGAGTAGAAGAAAGTTTCTCTTCGACGTACTTGCCATCCCCAAGAACAATTCGTTGTGTTTCATGAGCAGCTTGAGCCCAGCGTTCACGCCTTGCCTTTTGGACCTTGGGAACGAGCCGCCTCCGCCTCCGTTGCCGCTTGAGATGTTCTTCCTTTAAGTGCTGGTGTTTGAGGCCCGAAGATGAGCCTGCGGATTGCTTGATGGTGGTGACAGAACACATCGGAGTGCTTGATCGCATCTTCGATGCTGCCAGCTTGCGGTTAGTTTGACGAACCATAGATCTGCGAATAGGTTTCTTGGTGTTGTTCGATGGTCGTACTTGGTGGTTGTAGAAAGAAGGCTTCAATTGTTGGTCTCGCTGGTGATAGTCAATATTTGTATCTGTTTGTTGTCTTTCTTCCACTCCATTCACAATTACAGCAGGCTCTCCGTGTCCACGGTGGCCACCATACTGGTTGCACACAAGGACTTTGTCCTTATCACTGGCAGGTTCCAGCTCACGTATCAACGCCGCTTACTAACTGACCAATGGAAACCAGTTCAATATCTCGTTGCGTGTCAATAATGGCCACTCCTCTGATGTGAATGAACTTCCTTTTGACGCACTCCCTTGCAAGCTCACGCAGTAGACGAAAAAGCGTATTCCTGAGAAGTTTCACATATGAGCTTTTCGAGCCCTCAAATCCAATATCAATTTGGGCGGGGTACGGCCGTGGTGTCGATAAAATTACATGCGAGTTGATCCAGCCGGTATGATGTATCTGGTGATTTTCAATGCCACGCTCTTTTTCATTGTGTCGCATTCATTGAATGACACTTGTCGTGCCTGTGACTCGTCATACTAGGTCATACAATGGTCGTACTCGGCAAAGTCTCGCACCCTCCTTCGTCAGGGATGAAGACAGTTAGCTCAAACAAAGAATGACTCGAGACGGTAATACAGGTGGTAACACTGAGATTTGATTGCCCCTCCTCTTATCTTTACTCATCCTGAACGATGAAAGCAGCGTGGCTGCCATTCTCAAGCTGTGACCGTGCTTTTTCCTCGGCTTCTTTTCATAGCCAGGTGTCACCTCGACTCGGAAAGGCTCCCTCAACATCTTCTCATAGCTCATCTACAAGCAGTTTGTCGTGAGACACCAACAACTGAGGCCTCTGGATCTTCTAACCTGCACGGACAGAACTCAGGTACCAAGATGCCTACCGCTCAAGACGTCTAAAAAGGATTTTACAGAAGCGGTCGCGTACATCGTATTGCAACAGTCATTCCATGTTCAAAACGCTGACCTCCAGTGTACGACACGACTTTGTTTAACTTCCGTTTCAAGCGGACCAAGAAGTGTTGTGTGAGTTAACACGCTATTCAAATTTGTGGAGTAACACAATCATAGATCATTATAGCACGATGTGTACACGTATTGCCGATTACGCTCTCCACTTTTTTGTACGGGCCTCCGTTTCCAATATTTCGCAAGAATAGAGAACGAGCCAGCTGACATGGCGTGTAATCTGGTAGCCTGCATCCGTTTGCTATTTCCACTCTATCGTTGACGATGGCATTGCCAAATCTAACAAACTCAAAATTTTTCATTGGGTTGAACAGTTGGTGTGAACAAGTAATCAACTCACCAGTGAAAGAGGAGCCTGGGTTATTCCTCGTGACTGGCTTCATGACATGTGCCGCCGACACCATATCGTCAGGGGTTCGGTTGCGTGGAATGTCTTCATCCCATCACCATGTCCAAGTGCGTGGAGTAGAAAAAATAGATTCATACGACAGGGACGTTAATACCGTCGCCAGAGAAGATGAGATACATCATGTACCCTGAGATATGCCAAGCTACTGAGAGGAGGCTTGTGCGGAAACTCAATTTCCGCCTGCTGCCAACTCTTGTAATTATCTTCATTATAAAGTACATGGATGTGAGTGCTAGTCTTTCTTTACTGCGAAAGACGTTGACTGATTGAATAGCTATTGCAATAACAGTCTAAAGTCAGACCTGGGTCTATCAAAGGTTTGTAGCTTTCAAGGACACGCGTAGCTTGGCATCAAGTTCGACCACGCAGCTTTTATCCGAGTGCCGTGTATCTATTTTCTGAATAGTATACTCGAAAAAGTAAGCGAACGATTTTATCGGTTGGTGAATGTGCCTCAGGAGTCAGCATTCAGGTCTGCTATCCTGTACTGAGAACTTCTTTAACGAATGCCTCTGGTAGCGTATGTCTTTCGTGTGTGTTTCTGAATTCACATAACCGTATGGCGATCAGTTGATTGCTGCAGGCATTGCGGGATGGATATGGTCTGCGATCTTGTCATGCAATGTTTTCCTTAATCTTCACTCAGAAGATACAGGCTCCATTACAATATTCTAAGTCATGTACGTGACCTCGACTGTGTTACAGGTGACCACTTCCTGATCATGTAGATGGTTACCCGCCAGCCTTGCTGCTCAACCCCGCATGACTCCTGCACTGTACTCCCCACTACAATGGATGGACTATTAACCTCTGTAGTTGGATATTAATGTCGCTTTTCTTGACGCCAGGAGAACGCCGATTGGCACAGGCGCATCTTGCAGAGGATGCAGGCGAAGCCGATCAATATTCTGCGGAAGTTTCGTATGTACCCTTCAGCATAATGCAAGAAATGTTGCTAAAATCTCTTCTAGGGTATTCGATCAAGATGGCCATGAAAGATATCAAGGTTCCAGTATGTGCTGTGTGCTGTTCGCAGTTGCTAGGTCTGAGTTTGGTCAATTTTTTCCCAATGCAAGGATTCCACATTGTACATGTTTCTTCTGGTTTTTATACAGCCAGACCAAAAGCCCACCTGAATAGATTCATGGAGGGCCTCAGTCTTATGAGCACCCTCGGGATATTTGACGACTTTTCTAATGTCTGCGCAAGTTGCTCGTGACTCGCTCGACAAACACTTATCACATCCATTTCTTTAATCTTCCACGGATCTTTACTTCTATCCGCACCTTCGTGTCGGAGCATGGCATGTCAGTAATTAACTTGAGACTGCCTCGACCTTCTCCAACTCATGCTTGTACTTTATAGATTAGATAGGGGAGCTATTTTTCCATCAAACGGCTTGGTGGTACGTGGTCATGGTCGGCTACATCAGTTCCTTATCACCCATGGCAACTGCCGGGAGGTTTTTTAATGACCACCGGGTACTGCAATATGTTTCACTTGTCTGAAGTAGTCACAGCGGTCTGTGTGCTCTCTAGGTTTTACTCTAGCATCGATCTGGGAGGCTAATGCGATTCCACGACCACCTGCGAAACAGTCTGTTGCAATGGATTTAATCAACGAGTTTGGGGTAACGTGTAAGCATTTTATATTTGCTACTCTTGATTTGTGCACTAATAATTGTTGTTCTTAGAATGGGGTTATACATTATTACATTTGGAAGGCAAATTGGAGCCGACAATACCATCAATATATGATTATCGCGTTATGCGCCCGCCGCCCTTCCACTTGCAAGTTTCCTTAGTCTTGGTAGGTGTACAATAGTGACTCATTACTCCATGTTTTCAACTTCCATGAAGTGACACGTTGGATGTTAGTCCCTTCTCACAAGCCTGTACATTGAAACATACCTGTACGTTCGATCACACGTTCCTGGGGGAATGTTCCTTATACCAGTAAGAGTCTTGGATGTCCATACATTAAAGCCTGGTCATTCCAAAGCAGCTGTCGGAAGGAATGCTTTCACTGATCCGAGGTGTTCCTACCTCTGTGGGGAAACGTATTTTCTACCTTGAAATCGATCAGACTCAGCGATCATATCACACGCTCAGATCTATCTTATGGAAGATGTACCCCACAAGTGTCATTCCAATTCATTCCCCGCCGTTTTTTCCAGCCCATGAGGCACAATTGAAAACCGCCGCGGTTCAGATCTATATTTCGGGGGGCGCTATTTGCACCGTGCGGTCATTAGTCTGGTATCGATTCAGGCTGAGAACAATCAATACGATTTTATACATATGTTTCCTCCACCCATCAATATCTGCGGCTCGACGAATTTGGTGATGGCCTTTTGCCAAGACTGAGCACGACCCGCCGTGAGCATCACTTGGGTTAAAGGTGAAAAACAATATATGGTAAGTCGAAGCAACCAAAATAATTTCGGATCGCATCTCTCACAAATATCTTGGAGGATCAAATCGAAGCATATATCGATATTGCTGATTGCATCTTGTTCAACCTGCCGCAGCAGCTCATCATGTCGCTATTTCAAATCCCAACCTGTCCTTGCTGAGTTTCACAGGGTGCGCTGTTTGCAATCACTTGTGTGTGACAAGGCACCACTTCAGTGGAGTCAGATGCTGTATGAGACCTGCGGGACAAGACGTCAGCTGAAGATCCAAAGGCTAAAGAACCCACGGTTGACCCCAAAGGTAAATGTAAGGCAAACGCTCTCGGCGGCTCCGGATTCCCAGCGAAGGGAAGTGGAACGCAACAGAGCTTGGCGCTGGTGGACACTGATTGCGTGAGGCCACACCAAACATACACTGTGGATACACTCAACTGCAGCCGCGTGACCTTGGAATCAAGCTTGTATTGTTCTCAACAACGAATTGGAACATCACATTAATAGGCTACTATCACTTCAAATATTGTGGCAGGTAAGTACATGTATTGACTCTCATGTATCCGAGTCGATGTACATAAATAAAGCATTCAACTACATCGTGTGAAAGCTATTTGTCATATTTGGTGCGTCCTCAACGTGATTGCCGCGAATCGTCCTCTAAACCGTTTGCCATGTACTAACTCTTGTCCCGGCATGGTATAATTAGACACGAAGCCACCGATAATTCTTGTACATGCTGATATAGGATCACGGAGTTTGTGGAGTCAGTGTGCCTGGCGGCATTCGCTAAAACATATTCCCCAGTGATGGTATTCTGGTCGCTTTCTACTTCTGGACTGAGCAGGTTCATTTAATTCATTACAGGTATCACGATAACGCCTCCAGTGACCCTAGTCCCTGGTATAAAAGGCAGCCATTTGGGTGGCTGTATTACCGCGCTAAGTCGGCGTAGCCTTTCGTTGATCTTCCTTGCCCTATATGTCCATCCAGGAAAAGAAGAAGTCCGAGTCCTTTACGGAAAATGTTGTCCCAGTGCCGAATGACGATGATGACTTCAGGCTGTTGAATGCAGACGCGAGGAAGGCAGCAGAACGGGCACTGGTGCGCAAATTGGACTGCAGACTGATGCCTACTGCTGTGGTCATATACCTCTTGAACTATATTGATGTATGTACACATCCGTTTATGAATCTCATTGTGCTCATGTGTACTATGCATAGCGTGTTGCTATTACTGCTGCGCGGCTGCAAGGTTTAGAGCAAGATCTCGGATTGACAAGTGAGTGAAGTGGACCACCGTGTTATTCATGCTTAATCGATCCCCTAGCTGTTCAGTATGAAACCATTCTGGCTATTCTTTATGTTACTTATTGCCCGGCACAAGTAAGCAAATCTTCTGCAGACTCATGCGATCTTACTCATAACATCTCATCTGCGACCAGATACCCTCGAACATGGTTTGTTTGTGTGCTATTATCTATGAATGTAAGACTGATTTTGATTGTCAACAGATTTTGAGCTATATTTCACGGTTGGTTGTGATTGCAAATATACCGATCTGGTCGATACTAAGGAGACGTGACTTAGACCATCTCTTTACATTGGGGCCTGCGTTATTGGATGGGGTCTTACCAGTGCTTTGACTGGAGTAAGTTTTGTTGGGAAGTTGCAACTGCGATTCGTGCTTGCTAACTGCCGCGCAGGTCACTACTAATTATTCGGGCATCATGGCTTGTCGTGTATTCATTGGTCTTCCTGAGGTAAAAATTTCCTTTTTGATAACCATGTGCGCCCTGAACGAGTGCGGCTTTCCACAGGCTGCGTTCTATCCTGGTGTCATGTATCTGCTTTCGCGTTGGTATACCAGGAAGGTGAACATCATATTTTTAGAATCATAGGTTGCAACTTATGCAACAAATTTAGGAGCTCGCCGTGCGGTCAGCCTGGTTCTATTGTGGTCTTTTAATCTCGAATGCATTTGGAAGCGTGAGTGTGTTGTCGTCACAGGGACTGTGACGCCTTGATAACGATCCTTTTTAGTTGATTGCAGCTGGAATTCTCGCAAAAATGCAAGGTGTACTAGGACTTGCGGCCTGGAGATGGTAAGACAAAATCTGTATTCTCAGGAACAGTGCCCTAACCGGGGTTTCGTATCGCAGGTTATTCTACATAGAGGTATATGTTATACAACCCCTGGATATTGATCTTCTGTGCTGATTGGCCACTTTCTCGGCATAGGGCGCCATCACTATGTCCTTTGGCTTCATGACCATGTGCGTTTTTGCGAGTTTCTATTCTTACTCAAAGTTGACAGCCACGGTTTTGTCCAGGTGGCTTCTTCCAGATTATGTAAGCAGACATCTTTAGAATGAGTTCCGGCCATGACGTCACATAGCCCCACAACACTCGATGGCTTAACGCAGCGGAATGCCGCTTGGCTCAAGTTCGCCTTGCAGAAGATGCAGGGGAGGCCGACAGGGATTCTGATGACCTTACGTAAGCTCAGCTCGAGTTCCATCCTTTCCTATTCAAGTTGCTGACAAGGTGCTACTTCATATAAATTGTTAATCGGAAAATTGTTCGGAACGTCACAGCATTTACGATGGGTTGTGGATGGCTATCAAGGATCCAAAGACCATCATTTTCATGTTTATGAGCTGCTCGCAACTTCTAGGCCTGAGTTACATCAACTTTTTCCCCACGTAAGTATATGGACAGTCTTGTAGCTATTGCGCTAATATCTAGCGAGATAGCTTGACTGCCACGCTTGGTTTCGACAATACTATTACATTTTTAATGGCAGCGTAAGCATGACATCCCATTGTTACATGCACAGCCGTGGCTCACCGTCTGATCGCCAGTCCTCCATGGATATTCGCATCAGCCTGCTGCGTACTCAACGCATGGCATGCAGGTACGTCTGATCCCTGGTAATGCACCACAGCCATTTTGACAGAATGAATAGATAAGTCTGGAGAGCGATTCTTCCATATCACTTCGTGGTGGTGGGTAGTCATCATTGGATATATCGTCTCTCTATCCACCATGGCTACGGGCGGGCGGTACTTTTCCTTGTTCCTGATGACCACAGGATATTGCGGTAAGTTCTGATTATAACGCTGGATATAAGCCTGACACGTTTCCAAAAGGATTTGCCTTGACATTGACTTGGGTTTCAAACGCCATTCCTCGTCCACCGGCAAAACGCGCCGTAGCCATGGGTCTTGTCAATGGGTTTGGAAACCTCGGTAATATGTAAGGCTCTTATGGTCAGCATACTGTCAGATCGCTTACAGTATTTCATAGGATGGGCTCGTATGTCTGGAATGCTTCGTGGGGTCCTCAATACCATCAATCCATGATCATAGCATTGTGCAGTCTCGTTCTGTCCACAGTCCTGAGCCTTTGTGAGCAAAGTTACAACTTGACCGTTCTGATGTACTCACCTATTGATAGTAATGCGGTGGATATTAATCAAAGAGAATAAGAACATGGATATGGAGGAGAAAAAATTAATGGAGGGTCCTGGCCGCGCACGTATTGAAGAGGCTGCTAAATTGGAAGGGATTACATTCGAGGAGGCTATGAAAAGAAGGAAGGGCTTCAGGTACCTCTATTGATCTTCTTTGCTTCAGATTATAGTGCTTCGGGGTCAGACCCATAGTATGTTGGACATAACTCGTCATAAGCCGGAACTTTGTCTATTGATATTTAAATTTTGCACCAAACACATACAAACATGCTGTGTTGAGTGAACTTTTCAATGTCACAAATGACTGTAGGTCCGCATTATGTTGCATGAAGTTGCTATCGAGTGGTCTTGCATCCATGCAGTTACTTCTCTGCCATGAAAAAGATATGTTTCTGCGACCTGCCACGCTGGCAGAACCTGCCAGTTCTGCCGGCAGGACTACACCCAAATACTAGTTCTGCCCACGGTGACCGGGCGTGATGATCATATCTTATCATCCGAACTAGCCTGAAAATCAACCAGCTGGCACACTACGACCATAACAATAAACCCGGAGTAGATTACTTAGGCTTCGAGCCCCAATTTCTGACACGATCGGCTATCGCTCATTGAGATGTTGGAGAGTCACACTACACCAGTTGAACGGTATGTCCATCATGAAAGATAATCATTTGATAGCATTTTGCTGACAAGTTACCGTTCACACATCTCTTGGTGGCAATTGGGCGTCTTGTTGTGCAGAACGGTTCAACCATCATGATCGTTGAATTAGTGAGAACACATAATCATTTGATAACATTTTGCTGACAAGTCATCGTTCACACATATCTTGATGGCAACTGAGCGTCTTTTGTGCAGAACCTTCCAACCATGTCATGGCATTGCCACGGCCTCAGGCTTCCATGCAAATGATATCGACTACTGCAATTTTGGAAACCGCTCGAAGCTCTGAGTAATGAGGGCGTGGGCTTGCACGATGCATTTCAGACAGCCAACCCATGGCATTGCGGCGGTAGCCTACTATTTGGGATTCCAGGGTTCTGATGATATCTTATCAGTTCTCAGGAGAATTCATGCACGTTGATTTCTCGGGCGTACGCCAAGGAAATGCGCCATGTCCGGCAGCCTGATGGGGATACACACTGCGAAGGTCTGCATTGTTAATCTTGTGATAAGCCATTGAGCCTGTGGAATCAATCTGACTGAGTGACTGGGGTAGACCACCTCCTGGGAGCATCAGAAGCTTTCGGGCCTGTAGCCGTCTTCTGGCTGGAAGGAAATGTTGGAAGAGAGAAGGCTTCAAGAAGTAAAGCTTTTAGTCGCTCTCCTGTGGAAAAAATATAAAGGCTTGCGAATTGATTGCTCAGCCTTCCATCACCTTTTTCCCTCTTCCGTAAGCTCCCTACAAATACTACGACTATGACCAACAAGGCCAAACTCGAGGCACTCCTGACTCTGATCAACACATCCGCACGAGATGCCATCGCGTTGTACGAGCAGTATGGTGATGTCCCCGCCATCGACCAGACCGAACTCCACCCGTTGGACAGTGCGGTCGACCAGGTGGCTTTGAAGAGTGCCGTTCGTACTCTTGAAGGTGCTTGTGCTCAGATATGCACGACACTCGCTCCACCTGCCCATACTGCGGTCAACGTGAGAACTTGGATGGTATAATTCACTTCCCTTTTGCTCATCGGATTGCATGCAGCTTGTCCAAGTGTATGATCATGCTTGCGTGCGAGTGGTTGCTCGGGAACGTGTTTCGGATATTCTGTTGAAGTACCCCAAGGGTCTTCACGTCAACGAGCTTGCCAAAAAAATCAGCGTAGAGCCAAAGAAACTGGCCAGGATCATGCGCCTCCTAGCCACGAGAGGTTGCTACAACGAAGGTAAGGCGCCATTTGTTGCCTGGTTTGATTTCTTCTCACATTGTACCAGTCGACACGGACGTTTTTGCCAACAACCGACTGTCTCTAATCCTACTCGACGAAAATCCTGTCAAATTCATGATCTTGCTTCACGTGGACCTAATTACCAAGGGAGGATCGGTGTTCTATGAGACACTCAAAGATCCGAAGATCGCCTACTCGTATGAACCAACGGTTGCACCTGTGATGTACGCCATTGACAAAAACGGAACCGAAGGGACGTTCTTCGACTGGATGGCGCGGCATGTATGTTTTTAAATATCGCTCGTCAGCAGGCGTTACTCATATGATTTACTCGTAGGACGGCCAACGCGAGGTAGGGATTTTGGTCTCTTCGTACGATCATTCTGATATCTTTAGTAGTCCTATCATACATCGATGAGAGGTCTGAACTACATTATGGGCTCCCTCGCCATCCTGACCCGTAAGTATTTCAGCACGCAAAGACAGGATAATTGTGTTGACCTGACGATAGATTTCCCATTCGAAAAGTACTCGACAGTCGTCGATGTTGGAGGAGGTATCGGAGCATTTTCTCTGCCTTTGGCTAAAACGCACAAAAACGTCAAAATTACGATCCACGATCTTCCAGAAGCATTAGCCCAGGCGAGAGACGTAAGTCAGTAAGCCAATGTGCTTGTCACCAAATTGATGGAATCTAGATCTGGGCGAGAGAATGCCCTGAAGCCCTGGCAGAAGACAGAGTCGAGTTCGAGGACTTGAACTTCTTCGAACAAGTGCCTGTGAAGGGTAAGGACATCTACTACGTAAGTGCTAAACTCTGTGGGCGACAACCTGCGAAGTTAACAGTGACCGCAGCTCAGAAATATCATCCACGACTGGCCCGACAACGAGTCTACGATCATTCTTTCAAACATTCGCAAGGCGCTCGGTCCACACAGCCGTGTCCTCATCCGTATGTTGAATATAGCGCAATCATCGTCCCGCAGTCTGACAAATTTTAGATGACTACGTGCTCCGTCAGCTCAGCCGCAAACAGGCAGTAATAGAAGCTCCAGAGCTCGGAGTTGCTTCGGTATGTCATGTCCACTAATCTACATCCACCTTTGTTCATCACTGCATCTAGGCTCCTGAACCTCTTCTTGCAAACTTTGGTGTTGGAAATATGCGTTCATACCAGCAAGACATGAGTATGTTGTTTGCACATAACGCAAAGGAGCGAACATTGCAAGACTCCCTCGCACTCGCGTGAGTAACGTTTGATTGCTGCCTTGGTTCCATCTGATTGGTTCGGAATAGTACCGTCGCTGGCCTGAAACTGGAGAAGGTCTGGGACCTTGCTGAATCATGCGTCTTGGAGTATTCTGCCGCGTAATATTCCGCGAATTAATTAGATGTGTTCATCCATATATATCATACTGCACGCCACATACTTACCAGAATACCCCTCGATGATACACCCCCTTATTCCTCAGATGCACGTCTGACCTCCCCCTCCCAGACTACTATTCGCGCTAACAAAGAAAGAAGTGAACTCCAGCAATGCGCATCATGAAAATCTTTCCGCCCAAGTTTTTCCCAATTTACAGAATTAGAATTTTCGATATCCCCAGCTCCATGTTCGGGGCACTTGATTACAGTTAAGTCACAGAATATAGCGGAATTACGTTTCGGATATGTGTCAAAGGTTTTCGGCAGTTTCCAGTGTACACCCTCTACTACTGTATAGCTACGCACTTAAGTTCGTCACACCATCACAGGGCGAGCGAACCGAACCTATTTCGTGTGACAGTCACACTCAAATTGAGGTCATCGAACTTAAGTTGTGACATGCGGTAAAAACACGAAAACATGCAGTAAACACGAAAAAAGTCCTTATACTGAGTATTTGCAACGCGTCTGCGCTTGCCGCGACCCTCAACATCAACCTCCTTCGAACCGTCAGTGGTCATGGCTGTAAATTCAGGCTCTGTATCATCTGGTGCTCGTTCATAGCTCTCCGACTCATTGTCCGCCAGCAGATTACCCAATCCATCAGCGCTGTAGCCATCAGGGATTGATAATTCATGAATTCATGCCGAACGGAATTGAACTTGCAAACGAAGCTCCGAGGGGTGAGCGCTAGCGATGGAGTCTCCAGGTTGAGCGCGGGCATCTCTACGCTCGTACAAAGAAAGGAATACGTCTGCCTAATGAGACTCCCAGCCCAGTCGGTCGTCTCACACAACGAACCTATGCGCAGCATGTCACACGTCACACACCCCTTCGAACTTTCGAACCTAATGTTCATTTGGTCACACCCATATCAGGTCGAACTTAAGTGCGTAGCTATACAGTACTGTATGTTTTTGTTCCTTTGACAATTCTGTCGGTTTTCATTGCAAGCTATGTTTTTGCTGCTGGACTTCTTCAGCAGCGCCAAATCGCAAATTATGCATTATTGCTATGTAAATAATATAATGACACCTGGGCTACTTACTGTTGGCTCCAATGACGAAAATACGTGACACCCTCTTTCTCTCACAGGTTATTACCGTGACAATGGTGCAGAAGCCTCAAGTAAAGACAACACGAAACGAAAACAACAATTTGAAGACACGGAGAATGAGGTGAATTCGATCAATTTCTATCTTCTGAACAACTGGCTGAACCTTGTCAAATCGACCTATTGCAGATCGCTGATCAGCCAGTCCGTCTAGACCTCGAGCTGTGTGGTGCGACAAGTACCCCAATATTAATTAATGAGTCCGACTCATGGCCTGGTGACAAGAAACTGTTTGAAGATTTCACAGATAATGATGTGTCTGAGCTAGCGGATTAATGATGTGGCTGGCATTGCACGAACCAGTATCACAGATCGGACGTAGTCGGGAAAAATTTAGGGCGGAAAGGTTTTCCAGATGTACATTGCAGGTATTTGATTCTTTATTTGTTAACACGAATAGCAGTTAGGAAGAGTGAGGCTAGACGTGCATCTGAGGAATAAGGGTGTATCATCGACGCGTATTGTGGTATGTGGCGTGCAGTGTGATATATGTGGATGAACACATCTAATCAGCTCGCGAAATATTATGCGGCAGAATACTCCATGACGCATGATTCAGCAAGGTCCCAGACCTTCTCCAGTTTCAGGCCGGCGACGGTACTGTTCCCAACCAATCAGATGAAACCAAGGCAGTAATCGAACGTTACTCACGTGAGTGCCAGGAAGTCTTGCAATGTTCGCTCCTTTGCGTTGTGGGCGAATAACATAGTCATGTCTTGCTGGTATGAACGTATATTTCCAACACCAAAGTTTGCAAGAAGAGGTTCAGGTGCCTAGGTGCGGGGATGAACAAAGGTGGATGTAGATCAGCAGATATGACATACCGAAGCAACTCCGAGCTCTGAACGTTCTATTCCTGCCTGCTTGCGGCTGAGCTGACGGAGCACGTAGTCATCTAAAATTTGTCAGACTGCGGGACGATGATTGCGCTATATTCAACATACGGATGAGGACGCGGCTGTGTGGACCGAGCGCCTTGCGAATGTTTGAAAGAATGATCGTAGACTCGTTGTCGGGCCAGTCGTGAATGATATTTCTGAGCTGCGGTCACTGTTAACTTCGCAGGTTGTCCCTAGAGTTTAGCACTTACGTAGTAGATGTCCTTACCCTTCACAGGCACTTGTTCGAAGAAGTTCAAGTCCTCGAATTCGACTCTGTCTTCTGCCAGGGCTTCGGGGCATTCTTTCGCCCAGAGCTAGATTCCATCAATTTGGTGACAAGCACATTGGCTTACTGGCTTACGTCTCTCGTCTGGACTAATGCTTCCGGAAGATCGTGGATCGTAATTTTGACGTTTTTGTGCGTTTTAGCCAAAGGCAGAGAAAATGCTCCGACACCTCCTCCAACATCGACGACTGTCGAGTACTTTTCGAATGGGAAATCTATCATCAAGTAAGTATAAAATTATCCCATCTTTGGGTGCTGAAATACTTACGGGCCAGGACGGCGAGGGAGCCCATGATGCCGTTCAGACCTCTCATCGATGTATGATAGGCCTACTAAAGATGTCAGAATGATCGTGCGAAGGGACAAATCTCCCTACCTCGCGTTGGCCGTCCTACGAGTAAATCACATATGAGCAAGGCTTTCTGACGAGCGATATTTAAAAACATACATGCCGCGCCATCCAGTCGAAGATCGTTCCTTCGTTTCCATTTTTGTTAATGGAGTACATCACAGGTGCAACCGTTGGTTCATACGAGTAGGCGATCTTCGGATCTTTGAGTGTTTCATAGAAAACCGATCCTCCCTTGGAAATTAGGTCCACGTGCAGCAAGATCATGTAACTGACAGGATTTTCTTCGAGTAGGATTAGAGACAGTCGGTTGTTGGCAAAAACGTCCGTGTCGACTGGCGCAGTGTGAGAAGAAATCAACCCAGGCAACAAATGGCGCCTTACCTTCGTTGTAGCAACCTCTAGTGGCTAGGAGGCGCATGATCCTGGCCAGTTTCTTTGGCTCTACGTTGATTTTTTTGGCGAGCTCGTTGACGTGAAGACCCTTGGGGTACTTCAACAGAATATCCGAAACACGTTCCCGAGCAACCACTCGCACGCAAGCATGATCATACACTTCGACAAGCTGCGTGCAATCCGATGAGCAAAAGGGAAGTGAATTATACCATCCAAGTTCTCACGTTAATCGCAGTATGGGCAGGTGGAGCGAGTGTCGTGCATATCTGAGCACAAGCACCTTCAAGAGTACGAACGGCACTCTTCAAAGCCACCTGGTCGACCGCACTGTCCAACGGGTGGGGTTCGGCCTGATCGATGGCGGGAGCATCACCATACTGCTCGTACAACGCGATGGCATCTCGTGCGGATGTGTTGATCAGAGTCAGGAGTGCCTCGAGTTTTGCCTTGTTGGCCATCGTCGTAGTATTTGTAGGGAGCTTGCGAAAGAGTGAACAAAGGTGATGGAAGGCTGAGCATCCGATTCGCAAGCCTTTATATTTTTTCCATAGTGGAGCGACTGCAAGCCTTACTTCTTGTGGAGGTGACCTACCCCGGTCATCTACTTGAATAAATTCCACACGCTCAATGGCTTATCACAAGATTAACAATGCAGACCTTCGCGCAGCATCTATTCCCATCACGCTGCCGGACATGAGACTTGCAGATTTCCTTGGCGTACGCCAGAGAAATCAACATGCGTGAATTATTTCTAGTTCTCCTGGGAATTGATAAGATATTGTCGGAATCTTGAAATCCCAAATAGTCTACCGTCGCAGTGCCTTGGTGTGGCTGTCCGTTACGCAGGGTGCCAGCCTACGCCCGATATTTAGCAAGTGAGCGGGATTCTGAACGTCAAGTGCCGCTGAACAACAGTGCTTGAGTTTCGAGTGGTTTCCCAAATTGCAGCGACAGTTGATACTATTTTCATGGAAGCCTGAGGCCGCGGCTATGTCATATAATCTGATACGGCTGAACGGTTCTGCACAAGAAGACGCCCAATTGACATCAAGAAATGTGTGAATATTAACTTTTCAGTCAAGTGCTAACAATACTATCTGTTCTCACTGATTCAATGATGTGTTGGTGTCGACTCTCTGACACACAGTGTGACTGTCCAACATCTCGATGAGCGATAACCGATGGTGTCCGAAACTGGGGCTCGAAGCCTAAGTAGTCTGCTGACTCCAGGATTATTGTAATCTGTTCAGGTTGTAGTGTGTCCGAATGTCGGCTGGTTGAGTTTCACGATAGCTCGGATGATGAGATATCCGACAGGCACGGCTACTGGCAGACTGGCGGTCAGTGATCAATGATGTGAGTTTCGAATGAATTTTGAAATTACGGTTTGGTACACAAAGCCCGTTAAGATGTAGACCCTGGTAGATCGTCGTCAGGAGATCACACTACAGCGAGATAGCCAGGCACCACTGAAAAGACTGTTGCGTCCTGCCATGGAGAAAGGCGCATGGTAACTTGTCAGAATACCATTGATATCGATAATTTTAAACATGAAACAAGATAAGTTCGAACAAGGAACCTACTACTACATGCGTGGCAATTACATGCTGACTCATACTGAAAAGCGGTTAGCAAGCGGTCATGTTGCTCACTAGGTGAGAAAAACTTAGAACATGCCTCCCACCCGATTGTCTTCAAGATCTTTTAAATGATTACTATCTTGTCAAGCGATTGAACTTCTCATGTTACCAGACAGCTACTGGACAGCTCTCGCTAGGTATGTCTCAAACCCCTCATAGTATGAGTATGCTCCGAAGTATGTACGTATACAGACGATAGATTCAATTCGGTCGAAGTCAACCGTGACGCTGATTTTGTCTTTCCTCAATATTGAGATTGGTTTATACACGCAATAGATTATGACGGCGCCGCATGTGCAGATTGTCTGATAGGTACACTAAAATCCCTTTTGTGTACTAGCCACATTGAAGGAGGCGCTGAACGTCAAAACCCGTCTGCACTCGAGTACATCGTCCGTGAAAAAGCCAAAGGCTTTAACTTGCCATCAGCCACTGCTAGAGTCGAAGTTACCTTCCAGAAAGGTGGGACACATCGGTGACCAAGGCAAGTGATTCACAGTCACTTCACCTCCTGCCACTGATAACCTCACTTTCATTGAGCAATTTGAAAGTTTTCCCGACATCATGGATGGGCCGCAATGATCAGGAACCCTCGATTTATTCGATAAGGCTCGGTGCTAATGGCGTTGGTTCCTGTGCTAAGCTCTTACTGACCTGGGCATCCGTCACGGACTCGCCTATACCCCTCCAAGCAGAAACAACGTTACACAGATAAGCATCTGTCGTGGATGTCAACGCTGGTTTCAATATCAGCCTTCCACTTATCCACTTCTAAGAACGCTAGAAGCATCCGGACGAGTACAGCTCCGCCTTTCCCGGGCTTTTCCCACTTCCTAAAACGTCTGGTTTTGAGAGTACTGCTTCAACGCCGGTTTCGCCGAACTCTGCTCAGCGATGGTTACACCGTCTTTGTGAGTTCATTTACTCCGGTGGCGTTGCAATTGTGTTTCAGCCAAGTATATAGCCTTGGGAGATGCGAAGTGGTGAGCATGTTACATATTTCATTCATGTAGAATATCTCTGGAAACTGATTTGACTTTCTGAATCTGGTCGTGCTTTCAACTCGGCCACGATAATATATCATAGGGAGTCACCGATCCGTGGGGTCTTGTCTGATGAACTTGCACCTTAGGTGGCGTTGGTCGGGGATACTGTTTGTGGTCTCGGTACCTGGATCTCGTACAACGGCGGACATCGAAGGTTCTGTCGTGAGTCTGGCGTGGGAGGCGGCCCTGGTTTATGTGAGCCTTGTTGCTTGTAGTGCTCATGGGGACAGTGATCACCACATGGCTAGATGGCCGAGCGGTCTAAGGCGCTGGAATCAGGATCCAGTCCGAAAGGGCGTGAGTTCGAATCTCACTCTAGTCAAATACTTTTTTGTCTATGGTGGGAGTCATCCTTTGAATAGGGCACACTGGGGTAACGTGTTGAAGATCGAAACAAATACATAAATGTGTGAGCCAAAAAAAGTGTATGGTGAGTAGTAGTATTCTAGTTGGAGGTATAACACTGTAGGCAAAGTTATTAAAGGTCCGAAGTGGTGTCAGAGTCTGGAGGCCCTTCCTTCCATTTCTCCCACATCTTTCTGCAAACCGTGCTCGCAAGGACAAAGGGATCGGGCGTCCTTGCCTTTTCCCACATGCGGACAGCGAGTTCAGCATGGGCGCCCGATTCAAAACTACGTTGTAAAGTGGTCAAAACCTTGAAGGATGGTGAAAGAAGGTCGTGGATTGGTTCCAACAAAGGGGTAAGGGGAGGAGGTAGTTTTACTAAAGTAGACTCTTGCCTGGAATAAACACGATTAAGCTTGATTTGCGATTAATGCCGTAAGTGACTCACCATGGATGTCTGGCCTCTTGCTTAGGGAACAACTGTCCATCGACTGGATATGGCGTGCCCTCGAGCTGGATGTTGTCTCCATCTGTAGGCGTGTTGTGAAACTGTTCCCCTGATTGTCTCTGATGTTCTGCCCAATAATCGTCCCACTGCTTCTGCACCTCGTCCTTGTGGCGCTGCCAATGATCCTGGTGATCCAAATCCCACATCATGAGGTCCAGTCTCTCCTGCGTTGCCCACCGACTCCGACTCGTCCAGAGGTACCAGCCCTCTTCCCAATACCGTATGTCATCAGACTTGGGTGTTGATAAGTTGTCTACATTAGGCTGGCCCTCAGGTGGAAGGGGGTAACCGTATTCCTTTTGAGCAGCTTTCTCCTTTAGTGCATCATCGTGTGCGATCGCTGTTCTAACTTCATGAGCAAAGACCCTGCGGAAGCACACTGAACGACACATCGGTTCACGGCCCTCGGTGCGTCCACGGGTAGTCTGAGAGCAGTACGAAAAGCAGCGCTCATCGGTCTGTGGTGAAAACTTTCCTGTAAAAGCACGGATGATATTAAACTCGGATCTAGGAAATAGAGAAGATTGGCAGCTTGCCAGAGGGGTGCCGAGTCACTGAAATAGAGGGAAGTGGCCACATACTTGAGCGGCTTTGCGGTTCCTTGCGCGTAGTGGATTGAGTGGCAGTATTATGAGGCAGCTCCTTTCCAGTAGAATCCTTATTTTCTGCGTCCGGAGAGTCCATTGGGTTACTCATAGGAGTACACGGTGACAGTCGGTTAACAAGGGCTTTGGTGCATGAGTCTCGCAGCCCCGTATCGGCGACTCGGCAAAATTAGGTTCGGAGTTTCAATTATGCCCATAACAGAAACGATCACAAAATTTTGTCCCTTCAACCGCATCGTCTGAAGATTCGCTGTCGCAGCACACGCACGGAAAGGTTTTACTTTCTTCTTTGGCTGCGGGGAAAGTCCCCGGAGAAACAGGGTTATACCTCCTCGTTCGCAATGGAAATCTCCCAGCTCTAAGAGCGCTGCGGGGAACGAGACTGGTTGGGAAGGTCGATTTACTGGGCTTGTTGCCATCAGGCTCAGGACTAGTTCCGCTTGCCTGCCCTGTTGCTTTCTTGACTTCGAGTGCTCTTCTAACTGCACGGCTATGCGAAGATATGAGCCTGGTCGTGTTCGAGTATCTTGGAAGACGGTTGGCGCTTCGTTGCTCATAGACATAGTTATGCGATTGTCGACACTGCTTCTGGCATGTCATCAACTCAATGGGGCTCACTCTCATTCGATGTGGTTTCCTGCCTTTGGGCGTTATTTTTTGACCTTCCGAACGTTTGCCGTTCGACCCATTTGATTCTGTGTGGGTTTTAATTATGGTGAGTAACTGTTTCGTCTTGGTTGATTTATGATGTTGGTTTTTTCGTTGAATTTCTTCAGGGAGTTGACCTCTTTCGAGGGTGTGCTCCACAACTTGACATCCCCTGACATTCTTTGTCTTCTTGAAAACTTGTTTCTGATTCGTCCTTTGTTAGATGCAGATCATGGGCCTTTCATCGGACAGCCAGAGTTGTAAACAACGTATTGTAGGTCTGGCTCGTATGTTTGTTGTCTATGTAAATTATAGAGTTTCGGTGAAGACGTTGCACCTTCAGAAAATTGTTTGTGACCAAATGGAGTAAAATTTTTGCAGTTGCTACAATGTTTGTTCTGCGGTAAGTACACAGCGTCATCAAGTGCAAACGCGACAACTTTAGTTTTTATCTACCGTGGTCGGTGGTTCTTTGATCGACAATGACATGAGGCAAGGAGTATAAATCGATATGAATCATTTGATCCTCTTGCTTCATAAATCTCTCGATAGCATATTCAGTGGCGGCAGCAAATACTGATGTCCAACGCGAGCCTGCAAGAGATTCTCGCGCGCTACTCTGATCCATCTCAAAACCCATACGTGCAAGTCCGATCACAGGTGCGTAGTGCACTTCTCTGAAGAAATACACTGACACCTTGACTTTTCAGACGCCCGAGCCGAGTTCATCGCAGCATGTGGCGCAAACGCTACATCCTGGATTTAACGTGTCCTTACTAGGCACTCCTTCCGCTAACCAGTGGAAAGCAAGATGGAAGCTAGATATGACAGTGGTCAGTAACATATCAGCTTTGTGGCGTCGTGTGCTAAGGCGCCACATCGCAGTTCGAGAAACCCCTGCAGGTGCTAGACTCTAGAGGATGTTATATCCAGTTTCCGGCTTCGAGGTCGGTTTATCACGATGAAAGGTCCTCATGAGTTCTGATCAGGCCTGCAGGACCCATTCACAGTCATGCGTGCAGCAGGTTCTGCCAGAGCATGCCAACTCTGTCAAGTCTTCATGCTACACAGATGAGAATTTAGGTGCCGTGCCAACCCTTGCGCACGATGCTGCACCTGTGAATCATACACGATCAGTTCCCGATGTTCCACACATGCTCTCTTCCCAGTAGGTGTTGTTATTCACGTGGATAGAGACAATCTCACAGCAGTTCTAGATCCTATGTTTCCCAAAGGTTCTGGTCCAAGTAGGTGCCGTTATTCACGCGCATACTCAATCTGACATCAGTTCTAGACATCAATCAGACTCTGAAGCTATCGAGGAGACATTGAGTGTCCCGGCTCTTACCCTTGACGTGCAGTCTTCCGCGTCTGGCAGTCATGTAGACCCTATCGCTATCGCCAATGAATCAGATGCATCGTTCATGCTAGATCTATATATGCCGACAATGATAGACCCAACAACGGAGAAAGAGAAAAGGGGAACATATGAGGAAAAGGCAGACTCAAGAAGGGAGGCAGGGAACAGGGAAGCAGAAAAATTGGAGATAGAAAGAATGGAGATACAAGAAATGGAGTTGACAACCAGGGAGGCAGAGACAAGGGAAATCGAACGAATAGAAATAGAGAAACCGGAGATAGAGAGCCAGGAGTCTACAGTGGCCAACGAGGCAGGGACAAAGAAAGAACCACGAGTGTCTCCAGCCACGAATACCTCAAAACTCCTTCGAATAGAGCGCAAGCTTAACAAGAAGGATCTCTTCATGGGCTGGTACAAGTCCAGGGGCTCATCAGAGCTTCGGTACCCGCGCGAGTGCATAGCACCCAAGATCGGCGATGTCTATGTCCACTCTTGCAAGAAAGAGGGAATTCCAAAGTTTCAGCTATGGGTGCGACAGATCAACCGTGGGATGACCATCTGGGTCAAAGCTCACATTTTCCACATACACCCCAAATTACTCGACCGCAGATTAACGCTGGCGACGACAGGAGAACCCTACTGGTCAACGAGACTTTCGCTTTCGGCTTCGGGAAGTCGGGAGAGAGCTGGCAAGATTGCAGACATGATTCTGTATTGACTAGCCTGGTGGCTTGGTCCTGCAGACGGTACTACTTTACATTAGTGCTGACACAGACGATAATCCCATACTACAATACTACTATCCTCAGGCAGTCTAGGGACCTTGTACGATTACTGTTGACTTACTACGATCTTCACTTGATTTTCTAGGTGTAGCGATGTGCAAATGGTGACTTCATATCTAAGTTTGGAGACGTGCCACTAGCACACAAGACGACTTGTAAATATGTCGTTCAAGACGTTTATTTACCCACATGTCAAGACTGTTGGAAACCCAAACGTTTCCCTGGAAGCATGGCAGGTTTGTAAACCCTCAAAAGGACGACCCGTCCCATGTCGTACGCCTTTGCTACTCGGGATAGCAGTCGGAAACTTCTGCTGACGAAAGAAAGAGGCACGTAAAAAGCTTCTCACTTCACTAGGTCTGCCTTCGTAACTGGACTCTACGTCGACTGTATCTGGTAACCATCGTGGAATCACTGCGCATTCCCATATAGGGGTAATGGTCGCTGCTTCAAAGCCGATAAGACCAGTCATTCAAACTGTATCCGCATCTGTAAAGAGTGCCAATCCGCTGAAGATGGAATCCCTTGGTACTGCTTGATGAGTCACTTGCTTAGCTATAAAAACATACTCCTTGTTGTGGATGACTCCCACTCACTTCTGCCCGTAAATTGCTCCAAGAACATCCAGACATGGTGGAGGATCGACATCTGTTGGGATTGACACTTGATGAGATGCGTGTGTCGGGAACACGAACAATGTCATTGAGAGCACGGCAAAATGGTGTGCCAATAATGGGCTTAACGACGAAGTGGAGTGAAAAAGGGCTCAAGGAAAGAGATCTCACTCTTCCCGATTGTAGAGCGAATATCCAGAAGATGGTGTGTAACCTGATCACGGTCTTTCCTATCTCCAGTTCTGACTGGGAGAGGTACCTTTATCTTAGTAAGTGCGTGGGACATGAGTGAGACAAGACAAGTTGGGTTTTTCGCGACCTACTTTTTCACGTATTACGCCCAAACATTATTCGACGTATCAGAGTCCCATGAATAGATTCGTGGGACAGGTACTACCATCATGAGTGCAGCAGTGACCTCGCAAGTCGCCACTTTTTGCAAAAAAAAATTGAATGATCTTCGATACCAGCATGGATAAGATATATTTGTCGCACCTCCAAATCCAGCTTAGCCTTCGTAGACAAGAAAGAGGCTACCCGAATTCATTGACATGACATCAAAAAGGGTGTCATTACGGGATATGATCATATAACCATTTACCCATGCTTGAATATCGAGTAATAAGTTGTACCAGGTAGATGTCAGACGTACCCTGTGATAATCTTTATCAGTCAGCTTCTGCAGCCTGACTTGTCAAGAAGCGGTTCATTAACGACCCTCGAACTTGTCGTCGTTCGCCAGTTTGTTGAAGATCCACGTTTGATATATCCCGAATGGTACATGCAGATTCTTTTTTTTTATTTAGAAAATGGCGTTGAAATGAGGTCACATTTCAAGTTGCTTTCGATAATATGGCCGTACTACACAGAGTAAAGCATGGAAATTTCAATGGATGGTCACCGACGGTGTAAGATCTGATTTGAAAGGACTCACCTAGTGGACCGTGGGAAAGGTTGAAAGATGATCCTCTTCAAGTTGCAGGACACTTAGCCTGAGCTTCACCTTTGGCTACGGATAGTAATCGTCGCTCCCACTGGTGACTGGGGGTTCGTTGGTCCATGTCTCAATCCGATAACCCATAGGCGCATCTGTCCAGGACGCTACTTTGCCGATCTCTCTCTATGGGCTGCCACAGTTTGTATGTTGTCCACTGTTCGGATCACGAAAGCCAAAGACTCGGAAGGCAAAGATATTCCAGTGATTTAGGAGCATAGTACTGGTCTCGCTGTGTTATCAGGACTCTTGTGGCATTCCTTATTGATCTGATCCTGAGTTATGATGATACAGCACTGTTACAATGTAATACTAGCCCCCAAGAATTGAAATGTAGCTCGAGGAGCTAATAAGTTGATTTTGCAACGAGAGAAGCATAGTAAAGTTTATATGTATTATCTGCGGAACACACAACAGTATGGGGCCTTACCAACATGAAAAAAAATCAGCATGAAACTCCGTCATTGTTCAAATCCCTCTACTTGTCTCTATATCTTTCAATGAGATATTGCTCCTCTCACACATTCTGCGGAAAATTCCACCCTCCATTTTGAAAAGATTGGATGGTGTGTCAAATTCCTTCCAGAGGGTGTTAGTTGGTAACGGCTGAAAGACGTGTTCAAACATCAACCTACTGCAACAAGGCCAGCATCAAGGACCAGAATCCGGTCGTACGAAATGATAGTTCGAAGTCGGTCTAAGGTACCATTAGTTTCCAGTATTGTACCGAGTTCAAAAATGAGATAACGTACGAGCAATACAAAGTAGTGTGCGATCCTGAAATTCCGTTTGGATTGTGTGTTGAATCTTGTTATCAGTATCGAGATCGACAGAGGCTCTAAAAAATCAACACCACACGTCCAGGAGAAGAGCATATAACTAACGTGGCCTCATCAAGCACAACAACTTTGCAGTCTTTCACTAGAGCACGAGCTAGACTGAGTAGAGATCTCTCCCCAACACTGAGGTTCGCTCCCTCGCTTTCGATCGTGCTGTCAAGGCTGTGGCGTCCGACGCCATCAATGGAGCATGACTGTTTCGAAACGATGCTAGAATCAAACAGACAAGACCGTTGCAGCACATCCCACAGCTCCACGTCACTGTGATGGGAAAGTGGATCCAGGTTCGAGCGTATGGTCCCTGGTAATTTTTAAGCGATTCAAATAAGAGTATGTAGATTTACGACACTAACCGCTAAATAGAAGAGGCTATCGAATTTGTACATTAGTCCTTCCTGTGTTAGCTTGTGCATGGGAACTTTACAAACATCTTGTGGGATAATGGAAATCTTGGAGCGGAGATCTTTAAGACCAATTGTAGATATATCGACACTGGAAGCGGTGAAAACCAATATATTTGTCACGAGGGATAATCGACGTACCCATCAATGGTGATTGAACCGCCAGACAACTCAACAATTCGAAACAGTGCGAGCATCAACGAAGATTTGCCAGCACCAGTCCTGAAGGAGTATCACCTTAGCACACTTGCGTAGATCCGACAAACTAGCTCACCGTCCCACAACGCCTATCTTTTCGCCTCCCCTGACCTTGACTGAGATTCCCTTCAATACATTGGGAAGGCCTGGCCGATATGCCATTTTAACGTCGTTGAATTCGACCGCGCCATGTTCGGGCCATTGCGCTGAGGGCTTTCGTTCTTCAATCTCATGGGGAGCCTCTTGAGGCATCGTGTCGCTTGCGACGTACTGTACCACTGCGAGGTGTAAGCGAGATATCATCAAAATCAGTGGCTCACATCGTTCCACTGCATTCATGTAATTCTGAGGCAAACGACGATTGAGTAGCCTGTATCAGAAGATAAGGAACGCCTCACCTCAACGTCTGCTGTTTGTCTGGTTAACTGGCTACATGTTTGTGACAGGATGGCTTTGATATAAAATTTATCATGTATACTTTAGTGGCGACATCGGGAGACTCACTGGTATACGTCAGTACCAACCCTATCTGGGCTGCGTTTATCCCGGAGACGTCCATCACCGCTAGAAGAGCAACCTAGTATTTGTTGAACGTGAGGTCACGGTTTTGATCATTTAATAGATGCCTACAAGGAAGATTAATGTGCTTCCCATAACGTCCAGCCTTATTGCAAGCCATCTGAGAGAAACTAATGAACCAACAAACGCCAAGATATGTATAAGGTAACTCACCTCTGGTTCGTAATAACGAGGTATAGAGCTCTGTCCTCCAGATCAACGTAGTATCTATTGGCGGCAATGAACCGCTTCATTTCTCCGTAGCTTCGGATGGTAGGAAGTCCTGTTAAAGTCTCCGAAAAGTGGGCATACAGAAGAGAGCGAAGCATAGAGTCTGATGACCAATATCAGCAGCATATTTCTAGGTCAGAAGCAGTATAACAAACCCAGGCGTTTAACCTCACGAGCACTGGCTCGATAGAACGCAGCGAAGTAGCTATAACCAAGAGCGATGAAGAACACAACAATAACTAGACAAGCATGAATCATATCCTTGCAAAATGATGTCTATTTACTGACCAAAGTATGGTTCAAGGATAGAAATGATGGCGATAGAGCTCATAAGGGTGGACAGCGTATAGACAACTGGATCTCCATAGTCAGTGTCTATAAGCAAAGTGTGCGGCTGACATACGCCATCTCATCGACTCTGGATCATGCATGAGTAACATTTCACCGTGCGGTGACAAATAACGCACGTGGTAATTGATTGTCAATACCTGAGCAAAAAGTTTCAGCAAAGCATAGCAAAACACAATCAGTGAGATGCTGACTATCGATATCTTTGCCAAAAATGCTCAAGATTCGGCCCACAGGCTACAGGGGTATATTATGCATCTATTTGGGCGCTTCCATACACAATCACTCACTGTAGTCTCGAAGAAGGACATTGGTGCATGAAATACATTACGTACGGACCTGTGGTGCAGGTTTTGAGATACATAGGAAGAAATGATATCCATTCCAATACAACTGCATTGAATGAGCGTGCCGTCATCTGTGGTGGGAACCGACTTACGGGAAGAATGTGAAGATTGCTTGAGCAACCCCTAGACAGCCATACAGCGTCTGATAGAACGAGTTTGGTCGTTCGAATTTACTACGCAAGGATTTTAGAGAGGGACCAAGTCGATAAAAAGACACTGACTCGCTCTCCCACCAAACTAGCACGTACGAATTCAAGATGAGGCTTCCTTGCATCGCAAGGACGAAGAGAAGAAGTAGAGGACCTGTTATTGAAGCGCGTCCCGCAACCAAATAGGTCCAGTATACTGTAAAACTGCTTCAGCCTCGGGAAACCCTTCAGATGAGCTTGATCGCACCTCCCCAGATCACAGAGCCCGTCGACCGCCTCTCTTTGGAGATCAAGCGACCTTCAAGTTTGCCATTGCCAGTAGCCTCTTTTCTGGCTTGTTCTGACTTCAACTTCACATCCTCGACGGTAATGCCTGTTTGCGGAATGACTTCCTCTGCCTGGCCATCATCATTCTCCTCCGACACATGACCACCGAACTCCAGGTTCAGACGCGCAAAGTCTCCACCGCGGGAGATTAATTCCTCGTAAGTCCCGCTCTCTGTAATGATGCCATTGTTCAGAGTATAGATATAATCTACTTGGGAGAGGAAGTGGATCGCATGAGTGACTAGAATGACGGTAATGCCACGATTTCGCAGGGCACCCACGATGGCATCTTGGAATAACGATTTTCCGACGTGAGCATCCACTGAAGGCATTCGTCAGCATGACAGACATAAGATAAACAACATTGCTCACCTGCCGAGAGCGGGTCATCAAGGATGGCAACTTCAGGGGCAAAGTACAGAGCACGAGCAAGGTTGACCTGAGTGGAAAATCAAATTCGAGTCCTATCACGGAGAGATGCCATGAACTCACCCGCTGCTTTTGGCCACCGCTGAGATTGATTCCCTTTTCTCCAATCTGAAATAGAGTATAATATAAACAGTGTTATCAAGTTGGATTCATCCGCCATACCTCAGTCAAATCCCCATCTGGGAGCAGTTGGAGATCAGGAAGTAGACAAGCGATCTCAACAACGCGCCAGTATCTGTCTTCCTCGAAACTTTGGCCAAAAGTGATATTATCACGCTGGGGTAAAATATCAGATGTATTCGCTCTTCGAGAGCGACGCTATGCTAACCAACGTAGTATTCTGGATCCATGCGGTCTGCGGGCAATAACCAATGCGTCCGCCAAACGAGACATGCCCAGAGACCTTCCTCATATCTCCTATTAGACCTTGCAATAAACTAGACTGTTCATGTGTCAGTAGTCGTTTTAAGTATCTCATTCGAGAAGATTACCTTGCCGCTTCCGACAGGCCCGACTATAGCGATGAGCTGGCCTCGTTGGATGGTCATGGTCACATTCTTTACCTTAAAGAGAGGGGCTTCATTTCCAGGAGCGGGCTTTTCCATCTTCATGTCCTCCGTCACGCTCCTGTCCTTGCCCTTTGGTGAACTGCCGTCGCCGGGTGCGCCAGTCTTCAAGCTCAAAGCATGACCAGAATCTTTCGCGAACGACTCCCACTCAAACGTCGCATCCTTCACCAGAAGCGCAGGTTCTTGGCCCTTGTCGATCATAAGTGTATCTCCAGAAATAAGCTCTGCGTGGAACACGTGCGTAAGCCGCTGAATCGCGCTAGATGCATCAGGGATAGCCGATAGAGCGCGAGGCATGAAGAGCATCGGTTGCCTGAGAAGCTATTCATCGATAGATCGGGTGCATGTTTATGTACGCTGCGGGACACGACCTCACCTGGAACAAACTCAACGAACTGAATATGATGGCAACGTTGAAGTTGTGTGCCGTAAGGGTGTACGTGACGAAAGCTAGTGTAGCGGCGAGGACTGGGACCGAACAAGCGAGTGCCAAGCTGGGTGGATTGGCATCAGCAGGCGTCGCCATGCTATCACCATCTAGACTTACTTCGCCGAATTCGCGTGAAGAATCCATCGAACACCACGCAGTTCCTTCTTTCGAAGCTCAAATATTTCTAAGTAGCGTTCGTGAGCATGCTGCTGATATTCCTCGACTCAGCATACTTACTTTGAAGGAATGGGATCTCGTATGAGAAATATTTGACAACGCGTATGGCCCCTGTGCATCTCTTCAGTATCCTTGCACGTCCCAGAAGCCCCAAGTTTACGTACCAAGTACCTCTAGCAAGACCTTGGCTCGCTGATCAGTCCATTTCATGGACTCTAAGCGAATACGGTGCTGCAGTGCCATTGACTGCTGTTGGAGTGGAATCATGAGGGCGAATAGCGAGAAACCAGCAAGAGCAGATGGCCCAAGCTAGTTTTCACGCGCAGTTAGAACAGACCGAAGTCTTCGTAATACAACAAACCTGGATCAAGAGAATGCTCAAACAAACTATGATTTGAATAGGCGCGGTCCAGGCTTGACAACAGTAAGTTATCTCAAAATATGAATGGCACTAGTTCCATATACTGACCCATGTGCTGGTGGCGAGATTAGTCAACAACGTGCGCATACACTTTAGTATGTGACTCACCAACCATTGAGCAGCTGCATCAATCCTGCTCACGTCTGTCGAAATATGATTGACCAACGCGGCGTTGCTGAGTTTGACACGTGCTTTGCCCGTGAGGTTTACTCCACGCTCATAAATGCATGTTATCAGTGCGGCCCTAGCCAGTACGCCTGTCGACATTGAACGCCAATAGAACTTGGAATGCGTAAGCTGAGCCGAGCTCATCTTCAAGTCACAAAGTTTCACAGACAAACCTGGTGGTTGCAAATGCTGGCCGTCAAGGTAAGCGCAAAGAGCCCAATAGCCATGGCAATACCACGACCAATATTAGGTACAGGTTCTCCGGCAGTAGTTGCAGCAGAACGCTCCTCCGCAAAAACGATGATTTGCTGTAGGGAAGAACAAATATCAGAGGTTACCACAACCAAACACAGGTTGCTGTTTACCCGAAGGACGACAGGACCCATGAGCTGTATCGTATCGCCAAAGACCTGAATCATGTCATAAATTATTGTCATAAAAGCAATTCAGGAGGAAGACCCATGCCTTGAATGCACCTCCTATCCAGAACATACTAAGAAAGACATCATTCAAGGCCCAAGTAAGACTGGCCTCTTTCCTCCCAGCGGATTCTCGCCAATGTTGCTGAAACGCTGCACGTCGCTCAGACCAATTCGTGCCTTGTTTCCTGGAAATTGCACTGAAGGCCCAGCCCGTACGCTTGAAGAGAGATGGTCTGAGTTCTCCACTCTCAAGACGTGCATTCCAGTCGGCTGCTGCCCTAATACGCCGCTGCCATGCAGCTTCAAGTTTGGCAGCAAGGACGGCTGACTCTCTGGATGTGTCTAGTTTGTATAAATCAGACGCTTGTAATGTACGTTGATATCCGAGAACCTAGATAGATGCGTCAAAATAGTATAGGTTGAAATCGGGGTTCAAACAAACCATTATACCCGTTACCCAGGAGTACGTGAGCTGAGAAAAGATGGAAGCGTTGGCCAAAGGCGTTAGCTGTAGATCACTGAGTTGTTAGGAGGAAAAAATCAGCATAGAGGGTTCGCGCACCGCTGCATCCTCCAGAGACAGGGGAGCTGGACATGGCGGGTCCTTAGGTAACCTGATCGCGGCTCGATGAAGGACATCACTTGTAAAATAGCTTCGCTTACCACAACTGCCACCATTTTTGACGAAATTTGGTATATCCCTTGCCAGTATCAAGTTGGAGGCGTAAAGGTCGGAGGTCAGTTGCGTTAACCTCCACGATGTCTTCTTTTTTGTCCTGCAAAGATTCTTCTGATCGTTGAGAAGTCATACAGAAAGAAACTAGAACAGCAGATACTGGGCAAATGAATGGCGACTTATTAAGAAAGGCTAGGAGAATGGTTCCGTATGATACATTACCCGAGATCTGCGTGGCCTGCAAAGGCGTCAATGAGCCTCGCCGTCACCTGCCAGTTGTAAATTCTACTACTCGGTCATAGCAGATGCTTCGCATCGAGTACTCGGATCAAGCTAAGCCCCGGCTCTACTGCATAATTGAAGTTCTACGTTGCGATAGCCCCCATTAACATATCGCCGAAAAAAGTTTGTTTTCATACACGTACCGTGACGATGCCAGCAGGGCACAGAGTCGCAGACTGGTCTTGCAAAAATCTGTTTTTAAAGTCGAAAGAGGTTGTGTCGTATTTCCCTTCATATTCCCCTTCATATTCTTGATTGATTCTGCCTTGATTTTGATTTGGGAACTTCCAAAGGTTTGCGCCGGGTTTGAAATTGTCCGCCCTCCCTTGCTGGCAGCCCCCGCTGGCCATGAACAATGAGTGGAACACGGTCTCTGACATCATCTCTCTCTGGGTTTCTCAGCCTTCGATAAGCGGGTCCTTTATCTTTGAGTCCACCCTTGACGTGGCGCCGATGGACAACATGTTGACGACGTAACATTCTGGAGATGGACATCAATGGAATCAGTGAATGGTATGACGATAATCTCTGTGACCGGCAATAATAAAGAAGGAACGATGTGTTTCCCCTGAGTTGTCGCCGGGCTTCAGAAAACTATACACGAGCGACTTGAATTTTGCTTGAAGTTACTAGCGAAGTGAATTGCCTTTCGTGGTTTGTTTGTTCGTGTTGAAAACAAAAGCCAAGTTGCTAAACTCATCCATACGTTTAAATTTTCTTCCTCGGACAATTTTCATATATACGAACCATTTCACAGTGGAACAGCCTACATGTTCAAACGGCTCGTCGAGGCCTCAAGTGGGACTTATATGCAGCGGCTGAGCGCCGTACGTCTACCAATGTGAGCGCTCGCTTAGTACACAGGGTTCAGGATCAAACTGTGAACATAAATGGAGGCCTCCCTCAGATTGTGACAGCTTATATTTGTGGGCAACGAAAAATATGGCAGGAGTTGTTGGGCAACCCACCCTCCTCAATGCCAAAGCTTAACACCGATGCCATGTCAAGTGATATCGTGTACTGGGATGACACATCATGCATCATCATTCGCCCAACATCAGCCAGCTTTATAAAAGTTCACCGGGAGCTGTTGAACAAACGTTCCATCCGCGAGCTTTTCATATTAAGCTTTCGCAGTGCATGTATCCATGGAGTATCGTGATTTGTACTTTTGCAAAACGTGTCAGTTCGTCATAGATCTCCCCGGTGTTCCTCATGGGATGAAGAAACACGTGGAAACCTTTGTCAGGCCTTTGTGATCTGGTCTCTCATGCCACATGCTTTACTCATTATGGATTCAATGCATAGATACGGAACTCTGCCAGAGGATTGCCATTTAGCGCCTTTTTTGCAGGTTCTAACCTTGTTCGGGAAGTACTTTTTGAAATCGGAAAGGAACGACTTGTGCGTAGCTCGGATCTTTCTGTTGACATGTTGAGTGGATGCAGAGCTACTGGTACTATGTATAGTGACTGGACAGTTGCTGGGCGATCACTCCCTACATAGGTATCGCAGCAAAGTTCCTGAACGAGGATTCTCAGCGGATTCGGATTCGCCGATGCACGACAAAATCATATACGTGTCTTAGGTAAAATAGGGTTTATTTATAATCCAAGTTTACACGTCGAAATCCTGTCCCCGTTATACATCTCAAGTCCGTTTCAACTTTACACTCCTTCCTACTTACCATGGTACTCCACGTGCAATCTCGCGCTCTCTGGAATCGATGCAGTCTCCGAAGATACCGTCCCAGGGTTTAGGCACAAAATATCACCGCCCTACGTTGAATCAATTCGTCGAGACAGCTGCCTATCGCACTGCTAAGTCTGCGATGTTACGTTCTACTTATTCTGATCGATGCATGATGTGGCTGCTACATGTGTCGTCGAGACGATAGTTGTGATACCGAAAGGTGTGTAACAAGTTCACTCAGCTGCTCAAATAACAAAAACCGAACATGATTTTAACCTGAAAGGGATAGTTAACCGAACCATCGCTTCCAGTGTGCCACATGAGTATAAATTCTCAAAAAGAGGAATGCTAGCGGTGTCTTGTCAATACGCAGATTACAATTTTACCAGAACCTTCTTACAGCAGTACACATGCATTCTGTATCAATATATATACAGCCTTTGTTTTGATTCTGAAACGTGATCACGAAGTTGATCAGGCGCAGTGCCACACAGCAAACAACAACACACAGCTTATGTTGAGCGAAACGGTACTTTAGCTTACACCACGACTCAAGAGTCTTAGTCTTACATACCCTACCTCTCCTCCAAGCCATTCATTGCAAAGACATTAACTCAACGTTGAGATGTCCCTCCTAGAACGCTTAAACGTCCCAATAGATAACGGAACCGGAGCCCCTTCCATCGGCCCCGTCCGCACAAAATCAGGCAGTCGTTCATCTCCATACGTGCGTACAACTTTTCATAGTCTATACGTCAAAAGAATAATCTCTCTCGCACACATCTTTTTTCGTTACTATCACGCCCACCCACCTCACTCCAATCATCGTCTGTCTCACAAAGACCCGCCCAAACCGCACCCCCAAAGGCGACCCAGACGCTCAATGGAGTCACGACCTCTACGAAGACCCAGAAAAACCCAGCCTATCATCAAGACTCACCCTGAGCGCCGCGCAGCCTCGCAAACCCGATTCGCGTCTCGCACAGCGTGCGCTTAGGGATGCAGCAGGGGACAGCAAAGCCTCGGGACAGGGCTTGAGCATCAAAGGTGCAAGTGCAGTGCCGTTGGGGAATGTGGTGGAGATTAGGGGACTTGTTAAGGGTACGACTGCTGCTGATGTTGAGGTGCGCGTTTTTTGTGTTTTTGAGGAAGAGACTGAGGTTTCTTTTTGGTTGGTCTGATAGGCTATTTTCAAACGATGCGGCACGATAGTCTCGTCTGAAACAGCATCCCCTAAGGCCTCTGAGAATGTCATCGTCCGCATCACGTTCAAACTACCTGCACAGGCAGATGCGGCTGTGAATAAGTTCAACGGCCAGCCTGCCGACGGCAAAATCTTGCAAGTGAGCATTGTGGGGACGAAAGCGGTGGGGTTGTCGGGGAGGCTTGCGGGTGTGGATGTTGTGGATGATAGTGTGGATGTACTTATGGATGGTGGGGAGGAGGGGAGTTCATCGTGAGTGGTTTTAGTTTGGGGGTTTTAACTCTTAACTTTTATTTGCGTTGGTGCAGAAAAATGCGGTCAGATTCGATTATTGCTTCGGATCCGAGAGCAAGTGTGTTGGTTGCGCCGCCGGGTACAGATCCGAAGCTATATACCCAACACTCACATTCAAATTCTCGTCCGGATGGGCAAAAGTGGCATCGTGGGGGAAGAGGTCGTGGACGAGGAGGTCGTGGAAGGAGAGGTGGTGGGGACCGAGGAGCAGGGATGGATATTGACGTTTGAGACGGTATTTTGTTGGCTATGGGTATGATATGGATGAAAGAGTCTAAGGCTTGGCCAGCCTGTGTCATCTTAGGTTGCAAATTATCTTAGCATATGTATTTCCCTTGTGCTGATTACACCTCTCATCTCAATGTATTTCACGCAAGATTCAAAGTACACGCAAGTATGTTGTGCTTGGAATGGGCATGAGATAGCGTGAACTCGGGCATAATAAGTGGTAGTGAAGAAAGTAGATCGTGATAGCCAACCAAACGACAGCGAGCGCCTTGTACGTTACTTGCACAGGCTTTACCCCAAGTATCCGGAAAGGTATTCGTCATCAAGCTTCCACCTGTAATCATTCGCTCTCAGAGATAAGAGCGACGATCATCCTAGAGTCTCGTCAGATAGCGTGGGAGACTTGTGAAAGGACTACGCACCGATAGAGATAGTAGAAGAATGAAAGAAGGTAAAAGCCTAGTTTCATAAAGCTCTCTTTCTTATGACCGCTAAGAGTTCTGAAAATCTCTGTGGCATCATACATGTGGTTCTTGTTGCGTATCCTGTGGGACGCGTCAGCTCCAACTACACAAAAAGCGCCCAAGACAAGGACGTACTTGTTGACGTTATACAAGACTAGAGGGAGGTTGAGGAGGAATGCAAACCATTGACCGGAGAGGAGAAAGAGAATTGTTAGGAATGCGTGTGCAATGTTTTCTGGTAGAACGAACTGGGTGTGTGTCAGTGTGGGTGCATTGCAGGTAGGGATGGAGAGGTACTTGGTTGAGTTTGTTGCAAAGATCTATGGGATTGATATAATCGCATTCAAGGTCTGAGAACATGATTATCTGGGAAGCGAAAGTGAGTGGGGGAGTGAGTGGAGATAGAAAGGAAGACTGACGAAGAAAACCATCGTGAAGAGTAAACCAGCTGCCATTAGTACAGAGAACAAGAACAACCAGCCTACAGCAAGCCATCAGGCAGGGGACTCGCGTCAGAAAGACAACGCACCAGCGCCACCCATTTTGTCAGAAAAAGTTGAAGTAAAGCAATGAAAATTAGAACTTGTTGACTGAGCAGCTAGGACTTTAAAATTGTTAGTAGAACCACACACAGTGAATTCAGAAGTAAAATACCTTGATGAAGTCGAACACCAGGAAGAATAACCCTCAACAATGTCACACACGGTGACAAGTCACACGTCAAGAGGCCATGGGAGAATAACATCGGCTCAGTTGAATTCAGACTAGGAAATGTGCCTAGTGGTTACTCAAGCTCAAATCATACATAATGGTACAACTTCCAACCATTCTTCCGCGCAGTGCCATCCCCTAGTGGGTATGCTTGGCTCCCAAACGACAACGACACTTTGATTCTATAGATATAGCGCTGTAGCCATTCATATTTTGATTGTGGCAAGCACTCAGCAGGATTACAGATAGAACATGCAGGTGCCTGGATTCATGCATGTTAGCGCATCTTTCTTACAAGTATGTAATGTTATTTACGCGGTTCTCTGTGTGCAGCCATATTTGGACTACTCGTCCTTTCGTGTTCTCATGCCCCGCCTTCTGTCCCTTTATCATGATGTACATGGTTTCCTACTTGTGCGACATTTTGCGGTATTCGCACATGGAACCGCCAGCTTGCATCGGATTTTGCGAAGTAGGTCACAGCGCATCCCACTCTTGCAAAGTTGTCGAGGTCACTCGATGACATTGTACAGCCGCTCGACAATTGTTCACGGCACATCCAGATCTACGGTAAGTATCCCGTCCTTCCCGATTATCTTTCACTAAGCAAGCTCACAAAGAACCGGCTCTGAAACCACAGGACTTCTCAACCTCCAGCCTCCTCTCCAAAGAAAGTAGATGCCATCTCGATATCCCAATGCCTGATCGCCCAAAACTTCGCCTCTGCCGCCACAAAAGTCATGATCTCACTCCAAATAGTTGAACATCCCATCGAGGCTTCACGCATCGTTTCATCAACCATACTGCACCAGTTCGAAAACATAAATGCAACTCACTGCTACACTAGAAGCATACAAAGAAGCTCTATCATGCCAGTGAGTCATCTAGTCAATTCCACGACACAAACCACTAATACTCACGCAAAATCCTCCTTCGCATGCTGAGCATGTCCTATCGCGTGCGCAAAAGAAAGGACATGTCGCACTAGCATCATCACTGACAGCGTCACTGGCAGATATCGATGTTGTCAAAGCGGCAACAACGGCGAGGACAAAAATGAAGCGCATTGTTTGAGGATGGATATAAGATCAAATAAATTTGAAGGGACAGTAGGCAGGCGCTTTGCTTTTATATGCTGAATATTGGGTGACTTCCCGCAGCATTTAGAATCGTCGTTCTAAATGTAAATCTATGTCTAATGTCCTCATGCCAACGTGCCCCCGTCAAATGTCAGTGTTTTGCAAGTCCGCATATTAAGACCACCCAATCTTAAAGTAATCCTAGAAAGCAGTAGCCCCCTCAAATAGTGTTCAAGCCATGTTCTAAACATCTAAACAGGCCTTTCGAACTCACGTGAGTATATTTTAACCGTTGCTTGCATGCCCTTCATTCAAGCCTCGACACTGTACATTAGAATCTGGATACAACTTGTCTACGGTTTGGAAAGCATTTCTAAACTGCGTCGAGGTGCGAGACGATGCTCCGACTCTTGAGGTTTGAATGAAATATAGTATTCAAAAGTCGCCCACTATCCTTGATGGTGATGTAGGAAGGACCTGACCAGCTGAAATCCTCTTTTGAAGCTGAATATTATTCTTGATAGTGATCCATCTCATGACATCCCCTTTCGAGCAGATGCAATTAACAGCAGATCGGCACCTCCTAAGTACCTTGTGAAGCAAGGTTTATTAGCGTGAAAACAACATATAAGCTTGCGAAGCAAAGTCAATGCCAGCATATCAAATTTGCTACCAAAACCTTATCAAGCCTATCGGCAACTGTAGCGTGGAACAAAATATCACCTTGCAAAGCGATCTATCTTACACGTCATTTACGCACCATTTTGCAAATTCACTTGGCAAGAAAAATAATCGACATCATATCTGCTCGTGATGAATGAGCTAGGAAGATGGTGCTACGCAACTCTTCTTGTGCCCCTTCCAGTCCTCGCGTTGACAACCCTGTGAACAATACCGCACAACCTTGCACCGACTACAAATCAACAACGACGCAGAACCACCACTTTCCTTTCCACAAGCAGCGCACACATTACGCACCACTGCTGCCGGCGCAGGCGTTGATGCAGTACTTGAAGCGACGTTATCTTGCAGACTACCGACCTTTTCAAGGTACGACAGCGCGAACAGTGGACTGATCACTGCCCTCGTCACATGCGGTGCAAGCGGTCGAAGCATCGGGTATTTCTTCACAAATGATTCTGTCCCCACCCCGGCACCGCATGAGCAAATAGCACTCTCGTCTGGCTCCAACGTCAAAGGGATAACGCCTTGTACGCGGTACTCGCAGTTGGTCTTGTGCTCCCATGTACGACACCGCTCCGTCGCAGCCACGAGGAGGTGCTGCCAGGCCTTCCTCTCCTCAACGCCCATCCCAACCGTCTTCATATTGCTAGGTCCCAAATGAGTAAAAACCTTGCTGAAAGCCTCGGCCTTCTCAAACGTGGGAGAAGATGGCATCACCCATGTATCAGCGACCATGGAGTGCGAGCCAACGTCCAAGCGGAGATTTGTGATATAGAACATAACAAAGATCTCCTCATCATCTTTCGCTCGCAAGGCGTAGCATAAAGGGGGTTTGTCTTCTGCGAGACCGCTCGCCTGCCCAAAGATGAAATGAAGTGAACGCTTGACATCAAGCAGCGTTGACCCTGTAGTCAATTCACTGGGGATGCGCCTTTCACGATCAGACATCATGAGGGAGACGTGAGGGTTGACCCAGCCAAGAGCTCTCTTGTTAGCAAGGCTGAAGGGTATGCAATGGTCGAGGTTGACGCGATGCATGTTCCAGAGAGCAAGATCGCCTCCGTGCGGAATAACAGGGAACATGTCCGAGTCGGTGTCTCCAAGAATAAGTCTCAGGGGTAAGATGATCTGGGCCGAGTCCGATATGAGTTTTCAGAAAGATAGAGAGACAGAAAACGTACTTCGATGTATAGCAACTTTCGCGCAATGCGAAGCTTGGATTTCTTGGCATCAATAGGAAGCGGGAAAGGGAATTGCAAAGACTTGTCTCCAAGAACGATGGCGATTGAATGCATAGAAACTTGGTTCACAATGGGAGTAGCACCGCTGGTCAGGGAAGCTTTCATATCCGGTTCGACAATATCCACACGAGTGGTGAATGTCAAAGGTGTCTTGCATTCTTTGTCTAACGTGACGAATGTGCATGCACCAGACGTCTTCATAGGACGGTCGCCGATTTGCACATTATTCTCCTTGGGACTCTCTGGGCCAGCATTAGGATGCTGTCGTAGGATATGTACGAGTTGCTCATCTCCCAGGTCCGCGCAGAATATGGATAAGTCAAGCCCCCGCTTCATGGCGAACGCGCAAGTCGCCGGGGTGGAGAGAACAGATAATACAACCGATAAACAACGCTCATTCACCAGCACAATAGTTGGCACCCAGAACCACACCACTAGAGGAGAAGTTCCATAACGTCCAGTGGTGTCTTCTTTAATGACTGCAGTCTTGCCATCACCTTGGCCACTGGTTGTAATGCTACCAAAAACTGTGCTGATGGCAGAGAACGCATTTTGTGTCGCTGTGCCCCTCAGGTCGCACTGCAACACAGGTGTTCCGGCCTCGTCAAGATCGGGTAAGAGCGGCTGGAGGCGATCCCGAGGAACAACGAGGACGACACAGAGAGTTTTTGGGAGCACCTTCCAATTGCGAAAGACAAAGGGCCTTTCGACGCGATGCACTTCCTGCACTTTTGGTAGAGACAGCCAATCTACATCGAAAACACCAAGAAGGTGTAACTGGCAGCAGAGTTCTTGGTAAAAGTTCATTCCGGTTATGAGGATCCTGTCATTCTGAATCTTGTCGTGAAGCATGTTCATGGTCGAATCCCAGTCTGTGATCACCCTCCTCTTCACAACACTCAAAATCTCCACAAACGAACGACGGTGGTAATGTACGATCCCAGACAGTGACTGCTTGACCATGGCCAACCTTCGTCTCACGTTCTCATGAGAAAACATGTTGAGATATATATTGAAGAAAACGCCTGCAAGCTGCTCCGCAGCGATATCGATGGGGCAGTCGAGATCAGTCAGTTTCTCAGCACCGCCGATTAGTTTCCATGCAAGGCGCTCGTGATTCTGGGTTGCATTGTCTGATAGACGCATGATGTGCTCATGCATGTTTGACCGATTCGTGAACTGCGATACGAAGCACGCGGGAATCAGGCCGAGGAGCAGACCCATAGTTGCGATATCTCCACAAAGGTGTTCGGCCAACGTGTCTTCTGGGCTACCTGAAGCAAGACCTTCCGTGTACAACGTAGCGGATAGAGTGCGCTGAAGAATGGGAGAAGTAACGGCGATAAGATTCAACACGCCGACATGATCAAAAAGGTTGGAAGTATCGATGACGTTGAATGTGGTAGGCGCAGGTGACTGCCTACTAGTCCCGTAGGCGCTAGGATCAAGGGCGATGTACGGGATCTTCCAAGGAGCAACGGGGAATAGTGTGGACGTCGATTTTGCGGTGCGGGAGTAGCAAAGAGCTTGACAAAAGCTCAGAGCGTCTCCCACGAAGCAACGTATGATGAGCGGGCTCGGAGAAGATGGATTTTGACTGCCCAAGACTTTGGACACCGAAGCGCACCACCTGGAAAATTGCTTCTTGCAGACGTCTACTATATCTTTCAGAGTACATTGGTCTGGGTGGCGAGTGCTTCCGACAGCTGGCGCAAGCGCTTCTGCCAAATGAAAGCAGCAGAGAGGATCTGTTCCATAGTGCACACCAAATTTGTCACCGACCATGGAGAATGCTAAGGTTGGATTTGGGCGTGACACCTCCGAGGGTCTCTTAGGGACGGCAGAGCATATGCCCGTATCCCAGTAAATGTTGTAGTGATCACCCGCCATCTCGAATGCATACATTGACAGTGGCCCAGCTGCCCGACTTGCTGTAAGTACGGATCCGAACTTTGCCCTGGAAGCCTTGACGTCAGCAGCATA